TTAGAGCCCCAACGCCACAGTCAGCTCCATTGAAGGGGACTGAGCCACGGCACGCCCAAAGTAAGACGCTGAAGACATGGACTCGAACATGGGGCGCCTTATTTCCCGCTCAACGTGCCGGACCAAGTATGCGACTATCGAGGCCATGACTCTGGCAAGAGAGTCGCAGCCCATTTAGAAAACCCCTGCCAAACATCCACACACCCCCACTCGCTGAAGCTCTCGTCGACACCCCCTCGACCATGGAGTTTTGCCCACCTTGGCAGCTTCACACCCCTCCCCCCAGACGTCAGGGCAAGGACCCATGGATGGCAACTCTCTGGACAAACAGTTGACTAGCGCAATATGCTCTCGTAGCACGACTAGTTAGAGGGGTGGGCGCCTGGCATTTGCTGCTCCGGTACCTCACGCCTCTCTGATTCTGGAGGTGGAAACAACATTGGAGGGCGGGTCACCACTCTTGGTAGTTAATGAGACAGCTCGGCATCGCTGCCCGTCATGGGAGTCCCGGAGACCTGGGCAGGTAAAAAAAGCGTCCCTGTTTGACGGCTAGCCATATAAACGTTGGCCTCCCCCCGCCGTCTGCAAGCTGCTGCATTGGGCTTCATTCACGACTTCGACTAATACGTTCTCCATCAACCTCCATCTATCTGCCTATCTACAGTATCCAATCTCTTGACGTCTTCCACCATCGTGACAAGACTGCAGCCTCTCTCTCCATCGATACGACCCAAAGCCTTTCACACTTCGGACACTATAGCAACCATGTGCAACTACATCTACGTACGCCTGCCCACCATCTTCTTTTTTTTCATCACCCTCGAGGCTGGGGCTGGAATCCAAGAGAATGCTAACGTAAAATCTCCGCCACTTACAGAAGGAGCTGAAATGCCAGCACCACTACCACCTGGTAGAATCCTGGTGCCCCAAGTATATTGCGACTGAGCGACGATGCACTCCCACAATTGTCAGCAAGCAGTACTGGTAAGTCTCGGCAGCTCGACGTCTCGGCAGCATCCAAGTGCTAACATATTGACTGTAGGGGTGACGATATCTGCGGTATGCTTCATTGCCAACCTGATGACTCTCTTGCAATCGATTGGACATTGACTAACATGAATATAAACAGCTGCTTGCCGCGAACGCCAACAACCCAGCAACCACCCTTGGGCAAAGCTCATCCGCAGGCCGGAATCTCGAGCCGCTCCACACGCGACGGTTCCTGCTCGATAAATAACCATCTACAAACTCGGGCTCAAGGCAAGCTGGCAGATGTACAACACTCTGCTTAGCATTTTCTGAACTCCTCAAGTTCTCTCTGTGCAGAGAGCACATATCAAAGATTGGGACATGGAAAAATTTGCATGCATTGGGCCGCTACCACCTCGGTGGCACAGAGCGGTGCCCAAACAGCAATCAGACTTGATGGATACGGCCGAAAGAGGAGACACTCTCTTCTATTATTGATTGGACGGAAACGGGATCGAAATTTGGGCACAAACACACGCACAGCGCACACACACAAAACGTAAACCATCACAAAAAAAAAGCCATAATCGACACAAGACGGCACGGGACGGGAATGGCTTATACTCTCTCTCCCCCAGGTGCAAACCTGGTTCATTAGCTCATCTGTTTCGGAGTTTCACTAAGCAAGCATTCTCCGCTGGATTTTTTTTTTTTTTTATTCTTTTTTCTTTTCCTTGTTTTTCGCTTGTACTCTCGGGACGGAACTGCGGGCGCAATGTCATTTGGACACAACAGCTGCATTGGGCTGAGCTGCATCAGCCTCTTTCATGCAAGAGGAGGAGTTTTTTATTTTATTTGGGCAAGGAATATTGGGACAAAACACTGCAATTGGCAGTGCAAAGCTCGGAATGTCATCTTGGCAACAACGCCACGGTATCACGGCAAAGGCAACAAAAACCGGTTCTGCGACAAAAAGACTGGACTTTGCCGGATCACTGCATGAGGCATCAAACCGAATATGGCATCAAACGGATGGTCTCGGCCATGGCCGGCCATCACGAGGCCTGTCCGAAAGGGGACAGGTCTCTTTGTTTTGGGAAGGGACTTAGAAAAAGGGACATTTGAAAAATGTATGATAGAAGGATATCTTTGTTGGGCAAACATGTATGGGCGTCTTTTTTTGTTTGGAAATCTATGTGGACAGCCTCCCGAAAAGTCGGGAATGTGGCTGCGCTTGGCATATTTGGGAGTACTATGACCTTTGGAGGTACTTGCTTTTGTTGGATGGGAATATTGATCAGTCCTCCAGGGAGCAGGACATGATAATTTTTTGGCTTTTTTTTTTATTTTAGTAGTAGCTGGTCTTTGTGTTCTTTGGACTTGAAGTCACGCACCAGTCAACAGGTACAATAAAGTATTACTACCATGAGATTAACTCAAGGGTGCCTCCCGATCCATGCTCCCGTCTCGTCTCGTCTTAGTCTGTCTATCAAGGCTGAGACATGCGCCATCCAGGTGCTCTTGAGCCTCTCAAACGGCGCATACGAGACATCTGGCGCAATGTCGCTGCCAGCTAATTTACAGGTACCGCATCTTTTTGCATCTGGGGTGGTTTCACGAGGTCTCTTATGATGGCCCATCTGCACTTGGCCCATCTGCACTTGGCCCACCTCATCTCATTCAGCTCTTCACCGGCCCCATATCCCAGGTCGTTAGGCTCGGCTATAGCCACCATTGAAGGCCAATATACTCGTACTCTAGTTGTACGACGGTGACGCCATGTGTTTGCTTGCTTGCTTCTAAATATGCCTACCGTCGCATAAAACACGGGTTTCTCGTTTCCATTGACAGCCGGGTCAAAGCTCAGCCCAGCTGAGAGAGAACAAGACGGGTGTGTTTTTTTGCTTCTTTGTTGCCCTTAATTCTTGCAGCGCGGGGAGAGGACGGGGATGTGCATGACAAGGCGTCATTTTCTCCTCTTCGTGGAACTCACGTGTTGTTGGTGTGGTGGTGCACGGATCTGATGTTAGATTTAATGATGCTGTGGCGTATTTTTCGTTCCGTTGGATCTGGTTCAAGGCGTTGTTGATGTTGTCATGTTGCACAAATAACACAGCAGAGTCTCTGAGCTGGCATCTGTTGGTTCGCAAGATCGGAGACTTTGCTGCCCTTCTGGAGTTGCCCTGACGATTATTGGACGGCTGCCCCATAACGGCAATGGAATGCTTCGAGTTGCGTTGCATTGCAGCCATCAAAGCTAACCCCAGATATTGGGTCCCCCCTGATACGACTCTCCTGTCCTCTGTCACATTACACAGAGTTGACCTGTCATAACATCTCCCACGTCTCCTCCGCGCTTCATCTTCGTCCGCTCATGTTATGCGGTGGCACACCCCCTCTTTCAGCCGGGCACTCGTCCAATCAGCGCCAGAAGACGCATGGCCACCAATTATTTTGCGTCTTCCATCTTCCTCCTTCGTTCCGAAGTCACACAAACAGCTCACATGTCGGCCTAAATTGCTGTCGGAACAAATGAGAATAGAGAGGAAGCGCAGAGAAGGCAGATCTTGGCTTGGTGTAAGCCTCCAATTGACAAGCCATCTCTTCATCGTCACCATCGGTGAAACCTCATATGACTGAGGGGTAAGTTCATTGAGGATATGGCCGTGTGCTTTTTGCTTCCTTCAATTTCTCCGTGCATCTTTAACGAGCGCGCATGATACCACCATCTCTCTCGAGCGTCAACAATAAAGCATCAACGGCATATCAACCACGCTCTGACATGTACCTCCGAAATAGCTGTCCTAGCCATTTGGTAACTCCGTAGCCGCAGCATTTCTTCCTTCGCTGGGCAAGTAAAAGCGCGCTCATGAAGCATTTGCTTGCCCCCTGTGCGGCTAGCTAATTGGACGCGCTTAGCTGTGAAGAGACAAAGCTACGCCATGGCCTTTGGGTTGCGTCGGCCCTCAGTTGGATTAGTTTGCTGCCTGGAAACTGGAAACGAGCCGGAAACAAAGCAGATGGACAAAGAAAGCGAGAGTCTTCCGCGACTAATGGGTGCTAGTAAGGGTGCACTCTGGTGGCCGCATAAGCGTCCGCTTCCTAAAAGTCCTACGATTTGGAGCTGGAGAGCCAACAATTGGGAGTTAGCTGGTAGCACTTGGAATGCATCGGAACGAACATCGGACACATGTTGCGTCGGAATAATATATCGAGGGCAGGGAAATACAAAACTAACAAAGTAGAGGGGATGCAGTGCCATTAGCGACGTCCCGAGATGGCTGGTGCCTGTGTTACTTGGCCCATCGGACATCCGTTGGGTCGGACTTTACAATACGAAGTATGCAACCGCCAGGCCTTGTTTTGAATGGATGCTAACGCAAAATGTATGCATATTTATGCTTTGTTTGTTAGGGGTTGATATCCCGGCGCAGCAACGGACCAACGCACGGCATTCCCTTTTACCGTATTCCACTTAGTCGAAGTAGCTACTCCAGGGGGGAATCTCAGCTCATACGAGTGCTGCCTGTATTGCTCCAGTTTGATCAATATTTTCTTTGCCAGGGATGTAGAAACGATCTAGCTACTTAGCAGCCTCTGCCAAGGCGGAATCTCAATCCGGGGTACCATTCTACGAAAACAGTAAACTCGCTTCAACTTGGTTCGTCGATAGTGCATCGGAGCCCGCTCCGTACCCTCCTATTATAGGTACAGCTGTCCATCACTGGCCTACCCTACGACATGCTAACACACACCAAGAATGGCATTGGCAGCCTCCCGCGCACTAGATTCATATGAACTTGGCTCTTATGAAAGAAGAAAGACACTAAAGTTGGCTATGCGAAATTGGCTTTCTGTTTTTGCAGCATGAGCGGCTGGAGAATGTAGAAAAATCCGAGGTCCGTTCTTCTCCATACTCATGGGCTCGAGGTCTGCGCAGTGACATGATCTGCGATGGCTCATACTCTTTCTTGCCATAATATAAAAATTATAGGTCATCGACGAAGCAAGACGCGAGTTTTTCGTTGACAATGAAATCATCAATTGAGCCAACGACACAAGACACGCAACCCAAATTACAGGCAGGGAGAAACGCACAGTTGCCTCCCTACTGGTCCTTGTAAGTGCGAAGCCCACGTCAGCTCTAAGCACAAAACGGGTCCTTGCTCAGGTGAATCAAGATAAGAAAGCAATGGGTGGGAATGATACGGACAACGCGCAGCTAATCTGATGCACTTCGCTTCCAAACTGCCGGTAAGGCTGTTGTTATTGGCTATGTTGTGTTTTGACTACGGACTACTCCGTACTGCTGGTGGCGTTGGCCTAGAACTGACAGGAGCGGTTATCTTTCTCACTCCCCTATGTGTAGCTCGGCGATTGAATACCGGGAAATTCTTCTCCCGATCAAAGAGATGAAGGGAAATGCGCTATGTGTGTCTTGGACAGAAGACCCAACGGCTTGTTGCCAGATCGAGAGACGCTTGCCGTGCCCTTGGCTCGGTATATACAGAACAAAGCCGCATCCGATAATCCGCACAATCGCGATGAAATATCCAGCCCTACCGGATGTGGGGATTCCATTTGAATACCTAGCATCTTCATACTTGCACTTACACTCCTACTAACTCTGCAACAGGGCTTCAAACACTTACACGAGCAAGGGGGCAACTCTCATCGCCAGCCGCTGATGTGAGCCGGCAACCTTACGCCGTGATTCTGGGCATAAAGCTCAAAATGTGCACACCCATGCTGCTATTTGTGCTAGCATATCTATTGCCGCCAGGGCCACCGTCCGGCTTTGCAATGTTACATGCCGTGCGCCTTGAGTGTATGCTGGCCCCTGATACTGACAGGACATGCACATGCGCATCATCCTTGTGTCTCCTGCGTCTAACAGAACTCTGTGATAGTGAGTATGGAGTGCATACATACTACATCGCTAGTACATGCGCATCACATAATACTGGCGGGGGTGGGTAGCGGTGCTAAGTTAGCATTATCAGTTCTTGTGCATGGGGATGGGATGCTCAACACTCTTTGGCTCTGGAATGAACCTGGATTCTCATATCATCAATAATCTTCTCTGTCTTCTCTGATCAACGGATGATAATCTCATCTTCATGCGGTGGGATCCGCTCTCCCGCATATCGCTGCGAGCATGTGACCAATGCCTGAAGTGTTCCTGAGTGGCGATGGCCTCAAATTTGCCAATAACACAAATCCTGGCGTGACGATCCAACTATCAGCGTCAAGCTCGTGTTGGACGGTCCTGACAGCTTGGTCATGATTACACTAGCTCTCAAGAGTGCTGCCGCTAATGACTCTGATACGCTAAGATTATTAAAGATGGCGCCACAAAGCTGCTTGCCGCTCATTTCGTGAATGCGACTAGTCACTATTCACAGTCCGGAGTGACGGGAGCCAAAAAAAGGGTTACAGCTATCTCCACAGCTGCCATCGTCCACGCCCCTGCAGCCATTCCGATTGGCGTGCTCGCAAATGTCAACGGCTCTTAAAACTCAGGGCGGGCGAGTTCTAGAGCCGACTGGCGCTTTCACCAGCTGAGGCGTCTTACGACCGGCTTCATTCTTCATCGTGCTATTTACGATCAAGGAGCCTGCTACGGAAGCAAGGCAAGTTACGCGGCGCATCGCATCGCACTCAGATGCCAGTGGCTTTTGCCTTGAGACACTCGACAGACCCTGGGAAATCCCGTGAGCGTCTCCTCATGCAAGTATCTGCGAGGTCCCCTGGCTCACCGTGCTGGCCCAAGGTTCAATGCCCCGAGCGCCTTGCGCACACGCTCCTAGAATTTGCCTTGCCTTTGCTTGTTCTTACATGAATCGCTTCCCATGTCCCCTGATGCGCCCTATGAGGTTGAATGTGCCGTTTAACCCCTTCTTCTCTGGACCCTGCGGCGCTTGTTGACCCTACCTTGGGAGCATGATGGGATTAACGTTCACTAATTATAACCTGTTTTATGTGTCTGTGGGAACAAGGGGTGTGCATCCAAGAATTAGCATGCTGTTACCTGTATACTCCCTTGTCCTTGCCCATCACCGTCGACGTTACCTTCATCTTCTCTGGGTGGTATCTCGATCCAGAGCTGGACTAACAGAAAAGGTGGCTGCACGGAGTATGCATATTCGTATGCACATGTACCCACCCAGCCAGGGGTGCAAAGAGCACGGTGATGCATTGCGGAGGAAGCTATTTAAATCCGTTCTCTGATCGGCCAACTCCCATCCCAACGACTGCTACGGGAGCTATAATCCGGGCGCGGGTAAAACCACTCTACGAGCTGGCATGAATTTGATGTTTTAAGTCGACACCAGAACGCCTTGTGTGTGTAGGAGTCTCAGAAGGATGCCGTTCTAGACAGATTCATCAACTCTTCGGCAGCCTAACTGTACGGAGTAATTGTCGTGGGTCTTACTTGCTGTTGGTTGTTACAGACTCGCAGACTCAAGATTCCGCTGCAGCGCGCCATCTTTGTCACAACTCACAATGGCGATGGAGCAGGAGTCATCGGCAACCTTCTTCATAACTGACCCGATCGGGCCAAGACGTTGAAACGGCCATGTCTGACCCTGAAGCGGAACAGGCAGCAAGTTTCGAGGACGACCAACAGCCTAAAGACATTCAGCAATGGGGGGCGGGGGCGGCGAGCGAGGAGCGGTCCGAAGCCCGCATGTGCGGGTATCCGTGATATGTACGTATGGCGGCGAGACGAGTACAAGTACGGACCTTGCGCACGGATATGGGTATGGTTATGTGCAAGACGGGGGGTCATTTACGCATTTACGAGGCAGCGAGTCGTATCCCCTTGTGATTTGCGGACGGAGTGCGAATTACAGGTAGAGAGAGTAGCGAGAGTAAGCCCTTGGTCGGGCAATTGTCAGCATCTTGCTTTAAAGCCGACTCTGGACCCGAGAATTTGGTTCATCTGATGCCCTATGGTCCCCGGACTGTTCGCCGACGTTGACAAACTCTCAGGTGAATTCTTGTGAGATATTACAGGGCGTTCGCAGAAAGGTGCGCCTTTTCTTGTGTACGCGAGGCTTTAGGGGTGTAGCCCTGATGTCTTACTAGGACTAGTAGGCGTAGGCTCGAGAGCTCATTAAGATGAAAACAGACTGGCGTTTGGGTCGGGAGGATTCGAAGTGAATATCACGTCGTTTCCCTGAAGAGTAATACGTCGTCTGCGTGTTAGGCATACTGTAGAGCCCGTAGTCTAAGACATCCTACTACTACTAATAATACTAGCATGCGCTTTGATGTACAAGATTTGTTTCCAAGCGAGCTGGAAGCAGTACGAGTACAAAGTATCTCGTGGTGGCATTTAAAATGACGCCAAGGTGTGGGTTACGTGACTATGGGCTCATTTGGGGCTATTTGCTGAGCGGGCGCTGGATCGCAGCCGACAAACGATGAAGCCAATGACGGCCCGTCCAACTCAAGACAGTACATACACGGGCAGAGTGCTTCTCCATACGGTACGAGTAGGCTATCGGTAGTTGCCCGCCCCGTCTCGTCTGTAAAACCATTCTTTTAGGACACCAGTCCCCTTTTTTCGTCCTTGTTTACGGTCCGACGCCCGGTATGAGCCTATTTAGGGATGAGTTACGACAAGAATCAATGCAAAATTTGTCATGGCTAATCTACCGGCGCATTTTCGCAACAGGTGAAATAATGAGAGATGAGAGAAACGGACTGGGGCGCATGCCAACTTTCCAGAAAACCCCGTCAGAAGCTACACTACATGTACATGAACATAGATGGACAGAAAACGCCCCAAAACTGTTTATCGGCGATATGACAGGTGCTAGTCCAGTGGTCGGCGTGGAAACACTGACTCGCTAGGGGCGGGTAATGGGATTTAAAAGGTACTAGAGCAAACGGCCAAACGGTGTCGCCGCTGGGGCGTTTTCCATTGGTTCACGACTGGTCTTCATCAGGGAGCGTCGGTTTATTGGGCCGTCTCTGAAACTGAGGGTTCGCTCTGCGGATTTCCGCGTTTGTAGGGAGAAATCCAAGCCAGGTGCAGTACAAGTACAGTATTATTAGACAGACGGCAAGCAACAAGCGGAAATATGCCTTGCGAAGTAGATGTCGATGAATTTTCAACATCTCATCAAATTTATAGAGCCCACGCCCTTTCGCTTTCACCGCTTCGTCGTGTAGTATTGTCCACATCACGACCAAGCGGAGAAAAACTGGCTCTCTATCTGGCGACAAACGCTCATACCCAAATCACTGGACAGCAGAATCAGAGCTGTCTATCAACAGAGCCGCATCTTATTACCCCGTAGATAATGTATCGTAGCCCTACTGTACAGTCCCTTAACATCTACTGGCTCCTTGTGGCTCGGAGCTGGCTCCGTGGCCAACGGCTTTTGCGTGCGGCGTTCGTCCTCAGCCGCGCCAAACAAATTTGCAACACGCGCCTCCATGGTACCTTCGCAAACTAGTCGCCTCACATGCGCTGAATTCGTGGGGCGGATCCATGAATTCCGGACAGTACCCCTGGCTACGATCGCGGTTTCTCGCGACGCGAGCGTGTGGAGATGCCACGCCCTCTCATTGAAAACAAGCAAGCCAGTTTACCAAGCCGCAATATGATAGATCGCAGACAACTTTGACCGGGTAGCTGGTATAATGATCATATGACGGGGATGGGTAATAATGGAAAGACATACGATAGGGAAACCCCCATGTTGGATCTGCTGGAGTGAAAGGTGAGGTTGGAGTGTTCCTGTAAAATTTCCTGGAATATGAGAGACATAATGACTTTGACAATGGGCGAGAATCAATTTTTGCAAATTCGTCTGCTTTATATATCCTTAAGGCTGGAAAATTTCTGCTGATGTACCAACGCATTCTTGATCCAAGGATAGCGAGCTAAGTCACTACCATCTTGAGTGATTATCGTGATTCAGTGCGCCTGGGGGATTCGGTATGGAATTATTTCAATATCTCCAGGGCGTCCAATACCATGTTGTCAACTATATTTATCAAAGGAGTTTTCATAGTATTCTAACATTTAGCAGCAACAGGAGGCATGTATGAGTTTCCCCAATGGCATGTGGTGTAGTGTCATCGCAGAACCACTAGATATAGCGCTACCCTGGAAAGAGATCCTTGAAATAATAGAAAGATTTCATATTGACCAAAAAAAACGTCGAATGTGCTAACATAAATTGAAGAAATCTATTCGTGATAAAAAGAAAGTGACACAGAACTGGAGACGCAGCTGAGGTTAAGAGAATTGAACCCATCTCTAAGTCAATTATCAGGCCTTTGGCTGCGCTTCCACGTTGTAGAAGCAGTTCCTTCAACTGGCCCAGCTGGCAACTAGCTTCTCTTCTATAAATTCCGCCAGTGTATGCAGAGACTTTTGAGGACTGACAATGTCAAGGAATGGTACATCAATCTTGAAGGTATTGAAGAACCAGGTTCTGAATTCTGCCGCAAGCATGCTGTCGACGCCAAAGGATGGGAGAGGAGCACTATCATCTACTGCATCCAGCTGCATCAAAATCAAGTTACTGAAGCGCTTCTTAGTGAGGCGTAGGATAGCATCTAGCATCGTAGGCGCGCTGGCTTCGGGTATCAACATAGAGAGCGCATTGGCGGGGACGTCCTTGACCCATTCAGCGGCGGCGAGGAGCTGGCCAACATCTGCACCCTTTTCCTCTTCTTTAGCATCTTTCTCTGAGAGTAGAGATGCGGCAAGGATAGATGTGCGAGACTCATCCATCACGCCGTTGTTGACCTCGAATCCCTGAGCCATCAATTTGCGGACACCATAGGACTCCAGGCCGGTCAAGATGTGGGCGGATTCGCTGGTCATGGACACGCCACGGCCAAATTCGCTGTCGCTACCAGGACCAGATATACCATAATCTAATACTTGAAGGAACTCGTCCTCGTTGAGAGGCTGGATGCCCTTACGGAGGAGCATGGCCTCAATGTCGGGATTCTCATGCAGGTAACCAACCTCTGATATCATACCAAGGCCGACTGACACCGCAGGCTTGCCTTGAGAGCGGCGCCACCTGGCAAACGAATCAAGGAAACCATTGGCGGAACAGTAATTGCTCTCTGTAGCAGTACCGCAGCTACCAGAAATGGACGAAGTCAAGAGGAAGAAGTCAAGGTCAGCATCATGGCCTTCCAGAGCGTGATGCAAGTTCCAGGAACCTTTCCACTTGGGTTGGATACCAGTGTGCCATGCTTTATTAGTCATGACGGAGAAGAGAGCTTCACTGAGACCCATGGCCGCTTGAACAACACCGCCAATTGGGCCCTTCTTTGAACAAGCTGCGACAGCTTCACGAACCTGGTCTTCGTTAGACACATCTCCACGGACTACGGTGACACTGGCTCCGGCATCTCGGAGACGGTTCACTAGCTCAGCGGCACTGGGCTTATCGCATCCTGAACGTCCAAGGAAACAAAACTTGCGGGCACCGCGAGACATCATCCAGCGGCTGAGACTGCGGCCGAGACCACCAAGACAGCCGACGAGCAAGTAAGTCTTTTCAGGATGAAACACTGACTGGTAGGATGCCGGCACGACTTGGATGAGGCTCCTGGAATTCTCCATCGAAACAACAACTTTACCCACCCGATCCTTGTTGCCAAAGTATCGATACGCTTGACCAATCTCAGCAACATCAAAGGTTGCGATGGGAGAGGCCTTGATGATGCCGGCGCGATACATTTCAATCACTTCGGCGGTGTAGCCATACACGATATCTTGGTAGTAGCTGTCCTCAGCGTAGAAGAATTCGGACAGATCAAAGGCAGTAAAGGTAGCATTCTTCAAGAAGACGCGCATATCAAGCTTCCCTGCGTCAATGAGCTCGCGTTTGCCAATCTCCACAAAGCGACCAAATGGAGCAATGCAGGACCAAGAGGCGTGCATCAAGTCACCGACGAGGGAGTTGACGATGACGTTGACGCCCCGACCACCGGTGGCTGCCAGGATGTCTTCCATGAAAGAGGCGCTGCGCGAGTTGAAGATGTTTTCGGTTGGAACACCCATCTCTTTGATGAGGTACTCGCGCTTCGAGTGCGAACCGACAGTTGCAAAGACTGTAGCGCCCATATACTTGGCCATAGTGATGGCGGCGAGACCAAAGGCGCCAGCGCCAGAATGAATCAAGATGGACTCGCCAGCGCGAAGATGAGCTCGGTCACGGAGAGCAACCAGAGCAGTGCAATAAACAGTCAAGAGAGTAGGCAAAACGGTAAATTCTTCCTCTGGCAGCATCTTGTGGACGGCCTGCACAGTAACTCTTTCGGTTGTCCCGAAATGATTAGGAATAAAGCCAGCCACACGGTCTCCCACCTTGAGATGCTCGATACCTGGGCCAACAGCTGAGATAACACCTCCAAAGTCGAGCGCAGTTGTAGCCGATCGAGTTTCAGCCCGGCCATTGAGCGCGTAAACGTCTTTTGCATTGAGGCCAATGGCGCGGAGATCGACATCCACGAAGCCGGCAGGAGGCGTCGTCTTTCGCTCTGAGATTTGCTGGAAGTGAATGGTATCGGTCATCCCAACCTGACCGATAGATAACTTAGCTGGGCCAACCTCCCTAAGAGGGACCAGCTTCATAGAGTCTGGAGTCATGCGATGTCTGAATAAGGCATTGAGTTCGACGTCGGGGACGAAGCGGCTGATGTAAACAATGCCGTCCTTCTGGATGAATTCTTTGTCATCTGTGGCATGACGGAATACCAAAGATGCTGAGACGCTATTGCAGATGAGCTCCATAGAGTTAGGCTTGGAAATATCAGCTCCGACATCCAAAATAGCGTATCGTAGAGCTGGCTGCTCCAGCATCAGTGCTCGCGAGAGACCACTAGACAAGGTGAGGTCGGGATTGGGAGTAGATAGCATGTTTGCTCCCGTCAGCCACAAAAGGTCGCCCACGTTGTCTGTGATTTTGCGGAAGCGGTCCATGTCCTCGCTGTTAATAGTTGCAAGAAACTCATGCTCCATTTCCAGTAGTGATACGCAAACAACTTGGGAGTTGAGATTCACGGTCTCGATGCTGTCAATTGTTACCGTTCTTAACTGCACAACACCGGCATTCTTTAGATGAGTCGCCACAGCGGTTGCGAGGGAGTTGATGGATGGAGAAGCCTCGTTAGGCTTGACGATGACCACTTCCTTATTTTCCAAGCCTGTTTGCTTGGGGCTACGCACGGCTACGAGAGTCTCATTAGGGAGCTCTAGAACCACAAATCCGCTAGTCTTGAGAGCAGAAACGACATCCTTACTCCTACGAGTAATGATGATACCATCGTCGGAAATCAGAGAGATAATCGCATCTGCGGCTTCAGCCCAAATCTTATTCGAAACAGAAAGATGAGGAATGAGCACAACATCGTAGGAATCGGAATTTTTGGCGTTGTCCACGATAATCTTGCTGTTATCTCCAAGCTTCCCATCGTTCCACAATCGGAACCGCGGGAACGCAGTACCTTTGCCTAGAATTGACTGGCAATCCTTGGGAGTCCACTGACTCTCTTGTCCCAGTTCCAACACACTCATACGAGGAACCTTGTGGCCAAAGAGATCGAGTAGAGCTGCGAATACAACAAGGGCGCCGTTATCCTTCAGGTCGTCTGACTGCTGAGCCGCAAACGAGGCAATGTACTCTCGAATGGCACCGTCAGAACCTGGACGGAGTCGTAATACATCCGGTTTCCATTGCACTCGAAGACATGGCTGACGTTGGAGATAGATGCTAGTCTCCGGTTCAACCGGGGCCTTTCCAGTATATTCATTCATTCGCAGGTGAGGCATGTCGATGACTGGCGTACCGTCTGGCAGCCGCAGAGTGAAAGAAACAGCCCGAGTCGAAAAGCCCGTCTTTTCCATGCGTGAATGAATCCTGACTTCTTCCTCGCCCAGGCTGGCAGAACCTCCCCGGGGAATTTGAATCGAACAGCTTGAAACAAAGACTGGAACGTAAGCTCGCAGCGTGTTGATGTTACCAGCCGTACCGCCCATGATAGTTGCCTGAAAGCAAGCATCAATGGTGATAGGATGTACGGCATAGAACATGCCAGTGGCGGCTGCAGAAGGCGGGTCTAGCAGTGTAGTTGCGATAGAATCTGTCGATGTCCGGTTGCCGTCAGTATGGAGACTCGTCAACGACTGGAACGTCGGTCCAAAATTGAGTCCCTCTTCCTTTGCTTTGGCGTACCAGCGGCTCATACCCCAGACTTCATGACCATTACCCGAAATCATGACTGACCCATCCTTGGGCTTCAAAGTTGACTCCATCACTCGAATGCTACCCATGCAGTGCAACGTGGCAATTCCAGATACCCAAGACGAGATAGAGAACTCATGCCAGTTACCGGATATGTTTGCGGTAGAAATTTTGCGGGGAGACATCAGTGTGTGAAGCTCAGTCTTGTCCGCCTCGGCATCGTTCTCATCAGGCACAACAAATGCTGCGCTAATGTTTACATTCTCAAACTCAAAAGAGAACGGCTCTCCTGCAATTAGTTTGCCTTTAATCTCATGAACCTGTGAAAAGGCTTCGATAGCCATCGCCATATATGCTGCGCCAGGTAGGACAACCTGCGATTCTCCCAGCTTGTGATCGCGCAGCCATGGCATCTCGGACATTCGTGGGATGTTGCGCCAGCACCATTCAATGCCATTGCCAGCAGTGGCTCGCGTGCCAAGGAGCTCGTGACGGACATGCTTTCGAAGACGGTGCTCAACGCTGGCTCGAGGCTCATGCCATGGCAGCGGCTTGGAGTAATCCCAAGGATAAGAGGCGAGAGGTGGAGTTGGCAGCGCGTGATAACGCGGGACATTGTTGACGGCATACCAATCCAGGCTGTGGCCATAGGAGAAGAGAGTACCTGCCAGCTTCTTCAAGCAGACGTAAGAATTCTCTTTTCTGACGAGTGTGGGAGAATAGGGGACACCTTCCTTGTCGCGCTTCGCGCTGGTTCGTATCTGCTGAATAGGCCCTTTAAGAGCTGAATGAGGCCCGATTTCGATCAAGTGATACTTGTTACTAGTTATCATATTGGCCAATCCCGCACTGAATTGAACTGGCTGCTCAAGGTTCTTCCGGAAATACGATGCCATTTCTGTAGAGAGATCAACGGTGCCAAGGGCATCAATTGAGTGACCAACTGTTGAGAACATCTTGACTTCCATTTCAGCGACCTTCTTGACGGTGATATACGGAGTAACTAGCGACTCGTACAAGTCACCAATCTCAGCCATCATGTGAGAGTGGTAAGCACGGCCACCAGTCTCAAGCTTGCGAGCAAATTTTTTCTCCTTCTGCAGCTTAGCTTGGAGGGAGTCAATATCCTTGACAGCGCCGCTCAAGGTAACACTCTCAGGAGCATTCACACAGGCAACTCGAACTTCCTTGAGTCCAAGCTGCTCAATCAACGCAATAGCCCCATCCGGGGTAATTCCTACAGCCATCATGGCTCCGCGAGACTGAAGCTGGCCCACAGCAAAGCCTCGGAAATAGGCTGCCAGGATGGCCTCAGACGCAGTAAGCAAGCCGGATCCGTATGCTGCAGCAATCTCGCCAGAAGAGTGACCAATGACAGCCGATGGACTAACCCCCCAACTTTGCAACATATTAACGAGAGAAACCTGGACGGCGGTGCAAATTGGCTGGCTACGGGTAACATCGTTGATCTTGCTCGTAGCAGGTTTATCGAGAATCGTTTGCTCCAAAGTCCAAGATGGCTTGTACTCAGCGGGCAAAGATTGCAAGACCTCGTCAAGATCCCGAATACTGGTTAGGAAACCAAAATCTTGCTCCACCAGTTCTTTGGCCATGTTTGCATATTGTGCACCCTGACCAGTAAAGACAAAGGCAAATGGAAGAGGTTGTGTGCCTGGGCTTGCCTTGTCACCGACATCAGTCATATCGATCAACGATGGCTGAGAGTTGGAGCTTGCGGAAGCAAGCACATAGTCTCGTAGGCGCATTTTGGTCTGTCGTTTGCTCATGGCAGCAGCAAGTGGCTTCAAAGCGCTTGCCTCAGTCTTTTCCACTGTCTCAATAGCCTGCTTGCGGCGAGCCTCCAACGATTTGCCTGATGAGGCGGAGAATGGGATTACGACAACATAGTCCTTTTCTGATTCATAGGGATTTGATAGGGCCCTCGTAATTGGAGAGGAGACCAGAGAGCCGACGAAATAACTATCAATGGACTCAAGGATAACGTGGCCGTTCGCACCACCATAGCCGAAGGAATTGACACCAGCACGTCGAAGTGCCCTGGGCCATGCCTCAACTTCGGTCAATACCTTCATGTTGCGCTCCTTCAGTTTCACTTGGAGCCGTTAGTAACTTGATCTCAATTGGCACATATAAAATGACAAAGACAAGGAAAGGCGGCTTACACTTGGGATTCAGGTTCTTTACACCGTAGGTAGGTGGAATCATGCCGTGCTCAAAAGCAAGGGCTACTTTGATGATGGATGTCAACCCGCTGGCGGCTTCGCTATGGCCCATGTTTGTTTTGACCTTGAATGAGAGCTCAGTCAGAATATGGGAAGATAGTGGTTTGAGTAGAGAATACGCACCGATCCGATTCTTAGTGGCTCACCCTCGCGGCCCGCGAAACAGGCCGCGATGCCATCGACTTCTATAGGATCACCAACCGGAGTACCAGTGCCATGGCACTCGACATAATCCGTATCAGCAAAAGAAAGGCCCGCGTTCTGGTATGCCTTTCTAATGACCGCTGCCTGCATCTTGGCATCCGGGAGGGTAATACCAGGAGTTTTGCCGTTGCTTCGTCGCGTTGTTAGCCTAGGCAGCTTTTCTCCACGGAACAGAATGGAGGGACCTACGCATTTATGGCCGTTCCGCGAATAACTGCATGTATCTTGCGGTCACTTTTCATCGCAGATGACAGTCGTGTAATGTAGATGGCATTGAGGGCCTCTGCACGCGCATAACCATCCGCTGATGTATCAAATGTGTGACAAGCCGAAGTTGGCGAAAGAAAGCCGCCCTTTGCCGTTCCGAAATGTTGCTCGGGAGATGTAATCAGATTAGCGCCTGCGACAATTGCAGCGTCGCAATCACCATTCTTGATAGCATTCACAGCCTGGTGGAGAGCGTAGATGGTGGAAGAACAAGCGGTGTCAAGAGTGAAACTAGATAATCAGACTCGAACGAAAAATCAGGTGTCAAGATGGGCATGGAATGGGTTGAATTTACCTTGGGCCATGGAGATTAAAGACGTGGCTAATACGGTTCGACATGATCGAGGTACCACCACCTGTGGCGGCTAACCGGTGAACATAATCTGTATCACGGGATTGCATTACCGAGTAGTCCACTGTAAAGTTGCCAACAAAGACTGCTGTATTGGAGCCAGACACATCTTCCATAGATAGACCGGCGTTCTCAAAGCACTCATAGACCACCTCAAGCAGCTTTCGCTGTTGAGGGTCCATGTAAGAAGCCTCGAGGTTGTTGATGCCAAAGAATGAAGGGTCAAACTTGCGAACATCTTCTTGAATAAAATATCCACCATCGACACTCATAACACCGGCTCTGCTTCCGTCCTTATGGTAGAAACCCTCAATGTTATACCGATCCAGCGGCACAGTGCATTGTGCAGATTTCTTGTTGTAAACATAATCCCAAAGCCCTGATGGCGAGGTAATTCCACCCGGGAGATGGCAAGCTAAATGCAGAGCGTCCATATTAGGAGACGTTTCGAAAATAAAGGAGCTGTGTAAGACTGACCCATGCCAACAATACACACCGTATTATCTTCAACGGTAAAATCACTAGAGGGCCCGGAAGTTTCCTGTATGTCATCATTCAAGTAGGACGTCTCTGTAACAACAATGGCCTCTTTGGAATGATTGCGGAGCAACGACTCCGAGTCGGAAGAAATATCCAAAGCAGGTTCAAGAGTGAACATGATGAATAGAATGTGATATGATGGTGTTTGGGATCTATGGTGATGGCTCAGAAAGAGGGCGCAAACAGGCGTGACTGCGGTTTGATCTGGAGATCCAATGCCCGCGAGAGATGAAGTCTTATTAAATATTTTCAACTGTGTTGTGTACAGAAGTTATAATTATGTACTGATACTGCAGACGCACACATTTCACCCAGAGGCATAGAAAGGAGGGGCACACTCCGCTCACCCCTTCGTTTCTCCAACGCCCCGAGATTCGCAAACTCTGAGAGCGTCATAACAAGGAGATAATTCAAAGGGAAGTTGCCGAGATCCTACCAACCAACAACCATACTAAAAGTTAGCATGGCTCATCTCAAGTGACAAGTCAACCACTGTGTAAGCTGTTGTCTCTATGGGATGTGCTAACATCATACACCAAGCGATAATGATTCTGGATAGTCCAGAGTCTAGACTCCCTTCGCCCACGAGGTTAGATACTCCATTATGAGCAAATGAACAAGGCTGGTAAGCGCTAAGGGGAAAAACGCCCAAAGGACGCAGTGTTGACCAAATAATACGTATGAATGGCGGGAGTCTTCATCCGTAAGGCAGTCGAAGGAATTAGTTTGTAGTAAGGCGCCCAAACTCAGCTAACGGCCCTCGCTTTGGGGTTGTTCAAATAGGGTAATGACATATGCCGATTCCGAAAGCCATCGATAACAATATGCCTCAGGACTTGTACCTGTATTGTGGATCTTTGTGTCTCCTTCGCCGATAAATGCTCTGAATTCGTAGGTAACGCATGTCTCACACGTGTTGTGTGACCACGAACTCGGTACAGAAATGTTCAGGTTGAGCTAAGATGAAGGCAGACACCCTCTATGCAGCAGGGATTTCGGCGAAATGAGTATACTGTTTTGCGTACTTCGGCCCTAGGACTCGTTCTGCCACTCATCAGCCCTCGGCATACACAATTTGAATACGCCGGAATATTCTTCTTGCTTAGTTGATTTGGAGCGTCCATCTTCCTTCTTAAGCTCGGACCGGCGGCGATATCCCACCATGGCATACGTACAAATTAAATGCCGTCGAAGATACAGGCTCAATAAGTGGCAAGGCCGAAATAAATCTCGTGAGACAATGTAATTCTCTGGGTTTTGGAGTTAATATTTACGTCTTGTAGTTCAAACTTTAACATGCATCCAAGTGCTATCAAGATAAAAATAGGTAGCCAAGATAACGAATACATTGTTAGCAACGCCTGCCTACAGTATTAATGCTTCTAGAAACCATGAACTTAAATCAGGATGTAATCGTAGTGTATTCCTTAATTGAAGCTGCTGAGAAGATTAGGTTGATAGAATCACGACCCTGCATACATGTATATGGATCCACGGGTATATACGGTCTTGGTTCGGCCGTTTCCAATGTAAAGAAATACTATATCTTAATCCCATCTACCGTTGCCTTTCATTCCAACTCCCGTGTCCACTCCTCCGGTTTCCCAGTCCTCTCTAATCATAATTGAACCCTTTCTCTTGTTGAGCTATGGACATTAATGGAAACGCGTTCGTCGTTGGGAGCGGTAAGCGCAATCCTCATGCCACAGCCGTACCAGACTCTTCAATAAAAAAAAAAAAGCTAACTATTTCAAGGAAGCGGCATAGGAAGAGCGTGCGCCCTCGGCCTAGCCAAGGGCGGTGCTAAGGGCATCCTTATCGCGGACATTAACCTTGAAGCCGCAAATCGCGTTGCCACCGAATGCAGAGGTGTAGCAACTGCTACCAATTTCCGGGTTGAGTCGTTCCAAGTCGATGTCTCGCAGGAAGAGTCCGTGGAAAAGGCAACCAAATACATGATTGAGATCTTTGAGAGAATCGACTACTGCATCAACTGCGCCGGTGTAAGTAGCGCCCTACTTCTTTGCTATGTCGAAGTGAGTAAGCTTCATTGTTCCATGGATCTAATGTGATGGGCCTGTCTTCATGCAGATCGGAGTTCAATTAGCACGGAACATATCGGAGGCAGACTTTGGCGAGTTCAGCCGCTTCCTCCAGATTCACGTAGAGGGGACATTTTTGCTAGTCCGGAGCGTCTCGGCCGCAATGCAACTTCAAGAACTCAGGCCAATTGATCCTACAAACCCGGGCCGAGGAGGGGCTCGCGGCTCAATCGTGACTCTGGGTTCCGGAAACTCGTTTGCTGCAGCTCCTCACTTGGTGCAATATACCGCTGCTAAACATGCGGTGCTTGGTGTGACCAAGAATGCCGGTATGTAACATTCGGCCCCTGGCGGGAATTGCCTCATTTGGAAGCATCTTAATACTGACGTGGGGTTTGTGCAAATCCTTCAGCCCTCGATAATGCGGCGCATGGGATCAGAGTCAATTGTGTCTGCCCCACGTGGGTGGAGACTCCCATGATCCAAAGTGCGCGAGACGGAGGTGTGGAAATAGACAGTTGGGTCAAGGGAATGGTTCCTTTGGGTCGCATCGCTACTGCGGAGGAGGTGGCGGATACGGTGATCTTCTTCTGCAGTCCGAGATCTAGCTATGCAACGGGATGCGGATTCCTCCTCGATGGAGGGACCACGCTTACTTGTCACGTCTAAGGGGGGTGGGGATTCATGCAATGTTCGACTCTTGGCTTGTTTTGCAATAAATCCGGTTGGTCGAGAATCCTAGCACCCGCTCGACCAGAGGGCCTCAGCCTCAGCCTCATCCTTTAGCCTCATGCAAGTCGATGAAAGTAGATCGAGATAATGTAATGAATGGGCCCTGTCCAGCAAGGGATTCTATGCTTGCAAAGTAACGGCCCGATCCCGATTTTACTGCAGACCGAGCCGTTGAATGTCACCAATGCGTTATGGGGGTGGAGCACCATCCTTGTGTCTACGCCCAAACAGAGGCATGGCTTGATTGTTTAGTTGTTGGTGGGATTCAAGACTCCTCGCGTGGGAGCTCTTTGGCAGCAATATGGCTATTTAATTAGCCTCACTTTACTCTGGTTTATGAACAGAAGTGTTGACAGTCATCTTTCATTTCCGCATTAGCAAACTCTCTGAACCAAAACAATTCACTTCACAGGTATCCATGGCGGACCAACAGCAGAACCCGCAGGAGTCTGAGCTTCTACTCACAAGTGCTGGCTATGTTAGCACTTTCCCGGCTCCCGGCCTTCGCCGCACTGTCCGACACATCACCGGCCACAATGCTGAGGGCAAAGGCGTCTTCATCCAGACTGATTGCGGTGATCACCACCGTATCATTGGCAATGAGCAGGCTCTTGCCAACATCATCTACTCAACCAAAGAGACTCCTGTCGAAATGAACGGTGATGTTGACCTCAAGTATGCTAAAGAGAATGAAGTAAGTATTGTCGCGATATTGTATCATTGTTGGTCAGCGAACTGACTTCCCGCAGCCTCCTTTGCACATTCACAACGGCTCTGTATGCCGCATGATTGACTTTGCTCCGAATGTTATTTCTCCCATGCACCGCGCTGTCTCACTGGACTATGGCATCGTTATTGAGGGCGAATTCAAATTGATCCTAGACTCGGGTGAGTCGCGAATCATGCGTCAAGGTGATGTAAGCGTCCAGCGTGCCAGTGCTCATCAGTGGCATAACATCACTGGTAACGGTACTTTGCCCGGCCGCATGATGTGGGTGTTGCTCGACTGCAAGCCCATTGTGATCAATGGTCAGGAGCTCAAGGAGGAGCTGAATGAGCTCCAACCATACTATGAGAATCGATAAATGTATTTGAACGATGTTTGTCGGGTGCTTAGAGTATGGGCTCATGTCTGGTATGGGCTCATGTCTGTTGCCGAGTATTTTTCTATAGATATTGACTTCATGGAATGCTCTCAATAAGTAAAACCTTAGGTTACAAGATGACTTGCATATTACGCATAATTGTGCACATCTTTAAGCAGAATTGTCATCCATTGCATACTTGACAACTTTGAGTTTGACCTCATATTAACGATGTCTATAATGCACGGTGAATTTCTAATTGTCGGCCACACATTGTACCTTGACTGGTTAAATGAGTGCATGAATTAGTATAATTGTTGGTAAATCTCAAGTTAGTAAACTTTTCTCGTCGGATCGCGACTTAAAGAAATGCTAGCTGCGCAGGGAATGCAAAGGTTCTCTGGGACAACCTTCAAGTGGGCAGTTTCGATTTTGAATTGTGTAATCACAAAATAGTGTAATCGAATGATTAAAATGTATTGTCGTTGTTTATAATACAGCAAGCCTGGATAAAACGAAGAGCTCATAGATCTATTCAAGTAGATGTATTACAACAAGGCAAAGCAGCCGCTACATATCCTTCTTGAGATTTGCAAGATAGGCATCCTTCACCTTTCCCAAGTTAAACTCACGATAGAAGAAGAAGTCCTGAATTTTCACTATCAGTTTTTTGCAATTCGTCTAGAGCAATGCCCAATCTTTGAGATTTACATACCCATATAGTGCGCCATGCGAACATGTCCAGAAATCTAATGATGCCAGTAGCACTCCCAGTCCAGAACCATGCGGCTGGGGACGACTTTAGACTCTGAGCTACGACATTTTCTGCATATTCAAACCGACTTGTTGTCTCTAGGAACCTGTCTCAGCGCACCCGTTGTTCAAAATAGGAGTTGGACTGAAACACTTACTCGGTGTCCTTTGAACATGATCTCTGAACTCAACTGCGAGAGGTGAATAGTATGACCCTTTACATTATTAGCCTATTATTGGAAGGCATCTCAGTGGAATAATATCACTATACCTTCAGGCAAGTTTCTGTGGACGTCATTTTTAAGAATGTTCGTTCCAACTTCCCCAGAGATGACCTACGGTGCTCATCCAGTCAGCCTAGAGCAACATCTATTGCAACCAACAGGATCAAACTGACGGTAAGCACTTTAACACTATGATAGCCGGAAAATCAGCACTCAAATTCATGTGCTTCTTGGGAGAGCGTTCTCACTTGAATGGTGACATCTCAAGACGTAAGGTATTAGAGTAATGGTGAAGAGCGGCCTTGGATGCGTTATAAGATGCTTCAAATGGTTAACGTATCATCCGTTTGAGCATTTCAAGATATTGACATACCTCCGTACATGTACGGCACAACGCCGCCGATGGATCCAATGTTAACAATGGTTCCAGTGGCCTGAATGAGCATATCATGAAAGTGATGCACCATACGCATTGGGCCAAATACATTGACATCAAACATTCGTTTTACCGCACTTACGTCGGTGTCGATGGCAGTCATTGTGTAACCTACAGTACGTAAATAGTTAATACGAGCATAACTTTCTCTATTATGAATTATGGGTCATCATACATATTCCACTAATCAGTATTAGATTAGATGACTGTGAGAATGGCAGACGATACTGGATGAATTACACTTACGCGTTATTTACCAGAAAATCCAGATAGCCATCAGTGACTGAAGCTATGCTCTTCTTGAGATCGACCACAGACTGTTCATCAGTCACATCGAGCGGAAACCAGGTAATTCCAGCCGCCGTAAGATGATCACTGTTCTCAGTGGGAAGCACAGTGGCAATGGCGTAGATACCTCGGCGAGTGTACTCCAGAATGAGGGCCTCACCAATTCCTCCCTTACCGCACCTATTCAGAGACTTAGGGGAGAATATCTGAGGGAAGGGAGGTGGAGCGCTTACCCTGTAACCAGAGCGAATTTTTGATCTCGAGTCATCGCTTAGAAATGGATGTTGATTGGCCGAATGTGTAAAATTATCACACAAAAATTATTGATTAACCAAGAGTCGAATCGGATAAATTAGAGGTTGAACGTAGATGCATCGTTAAATTGTTGGTTAAGTAAGCTCTCATGTATGGATGATATAATACCCGAACACTACCTATGAAGCTGACTTCTATTAACAAGCCCGCGCGTACTACTAATTCTGGACACTCCCGACAACACATCGCTGCAGGATTTACAGGTTCTTTTTTTTTTTTTTTTTTTTTTTTTTTTTTTTTTTTTTTTTTTTCTTTTTTTCCATTTCTCAGATATATTTCCCTGCTCAAATTCCTGAGTGGCTGGGATGGATGGCGAGAGCAAATAATCCCGGTAATGCGCTCTGTGTCACGTCAGAAATAAGCAGATCCGTTCATCCATACTGGTTCCGGGCCGAAAAGTTTACAGCTAGCTTGAAGTTTTCGTAAGGTCATACCGTGGAGGATTTTCCGAGAGGAGTATTAACTCTACCTCTTGGAGTTGCCTGCACTCGGAATTCCATACTGGTGAATACTTTCTCTCCTGACCTTGCGATTGGAGTATAGTGGAATACGATATTTGGCTTCCATGGGAGCACCAGTGTTCCGCTGTCCCGGACGTCCTTCTTCGAGAACGTACACTAGAGCCAATGAAATGAATATTCCTCATAGTCCAGCATGATAATAGCCTATGGGGAAGAGTTATACACCCACGAAGAATGGTTAGAATCCTGGGCTGGTTAATATGGGGTCACAATCCCCACACTGAGGGATCGAATTTACGTGGCTGTTGAGCGTGATGTGCTATTCAATCCCATCATTCGAGAAAAATATCGCGCTTTAATACAAAATTCTTTCTTTTAACTTCTCTTATCACGCCTTGATACTATTACCTCACCTGAACTATACCCGAAGATCAGACCATAATCCGCTTCTGAGAAAAGGTGGTATTCATTCCTGTAACTCCCCTTCCAAGTCCTCGATACAATGGGATTGGTGGTGATAAAGATGCCAAAGCCTTGGGTAGTATTCGGACTGGGGACATTGGTGCTTTTCCTCTGGCGGCTCAACAAGATTGGGCGACGACCAAAAAACTACCCTCCTGGGCCCCCAACGTTACCGTTAATCGGTAACCTTCATCTGATGCCAAAGAAAAATGCCCACTTACAGTTTCAAAGATGGGCAGAAGAATATGGGCCGGTATATTCGCTCATGCTGGGAACCAAAGTAGCCATCGTCTTGTCATCAGATGTTGCTGTCAAAGATCTTTTAGACAAACGTAGTTCAATCTACTCAGGTAGGCCGGAGCTGTATATGGGCCAAGAGATTATGAGCGGCGGCAATCGTCCTTTGTTCATGGTAAGCTTTTTATACTGGGTATTATCTACTTGGTGGCAAGTAGATGATTTGCTTCATTTTCGTCCTAGCCGTAAATTTAATTGCAATAAAAATATTAGCTAACATGAAGATAGGGTATCAATTCTGTGTGGCGCAGGGTACGAAAGCTTGCACACGGCCTTCTCAACGTAAAGGTCTCTCGAACCTATGTTCCATATCAGGATCTTGAGTCTAGAGACATGCTGATGGGCCTTCTCGAAAGCCCAAAAGATTTCTTGAACCATATCCGTCGTTATACCACATCGCTAACCACACAGATGGCTTTCGGGTACCGCACTCCATCAAGCGATGACAAAGGTTTACTAGAAATGTTCGAAGTATGTGAGCAATGATGCAGCAACATGATTCCAATAAAGACATAGGCTGATGGGAGTACACAGAATTTTGATGAGCTTTCCAGGTTGACTGGTAGTCAGGTAGGCAGCTACATTGCCGTCTTAATTCCCTGATTGACTTATTTGTCTTTTTTTATAGTCCGCCGCTATTCTCGATTTATATCCTATTGCTAGAATTTTACCTGATTTTCTCCTTCCGGCTCGGCGGTTGGGAAGAGAGTACTATGAGAGAGAGAAAAAGTTGTTCATGAAGCACTTTTTGAACGCCCGCCAGCAGTTGAATAGCGGAACATCAAAAGTAAGACACCTAAATCTACTGGAGAACAGGTTACAGAGCTAACAATAGGGATAGCCATGCTGTGCAATTGATCTTCTTCGGGCGCAAAAAGAATACGGGTTCTCCGATGAGTTTGGCTGCTACTTAAGTGGCTCTCTCCTCCAGGCTGGCTCTGAAACGACGGCTATCATATTGACCGGCTTCTTCCAAGCGATGCTAGTCTTTCCTGAGGTTTCTAAAGAAGCCCAAGAGGAAATCGATCGTGTGTGTGGAGATCGTTTGCCTGATCTAAATGATTATCCAAATTTACCTTATATCCGCGCTTGTTTGAAGGAAAGCTTGCGCTGGATGCCTGCTACTGCCCTGGGCGTACCACATGCTGTGATCCAAGATGATTCGTATCTTGGTTATCATATTCCTAAAGATGCTGGATTGATACTCAATGTCTGGTGAGTCTAGTAGCTCTTTTTTCTTCCAAAGGCTATGTTGTGGTTGATATCGTGTTTGCTGATGGGTAATAGGGCCATTCATAATGATTCAAAGCGACATCCCGACCCACGAAGATATAACCCTGCCCGTTGGGCGGGTGATAACCAAAACTCTGCCCAAGCAGCAGTCAACCCTGACCCCACCAAGCGTGATCACTTTGTTTTTGGGGCCGGTCGAAGATTGTGCCAAGGAATGCATATTGCCGACCGATCACTCTTTTTGGCTATATCTCGTACGCTCTGGGCATTTGATTTGAAGCGACCGGTGGATAAGGAAACAGGACATGAGATTATCCCAGATGTTGATAACATCAAGGATGGTCTCTTTATATCCCCTATGCCTTTTGCAGCCGATATTGTTCCTAGAAGCGAAAGCCGGGCTGCAGCAGTCAGGCAAGAATGGGAGAATGTGGCTGGATTGCTTGATGATGACATGCAGTGGAAGACCGTCCCGGAAGGTCTCAAATGGAAAGATTATGAGCCTCTGGATGACGAGAATGAAGATTTGCTGGAGTCTCTTTCCTAACTCTGAATGGGCAAACTATTCATATTTAATATTTCAACTGACTATTACTAAATGGAAAATGCAAGAGACAGGCTTTCATTCTGTACTCGCACAAATTGAAGAGTATTACAGACAGATAGATCGGGTTTAATACTGAGCGTTGAGATCCAGCCTTTTGGAGTGCCCAGAGCAGCCATGAGCGTCATATCAACTGATAGTTGATAGATTAACAGGGCAAGACAACGCAGGTTCACTATCAGGATGCAACTTTGATCAATACAGAAATGAGCAACTGGTCTAGAACTGGCTTCACTATTCTAGACACGTATCGTAAGAACCACCTAAACCAAAACCAATCTACCTTACAAAAATGTCTAAAAGATCAACAAATCTAGCACTGCTCTTCCTTAAAGATCATATCTAAGTCGCCATCATGGGAAATTATTTAAGGATAATGCGTGGGGAGAGGGTGGTTGTAAGCAAAGAGATTGGATGGGTCATATTTCTTCTTCAACTGGGCTAGGCGAGGCAACTTCCGCCTGCCATAAATGTTCTCAATGGATTCATCTCCGTGGGCATAATTGACGAAAATAGCCTTCTCAGAGTATCCAGATGTGGTAGCGAACTGGTTGCGCAGTTCCTTCCCGAGTTTGTTGGAGGCTTGCGCAGTGGCATCATCTCCAGCTGTCCAGGCAAAATTGATTTGACTAATTGCTGTTAGTCTGGATATAAGCGTGAATGAGAGCTATGACGAGAAAGAGAAGAGGTCTCCATGAGCCACTTACATGAAGCCCTTGAAATCTCTCCATGGGAATGCGGTTGAGGCATCGGGTATTGCAGCGACAGCCTGATTAGGAAAATTCTCAAAGACAAGCGTCGTGTCACGCCCACCAGGATGATCATAGAAGTATTTTTCAATCTTCTCAAAGCCCGCCTGGTAACCGTCAGCAGAGTAAATCTTCTGATTTAGGCTGAAAAGAGAACGCGGCTGATTGGGTTGACAGATAAACTCATCAAAACCTGCGGACGAGATTATTTCACTCCATCGAACAATTCGGGTAGATGAAGTAGCATTGAGATTGAAAACCGGCGCCAGCTCTTTCCGAGCCTCCTTTTCAGGCCCGTAGTAGACCCAATTGCCACCTAATTGAACCTGACGATATAATCAGTCTTCAGCTTCTGAATTGTAGACATGTGTACAGTACGACTTACAGAGCTGGTAGTCCTGTTCCAGCTGGCTACCATTATCTGGGCCAAATTGGCAGACATATTGCTGTAATTGGCCTCAACTATGTCGAAATATTCCCGGCTTCTCTCCACTGGGAGATAGAAATCGGCGATGAAAACGTTTCCATTGTTGACCAATGGATGAACCTTGTACGTAGCGGATGTGATGACCCCAAAGTTCGCCCCAGCACCCAGGATTCCCCACCACAGATCAGGGTGCGAAGTTGCTGAAACTCTCATCACCTTTCCACCGGCACCAACCATACGGACAGACTGGAGAGCGTCCATCAATAGACCGTATTTTCCCTGTACGAATTGGAAACACATTAATACGAAAGCACAGCCTGGTCACCGTCGCACAGCGAAATGAAAAGACATTGTCATACCATTAATCTCCCAATTCCGCCCCCGATGGTGACGCCAATCATGGAGGGACAAGAACAACTGCCTGTTTCTGTTCGATCATTAGTGGCTATTGTCAAGAACATCCATGGGGAGGCCGATATCGCTTACGAATGTAGAATCCAGCTTTGAAGAGAGGGTCGAAGATTTCGGCAAACGTAACACCGGGGCCTACTGTCAGAGTCTGGGCCTTTTTGTCAATTTTGAGCGTCTTCCACTGGCTCAGATCCAGAGAGAGGCCATGCTGGAAGGCCCCAAGACTGGCTGAGTAACCGTGTCCAGCCCCCCGTGTCAAGAAGGGAAATCTTTTAGTCCTAGCAAGGTTGATCTATATCCGCAATCAGCAGCTATGCATCATTGGGTTTTGGAACAAGCTGAACTTACTACTTTGCCAATATCTTCTTCTGTCCCAGGTCTAATAGCAGCGATATAAGTAGGTGGATCGGCGATGGTCCAGCGCTCTGTAGAGGCATTGAAAGCAGGTGAATTTGGGAATGAAACAGTTGTATTGAGTGACCATTTACGAATTGGGTCGATTAGTAGAGGTTTGAGGTCAAATTTAGGTTCATCACTATAACCCTGAGGGAGAGCGACAGTATTCCCCAGCACACAGAAAAACGCAACAATTGACAAAACCCTGAGCCTTGTCATTGCGGCCTGAGATACAAAGAAATGGACGATAATATAATAAAGTTGATCTGTTCTCGATGGAATGTATGCAGCTTAGGCTGCTTGTACTCAGTATTTATTACATTATATTTATCTTGAGACTGCCATAAACTTCAAAGCTGAAAATTACAGCCATGGGTCATTGTGCTGAAAGCCCCCCTTCTACCAAAATAGAAATAGTAGGAATCATCATGGGCCATCTCGTATCCTGGTTGTATCCAACATGATCAAAGCCTTCAGTGTCTTTAATCACAATCGCTGTACTTGAATGAGGCGGAGTGGTCACAAGAATGAATGCGCCCTGCCGGCTCTCTTGCGAGATCCTACGTCTTCATTGTTAATATGAGAAGCCCAGTGGTTCAAAGGTCCTCGCAATATCTAGCCACTCTGTACAACACTTAGGCATACTACGGAGTATAACTAGGCATTCTACCCCTGGTTACGTGTATTATACAATTTTGGCTCGGGCCGGGACGAAACGATCGGAAGAATTAATAACAAGCTCTCGGATATGTGCCTGATCGGCAGGAGGCTTCATTCAGGGCATTATTAGGCTTCGGGTGTTGAATAAATGGTGGGGTGTACGGACACGGAGAGATCTTTCTCAGACGGCGTAGATGTAGTAAAGCCCGAAGTCCGAGCCTTGTGTTGGCAATGATGCATTTGTATGACGGCCCACTTGCTGCAATCGAGTTGAGGTCGTTTTTGGCGCTCTTTCAAAAGAGCATTTCCGCGTATTTGTTATGGCTTTCCAACATGAAGGGTGCGAGATGTATCTCGAACAATACTCCTACCTGTATGATAATGAACCAGGATTAACTCTAGAATATTGCTGTGTCTTGGTTTATGTATCTTTATCAGCATGTGAATATGGCCGCACTTTCACAGTACATTTATTGATCTGCGTATTGGTTGGTCCTTGTAGCACCAATTAATGCCACCTTATCGGAGCTTCGTTGCGCAACGTTGGAATGTTGTTTAAATTACATCATTTGTGTCACCGGTGTAATCGCTTTATTTCGCTTTATTCAACTCGGATTTTCTCGGACTCGGAAATCCTCCGCCCAGGCTGCCTTAGCCAGGCGTGTTGGTCAGACGTGTTGTTGGTTGCACAAGTATTTCTTCAGCGGTCGGCTGGGTGGCTCAAGACTTTCACCTAGCCATAACCTCCAACACTCTACTTTGCTGAAACTGGTGTCATTCAGCTGTAACTATGGCGCCTCCTAAATTTTCTATTACGCCCGAGAAGGAGGCCAGCAGATCGCAGTGGATTCATCGCCAACTGATTGCCAAGACACCGCCCGTCGCCAAAGATGTGAATCTATCTGGGCAAACAGCTATTGTCACTGGCTCCAACACTGGGCTCGGCCTCGAGACAGCCCGCCAGCTCCTCTACTTGGGCCTGTCTAAGCTCATTCTTGCTGTGCGCTCCGAGGAGAAGGGGAAAGCTGCCCGTGAAGAGCTGCTCGCTGATAAAGAAGCCGGGTCAGGAGAGATCGAAGTCTGGAATCTGGACCTGGAGTCATATGATTCAGTCATCCAGTTTGCTGATAGGGCAAAGGCGCTAGATCGTTTAGACATTGCCATCTTGAATGCAGGTCTATTCCAGGCCAAAGAGACGTTTATTGCATCCACTGGTTACGAGAGATGCGTCCAAGTCAACTATCTCTCCAGCGTCCTTCTGATGACCCTTTTACTAGGAGCCCTCAAGTCTAAGAATGAAACTCGCCCTGGTCGCTTGGTTCTCGTATCATCCGATACGGCAGCCTGGGCCAACTTCAAGGAACAGAAGTCGCGACCGATTTTAGCTACCTTCAAAAACAAGGCGGATAAGTGGGATATGCAAGAGCGTTACGGAGTAAGCAAGCTTCTTGGTCAATTCTATCTGACAGAGTTGGCCAAAAGAGTGCCGGCGTCTGTCGTCACAATAGATGCTGCCAATCCGAGCTTCTGCTATGGAACTGCTCTGACGCGAGATGGAGATGGCACCATTGCGGGTTTACTCCTGAATGGCTTCAGGCGTGTGGTTGGGAAACCAACTGCTGTCGGAGCTCTCTCGATCGTTCATGCTGCCGTCAGTTTTGGTGAGGAAGTACATGGGCAGTACGCAGAAGACGGAGAGATACGACCGTGAGCGCCCTCACATTCCCATGCACTGATGCGAACTATTGACTGACTGATTTCTTAGTATGGCCCCAATCATCTACAAGCCGGAAGCTGAAGAGATAGGCAAACAACTATGGGATGAGACTTTGGCTGAATTATCATTTGCTCGTTTGGAAGAGTCCATTCAAGAGCTCACAAGCTAGAATTGCAGTCTTATCTATTCAAAAAGATAGACTCTTTCCCTATTTGCCACTTGGCAAATTACACTCTTTGCCTGGCGTGGAACCAATACAGATTGTAATTATTCTAAATTTATCCTAGTATACCATTTTGGCGCGATAGACATGAATCTCTCACATCGTCTTCTTATCCCCAGGCTCTCTATAATACTCGGAATAAGATGGCTTATATCTATGATATAAAAATATTAGAGTACGGCAAAATGAAATGCAAGACGGAATATTGATAAACATACCCCAGCAAATGGCCCCCAATCCAGTAAGCCAAGACGTACTGGATCGAGGTAAGGAGCCACAACGGCACCCAGAAAGGTGGTGTAGCAAGGGTTGCGCAATCATAGCATATTAGCATGAGTTGGAAAACAGATGGCGCCATGTTAGCCATTTTACAGTCTCTCTGGTACCCGATTAGGTTGCGAATGAACTTTTCGTCGAAGCTATGGTCGAGGCCCTGGGGCTCAGCCCATACCTTGAACACTAGATCTTCTTGGTTGGATGGATGCGACCAAAATTTGTGTCTATGGTATGCTATTGAGTTAGTATTTGGGAGATTAATCCAGAATAATCTAGAAACCAGAAATAGAATGGGACAAGGAACGAAGTGAGGGAGGAAGCGGCTCACCGTGTACCGGCTGGCACTTCAATTACACCATCATCCTTCGTAACCCTGAGCTGCTTCCCATTTTTATGGATCCCAATTACTCCTTGCTCGACTTTGAAGTACTCAGCCTGCTTCCAGTGGATGTGGCTTTACACATTCGTAAGCTTAACAGATCGGCGGAGAGTTGTGAAAAAGTGGCTTACAGGGGTGGGCCAGAAAGCCCGTTCTTCACCAAAGGGTTATTGATGTAGTGTGTTTCTCTCACAACCCATCGGCCATCATCCTCTTTGAGGAACTCAAAGAGCGCAGCGTCATCATTGGAGTAAATGTGCGAGCCGGAAGCAATCACCGAACGCTTCGGACGAGGTGAGAGCCACAACTGCCATGCACAGACCATCTTTTTCTCGTTCCCTATGTAGATAGATCTAGATAGGATTTATATGACCTCACGATTACTCTTCATAGAATTTAAGTAAATAGAAAGAGAAGGGAAGAGTGCGTTAGATGCGAGATTTGGGCCTTGTGTATGAAACAGCTGATGCACTATCTCAAGTACGTTGAAGCTGGACATGTAACAATAAGATGGCCTGATACTACAATACGACTAGTGAGGGAATTTCTAACAAGTGAGAAGCAAGCGAATACAAACATTCCGGACTGTGCAATCTAATTGTTACAGCTGCGATGGAACACAAATCAGTGGGGGGCGGACTAAACACAGACCTGATGTCGCGAGTTGCCACCTCAGCTCGGAGCTGATCCCCAAGAACTCTCTGGGATTGTACCACAGCTCGGTCAATATTCCATGATTATTTATCCTAGTAGCATTGATATTGAAAGGAAACTCCGAAGGGTTACTCGCTCATTTAATTGAGACTATCTGTAGCATGGATGTTGTGCACTTAACAAGCATGCGGCCGTGCCTATCTACTTCAGCCCCCCATAGATGATGAGTGCCTTTATCAGGGGGCTGGATAGCTGTGCGTACGACTCTAGAAGGCGACGCTTCGCCACTTAAATGCCAGCTCCGAGATCCCATTAGCTGATATTGAAGTTGCATGCCAATGTACATCTATGCACGGACGTCGTACAACATGTGCAATCCATAGTCAGGCTCAATATCGCGTCTTTGACTCATGTATTCAGCCTCAAGAATGTCTAGCCAGCGCCAATGTGTTTAAATCCTTGGAGTTTAGGGGATAAGGATGTCCGATATGCCTGGCGGAGTAAATAAGTCGATACAAGATAACATGGGTTTAATTAGACAGAGCACAATAACATGGCATCCCAAAGGGATGATAGGAATGGTATATTTAAATGAAATGAGGAAAAACTTGTTCATCCATTTTCTCACTTAATTACTATGCCCGAATTTGCAGAATTTATCCCATATGTTTGTAAACCGTCATGAATTTCAAGCTTCGTACTCTGCTGGCCTTCAGCCTGGTATTATTTCTAGGCATCGTGTCAAGTAGCCCCATTGTTCCTCACTACCTTCGAGCTATTGATGTCTCCAAGGCAGTTACTCCGAAGCAAGTAGAGAACGACCTTGGCAAAGTACTCTCCAAAGGCACTTTGATCTTTGGCCCCTCAAATCCCGCCTTTGCTGATGCGACTGAGAGATGGAGCACACATTCTATGCCCGCTGACATACAAGTTGTTATTGAAGTGGCTCAAGAGTCTGATGTTGCTAAAGTGGTAGGCCGATGTTGGCATACAATCATAGTATGCTAGATTCTGATCTTTTTCTTCCATAGGTCAAATACTGCCATCAGAATAACATTAACTTTCTGGCGTACACTAGGGGCCATGGCTCTACTAATACAGTCTCCAAGTTCAAAGGTATTGAAATCAATCTGTCGAAACTCACGGGAATCGCCATTCAGCCCGACAAGAAGTCAGCATTATTCCAGGGTGGCGTATACGCTGATTTGATCATTAACAAACTCTGGAGCCAAGGATATATTGTTCGTAAGCAATTCTAACCTATGGTGGGCTTCTTTGAGTGAGTAGAGTTTCTAATCATGGTGATTTCATCTTCTTAGCTACTGGAAGCAATGGTTGCGTCGGTCTCTTTGGGCCAGCCCTCGGAGGCGGTCTTGGCCGATATCAGGGCCAGTACGGCCTCATTTCCGATAATTTCGTTAGCTTGAACGTTGTTCTGGCCAATGGAACATCCACTACCGTCAATGCCATATCCAACAGCGATCTTTTCTGGGCCATGAAGGGCGCTGGCCATAATTTCGGAATTGTTACCAGTGCCTACATTAAGATCTATCCAAGAAAAGCCAAAACTTGGCACTATCACAATTACGTCTGGTCTCAAGACAAGCTGGAGAAAGTCTTTGAAGCGCTGAACAGGTTTCAAGGGAAGGGACAGATTCCCGCACTGATGGGTGTCAACTTTGGCCAATTCTCTATTGAACCCCGAATTAGTGAGACGGAGGTGAGCACATAATAACGCCTCATGTCATGATGTCTCGGACTTGACCTTACGTTATATAGGCTGTCATCATCTGGTCGTTTGCATATGATGGCCCCGCTGCTGCTGCTGAAAAGCTCTTGGCTCCATTCAACGCAATTTTCGCCATCTCAAGCACCAAAGGCGATGTATCCTACTCAGAGTTGCTTGTTGCCCAACAAACAGATATAAACAGCTCGTCTTGTTCCTCGCAACCATACGTTGGAAGCACGACCTGGCTTCAGACATATAACGTAACGTCTCAGCGTGCGATTTACGATCTCTTCAACAAGCAAATCGCACAAAACCCTGGTCTTGCACCTGGTGCTCGCGTGTTTTTTGAAGGCTATTCGACCAAAGCCACTCAAACAATTGACCCCAATTCCTCTTCCTACCCTCACCGTGACGAATATCTGCTCGTGTGAGTAATCTCCACACCAAGGTGAGACTTTTAAAGCATAGAACTGACGATTGTATAGTTTCTTTGCCGTTGTCACTCCGCCATCTTTGGAATCTGTTGGGCGAGCTTGGGCTGATAAAACGTTGGCCATCTGGCATGCAAGTCAACCTGGCCGTCGGCCTGCCACATATGTCAACTATGCCGTGGGAAACGAGCCTCTTGAGTCCATCTACGGCTACAATGGCCAGTTAACGAAGTTGAGGGCTCTAAAATCCAAGTATGATCCTTTAAACAAATTCAGATGGTATAACCCAATTGTCGCCTACTAGAGAAGAGTTGTTCAATAGGGATTGTGTATATGTACTCTCTATTAGTGTACACAGCAGCATAGACTGGAGCAGTTTTGGGGGGAAAGTAGATTAGATAGTATAGGCATCTATTTTTGATAGATGCTCTACATTTGCGATCGTGTCTTTCGCTTTGATACAGTGATTTATTTGATGGATATCACTTTCTACAAATCTAGCTGCTCTTGCCGGAATCCTCCTTCAACGGCACAATACGGTTAAGCACAATCTTTTCGTCAGTGCTGTCTGAATCAAGAGCCTATCAACAAGTTAGTAAAGAGTGCGCCCACCTGAAAACGAATGGGTAGCATGAAACTCACGAAATAAGCAACACGCATGGCCTGGAATCGAACAGTCTCAGGGTGGAACTCGCCCGTCTTCTCACCCTCGGCCTCAGGCCACGGTGCGCGTCGCTTCACCTCATGGAAGCCAGTCTCAATCAATGCGTTTGGCCAGATGGTCTCGCTGTTAGGGTTGACATCGCTCAAGAGTCCTCCAGGAGCGGAGCCAGGGCTGTCTGACTTGAAGAGGGCCTCATGGATGCGCACTTCGGCGGGGAGCGAGCCTTCGGGTACCCACTGGATATAAGTCTTGGGCTTCTTGCCCTCCTTGTCGTAAACGGCCTTGATCTCCTTAATCGCGCCCGTGGTTTCGTCCTTGGTGAAGGAGACAGCCTTGATGGGGTAAGGCACGTTCAAAAGACCAACAGTCTTGCCTGGGGCGAGGCGGAAGTAGTCTTTGCTGTCAACCTCGCGGAAATCTGAGCGGTCGATGTAGACGGTCTTGGTGAGGCGAATGGTGTGGGATCCCAGCTTGGGGTCTTTGGGAGAGAAGGGAATATCGAGGTCTTGCTCTTCGCCATCTTCGATTACTACCGGGACAGGGTCCAGGACAAGCATGAGGCGGGGAACAGTCTTTTCGAGATACACGCGGATAGACTGCTCAAAGCGTTTGATGCTGACCTGGGTGATGGAGGTGGTGACACCAAGCTCATAGATGAAGGAAAGGAGCGCACCCGGGGGGATGCCTCGTCGTCGGATGCCTTTGATGGTATACAAACGAGGGTCGTCCCATCCACGAACAACGTTGTTCTCAATCAATGTTCTCAGGCCTCTCTTGCTCATGATTGTTCCACTGAGGTTCAAGCGGCCGTACTCGCGCTGCATGGGCTGGAACTCCACCAGGAGCCTGAGTCCAATTAGTGCCAGTCTAGGTGGCTGGAAATATACTTGCTCGGTACTTACTTGTTTAGCCACTCGTAACTCTCTCGTGACATGATGAACTCGGTGGTACACAGACTGTGTGTGATTCCCTCAAAGCTGTCGCATAGGCAGTGTGCGAAATCGTAGGTAGGGTATATCCGCCACTTGGTGCCTGTGCGGAAGTGAGGCTCCTGGTCCTTGGGGATTCGGTAGGCGGCGAGATCCCACATCTGAGGGTTCGGGTTGTTCTCAATATCCTGCTTCATGCGAAGCCAAGCGCTCCTCGGGGCGTATTCTCCATCTCGCATGCCACGGAACTTCTTGAGGTTGGTCTCAACGTCTTGCTTCGCATGCTCGCATCGATATCTTGGGAACAAGCCGTCCTCGCCACCGCGCTGTTTCTTGGTCTCGACATCGTCGCAATGGCACACGTAGGCCTTCTCCATCTTGATCAATTCCTCGGCAAGATCGTACATGCGCTGGTAGTTGTCGGAAGCATAGGTGATTTCACTGGGAGTGAACCCCAGCCATCGGATTGTGTCCTCGATGGCGACGAAGTATTCTCCCTTCTCAGCATCGGGATTCGTGTCGTCGAATCTAGAATCGGCTACGTCAGTGGGAATGTAGTTGATTTGTCCATCAAGTTGTTGTTGCTACCTAAGAATCTGAGACCAATTAGCAACTCGTAGGTCAAAAACGTCGGTGGAGAGAAGCTCACAGTTCTACCGCCGTGATACTTGGCAAAGCCAAAGTTGACAGCAATTGCCTTGGCATGACCAAGCTACCCATCAAAGTCAGCAATCCAATGCTCTCCTGAAGCAATCGAGATGCGAGAATCAAATTTACATGGAGGTATCCATTCGGTTCGGGAGGGAATCGCGTCACCACCGACTCTTCAGGTCGCAGCTTGAAAACGTCGCCAAGGAATCCCTGCTTGAACATGGCGTCCGGATCAATCACGCGCTCCTCGGGCTTGGCAGCAGGCTTGTTTGCCGCCGGCTTGTTGCCCTTCTCCTGCTGGGCGTTGCTGCGATTTGCTGCTGCAGCGGCCTTCCTGGCTCGCTTCTGGATGCGCTTCTTGAGCTCGTTCTTGGTGACCATTTCGCCCGTCTCGTCGTCAAGCACGAGCTTGGCCACCGCTTCGGCGACCGCGTCAGCCATGGTGAAGGTTTCGCTGTATCGTAGACAATCTGGGTATCTGGTATGCCGTGGTTCGAAGAGTAGAGAGAGGGAGATCGAGCTGCGTTTTAGTTGTTTTTGTCTATGCTTGCTGATGACTCAGGGCTGTGATTGTCAAAAGTCAAAGAAATGAAGCTGCTGCCCCTCCATGGCACGTGTGCCCCTCTTCGCAGTAAAGATAAGATAGGCCGATAACAAGAAGAGCGATAACGTAAGCAGCCTATTTTGAGTCACTGAAGCAAATTCGCTAAGCGTCCCAGTAACTGCCCTGTAATCTACTACTGAAGCGCCATGGAGTCGGGCAGTCATCCATTTGATGCTTGAGGATGGCAGACTTCAGCTATTACTACTACTATGTACCTATGTAGATATAGATACATGTATGTAGCTTCACACACCGTTGTCGCTGACCAGATAAGAAATGGATTGAAACACAGGTACCGCCATTGGCATTGATATTCCATCTCTTAATGCTATTTGGCACTCGAAATACGAATTGAGTCTCAGCTAGTCTTGGCTCTTGACCAGTGTCAACTGCTGGTGGGAAGTATTAGTTCATGGAATTCACCAAACACAGCCACCATCTTGCTTCCCTAGCCATCAGCAGTGTATTTTAACTGGTTCCATCTTGACTCTTTCAATAACACGATTTCAAAAATCCGGCTTAAAGCCATTTTTTGTTTCCGTGATGGGACACGAAGGAACCGCCGCTGCCCGCTTCGATGCTTGCATTCTCCCACACAGAGATGACATCCTTCACAGAGGCCTCTGGTGAAGCTGGGCCCTTGAAATCGGGATTATACGTGACGAAGTTTTGAAACATTCCACCAACTTTTGCCATTTGCTCTGGGGTTGCTGGCAAAAAGAACCATCGTCAGCTAGTTGCAGTAGGGTAGTAACCAAGGGAGGTATCCATACCATTCTTGTAATGGCCAGTGTCGACCACGCCTGGACTGATGCTCATGAACAAAACGCCGTCTTTCTTGTACTGAGCATGAAATTTTCCAATGGCAGTGTTCATGGCTGCCTTGCTGATGGCGTATCCAGGGGCAACTTGCAACTCGAATTTGTTCGTTGAATCCAGATCCGCCATGCCAGTGGACAGGGCAATGACCTTTTTGATGTTACCAGCCAGGATGAGTGGCATGTACAAGTTGAAGAGGTGGACATTGGCAATCACATTGACCTTGAAGGACTTGAAAAGATCTTCCTCAAGCTCCTTGGGGCTATTGCCTCTACAAGAGGTGTCAGGGGAGATTAGCATCATTGATAGCATCGAAATGAGGACAGGCAGCGATAACTTACAGAACTCCAATGGAGTCATAGGCGTCAAATTCTGATATGTATGCCGCGTTGGCCACGAGATAGTCAAGGACTCCTCCAGTGATTTGGGCAGTGGCTGTCACAGCATCCTACAGATGAACACGACATTTGAGAATCTCGTCGCAAAGCTCACTAGCCAACTTCACTTGCCACTTACCTTGACAGCTTCATAATCTGTAATATCAGCTTGTAGGATGTGAATGTTGGATCGTCCTGCAAGCTCTTGGGCCACAGCCTGCTCGGTTGTAACCTTGTCTCGAACGAGGCCAATAACGGTGTTGTTCGGGTCGCTGGAGAGCTGACGCACAAATTCGAACTATTAAAGAATGCCCAATGATCAACTTAGGCTCACTTTCGGAATTGCAGTATGGGGATATGGAGTACGCACGCCCAGGCCTCTAGAAGCACCAGTGATGACGTAGGAAGGCATCTTGAATGGAACGTGAATGTCGAGATAAGGCGCAGAACAAGCCCGGTCAAATGGGAGAATTAAGCACTAGAATTGCATGATTTGGTGCAAAGATAGTAGCTATGAGGAAGAAGCTGCTGCTTTAATACATGTACCGCGGAAGTCAGAAAAAGGTGGGCGGTGAGCAAGTGACAGTGCTACAGGCAGAATCAGGGACATACGCCCACTACCATTCTCTTTTTAATGTCTCATCTAACCAATATTGAGCATGAACACGTCACTTTGCGGGGGCCGTGTAACTGTTGGAGATGGCTTTGCTTTGAAGGCATTAGCAGCTCCAGACTACATGTACGCTTGGCTATGTGGACTAGTAGAGCTTGTGTATCTTGGGAAGCACATCATGGCAACTGCATCACGAAAACTTGATGAAGGTGAGTCGAGAATGGCGATTCGGCTTCAATGACGGATATTATTAATTATCTGCCAAGGTCTTACAAGGTCCAAGTTCATACGCATGTGTTTACTGTTAACATTTGACGAAAATCCAAGGACCCCTGATCCGTTCTCCTTCCATTCAGCTCCTCTTCAGATCATTCACGATTTTGGATGCGCCTACAAAGTTTAGCTCTTCCATGGTTTCTTCCCAGAGTCTCTCTCGTAACTGTTGCCCCTCCGGAGTGTACCAAATTTTCGGATAGCTACACATCTTAGTATACTCAGAACATTGAAGGCCTCTGTCAGTGTGACTTACGGCTTTATGGTCCAGTCACTCGTGAATGAGCCATGGCTTTTCTCTCCTTGGACCAGAACCGCATCTAAATATGTAGTGGCAGCCATATCCACTGGTCTCGCCAGAATCCACTGGCCGACTGCGATCAACTTCATCATCAAAGCAGGGTATCCACGGAAGAAATCCGTACCACCTGTCATACCAGGGTTTGATACATTCACGAGGACGTCATGAGGATTGACAAATTCGGCTATCTTAGAGATGAACATCGTTTGCAGCAATTTTGACTTTCCATACCAAGAGAATTGGCTGAATGTCTCTTCTTGCTGGAACTGTGGCAGCACTGGGCCCTCGAGTTCGACTTCATTCTCATACATTAGATCTGAACCTACGATGCTGATAACAGGCGACCATGAACAGTCAACCCTCTTCTTTGCTTTGAGAATGGGAAGGAGCAAAATCGTGAGAAGGGCTGTTGACAGATAGTTGACTTGTAATGTGACTTCGTTTCCTGTTGCTCGCACGACGGTGTATGGAGTCTTGATTAGCCCGGCATTGAGGATCACAATATCGATCCTATCCAAGCTCTCGCAGCGGCTAGCGAAAGCGCAAACAGAGTCATATGACTCCATATCAACAATCCAGACAGATATCGTGGCAAAAGGAAAGTCTGTGCGCAACTGGGCCGCAGCCACATCACCCTTGGCCTGTGAGCGGACGCCCATAATCAGGTGTGAGAGTCCGAGCTGGAGCAGCTGTCGGCTGGCTGAGAACCCGAGTCCGACATTGCTTCCGGTAACAATTGCCACTTGACCGGCGAGCGTGATACCTGTGGGCAGTGGCTTAGGTCGAGTAAATTGACGCCATAGAAAGCCCAGAGTGGTGGCCTCAAATGAAGCTTCGTTTTCGAGTTGGCTCGACATGAGAGTGTTGTCGCTCAGACCTGACTTTCTGAATTCAGATAGGATTGGTTTCAGCTATTCGTCTCGGACTTATCTGTTTCCAAATTAGAAGACGATTTTCTGAAATCCCATCACTAGTTCAGCTGGGTGATACAGACTCTCAAACAGCTGACATAACAGGAGACAGTCCTCTGCGAATTCGCCACGCAAACGAAATTTCGTACAGCAGCAGAGGATCTAAATAGGTCGTACAAAGCCCCTGACATGACCTACGGCCCGATCCTGATTAAGCCTCAGCCCGGTGCAAACCCAGCGCTGAGATTGCAGCTTGGCTCTGATCACGCATCAATATTAACCCACTCCATTGTGCGGAAAAAGAAAACAGCTTCTGAAACAATATGTGGCTTGTTCTTTGTTAGCTGAACTCGCTGTTTTAGTAACGACGGAGAGCCCGATCCGCTTCTGTGAAAGATGTGAAAGAGCATTGACCAACAACAGCGGACTCGACGGATTGCCGAGCCGGCCAGGATTATCCCGACTGTGGCTTCGATGCAGTTGGCAATAGATTCCATACCTGGAGCCAAGTGGCATTCTCAAAGATGTCGGAAATAGAGCAGGGGTGCGAATCTAACTGGCTGAGAGCCGGTATTGCTTCACTGGACGCACATGCCCTTGGTTGACTAGTGGCCAGCTTCAAGATGGGATTTGAAAGGATTGCAAACGGCTCGTCACCATGCGCCGACTCCGCTTCGGACAATGGGGCAACGAAATCTGCAAAGTGCCGCTGAGCACGATAATTAGAGTCTCTAAATACGAAATGAGTTGGAGTCTCACCGCATACGGTCGATATTCAGGCCTCAACCAAAGATCCACAACCCCCTTGACTGCGAGTATCAGTTGGTCTTTATCTCTGTCCCAGATTTCAGGCAAAGAATGGAGAAACCAACTGAAACTGTTTCTAAAGAAGAAAAGAGCCTCTACCAACCTAATAACTGGGATTTCATGGAGTTTAGCGACTTGGAGCTGTTTCCAGCCTCGGGGAGAGACGCTTGGTATCTGTCTGCTAGCAGTTCTGAAGCGCTGAGTGTGCCACCCCTTGCCAGGCCTACTAGAACGAAGAGTTTACAAAATGGAAATGACTCTTCTAAGTCCCTTCACCCTGGACTCTTATTGGGCCATGATATTCATGCGTCGAGCGATGTAGATATGCCCCTGCGAGCGCAGGATGCCGAATCTGAAAAGGCCACTGAACAAAAAGACTACATGTCTAGATTCAAGCTATGGCTTATGTTGATCTCCCTCATATTCAGCATTTTTCTTATTGCTCTAGACATGGTGGGTTCACACTCCGCCTCCTTTATTTGCGTCTATTTAACAAGTTGCTCAGACGATTGTTGCTACGTCAATCCCAGCCATTACGAATCAATTCCATGGACTTGGAGATCAAGCTTGGTACAGCGCAATTTATTTGATGACTTCTGGCGGCTTCCAGTCAACGTGGGGCAAAATGTACCAATACTTTCCTCTAAAGATCAGCTTTCTGAGCGCAATGGCCGTCTTCGAAATAGGCAGTCTCATTTGTGGTGTAGCTCCCTCGTCCACTTCCTTCATCATCGGACGCACAATCGCAGGTATTGGGGCTGCAGGTGTCAGCTCTGGAGCCTATATCATTTGTGCCTACATATCTGAGCCCAAGAAGAGAGCGGTGCATACAGGAATTCTCGGTGCCATCTTTGGTATTGGTAGCATCCTGGGTCCTCTACTGGGAGGCGTTTTTTCTGAAAAGTCTACTTGGCGATGGTGAGTGCATAAATCCTCAATTTAACGCTTTCTGGTGTTCGAATCAAGCTAAGTTACATACCAGGTGTTTCTACATCAATCTTCCGATTGGTGTGCTCCCAATTGTATCTACCATCTTCTTCTTTAGTCCGCCAAAAGCTGCTAAGCCTCGCGAGGCACTGATGAAGGAGAAACTGCTCCAGCTTGATCCTCTCGGGACGGCCGTCTTGATGGGAGCAATCATCACCTATCTCATGGCCGTCCATTATGGAGGCCAGATAGACGCATGGAACTCTGCTCGTGTAGTTGGACTTCTCGTGGCCTCCATTGTCTTGTTCATTATCTTTGCGTTTATTGAGCGCTGGCAAGATGAAAGAGCCATGATCATTCCCCGGCTGTTCGTGCAGCGAGATATCGGTGTTGCACTCTTCTATACAGTTTTCCAAGGCGGCGCACTCTTTGCCATGGTTTATTATCTTCCCTTGTATTTCCAAGCTATCCGCGGCACTGATGCCGTCATATCTGCCGTCCACAACTTGCCATTCATCATTGCCGCCATGCTCTCAGCCCTTGGTTCCGGCATCTTCATCTCCAACACGGGTTTGGCCACGCCTGTCATGGTTGGCGGGTCGGCAATCGCAACGCTTGGATGTGGCCTTTGTCACTTGCTTGATCTTGATACTCGAACTGCAGTCTGGATTGGAATTCAGATTGTTGTCGGTCTCGGCCTTGGTTGCGCATTCCAAGTGCCCATCATGGTCGGCCAAGTCAGCGTCTGTGTGCCAGATATACCTGCTGTGACAGCCATGATACTCTGTTTCCAGACAGTCGGCGGTGCCGTTTGGGTATCGGCATCGCAGTCAATCTTCATCAACAGGATGCTCATTGCCGTACCCCAGTTTGCACCAGGCGTAGATCCCACAAAAGTTGTGAGCACCGGTGCAGGAGAGTTGCGTGAGGTATTCGGATCTGACAAGATCTTTGGCGTTCTAACAGCGTATCTCACCGGAATCAGAGCAGCATATTTACTATCTTGCGCGGTTGTGGGCACCTCCCTGCTAATCGGAGTGTTTTTGCCATGGAAAAGGCTTGACACGGATGCTTTGAAGGAAGCTGGAGGGGCCACAGCATAGAAGTAAAGCGATGTCTAAGATATTTAAATGCTGGAGTAGTGACGACAATGATGACTTACTTACAGAAGGCCGTGGATTATCATTCAGTTATGTCATATTAAGAGAGCCCGCATAAATTATGTCACGATATTCTGTGTTATTAGCAGTAGACTCATGTTGCATACGTATTTCCATCATCGTAGCATAAAGATACGAGCATTCCGTACACCGATTACAGCTGCTACATTCACCCTGTTCTCAGTGGCCTTCAATACCCAGTGGTCTTATCAAGAACATATACAGACAGAATCCGAGACGCGCTACTGTTCCCACCGAATCAGGCGGGAACTACCGCCGCTTTTGGCAGCTTCGGCTCTGGCAATGCAGCGCGATTAGTAAGGCGACCGGCATCGCTGATATCGGTGGTCTCTTTGGTGTTAACGAGTTCTCGTTGAGCAACTCACGGTGTTGGGGCTATACTGCTCAGCCTCGCCGCTGGTCTGGTGTAGGCTGATTCGGTCAATAGTGTGGCCAGCCAATGAGCTTTTGCCATGTCACGTTTGGATGGAAACCCCGTTTCCTGGCAAGGCGGAATCCATTGGTGGCTACCCCTCCCGGAGGTTTTAAACATCTGACTTTCCTCTGAAAGAGATCTGCCAACTTGCTATTGATCACTTGCGTACTAAACATATGACATACCATTTGATCAACTTCAAGGGTAGACCCAGAAACTATATCTACGTGAAAGCGAGGTAGGAGTGATCTCCTCGATAAACATCATGGCAATCCAGCTGCAATGGGGCCTTGAGCAGATGGGATTTTCAGGATTAAGAGCCGCAAGAGACCTTATACACGCGGCTTCTACCGACAACATCCAGGCAAAGGCTATCCAAGCATGTGAAGGGTTTGGCGCTACATTGGCCATATGCCCGGAGACACGTCGCAAAATTGAGCTTACTGTGGTTCCAACACCACCCTCTATTCCTGTCAGCTTTTTCAATAGCTTTATCGGATACTCACCTGGCGACTGTATATCTCAACTCAGCAAGAGCCTGGCTGGTTTACAATTCCTAGGGTTGGCAGCAGCACTTATCACAACAATACCCATGTCTCAAGCGGGAGACCTTGTGTCAGCAATGCTTGCCAATTCTGCCTCAGATAAGACACTTGTGCCTTCACGCAGGCAGACTATCGATCTCCTAAAAAGCATAGAAGGCAGATGTTATCATGCTGGATTCGCTGAAGATTGTGTGGGCTGGGAACTGCTATTACGGAAGACAATAGGGCAGGCGCCGAGCCGCAATCTCGGCCCTAATTCCACTTCTGCTCTACCAGCGATTGATGGAGTTGAGAGCTTAGTGGATGCCTTTCGCCAGCTTCACCGCGTAGGGGAAACCCACATTACCAGATTGACTATTCAAACCTCTTCAGCTGCTCCGTGGACCATCGCCTTTGTCAAATGGTGCTTGGGGCGACCTCCATCGGTCGTGCTAGAGGATGGCACATGCATTTTAAGCCAAGAGGAATCCTTGGTCGAGGTACTTGTGTCGCAAGATGATCCATCCATCTTCCAAGTCCACCTCCACAGTTCAATACCAAGCCTATCGACGCTGATAGAAACCAAAGTGAGCCATGAAACTGTTGGTATGGTACGAGTTTCGTGCTTTGGAAAGCTACTGCTGCGTGGGCTTAGAGGTGGTGATTTTGCTACAAAAGTCCTTGCTCAACTAGTTCCATTATGCGTACGTCAGATTACCCAGCATCTGGTCGTCTTGGGAGACAACATGGCATTTGGAAATGCAGCCATACCGCAGCAAGCGGAAGAGTTTCACATTGTAGATGTCGACCTTCACAAGCAGAGACTTTCACCTTTTCCCGACGAAGAAGTGATCATAGAAGCTTGCGAGGATCTCCTGAGCCAGAAGTACCCCCGGAATTCTCTACAGCTAGCAGATGGGCTCACTGTCTTCGACTTGCCACTTGTGAAGCAGCACATGGACAATCTTCAAGCCGAATGCCCTTGCGCTGAATGTTCCGGAGAATCAGACTCCAACCTGTCATGTTTGGAAGATAGCTTCGTCAACATCATCACCGGTATCTTAGCTGCAGCATTTCTGATTTCTCTATTTGACCACCGTGAGAGTATTCTCCTCAGAGCTACAAACACCACTTCCTTGCATTTCAACAATGCTTTTTCTCATGCTATTAAAGGCATTCTTGTTAATAGTTCAGCATTTTCTTGTGGAGTGTCCGAGATCCTTCGCGGGGCTTTGTGGCTTATAAGGCACGATGAAGTCGCACAGGAGAACTGGCTCATGTCATGCAACAAGGATCAAGCGGTATGGCCACTGGTCTATGATACTATGTCATTCTCTAAGAATGGATATTTGCGCCTCCTTTGGTTACCGGGAAAATTACACTTCCAAAACGACACATATAATTTAGTCACTAGCAAGGTGAAACGGTACGCAAAGCGAGGTAGACAACCTAAGAAGACCATCAAGGCCAGGCTCGTCTCCGAGCCTTGCAATCTCTTCTCGGATGTAACATGCCACTGGAAAGTGACACCTGAAGAAAACCATTTGGAAGCGTCCATCCTCATCAATGACTCGTCGGGCAAGTATAACAGTCCTTGGATGTTCGCAAGTCCTCACCGAGCGATATCTAGTATCGCCAACGCACTATTAGTCGAAAGCTGTCGTCACGATCGAGATGCACATCTGAAAGCGCCAGATCCCTTCTGCGTGCTTCTCAACCCCTTTTCTGGCTCTGGGGGGCTCCCCAACGTGGATTCTGCACATGAAGTTGACGAAAGTTCCGTCTCTGGGCTGGTTAAGGTCATAGCGGTTGACGGTAGCGAAAAACTCCGCATTGCTGCGCTTGGTATGGAGCGTGCCTCTGACCCAGTGGTTCTTCGTGGAAACGCCTGCTTGGACTGCTGCATCAGGGCTTGTCGACTGGCTGGGTTCTCGATCCTTGTTTTATGAAGAGTGATTGCGTCGAAAGTGTTTGCTAGTCCTTCTTATCCAAGAATCTTACTAAAAATTGGGTGTTGGTTGTATTTCCCCAGTCACTCTTTTATCAGCCTGCCATCTCAGAAATGGATTGGCTCTTCCTTCTAGCACGTGGATGTTTCCAATATAGCCCAGGCATCTGACCTTTTTTTTGTGTAGAATTAATATAAGGGAAACCAACAGGTTTATTGGCTACGATATGACCAAATAACTTGATCAAGCAAAGCTGCGAAGCGGCTTTGCGATGGCGACAACCTGAGGGAAGTGTAGCATCCAGATTTGCTTCTTTAATGGAAGGGGACAAAATAAAACACCACAATCATTAACTACAGTTAAAATACTAAATAGTAATTACCTATAGTCAAATTCACCACCTTTTTGTACCCATTTTAACCACCTGCAATATAGTGTACACTTGTTTTTCAAATTATTATGCGTTATTAATACAGGCGCCCTCAGAGGGTAATAACAAAATTCCCGTTGGATACATGTAGTAGGTATCTATGACAGATAGAGATAATTTGAGGCCTCGAGAGATGATCTCTCAGTTGATGTGACTGACTTGGCCGAGGGCTCGCTGGATGCCTGCATAAGTTTAGCTACATTGCAAGTCGACAACAAATGTGTAACATGGAATGCTCACCCAACTAGGATGACATCGATCCAGCTAAGTAGGCCCGATCAATGTAGCTGACTTCAAATGATCCGGAAGAACCTGATCAAACAAGTTGACCGCGATCGATCTAGGTGACCTCGTGATATCAAGGTACATGTAGCTTCAATTGATCCGGCTGACCTCGAACGAACCGGATAACCACGATCGACCTGGATGACCGCGGTCGGCGGCGTAGCAACTTTGCTTGTCATTATGAACGCCTTTACTGGGCATCAAACTTGTATTACGGAACGGGCATACTAAAATGAAGAGAAATTCAAGCTCGCAAATTCAGGAACAGTGTATCCAGAGTTAAATGATGCAAAGACAAAGGCATTGAAGATGATGACGGCTGACCAAAAATAGTCTTGCTTGGGTAGATTCCAGAACTGCTAGGCACGGAATTCCTTCAAAGTGAAATAAAAGTTTCATTGGTTGTAAATGCCTAGCAAATGTAATTAATATAGGCTAGGCCAATGAACTACATATGTCAACACTTATTATAGAACCGTAATATCGTATTAGTACTACAACAGCCAAAAGGATTTAAAGCTGAGACACGAAGGCATGGATTTCTTATTAAATGTAACTTATCAGAAACGGCCATCTTCCAAGCTATCAATTTTCTTAGCGACCGATCTTCAATGCAAGAAACACCATCTCCGAGGGATCATCCCCTCCTGTTGCAAAACGATAAGCAGATATCAACTTTGCTCCGCATGTCCGCGTCTTGTGTAGTGAATACAACCGTTATCGGGGCATTGCTCTTCGTTTAACCCCTCAGCTAATTTACATCCTGTTGTTTGATTGGCATCATCAGCTTGTGAGTGAAGTTGTACAGCCGCACAAATTACGCGGCAAGTGACAACCCGGCCGTCAGCGTGTCACAAATTTCGCCAGCCTCGACTGTGAGTTTCAAAGCGTCTTCAAGATTGGTGATGAGGGGAAGGGGTATGCGGTAATTATGCAGTAGCCCGGTAACGTTGCCGTGAAGGTTTCTCTATACCTGCCCAATGCCGGAATCACCGAGAGTGATACACATTGTATTCTGTACAACTCGATGCCTTGGCAGCTGAAATGTTCTTGGCGTAATGGCACATTTCGATTCAGGAGATGGATACAGAGTAGGGAAATCTCACATTGCAGTGATTGAAGAGCAGCAGCACCAGCCATTATGCTAATGAAAGCCTAGATTCTAAATATCATCTAATACGTGTACATTTAGTCTATAAGTAATCTTCCCATCCTTTCAGCTCTTGTATGATTCCTGATAACCTCTGCTCCACCGCAGGCAGAAGCACGTCACTGACGTCAAGCTTTCTGAGTCGTGTAACCGCGGCCAGGAGCTCCCTGCATCGTACCAACAGTGCCACTCGTAGAATATGTGCCCACTCATGTTTCGACTCAACGTGATAATCACCAACGTTGCATAATCTCGCTGTATAGGGAATTTCATCCGTGACTTCCTGCCGTATCTGACGGACACAACCTGCTACGCCTCTTTCTAGATAGAGTGAAAGACCCTCTATGACCAGCACTATCAGCTTGGTCGTAGCTCGAGGTGTTTGGCTGTGATCGCAAGAGAGCCAAGAATTAAGCCGCTCCAAAGCAATCTTCTGGTAACCTAGTACACCGTCGCTAGCTACATCCATCTTGCTGTGGTATTGGAGTTCCAGCTCTTCCAGCATGTGAAGTGCAGATTGAGCGCATGAACATAGGTCTCCATCGTTTATCGAAGAGTTATCGTCCAGACACAAGCTTTCTGTAGTTCTGCGAACCCTTTGCGGCGCCATACAGAACGACTGACTTTGTGGAGGCGAAATGCTGCTGCTCGAAGTCATGCTGCTAAGATCTCCAAGAGTAGAGTTCAACTGATCAAGATCTGTTGTAAACAAACAATCAGCATCAGCCAGCCAGTCAAAATTGGCCATACCACCAAGGTACTCATTTTGAAACATACCCAGAGTGAAGTTGTCGCCCAAACTAGCGCAGTGTAATGAAAAATCCGACGGGCTGAAGTCCAGAGACGGCGAAAATTCTGAGGTCGAGACAGTGGAAGCAAAAGGATGCGCATTGCGGGTAGACGCAGACGCAAACGAGCTGCTGCTCTCTCCGTTCTTGATGCTCTTCTCACTATTCGTGATATGCTCTCGCCCATCTTTACACTCGGATGGGGCGGAATTCTTTTGTCTCTTGGTGCCACGCTTGGTTCTCTCTGGGAATACACATGTAATACCAGTTCCCTGACATCTCTGGCAACCTGTGTTTTCTCCTGAGCATTTGACCTATTTTCATTGGCATCAGTACCACGCATCTTCACTGCATCTGTGAGATGAGGATTCAAGTCACACCTTTCGAGCACGGCATTCTACGCACGCAAGTCTCGACTGTCGATATTCGCCAAAGGTGTGATTGCTTGCCATCTCAGAGACGCTTTCGGCTTCCGCAGAATTCTTGTTGTAAGAGATTGTGTAGAACATCTCCCTTCGCTTCTATTTCCTTGTTTCGCTTCGTCTTGGTTTTATTGGTGCTGTCTAAAGGTCGAGAGATGTTGTGCGTAGGAGCGAGTAGCAGAGCAGCGTTGTGATAGAGTTGTAAATAAGAGCGACGATGTTCGACAAACGATCGTGATCATAGAGCAAATGAATGGCACAGTGGTTTAGTGTAAGTGTGACTTGAAGGGTAGCTTGAGAATGTCTAGAACTCTCGTATCACCCACAGAGCAGAGACTTATTTCTATATGAGATCTGGTAAAACACTACAGCCGTATAGCAGATCTACAGCCCCTCCTCACTTATCTTTTGCCTTTGAAAGGATTCTCAGAGAGTGCGAGAGCGACGCCAGCCACAGACAGACCGTTTTGTCGAAAGCTTCATCCTACAGGCTACTTGCATTGTCACACCAGGCTCTCCTAATTGCCAACAAGGGGCGACCTAGTGGTCACCTGTACATATTAAGAATGCAGCCACATCCAAATTGGACTCGCATTCGCAGTGGATTTTCTGGTATTCGTAAAACACTATAATTATTCACCACGGGCACGCCATTTCCTCTGCCAGAGACGCACATAGAAAAGCAGCCACAACGAGGCAATGACTTTTCCGGCGTCACACAACGCTACCAACCGGGCCTAGATTCACGGCATTCCGAAACCCTTGATGAAATATCAAAGCTTATTATGAACAACATGGCATCGAGCATGTGGGAAATCTAACGCTTGGACAAAGATGGGTTGGCTCAGCCATCGCCTGTAAACTCAAATGAATAGCGCGACATTGATACCATATTAGGAGGCCCCTCCTCAGCATAACCAGATGCCAGCCTTGGCAAATCCTGGATGACGACGCAGGATCTGGGTGTTGGCTGAAGCGCTGTCAGATTGATCCTTTCGGTTCAAAGAGTGATGTGCCAGAGGCTGTTATCAGCTTCCAATTAGATTCACCTTTTTCTAGAATCTGTTTGCGGCCTCCAAGGCACAGACGCCGCTCATACTTCAATTGACGCCTTGAAAATCCTCGGATGAGCGCATTGAAGAGTGTGGAGTACTTTAAAGTCCTACACGTGGAACCGTAGTGCCTCATCGGAATGCAAATACGGCCGAGGGGGGAATGCAGCTCTCCAGGCAAGGGGGTTAGACTTGTTCTTAATTACCTCTCTATATAGCACATGTGGCTCCCCGTACCTCACAATCTATTCGATACAACCATGATTGAGATGTGAAGGCTAAAGTAATACTAAACGAAAAACAGAAAAAGAAACGAATTCTCATCCACGCTGCCAAACTCTCCTTAATTACTGTTGGTCGAATAACATACCAAGAATTCCATCATCCAGAAAACGGCTGTTACATGTAATTTCCCTTCATGCCGCATGCCATGGAACTATCCCTCTCAATGCCACCGTAAACGCTGTGCTACGGCGTCTTGTTGATACTGCCCACTCCCCCTTGCTCCTTTAGCTTGCGTGATACCTCATTTAAGCCTGTTCTGCTCGCGTAGATGCTGTCCAGAGCACCAACCGGTAAGAACGAGCCAATCCGGGCTGCCATGGCATGCTTGCCTCTCCAGACCCAGAGCGGCGGCTTGGTTTTGCTTAGGTCTTTGACAACGCCTTCTGCCCATTCAATAGGATCTGCGCCTGTAGCGGTTGCTTCCGCTCCCGACATCCACTTCTCAACCGCCTCTTTGGCAACATTATATATTGAGGTGGGTGGCAGCGAGATATGAGGTGCGTTTGCATGGAAAGTTGACTTGACAGAGCCCGTTACTAGGTTCGTCACCTTGATGCCAAAGGGGGCGAGTTCAACTCGTAACACTTCGCTAAAATTGGCTGCGGCAGCCTTAGAGGCGTTGTAGGCTCCTGAGAAGGGCATGGAAGCGTGAGGCAGTGCCATGCATGACGTGTTGTTGACTACCAAGCCACCGCTAGAGGACTTGACGAGCAGTGGGAAGAAGGCACGCGTAACTGTGATGAGAGAAAAGACGTTGAGGTCAAATAATTGTCGAGTCTGAGCAATGTCAAGATCCATAACTGGCATCGAGTATCCAGCGCCAGCATTGTTGACGAGGGCATCCAGAGAGCCACCGGTAAGCTCTGATATTTGGGCCACACAGGCCGCGATGGACTCATCTGAAGTTGTGTCAAGCTGCACAATCTCGATGCCCGCGTCTTGGGCCTGCTTTAGCCTGGCCAAGTTACGGGCTGAGGCAAAGACTTGCCATCCATTTCTGTGAAAGGCACGGGCGAGTTCCGACCCTAAGCTCCCGTCTGAACACCCCGATATGAGCACTGTTCGCTTGGCAGCCATCATGGTGCGTGGTAATGCTGTGTATTGCTGACTTGTCGGCTTTGTTGGTGGCGGCGATGTTCGTGGTGCCGTGGAAGATTGAGGGCTGAGTTATGTTATTGGTGCCTCGGAAATGAAGGGAACTCGGTTTGTTATGCTTCAAGCAGGTAAAGCTGGTAAATCCTCCAGGATCTGAATTCCTATTGAGTTGATAGTAGATATTGCAATCTATTAACTTTTGACTAAAGTTTCCATCAAAAGGCATTTGAGGTCATGAATTGGTATTTAAGGCTTCAGGGATCTTGTATGCTGTCAGTGAAGACGTCAAAGAGAGTCTCGGTATCGTAATTGCCCCGGTCCACATTCCGAACCCCTGCTTCGGACAAAGCCATAATCGGGATTTTACCAACCAACAACACAATTTGGTTGGTCGTTGCTGCTACAGAGCCTTGCGGCGCATTTATACGGACACTACCCAAATCCTTTAGTTTCCGTGCGGGTACTCCCTCCTTCTGCTTGTTGGCTGAAGCTTCTTTCATACTTTGCGAATCGGAGCAGAGACAAAGAACCCACCGCAAGCAATAGATTGTTCCGTAGTCCGGCTGAGGTAACACAGAGCTGAAGCAAAACTTTTGCGGCACAATATGAAGTGCGAGGTACTCCGTACACGTGCATGGTACAATAGAGACGGATTGCGTCAAAGAAAGACCACGTGGAGCAAACTTCGATCTATACACCGTTAGATAGACATATCTAAGGTATGACGTAGGAATAAGCGAATTAATGACGTTCGCATCAAATACGTACTTATGGGCTCTATTCGGAGTCCAAAGTACAAGCACATTCGGTCGTACGTTCAACGTTACTTTTCCAATCAAGGCTTAGAAAAGACATCGGCATCGGAAGTTTGGTGCATAAAAAGTGTCAATCAAGCACGCGGGGAAAGTTTAATCTTAGCGTAAGGGGAATCAGGACACATGTAAGTGATTAATCTTTGACTTTTAAACCAGTCTCTCAATGCTTTCGGAGAATATGCATTACCTACTGAGATTTACATGAGCCGCTTTACTAGCTAATGTACAGTTTAGTAGGCTAGACAATGATTGCCATCGTAGTTCGAATTACTTTCAGCTCATATATGGTTGTATAGGCACTTTAATTTTCGATCCCACTACCATCTTCAAGACCAAGATATCAATCACGCGCCTAGCGCGACAGAAGTAATGCGGTATACAAGGTTGTAGATGATAAAACAATTTATCAAAGCCGCATTCCAAGATTTCGAACAAAGACTATACCATAAATGCAGTCACTGAAGGTCCCAAATTCCCCAATATTTTAGGACTCGTAAACTTGTCGAGCGCAATGATTGTAGGTTCCGGGTCAATCTCGTAGATGCTTTGCAAAATAGAACCATACTCCTGCATTTCTGGCATCGTATAACAAGTCGCCATGCAGGTCAATCCTTCAGCAAATTGCTCCCGATCATCTTCTAGCAGTGTTAGCTAACATCGACTCTGGCAGCAAACGTACGAACCTGTAAATGGGGGAAATTCCATGCATTCAGAGAGCACAAGCAGGTCGCCAACACGCGGAGCAGCTAACGCAACCAGATTTACTACTATGGGCACTCGGAAATGAGGTCCAGCTGGCTGGAGATACGCAAAGCTGCCAACATTCCCTTTTCACTAATTCCCTGTCGTTCTGTGTCGTCGCAATAGAAGACTTCGCGCATTTCAAGAACGGCACTTGCCCAACGTGCAAACTCCGGACCCTGTTTCCAGTTTGAAAACTCTTTGAATTCTAGTCGGATGTCACACAATCCCCTGTTGATGATACTCCGCGCCGAGACAATTTGGCAACGACCGTCGATCTTCAGCGCACCTTGTGACAGATACTCTCCAAAATCATAATATAATCCCGAGGTTTGCTTAGAACGTAAACGTTTGTGATTCTGAAGGTTTCGGTCAATAGAACTAAAATCAGACGTGAGGTCCAGATCTCGCATAAAGACTCCCTTTGGAAAGCTTGACGTATCAACAACTAAAAGCTGTATCTCATCCAAAGTCGCTTCATTGTGTATGCTGGCACGGAGGAAGATATACACCAGTGCAAACAACAATGAGGCTGTCCAAGATACCATATTATCACCGGGATTCTTCTCCCACTGAAGATGTCTGGCCAGCATGTCTGCTGCGCGTTGTTTGTCCTCTCTGGAAAATATGTCTGTCCTACTGCTTGCTAAGCCATCCTTAGCAGCCATAGATTTCACCCAATATCAATGAGTTGTGCCCTGCGAATATGGAGTGAATACCCGAAAGAGGTATCGTGGTATCGCATAGATGTCCCTCTTTAGATCGAACAGTAGATATTCCGCATTTTCAAGGTTGGACCTTTGCAATGGTTGTAGCAAATCGCTTACATTGGCTTCTTTTGTAGGAATTAGCATTATTCACGATTGTATAACAAAAATTGGAATCTCAAAATTAAATAATCTTGATGGGTGGTTCGAGGCGGGGTTTCTGTAAGCAGTCGAGGGCTCCTTCACGGTGATGCCAAAGATCACCGCGCATCAAGATAAGTACTTACCTGCGTGTGAGTGCCTTTCCTGAGACTTCACGTTGCCGTAGACTGACATGTTTAACTGTGAGATTGAGCGATGATAAAATGTCATGTGCCAATTGTGTATTAATAGATCTTGGGTGCAGAGTTGAGGGGTTGCTCTCAAAGTGAGAGAAATATCTCATTGCATTAGGCAAGAAGTAGAAGTTGCATATAGCTAATGCATATGGCTGGCAGCGTAAGCTACTCTAGGTTGGAAGTGGGCCATTTGGCAGCAGGAGACTGAATTAGAATGTCAGATAATGAGTGAAGAGGATGATAGAAACAAGATAGACATATAAGAGATTTCTTCCGAGTATCCCAGAATTCAACCATGTTTTACTGAGGCAACATGTATGCACTCTATTATACCCGGTATCCATCGTTCATTGAGCAAGTCTGTTATTTACCAGACAACGAAACAGCAGTATAGCAATAACTACTCAACCTAGCAATGCTTCAAAATGAATATGTGATTAATACAATATGTACTTATGGGGCAAGTAGCGTTATCAGCGTCATCCAATCCGCCCTAATGCTTTACATACAATCGTATGCAAGGTTCTTTTAACGTACTAAGCTCTGACTAATGAGATGGGCTAGATAAATTTTGCTGTAAGCTCAGTTTAGGTCTATGTTTAGATGTATCTAGAGTCAACTACTTTGCAGTTAATGTTACTGATTCCTAGACATTTCTAATGCTGAATCAATTAATAAAAAAACAGTCTCTTATCCTTTGAACCAGCAAATACCGGTATCAAATATTCTGTATCTGATTTAGGAGGTTGAATTAGATCGATATCCGTTGAGAACCCCAATCTGTTTGCACTTCCTGGTGTTCCATCTCGCTTATCACACATTATTCCTATACTTATCGGGAACAGATGGGCATCTGAATCGTTCTCTGGTCGCTCGCACATCGCCCTGATGGCGCTGCTATTGAAGCCCATCAGTTGAAAACCTGGTGGAATATTCCTATAACGTCTCCAAATGGAATTCACCATAATAGCCAATACTAATAACCCACCAAAGGCAATAGCGAGTATTGCCCCAAAAGGAGAATAACCTCGGGCAGAGATATCGTACTCTGGCAATCTCACCCCCTTGGCACCTGGGCCGAAAGCACTGGACTGAACAAGGAAAATACTTTGAGATATCAACCAGTGCAGGAGTATGGTAGATACCATGAGGGGGCCAGAGTATTTCCACGGTAGAGAAAGGAAGTAGGATGATCGTTGCATCCCAATAGGTGATGATACGCGCAAGGGTTTCTTCCCGTCCTTTCTTAGAAATCGTATCCATTCGTCCGCAATCAACTGTCTTGTAAGTATGTTATTATAAAACAGGTAAAGGACGCTGATCATAAGTTGTGGGCTATTGGCAATGGAAATATTCGCGAGAATGTTAGACCAGCTGGTGCCAACAGAATCCGAATGGCCCAATTGTGTCGTGGTAGCCGCTCCCTGAACCTTGAAACCTTGTTTCCAGACGCCAGTAAAGCTCATATCAAGTCCGACACTTCTCAAATGTTCGAACGAGAATGCAAGAGGTATAGCGGGAACTAGCAAGCCCACGAAGAAACTGATGTAATCAGCATAGTGAAGACGATTAATTTTGATTTTCCCAACTCACCTAAGGCCCGAAAGAGCCAGAACCCAGCGATTAATGGCTTTATACCAGGCGACACTCTTTCTAGGTTGCCACTTTCCCAGCTTCATTTCGACAAAGCTTGACTTGGGTGTCACCCGGTTGCTTTCGTCGCGGGTCAAGTTTGATGGTTCACTCAAAAAACTGTGCACCAAATCTCCCATAGTTACCATCGTTTTTGCGTGCTCCTTGTTCTCCGGACTTTTTACTTCACGGCGATACTGTAGCCAAGTGAAGGCGGTGAATAGGCTCGATAGAAAGGTAAAAAAACAAACAAACGCCAAAATCAGTGCGCTGTAATGTAAACCGCACCTCTGCTCGTTATCAGCCTCATCGCTCGCTAAGCAGTAATCCACCTCTACTATATGTACACCGGGTGATGTAATTTCCCAGTGGTCTGCAAATGTAGAAGCGAATTCTGCATTGCAATACTTGCTTGATGAGACTGCAGAGCATATCCAAGAGGTTGACCATGTCCACGGTTGCCAAGTCGAGACCCAGCCATCAATCAATGACGAACCATTGTTCATCTGAGAAGATATGTTTCTAGCAACTACAATAAGACTGCTGGTTGCATTAAGAGGATCAATAGACCGCGCTATACAATCCTGCGTATTGAGACGCGTAAACGTAGGTGCCGAGGTTTCCAAGGAATATATTAGAGATTTATTGAGTGCCGCATCTCCGTATCCGGGGGCAGCCTTCCACCATGAGAAGTGACCTAGAGGATCGGAGGTGGTCCAATTATCTCTCACAACAAGAAAATCGTTTGTGGCTATTGCACGGGGAATGGCGGTAATTGGTATAGATGTGAAAATGACGGAGTTCCAGCTATATCGTGCGTATTAGTTAGTTAATGCAATATCTTGGGTAAGTGTTGTGGAAGCCAGGCGAAAAAGAAGCAACCTACAATAAATGCAGCAAAGACGACATGAGGCCGAGAAGTCCCCACAACACTCTCCTACGCCGTCGAATATGTGGCAAATTTTTGATGCTAGGAACTCCAATCTCGAGTGAGATGCCCTTCGAGTGAGCTTTATCAATTTCCTTCCTCGATGGGGCAACCAGGATCTGCATACAGAAATTCCCAGCCCCGAGGAAGAAGGTTGAGATCATGTTCAAACCCATATGCAAAGCACTATTGATTGCACTAATCAATTTGCAATTGTCGAACATGAATGTTCCCACGAATCGAGTATTAGGCGGATAAAACTTCAATACGACGAAAAGAATGGTGCAGTTGACCAAAACAACTAGGAGAGCCACCATCATATGTATTGTAAGCATCGTGCTTCTTTTTGCCGACCGTTCAGGTTTTGGGTCCAGTTCAGGGATATATTTCTTCAAGATTTCTACCTTGGCGTAGCGGTCGGACCTGATGAATGTTAGTGGTCAAATTGTTAAGGGGTCCTTGTCGCAGGACGGAAATGCAATACCGCTCGTGTGTTTCGTTTCCTCTAGAAGGGTTATCTCCAACTGAGGGCGGTGGAGCTCCTTCATCTTCTCTAGCTTCATCACCACTCAAGAGGGATGTCAATCCTTCTTCATTCTCGCCAGGCATCCTGTGAATGGCAGTTGCTGCTGCAAGTCTCGAGTTGGTAGGGAGGTTTGTCTCCGGGGATAATTGTGCCACCAATTCAATCTCTTAGTCAATTTTCTCACACTGAATAATAATACGAGATCTGAAGATAGATAACAGAATATATAGAGCAGCAGCGGTTTAAATGGGTGTTGTCATTAGATTCGAGGACGCTGCACCAGGTCACAATGGTTGGCACCCAAACGACATTTTTTTATTCCTATTTCTTCCATCAGGCACCCAGTGCACTATAGCCATCCTGTATATCATTCGGCGTTGCCAACTGCCGTTGGCTGTTTTTCTCAAACCAACCAAGCTGAGGATAGGCGCCAAGGGCATTCAGCTGAATGCCGCACCGGCATTGATATGTCACTATCTTTTTGTCATTGCCGCGAGTACGCCACCGAAACACACTGATGCCTCCTTGTGGCTTGTGGGAAGTGGCCAAGGAATGCCTAAGCGCTCTGCGTCGCTCCATCTTCTGCATGATAATATTACATGTGTCCTTGCCCCGTTCAGCCTCGTTTTACCGCGCTGGGATGCTATATCGCGGGTGCGGCCGTTGAAGGCGGCCGGGAAGCGCCCGTCCAAACGCCACGTATCACCGCCGACTTCCACCAGCCAACCGTTTCCGCCTTCTTGACCATGCATAACAGGTCTAAGCCACCGACGGCTAGCCATGATTTACTTATTGTTATACGATCGAGTTCCTTTTTTGTGACAGGTATTAGCCCAAGACGAGAAATTATGCAATAACCAAGAGCCACGAGGCTGTAACTTGCCAAGAATCCGTAACAGCCTCAAGCCGCTATAAAGCCAATCTATCAGAAGATATGGTAGAAAATCTGAAAAAAAAAAAAAATATGAGTTAATTTACTCAGAAACTATACAGGCTCTTTTTTTTTTTTTTTTTTAAAAAAAAAAAAAAAAAAAAAAAACTAGAGCATATGCTATACATGCGAAATATTAACTCCTTATTACTTATACAACGGAATTCCTTATTTATAGCAATATCTTACTAGGTAAACATAGAAGGTGGTACAAGGGGTGGCAAACATTAATAACTGTCTGTCATTGAATGTCAACCCAGCATTCCCTTTCTCTACCAAGCGTTGGCAAGGACACTCTCATCCACGCCACACGCACCTACATGCAGGTAAATCAGCTCACTTTGCCCAATAAATATAAACATCATTCTTCCTTTTTCAAAGATTCCTACCGTTCACTTGCAACATGAGCGAAATGTCATAGCTCACAAGCATATATACACAGTGTTATTCGCAAAAGTTACAAAAATGTTTTTAGATGTTTATAAATAAACTAAATTTTAGTCAACTTAGCATAGCCAGTTTATTAATTACTATTATTTACCAAGTTTTTTCTAAAGGCTAACTGTAGAGTAACTATTTTAATAATAGAGACTTTGCAGCCACCAGGGACACTTGGACCGAAAATTGAATGAAATTAGCTGACAATGATAGCATTTGATTGGGAGCTTTTTTTCTGAAGAATTGGACAGCATAAAGGGTTGTAATACCTCGGTTGGAGGACTAAATATGCATAACACGACTTTGTAAGCTTATTTTCTGGTTTTACACATCAAAAGATACCCACAGCTGGGGCCCATTTAGCGAATTCATTGTCCGCAGATCATGAGAGCTAATCGTCGATCGGAACCTAAAGGCCAACGGGAGATTAGAAGCAGCCACAATCAAGGCACAAGTGTTATTTCCGGATACATGGAGGTAAGAACAGCTATGCCGATCAATAGCCGTTTCATCAGCACACAATCCTACGTCTTACATGCATGCGCTCTGTATCCACAGACTTTCCGTTTTCGAAGCCCATCGCTTCCAACATGGCTCGCCAAACATGTTTGCAACACTACTTGTCTCATCATATCCACGAGTGTTTACAGAGCAAAACATTCAGCAAAATTAAATTAGTCCAACATGACAAGTCGATCCGTGATTGCTTTGACAAATTGTTCACACAAGGATCATTGGCGTAATACAAACACCGGATCTACCCTGGTGTAGATCTTGCTAGTCTTCACTTGCCAAATCTGGCGTACCGACATCCTCACGATCTGGCGCCATACTCTGCTCAGATATCAGGCCAGAATTAGGACAAGCATCTTTTTTTGTGTATCTAGCTGCATGGGAAATATTATGTAGCTATCTCATAGTATCGTGATTGGCAATTCATAGATACATCTCCAACATGTCTCGCTTTATGCCGCACAGACACAAGCAACTTAAAAACTACAGGCTCAAACCATGAACACTTCTTCACTAATCAGCCCGCGTTTCAGGTTTCCCGTATTTACCACTCGCCACATAAGGTTATTTCACGACGATCATCCGCTTATACAAAACAAAGCACAGATTTTGTCCTGTTTCCAATAAGCTGCGCCGCAACACTGAGCCTTGATGCACGGATGCCAGCCTCAATTATGATCCTGATTTGGAAAGTGCCCTGACAGCGATTCGCAGCCGTCGCAGGCCTGTTACGTCAGAGAATCTCAATTGAACATTTCGAGTCCAGATGACAGTGCATTCTAAAGCACGTCCTCCATAGAGTGTAGTGACAAACCCTTCTGAGCCAGTTTCATCGACATCCTTTCTCAGACTATGCCGCCTTGGAAAAGCCACAGCTGCCTCTGCAAGAGTAAAACATCACCTTGAGCTTGGGTGAGCATCATGAGACAAGTAACCCCAAAGTCTCAAGACGACAAATACAATCATCTTCATCTACGTACGTAGTACATATAAACCTCCCTCCCCCCTTCAACGTCAAATCTCATCTCACCACCAACTCCGACTTCCAACACTCCTTCTCACAAAACAAACACATCAACTAATCTTCGCACCACCAACGTTCAAAATGGTCTCCTTCACAGCCATCCTCCTCCCCCTCCTCCCCCTCCTCACCTCCGCCCTCCCAACAGCCCCCTCCTCCTCCCTCGCCCCCCGCGAAAACTTCGGCGACATCACCTTCTACAACACCGGCCTCGGCGCCTGCGGCTTCTTCAACAACGACGAGGAATACGTTGTCGCAGTCTCCGCCGCCCTCTTCGACTCCCAGAGCGTCTGCGGCCGCTCCATCAGCGTCAACTTCAACGGCCGCAGCGTCAATGCCCAAGTTGTCGACCGCTGTGCCGGCTGCGCTTTTGGCGACGTCGATTTGTCGCCTCGCGCATTCTCTGATCTCACTGGTAGCCTCGACGCTGGTCGTGTTCAGGGCTCTTGGGACTTTATCTAAGTCCGGACAGAGAGCAAAGGAGAGCGCAGCAGCGATAACCGGCACAAGGATCTATTTTCGACTATGCTTGTCGATACTTTCTTTCAATTCACACACAACTCGTTATTACTCTCGTTTACTCTATACACGACTTGTTAATACGTTCATCTACTTCGGACACAGCTATTATTACGCTCATTTACTATTTTATACACGACTTGTTAACACCTCTTTCAATTCACCCACGACTCGTTATTACTCTCTTTCACTTTAACACTGGCTTGTCCATACTCTTTTTTACATCAAACATGGCTTGTCCATGCTTTCTTTCACTTCAAAAACGGCTTGCCCATTCTCTCTTTTACTTCAAACACAGCTTGTCAATACCACTCTTTTACTTTACCCACGGCTTGTTAATACTTTCTTTTCCATCAAGCCTGGCTTGTCCACTCTCTTTCGCTTCAAACACGGCTTGTCCACACTCTCTTTTACTTCAGACAGAGCTCGTCATCACATTCTTTTACATCAAAACAACTCTTGGGGGTACGACTCAATAGACGGCAAGGGACTGGATCCCTAAAAAAGCGAGGTGCTGTAAAGAGGCACGGGGGTTTTACTCTCGTTACAATAGATTACAAAATGTACATAGAGGAACTCGATCAATTCACCTTATAACCGAAACCATGTCTCACGTAGATAAAGCAAGCAACTAAAAATGAAATTGTCTTAGATTGTATCTCATTCATCCGTTAAAGTAAATCATGACTGGTGCCTGCGGGGCCCCTTTTGCTCCTTGTTTTGTGACCGTAAAAGAATACACATATGTACACGCAACTTCAGACTCCTCGCGCAATGCTATGTGGACAAGAAAGAAAGTAAGAACGCAAAAAAGCAAGCAAGAAAAAGTTGATGATCATGGCCTCTGCCATTACGCTCCCCGAGCTCTTATGACATAGAAAGAAAAAAAAAGAAAAGAAAAGAAAAACTGAAAACCCGTCGAGGTGCGAGACCAGAGTCACTTATTAATGCTCTGGCCGATTAGAATGCTGGCATAGCTTATGTTCATACACTGACAAAGGAAAAAAAAAAAGATTGTGATAGCAGTTATGCTCTTGTCCACATGCGGCCCCAGATTCATGACACAGAACGCAGCTTCTAGTTGGCCCTGTTCCTTAGGCTACTGCTGGCCCTTGAAAACCCAGGTAGCCACTTCCTCCTGGTTCCAATTACCGATTGTGCCGGCGTAGCTGGCTCAACCACCTGCTTCTTCATGTTTGGTGAACTTCGGCCATTGACAACGAGATCAGAAAGGCGCACCGGAGCACTAGTCGACGAAGGTAAAAACGACGGGGCTGCTTCGGTTCCCACTGTATTTCTTCTCATCTGTCGGGGCTTGAGCATGATGGGTGGTGGCGTTGATCCCGCCCGATCGTCGAAATCGCCTTCTCTGTTGAGCCAAGGCTGCAGACTGACGCCCTGGCCGGTCTTGTAGGTATCGGCAAACGTGGTATCTGTGGCGCTCGCTGGAGTGCTGGACGGCGAGGCGGGAACCAAGGAGCGACGGAACAGTCTGTTGAGAGCAGTACGAGGGCCGCTAATCGGGGGATATTGGCCCCTTTTCTCGCTTTGCGGGTGCTGCGGAATGGTCGGAGACTGGGCAGGTGTGTGGAGGTCACCTCTCATTTGCACGCCGTCACTTTGCCGTCTAGAGTGGCTCGAAAGCTCTGGCTGCTCTGGTGTGCTGGTAAGAGTGAGTGTCCTGGGCGAGTTTCGCACAGATGATGTAGTTGAGGATGTTCGAGCATGAAGGCTCGACCGCCTGTCTGGCGGGGGTGGTGCGGTATTGGTAACGAGAGACTGGCGCAAAGAGAAGAGCTCGTTGATGTAATCGGCATCGTTGTCAATTCCTTGAGATTTTTTGCTGCTGGGAATGCCAAAGAGATCCGGTTTGGTGCTCTCTCGCATCCAAATGTCAAGGCTTGATCGAAGTGAGTGGACTTCAGATTGCTCATCAGAGTCGGTGCTGTCCCATCGGTTCTCTTTCTTTTGGAACGACGCGGTATCGCTGGCGGCTCGATGATGGCGTTGCACAGGCGCGATGGCGCCATGTGCCTTTTCCTTTTCCTTTTCACCTCCCGCAGCCTTGTCGGCACCACGTAGAAGGCTAGGCTTTCCTCGGAATGAGACTCGTAGTGACTGGTTATCCTGATCGCTATAGGTCACTGAGGCTCTGTCATTCCGACTATCTTGCCTGGCGAGGGAATCATTGGAATTGCGCATTCGGTGGAGTGTTGACGTTGAGATAGTGTCGGGAGTGGGAGGGAAATTTGGATCATGAAGTCGCATAGTGCCGGGGCCATCGGTCATGACTTTCCTTAGAGTAGGAGGCTGTGAGCGACGTCGATCTGAGCTCTGGCTGGCCACGGGACGGAAAGCCTCCTGCAGCACGCTCTGGGATCTACCCAGCTTCTCAATTTGCTGCAGAGGGGAAACCTGGTCCACAGTAGCAGCGCCTGAGATGGAATGGCGCGTGCTAGATGAGGAGCGCCGTCCACCAAGAAAGTGGTTGGCGGTGGCCGCTCGAGGAGGGAAACCAGAAGGGGATATCTTTCTAGAGGTGTCTCGACGGCCGGTGGAAAAGATCTGCAAGTTGGTGTCGATGCCATCCAGGCTAAGGGGTTGATCGACAGGTGGAGGGAAGATGCTGTCCCGGCCCTTTTTACCATAGACGCTCGCAAAGGAGCTCTCACTGAGGACACTCAAGGTTGGGCTGCCTGGGACGTTGGATGGGCCGTTATCCGCATCCTGGGCCCCTTCGGTTACCCGTGCAAGGCTGAGCGTGCTTCCCTTGACCCCAAGATAGACGTTGCGCAGGTTTTCGGTGTTTTCGCTCTTCTCGGACAAGAAGCTCGGCACGCGGTTGATGGCTTTGAATTTGTCGCCATTCCTACCCGTTTCGTCAATGGGAAGCTCGAGTGATGGCCGAAGATACTTTTGGTCCATGTCTTGGCGGCAGAAGTATCCCTCCTGCTCCACCTGCAGAACCATGTTGCGCTCCTTGACTAGCTGGTCGACCTTTGCCTCGAGCATAACAATCATAGCAACGGCCTCCTCCACAGCCTTGTCGCGCTTTTCAAGCTCGTCCAGCAGAGTTTCGTTCATCTCCTCGGTTTGGCGCTTGTCTCTTTCCAGAGACTCGATGCTTGTCTCCAGCAATGACTGCTTTTCTCGGCGGTGATAGAGTTCGAGCTTGAGGTCGAAATTTTGCTTGTGGAGGCTGGAGATGACCTGTGTGCGAGTTAGCAGAGAGAGAGAGAAACAGGGGTGTTGCTTGAGAATGTCTCATCTCAGAGGTGACGTACATGTTCCATGTCTTTGACGCCCAGTCCAGGCTTCTTGGCGAGCTCAATACCACCGCCACTGCTGGACTTGGGGCGCGATCCATCGGATGATGCAGCCACTGATCTCCTCCTTGGGGAGCTGACACGACCGAGCTCAACCGACGCGCCAAGGTCATCATTGACTCGCGACATGGAGCTCTGGCTCATCTTGTCGCTCTCAGCCCTGCGCTCTCGCTGCAGCTTCTCTTGCAGGAATGTTGAGACCGCGCGGGAGCGGGGAGATTCGACGCTGCCCTCTCGCGGCAGCTGAGGCGTGTGCCTGGGCGTGGGAGTAGACCGTGGTGACAAGACAGAAGGTGGGCAAGGGCTATGATGGTATCGATGTGTCGGATGGTCGGCGGACAGTTGGGGTGAAGGCGCGAGCTGAGGAGCCGGGCTTCTGACCATTCGGTGTGTCGCCGATCTATTAGAAGCGCGAGACGAGGCGCGGGTGTATTGAGATGGAGCCTTTTGAAAGGCCCTTGAATTAGAGGAATCCATGGTGTAAAGCAGCGCCAACCAGATTCCCTGATGATGACGATGACAGTGAAAAAGACAATATTAGGGATGTCAATAGATATGTACCTATGACGATGGTACTTTAGTAGTAGGTAGGTAGTAGGTTAGTTAGGATATATCAGCCGCAGCAATGTATCAAGGTTTGCGCTGATGCCCGCATCGAAAGTCAAGTTACTGTGCCGCAAGGTTTAGTGCTTAGCCGAAGCCGTTCGACGCTACGAGGTGAATGAAGGGCGTCTGGCACGATTTTGGCAGCGAGACGCGTGGAGAATTAGGCACGCGAGGAAGCGGCGTGGTGAAGCATGTCGCTCCGAGCAAAGTCCAAGGGGCGTCGATGTCGCGATTTGCGGGTGCAAGGTCCGGGAAGGCGTCGGCGCACAGGGATCGAATCCAGCTCCAGGCCAGAAGCAGAAGCAGAGGAGCAGGCGCCTTGTGCTGAAGGAGAGAAGGCAGAGAGACGCAAGCTGAGGGTCGTGGGCAGCAGCAGAGTGAAAAGGCAAGGCAAGGGGGGGTGTGGGAATTGCTGTCGTCCTGGAAACTCGCTTAAGGCTTGTTCGTATTATGCCCAGCAAGGCGCACAGGAAAAAATCAGAATCAGGGAAAATAATAATAATAATGCGACGATGAGCAGAGATCAACAGATGGTCGTGCTTGCGGCAATTGGCGAGTAGGAATGCAGCTGGAGGACGGGAATGAGGGTGGATGGATGTAGCGTCTGGCTGAGGAATGATGATGCGACAGAGAGAGTGTGAGAGTGAGAGAGAGAAAGACGGTGTATCGGATCGAATGGCTTGGTAGATATGGTATCGGAAAATCAGGCCGAGAGGCGAGGCGAGGGCAGCGCAGTCAAATGCACTCAATTAGTATCATTCACTGCAACGGAAAAGCAGGCCCAGCGCCGTCCATGCTGATCTGCGGGTTTGGTGAAGGAGGGCAGAAGCAATAAAGGGATGGAGGTTTGGAGATTTGATGATGGAGAATAGTCCAGTAGCTTAGCTATTGAAATGAAATGGACGGCAGCAGAGCAGAGGCCCAAGTCACTAGCAGTGCGGCTACTCCGTAAATTGCCAGTGAGGGTGAGTTGTAGCGGCCGGCGAGTGGCTTGCAGGTCTGACAGGGGGCGCCGCTAGTGCCTGTGCCTGGCGTGCGGCCCGTGCATTTTGGGGGTTTTAGCGCGGGAGTGGCCCAGGAGAGGGTGAAGCTGGATTGTTTGAGGCCTATGACGATGGATCGATCAAGGCATCAACCGATGATGACATGGATATCCATGGGATCCAATTGATGCCTCCATACTAAGGTATGTATCATATCAATGGCCGTGAGCTGTTTGCATCAAGCAGAGGAATCAATCAACGCGGATAAATCAATTAAAGCACTCCGTCTGCTGGTTCATGCTGCTTACTGAACCTGCAGTCAATTGCATAACCCAGCACGCAGCATCCAATATCCACCTACCCTCCTACTCTTCCCGCCACCTCAGTTTATGCTGGCTGGCTAGTCGTTCTTTGTCTTTATCCGACACATCTCGTCACATTTTCAGCCCCAATCCATCCCATCCCATCCCATCCCAGCCCCCTTTTCCCACCGCGAGCGACGAGAGACAGATGACGTTTAAATGGAAGAAAGATACAGAGGCTGCAGCTCATCTCTCAGCCCAGTCCAGTTCCTCCTCCATAGACAATCGCCTCCCCTCAAAATTGGGCGCAACCACCATCCAAACCCGCCAGATTCATGCGACACCCCCCCTTGAACATCCAAACGCTCCAAACACCGCCCGGCGCCCATCAGAAAAAGGAAACATGCGCCAATGCGGTGGGGGCTTCTTCTGCATGCATCCTGCAAGGCCGCCCTTTTGGGCCGAACGCGCTCTTTTTCTTCTTCTTCTTCTTCTTTCTCTTCTAGGTGTCTTTCTTCAATTCGTCCTTCTCATTGGCCTCGGCGAGTGATAGACCGTACTACTCGTACGAGCTCAGCATCTTGTCTATCCCCCTTATCCCTCTCCCTCTTCCCTCTTCCCTCTTCCCTCTTCCCTCTTCCCTCTTCCCTCTCGACCATCCCTCTCCTCGCCAATCACCATCCTTCGATCCAAATCCGTCCCCTTTAAATCCACATCACCGCAAATCACTGGACTTCCCGAGCCCGCGGGGTTCCGGTTCTTATTCTTGCGCCTCCCAGCACCAGCCCCTGGACGCCGGCCCTGCGGCTCCGCCTACAAACTCCATCCCAGCTCCATCCAGAGGCGGCCACGGCAAAGCGCAGACGCCCAACGCCAACTGGATCGTGGCGCGACGACCGTGTCGCCTGCGGTGATTCGTCACTCGCCTCCAGGGGGGTCTTGCATCTCCATCTCCATCTCTGCATCGCATCGCTGGCGCTCTTGAGTCTTGCCTCTCTCGCCTAGGCATGTCGCGATGATGTGATGTCGCTTGCTTGTCAACCCATGCTGCCCCGGTTCATGTACGTACTCGTACGTAATGTAACTACTGTGCTGTGCAAGTTGGGCATCATCAGACAAACAAACGGTCAAGCGTCTAAACTGTCAATCTAGCAATAGTGGCTTCAATTCCAACGCAGCAGCCTCCCAATGCGGCAGTACCCGGACGAACCTCTGCTTCGACAACGCATCATCATCAACCCGTCCTTCATAGGAACCTTGCAAGCTCGGCATTGACGATTCTCTAGCCCGGAGACAAGGCCACACGAACCGTAAGCAAGCAAGCAAAGCAAGTCACACCGATCATTCCCCTCTCCCAACATCCCCTGTTCCTGCGTCCGTCTCAACGAGCAAGGGGCCTCTCAAAAAATAAAATATGACGAGACAAGAAAATATAGTCTCGACAAACCAGACCCCCTCTCGAATCGCTGAATTCACACTACTGTTACTCTGTACCCGCGAAATCTCAACAGAATCAAGACACCGCTTCCAGCAAAAACCACAGCATTCGCTCATAATATCACCACCATGAGCCCAACCCATCAGCAATGCCACCACTCCATCCTCGTCAGCCATCGACACCGCCTTGCCGAACCGGTGAAGCATCCTTGTCGCTAAGAGCGGTAAACGCACAAATATAGTAGTTTTTTTCAACAGAACAGCTGTCCATTCTACTCTCCTCGTACACAAAAAACGCACGGATGCATACAAACGCTCAACCAACGCATCAAAAAACCCACACCCCCAGTCACGGGCTGAGGAAGAAAAAAAAAAAAAAGCAACTTGTGCAGATGATGGAAAATCTGCAGCGCGTATCAGAATCCCGCGTGCCCGGATTTCGCGCGCCTTGCACATAACGCGCGCCAACACACGACACGTGGAGGCCCAATTGATTCCCAAACGAGAAACGTCATCTTGAATAGTTTGGCAGTTTAGTTTAGTTTTTTTTTTTTTTTTTGCTTTTTGTGACTTGGTTTTCCATTGTCTCGTGGCTGCCCCCTTGCAGACGCCAACGCCAAGGGTGAAGATGAGTGGCGTTGCTGTAGATGCTAATACTAATCAATACTCTACGTAGTACGACTAAGGTCAGTAGTAAAGGTCAGTAGTAAAGTACTAACTATTACTCCTCTGCCAAAGGGAGACTGAGCATTTTCATCTCCAGAATGTACAGTAAAGACAAGACCCGTGCTCATATTCATGATGGCTATATACCTATGCTTGTCATAATGCAGTTGCTGCGCTCGGCATAAACCCACCAGCGCAAAAAGAATCATGATTGCTATCATGCGAGATCCCGTAACTCCCAAAGACGAAGAACAACAATAAAAATAACCCCCCAAAACTGGACTTCTATCTCTCGCCTCCTGATTCTCCTTTGTGAAGCCGCCTATAGCTCCTCCTTGAAGAACTGCTCCTCGCTCCCTTCGTCGTCTTGCCTCCCCTTCCGACCATCACTGGCACCACTGCCGCCGCCCGTCTTCTTTTTCTTCTCCGTCGCCTTGGCTCCCTTGGCCGCAGCAGCGGCCTGTTGCTCCGCCAAGCCGCCATCGCCCTCCTCTTCGTGCATCCATCCCCGGAGATGTCTCTGCACGTCGTCAACGTCGCCCACAATCTCCAGTTGCCACCCCTTGTCGCCTGCCTTCTCCTTCATCTCCTGCTCCCACTGGTCAACCATGTCGGGGCTGAGGTTCAGCTTCTCGAGCTTCTCCTTGCTGAGCCGGTCGACTTGGCCGCCGTCCTGCTTGCTGGCTGCCTTGATGAGCACCTCGATGAGCTGCTCCGCGGCTTGTTGGGTGTTGATGTAGTTTCGAGGCGGCGCCAATATCATAGGAGGCTGGCCATCCTGATCGCCGGCAGAGAGAGACTTGCGTCCCCCGACGAGCACGCCGCCAACGGTAAGCTGGCCGCCATCAGTTGCTAGCAATGCCTCCTCTGCTTGCTCTATCAGCTCCTCCTGCTGGAAATACCGAGACGCAGATGCGTGCTGATCAAGCAGCGGAGGAGGAGTCTGTTTCTCGTCATCCGTGATGAGCTGGCACGTAATGGCATCTGCCTTGTTCTCCTCGGGAGGTAAAAAGGCAACATCGCCGCACAGCCTCGGAGTGTTGACGACCATGACATAGGCGCATATCGTAACCTCCTTGATCCACCCAATCTTGTCGTTTTGCATCCCCGGAACACAGTGGTACTGCACCTCAATTGTGCGCGGCCTCCCCGTCAGATCGCATATAGTCCCCCCTTCGAGCTTCTGCACCAGGTATCGTTGATCGCCTTTTACTTGCAGCTCGGCCGGCAGCTTGGATTCGCTAGGGTCGGATTCCGAATCCAAGTCGGAGCTTTCGGGGAGGGCCTGGCCCAGGACGTACTGGGCCGCATGGGGATCGCGCTGGGGCGGCTTTCCCATGGGCGTGGAAGGAAGAGCGTGGAACTGCACAATCTCGCGATTGTTGCAGAACCTATAGCTCCACCATCCGGACATGAAGTAGAGGCATGTGTCTTCGAGCTGGCTGAGAAGGTTCCAGCCACTAATCGCCGCTCGATCAAGTTCACGCTCCTCCTCGGCCTTGGCAAGTTCGGTCGCGGTTTGGTTTTCGGGCGTCGGGGGTTCGATGACGGGGATAGCGCAGAGGTAGCGATGTGGCGGCATGTTCATGACCTCGTACGTGAGAGGAGCGCCGCCACGATATCGCCCATCCTGATGGCCCTGGTTGCCGCTGGCATCGCTGATTGTGGGCTGGGAGGATTCGGCCGAGTACGTTGGATGCTCAATGTTGTATTCGAGCAGCGACTGCGCATCTTGTTCCGAGATGAAGCGGTCGGAGAAGACGACTTCGAACTGCTTCCCAATCAGCCTGTCATTGCGCGCGTGAGCCGTTCATGGGCCGGAGACATAACGTACCTGCGGAAAGGCCAGCAGGTCTTCGTGGATGCTAAAGGCCCGGGACTTGGCCCTGCACAGCGGCAAGGCTGCCAAAAGCGATAGCTGTAGACGGCGCATCATGCCATAGCCTGGCCGCGGGTCAGGAAAAGCACCAAATTGCAATGTTGGATCTCTGCAACGGCTTTGAATTGTCATCAAGTTGAGTTGAGGTCACTGTGTCATTGTCGCGGTTCTGCCGGGCTTTTGCCGGCTCCCATCATGTCATCATATCAAGCATGCATTGTATACTCCGTATGCATCAATCAATCAATCACTCCACGCCAACGGATTGCCGGATCATCATGGCGACGACAACATGCGCCGCCTCCGCCTCCGCTCCTGATTACGAATGGCACGGTTTCGCCTCGAAAGATAAAGAAAATGTGAGAATTGCTAAAAACAATGCCTCATCGATATTTGTCGTTTCATCCTGTCACCTGGCGGCCAATCACCCGTATGGTCATGTGCTTTCAGGATGCGTTAGCTTCGACGTCTCCTACGTGTAACTCTTTCAGCTCTGCGTCAAGCCGTCGACATCCGCGCGCCTCCTATTCCGCTGCGCAATTCCGCGCCGTTGCAAAGCTATCAACCGAGGCTTGCGGCTGATGGCTGATAAGAGAGTGAATGCTTTGCCATCCATCCGTGGACCAACCACAGACGACCTGTAGGATATCGGCGAGATGCGCTCAGCGAAAACGGCGCCGGCAAATCCACTTGAGCTTCCCCAGATTGCCAGTGCTTCCCCCAGAAGTGGCTGTACCTGTGGCCGGGCTAAGCCGTTGTGGCCAAGGGTCAGTTGACTGCTGGCACGCCAACTATGGGCTGCACCCCTTGCATCATCGAGCTGGGATGTCGTCGACTTCCAGCGCATCCGCAGATGGATGACGGAGGGGGCCCATACCTTACCCTCAACTTAGTATCGCTGTTACTACTACTCCGTACTAGGTACTAGTATAGTATCGACTGCTAATCATGGAACGAAGCCAAAGCGAAGCGCAGCGCAGCAGCAGCGCAGAGTGGGCTTGCGGAGGCGATACGACAACATACATGCATACCAAGAGAGCGTGCTTCCTCACCTTGTGCCTTTGCCACGGTCCACGTGGTTGCGTTGAGAACTTGTCCAGCCAATGCAGGCAATTGCGCTGTAATATTGCGCATCGAGTTGACGGGCAGCCGGCAATCTGAGTCACAGCCTAATTCAACGGCAGCAGAAGCAGATTCAACGTCCACGGAGAAAGCAGAATTGGCCACCCTTAGGCTGAAGCTTTGTCAACTTTCACATGACAGACGATCTCTAACACGTAAAGTGCTGCGAGCACTGTGTTGAAAAGCCGAGAGACTAGGCAAAGGCAAAGGCAAAGCAAAGCAAAGCAAGACGACTAACTAGGCAGTCGGCAATTCCCAAATCCCAAACATCTCGTCATCCCATCTCGCCTTTCGTCGCCTATCATCTCGCGCGGCGAGCTCGGAGACGACTCCCGCCCGGGGGCTGAAGGTTTGGGGGAATGGATGGGATGGGATGGGATGGGAACGTTAAGTTGGCCCATGTAACCTCAGACATGAAGCCACCGCGATTAGCAGCGATCAAGCTACTGGCCCGTTGACGCAACCGCCTGTACCTAAACATGGCTCAGAACGCCTAGTGCTGGCCACTTGTTTGTAATCTCTGGCGCTAGAGGCATCACAGGGCTCTGCTGGAAGCCCTCCGATTGCGCTCGGACCAGTTTTCGAAGGCTTCTAGACGTGTTCCACGGCCCTTAGTGACACGGGACCAACGCTTTGTCCAAGTTCCAAGGCGCTGTCAGCCCCGCGCTGTTGGCGATCGCCCCGGCCCAGGCCCTACAGCAACAGACTATTTGGCCCGGATGCCGTCGATTGTTCAGCTTGTGACGATGCATCCGGGGAGGCTGATGCGTGATGGGCAGAGGGGCAGAGAGGCAGGAGAAGGATTCTGCCGCTCCGTCTCTTATCGCAACCCGCGTTGGAAATACGTGTACGGAGTACGTAAAGCATATTGATGTTGCCGTAAACAGAACATGTTGTTGTTATTGCTGCTTCGTGTGATGCTCGCTTGTATGATTCCCAACTTGGTAGTTGCTCGCAGTAGTATTCCTGTGGCAGCCAGATGAGACGGGATCGGCAAGTTGACCTGCTCCTAGAATCCTGACAAGGCAGAATTGGCCCGCCGGTGAGCAACTTTGGCAATAGGAGGCATTAATTATCGCGGGTAATTGCAATGCGGGCGACTCGTTCCGGCTTTGTTCCAACATGGAAGCTTGAGGGAATAATTTCCATTCCAAAAGGCAACGGCTGCTGGGATTGCGCATCTCGAGGGCATGGGGCCGAACCCCTTGATGGATGCGGCTCTTTCAGAGCACAGCCCGTACCAGTACTTGTACGCGAGCTGCATTGATGCTTGCTTGGGTAAGCCATCAATTGGATTCCTTCCATTGAGATTCATGCCAGCACAGCGTGTCCGCGGCATAGGCGCCTGTCTGTCTGTTTGAGAGTTGGGGCTGGTTATCGGTTGATCGAAAACGGCAATCAACATCGCACTGCCGATAAAGTTGCGCGGTTTACGGAGTACTAGGGGGTGCAATTGCAGGGCTAGGACTATGTTAGGACTTGAAGCCTTCTGTCCTAGAGCCTGCTTGAGCTGCTCCAGATATGTACGTGATATGGCATAGCACGCAACACCTCAATGCCTCTATTCGGAGTAGCGTGTCTCACAGGGCTCATTGCCGCCGTGCATTCTACGTGCTGTACTGTATCCAAAGGCTAGCCGGATGCTTCACATGTATCGATCGCTTCGCTGATAGCATCCGTCAGTCAGTTAGTCAGTGGGATACTCGGGACACGCATGTCCTGGCCGGCTGGCGTGCTAAGAGCGCCGGGCTTAGCGCCTGGCCCCGTGAATGGTTGCGTGAGCAGCTGAATATCCGGCGGGCAGGGCAACTCTGTTGTTCGTCCCGCCTCCAGACGCAGGGAGAAAAAGAATCGGGCCACGTCCCTGGAAGCCGGCATTTCGCTTGGCGGGCGCCCAAGGTTGAATTGATGCTTCTAAGTTAAGTACATGTACCCCATCGGTCGGTATACAAACAAGCAATGTATGGAGTGGTACTCCGTACTCGTAGAACGAAGCAAGGAACAGTTACACCACCTTTCACTTGCATGCCAACGCTTGCATCGATCCTCACTTGGTCATGGTCGAATCAGACTTGGGCGCGCGATTGGCGACGGGGCCCTAGACTTGATCCAGGCACAGTCGCTCGCCGCTGCGACCTTGGCCCTCTCACGTCGCGCCAGCAAAACCACCACTCTCACTCTCGCCCTCGCCCTCGCCCCTCAGGAGGAGCCCGCATCTCTGCATGCGCAAGTACAGTGACAGCTTTGGGAATGTGCGGGTGCGTGTTGGCGCATGTACAGCACAAAGCAGGTGGGTGGTGTATTGTATGTATGTTGCAGGTTGATCTTGTCCAAGTGGCCCCCCCTTGCCTACTGGGCTGCCGATCCAGGAACGAGAGCAACACCAAGCCCGTCTCCTGGTCTCACACTCATAGTCGCCCAAGGCCAGTCACGACGCCGCGATTAATGGCGATACAGACCACGCATGTGCCGGATAACTCACCGCCAGATGGGCCAAAAGACGCATGTGCCGGCGTAAGGTACCAGTATGTATGTTGGTACGGATGCATGTGCAGCAGCAGCAGCACTGCCGTTCCATGAGCTGGACGGACGGCCCAGTTCGTACCCAAGGCAGGTTTTCAGTGTGCGTGTGGATGTCCATGTTGATGGTGTGTATATGCTTGTGTGTCAGCCATCATGCCTAGGCAAGGTTAGCATAGGTGAGTATTGTGTGCCATCCCACAATCACACACACACACACGCACACACACAAGCACCAAGGGTCTCGTTGCTCTGTGTCTGTCTGCTTCTGCTTGCGGCGCCCCCTTTGACTTGGCCCCAGGGATATCGGGCAGCCTGGCCGGCGCCATCCCCAGGCCAGAGTAGCATGCTTCGATGCTCTGACTGGGATGTCGGATCTGATTTGCTGGTGGGCTGGCCAACGCTAATCAAGCCCGCCCGCCTCACTTTGCTTTGCGCAGAGGCCCATTGGCGCGCCGGTCGCCAGGATTCGAGGATTTGCTGGTTGCTGGTATTCGCTGCTGCCTTGCTTCCTGAAAAACGGTGACAGTGACATCCAGCCAGACGCACCCCTGTCGTCAACCTGCCACGACAGCCGCTGGCGGCGGGCTGTGCTGCGCGTTGCTTCTCTCGTCGATTCGGTAAGGACGTATTACTTACTGACCGACAGCTGCTTAAGCGTTGTTTTGGAAGCGAACAAGAAAAAGGCTCAGGATTCTGCTGGCGACGACGATGCATGGCATGCGCAGCCCCTTGGCCTGCCTTTTGCCGGTTCAACGTTGTTCACAGTATGAGTCAACTGCGTTTCCCTCGACTCCGACTCCAACACCACACCGAAGGCCCAATGTGGTTCGTCGATGCGCCGTTTGTCTCGCCGCGCATAAGTGACGGGTTACAGGCACCGTCGCCGACACAAAGCAGCACTGTACCGTACTGTACAGTAGGGGCATTTCTGATTCCTTCATCCCCGTATCGGCAACCATCGACAGCCGATGCCCTGGGAAGAGGGGCGGTAGTACAGGCTCCGTGCCTCCGTCAATGCCAAGCCGCGCTCTTAATCTTCTGCCTGGGCATCGCAAGCCACAGGAGAGGTGCTAGCGCGGCTGCCTTTTTGCGGTTGCGATGACAGCATTGAACAGAGAGATAGATAGAGTACGCCGTAGAGGGAGCGATGATCGGAGCACGATGGGAGCTTGGGGCGTGGTGTAGGTTAGTTGTATTCTCAAGTCTGGCGTCGGGTGCGAGCCGCATAGCCGCATCGCCAGCCATCAGTCCGTCTCTCAGTCCGTCCGTCTGTCTGTCTGTCTGGCAGCTTCACCGAGCTAGTCACACAGCAAAATGGCTTGTAGAGCGTTTAGCATCCACGATTTAGAGTGGTGTGCTGGTCCTCCGCGTTTCTTCAAACCCCATGCCGTGCGAGCGAGATGGCCATCTTTGCTCGCCAAACACCATCAAACCTCGTCCAGCCCCCCTGCTAGCACCGATCCAAGAGTCGCACTCAAACTAGCTAGAAGAACATCGATATGCAGGGCACCTTTCCGCGGCACGTACAGGCATGAGCACGGCGTCGTGTCCTGGGTCGCGGGGGGCAAACTTGGGCATTTTCCCAGGTGATGTGGAATTGCTGGTCTCTTGGGCCCAGTGACACGAAGACGCAAACACATTGACCTCAGCCATCAGGATTCGCCTTGGGCGCTGGAGAAGTGGACGACGGGACTTGCCCAAAAGCCGTAGGTGATGATGGCACGTACCCAGATTGCAAGACTTGCCAAACCTCTCCATACCGTAGGTACCTGACAGGCGCACACAGTGAGCCGGGGAGGAGGAATCTCTGGGCAATCCATCATTGACTGTGCTGCATTTGGCCTGGCCCTTGTTTCGTAACCCTCGTATCGTATGTACGGGCTATGGGCTATATCGAGCAGCCGTCGGGCCCGTCGCTGAGGCCTTTTAGGATTGATCGGATCAATGCGGCATCGCGACAGAGAGCGGCCGGGCGTCGTCTGGTTGGTCTGGTTGGTCTGGCTCGGCCTGCGAAATGGAACTGACGCTGACGATCCGTTGTATCCACATCGCCAATATTGATGCAGCAAGGTTTAATTGTGTGAGGTGAGGTGCTCTGTACAGTACTGTACCGTACGGTTCAGGTGCTAGTGCCGGGGCCACAGCGATCAGCGGCCAGGAGAGCGCCTTGGGCAAGCGAGACGTCATTTCCACAGCGGGCCACATGCGCTGTTCTGGCGCACACACAGCACAGCACAGGGGGGGGGGGCATCAGCCGTCGCAGCACTGTACGATCAATCCATACTTAGTACTGTACAGCGTAGAGGGTGCCTCCACCGAGAAGCCCTGAAGCGTCTCTGATTGCGTAGGTGCAGGTGCAGGTGCAGGTGCAGGTGTAGGTACCCCGTCAAGGAGAGTACAGTACCTTTACTCCGTACCTACATTGTTCAAATTGTCTCCATCCCATGCCCCCCGTCCCATCGTGGACCCTTGTTGACGCATCTGTGTCTTGGGTCTTGTGGCTGAATTGGCTTTCTCCTCCCACACTCGACCTCGATTGATCAAATGCCAAATAAGGTACCTGCTCCAGCCCATCTCCATCTGGTACGTACCCGCTACCTGTGCCTTGCCCACAGTACGAGAACAGACTAAGAGCCCATCTTGGTCTACCTTATGTTTTGTGTGTTGATGCAGCATGGACTGACTGGAGCCCTTCACCCGCTGCCACACTCTCTGCTTGTGCCAACTGGCCCGCGGCTTACCTCACCTCACTTCAAACGCTCTACTCATGTATGCCTCGATACGATGAGTTGGTGTTCTGCTACTGTACGCTCCGGTACAACCAAAGGCCATACTGGTACTTAAAACGCAGCCACATCGCCTTTTCTCAACCAACCCACCACGCCGTCCGTCCAGATTGCCTTAAACCACACGACACTTATAAAGAGCCTCCAGCAACCCCCCAACTACTTACTTCGTCCTGTCTGCTTTTCCTTTTTCTTCTCTTCTTCCTCTCCTCCCATTTATATCTGCAGCATTCTTCTAATACCTCCTTGACTGGACCACCATCCTTTATATCTTCCATACTCACTCCTGTTTTCTACTCTTTATTCCCAGCGCTCCTTATAAGTGCTGCCCGGCGCCGCGCTCTGACGAAGACGTTCAACTTTATCTCTTCTTCAGCAACTCTTTGCGCCGCCAATCACTCCCTCGTCATATTCTGCCATCACCGCATACTGCCACATCTTCACAGCCGCCACTGCTGCTGCTTATCTATTTTTTATTTTTACTTTTATTTTTACTTTTTCCTCTTGATATTAATACTCGCGGTGCTGGCATTCCCATCACTCTCTTAACCCTCTCAGCTTTCCACCCTCATCATCATCTCTCTCTCCCCCCCTCCCCCCCATCTATCTCCATATTAGGTGCTCGGCATGTCGAATAATAGTAGACATCCCAGTTACCACCCACCTTTAGACACACAGCCTGACATGATGGCCTACAATATGGAACCCTCTCCAAAGTCCATCCAGGGCACCATGAATTTCCTTTCCCGTAGCACACTAGAGCTGCCGTTTCAGTCGCCCACGCAAAGTGCGATGCCGTTTTCTCCCGACTTCGCCGCAAATAGCAGCGCGCTGCCATACAGTGTCAACATGAATGTGAGTTATTGGTCTTTGATGACAGGGAACCCCCTTTTTGCGGCTTCATTCGTACACTTGCACCACATACCTTGTTTTTTCCCCCAGCAAGACAAATCTCATACTGACCATGTCTTTTTCCAGCAACAGAGCCACCAGACTCTTCTCCAGCAGGGACGGGCCTTGTCGCAGGCTGCCCACTATTCGCTGGCCCCTCCTCCCATGCATCGCGACATGTCGATTTGCTCAGAGCCCATCATGCGGTACAGGCAAACGACGCCCTCTGCGCCAACCGGCCGGCGCATCAGCCATGAGATGCCCTTCGCACCTCTTGCGCAGGTCCAAGAGAATGCTTCCTCTGATGAGAATGCTTCCCCTGATGTTGGCGTGACCCCTCAGGCGTACTTTGCCAATATGGCCCAAAGCTACCTGTCGTCGACCGGCACCAATCTGCCCCTTCACGACATGTTTGCAGGCAGGCAATCCGCTACTCCTTCCATGGTCACGGCATCTACAGGCACGGAGCTGGCTCCTCCCATGACGAGGGAGAACAGTTTTGTTCTTGCTAGCCCCGGCGTCAACATCACGAGGATGCCCTCGTCCGCATCCTACGCCGACCTGTTCCCCGGCCATGGTGCATCGGATTTTCAGCAGCCGAGCTGCTCCAATCCGTCCAAGATGCCCGAGGAACTCCTGGCGGTGGGCGGTGGCTTCTCTAATTTCCCTACAATGCAATACCCAACTCCGGAATATCAAATGTTGGCGTCCCCTACATTTGCTCCCACGCCCATGGAACGGGTGGACTCGACTTGCAGCACCAAGTCGACCGCCTCTTCTGTGGAACGCCGGGCCAGGGAGGCTCGAGAGCGGGTTCTGCTGCAGGCACAATCAACTTCGATTGCTCCCATACCTCAGCCGCTGCCCCGGGAGCCGGCTCAGCCCGCTCTTGGGAAACGCTCCACGCAGCAAGTCGCCAAGGTCAAGCAAAAGCCCAAGCACCCAAAGCTTCGATGCAGTTATTGCAATGAAATCCCTGATGGGTTCCGAGGCGACCATGAACTGAGGCGCCACATCAGCGCGAAGCATGTCCGGATTGTCAAGAAATATGTCTGTCGTGATCCGAGAGAGGCCGGTATGCGGAGCGGGCTTAAGCCCCTCAATCCCCTCTCTCGATGCAAGGCCTGTGCTTCTGGGAAGCAGTACAACGCCTATTACAATGCGGCAGCCCATCTTCGGCGCACTCACTTCAGAGTGAAGCCGATCAGAGGCAAGGGCGCCACGGCCATTAGCGAGAGAAGAGGCGGCAAGGGAGGCGGCGATTGGCCTCCTATGCCTGATCTCAAGGCATGGTTTGTGGAGATTGAGGTCGAGAGCGAGAGACCTACCTCGGTGGTCACAGGCGATGACCCCCCTGAGGAAGGCTCTCTTTCTCCAGCATCTACGTCCGCTACGCACATGGGCACCAACGCCGATTCGTTCGGTGAGGATGATTTCACTTCCGACATCATGCCAGTGAGCTACATGGAACAGTCGACTCAGGAGGACTCGCAGTTCGCCCTGCTGTCTGCTCTCGACGAAGGTGACGCTGACATGCTTGATTCATCGCAAGATTCTGCGACATCTGATTTTCAAAGCATGAACAACATGACCTTTGATATCCCTTGGTTTGATGATACCGATTTGGGGTTTCCATCGCTCTGATGCGGATGAGTGGATGTGTCGTCCCGTCGCTTGACTACCATCATGTACACTGATGTACACGTGGGATATGATCGACTCGCTCTGGATCGAAATTTAAATAAAGAAAAAAAGAAATTCCAAAAAAAAGAAACCAAAAAAAAATTACACAAACAAAAAAAAGAGAACTTACTATCATGAAATCATGACAAAAACAAGCTACCGTGCAACAAGAGCAAGGGGGTGCAGACAGGGATGAAACCTTGGCAGCATTCCTGTTGCCAAATCATCCCCACTGACGCTCTTTTACGATATATTTCTTTTTCTCTTCCAATTTTCATCATTTTGTCTATGTCTGTTGTATTCGTTTGGGTTTGGGTTTTTTGATACTTTTGCTTACTATGTTTTATCGAATGTCGTCGGGATACGTTTTGATGAGCTATTGGATCAAAGTGTTCCAGCTACACAGAATCACCGAACGCACACGGTGGCAATTTCACGTTTTTTACCTCCTTTACGGAGATCATTCGGCGGCATTCTCATATTGTCGCGGCATTTAGGAGGCGCGAGGCATTGTACGTTTACGGATTACGAAGAGTCGAGACTGCTAGATAGGGGCGTTCACCTTTTGATACACCATGTATGGAGCAGGGTCGTTTGAGTTTGGGTTGTTGTCTGCTTCTTCTTTTGCTGCTGCTGCTGCTACTTCTGTTTAGCTATGTTGGGATTGAATGTATGGATACGAGCAATGGAATGTATGGATATGATGGACGAGGCTTTTTTAACGTTGGGAATTTTGTTCAGAGGGCATATGGTGTTTTTTGGGAAACAAAGTGCATCTGGGATAGACCTAGACTGATATTTTCTGGAGGTGCACTTGTCGGATTATCGTGGGACAGGAACAGGACACGCACGACAACAATGCTTGAAGCCTTATTGGGCTTGTAAATTCTATGAATATTTGTTTGCAAGATTGAATACATATGGTTTTTCATTAAAGTTTTATCTCATTCCCACCCTACTTTGGTGTATTGACCGTGACCACACATTCATTTCCTTGTTGTTGTTTGAAGAATCCATACGGCGGTGTGTAGGCGGCGCATGTATTCAATGTACATGTATGTATTCCGTAAGTACGGAGTACGAGGTCCCAGCAGCAACGAATTTCAAGCAGATTTCACATGAGGCGAGATATGGGCTTGTGTCCGAAACGGGAAATACTTGGTGGCAGCGGATTGGATCGGTGTGGAGACGGGCAGCGGGAAGAAGCAGGGGTGGTCCTTGTTGAGAGTTTTTGGTGGGAACAAGCGGGAAAGAGCAAAAAAAACACGTAAAGAGAGGATGCAAAAATCATCAAAAATGAATGGGCAAGGGGGATGGGAAAAAGGGCGTGTAATGATTGGGTGGCGTTTCGGGGTGTGTGGGAGGGTGTGAGTTGGCAGTTTTGAGTTGATGGGTTTGCTGAGGCTGAGCTGTATTGTGCATGTACATGGAAAATGTGATGAGCTGTGCTGCGGTGTGTGGGCATGTACCTTGATGTGTGTGTGTGTGTGTGTGTGTGTGTGTGTGTGTGTGTTGAGCCTCTTTTTTATTTTATTTCCCCTCTGTTTGCCTTTTTGCTTACCGCCTGTTTTGATGCAAGTACAGTACCTATACATGAAGTGCTTATTGTGAGTCTCTTAATCTTCTCATTGTGGAAGCTTGCCTTTTTGCGGATGCGCGATGGCGGTGGAGAGGCACTGACCGACTCAACGCTGCTACCCTGGAAAGTCGCCGTATGACTGGATTTTTCGAATACCACCGATATTAATAGATGGCTTTTTTTTTTAAATTTCGGTATATTTAAATTAACATCTTTATGTTGTTGCTTCACCGCATTTCGCGGGATTGCGTTTACCGCTCTTTGTCCACGCACTTTACGGTGCGATTTCACTGTGTACTTGGGTAGGTTTTGATGCTACTTCTTGCATTTTGCCTTTCTGGATCTGGATGAGTACAGCCGCAGAAGCACCAAGGTTTGGCGTAATCAATATCGATTCCATCGGGAGAAGATTAAATCATCGGTCATGTGTTCGGGTTCTTTAAATCGACAAGATTAACTTTGCTGTAGAAATGAGTTTGAGCCAAAGGTCTTTTGTAAATTGATCGCTATTGATCACTAGATAACATTGCATTGTAGCATTAACAATGCCTGTAAATCCCCTCGCGCCAAGCCATTTCTTCTCGGCAGCAGTCCAAGCTGTACTCTATTTCATGCATCGCATCGTCATCTCTTCTATGCCCAGGGTATCATCATAACTAGCGCTCCGTCACCTGCCCAGCATCATGATTTCTTCACATTATCCGTCCACTCCTTGGCTCCCTTGACGCCCTCATGCCCTCTCCTAAACAGCCGTCTCTCCCACTCATCCAGTCCCCGCAAGAACTCCTCTCCCTGTCCTCCCAGCCCTGACTCCTCCGCCTTTCTCGCATGTAGTCCCACGTCGGCCGCTCTTACCACATACGTTCTCCTCAGAATGGCGCTCAGCTCCCTCTCGTCAAACAGGTCCAGCATCCGAACCGCCACGCCGTAAAAGTATGCGCTCTGGTCTCGCAGCGGAACCGCTCGTGGATCGGCCTTGAGCGCGGCGAGCACTTGTTCAGACAGGCAGGGCGGTAGCGTTAGGGTCAGAGGCGGCTTGGAGTCTTCTCCGGCAGAGGCGAGGGCGAACATTTCGGCGAGCCATAGGGGTAGGTTTAGACGCGTGCCGGGCTTGAGGCCATTGGAGTTGTCGAGGTGGCCGAGGTACGGAACGTCGAGCTCGAATCGGCAGGGGACTTTCTGAGATGTGGTTTAGCCTCGGGTCGACTGGATGTTTGGGGCGATTTGCTGCTTCAGAGGATGGAGATGATAGGAAAACGCACCTCCCCGTCGGTAAGAATGGCATCAACGTCGTAGTAGGACATGGCGAGTCTGCATTGCGGCGCGTCCGTTGGAAGCCCGGGTTTGGGGTTGGGCTTTTTGGGAGCTTTGGTGGGGGAGAGATGCTGGCGTAGAGTTTTGGCGTGGACGCGTTAAGTGGTGGTTTTGGCGCTGACTAAGAGAAGTCGAATCTTGATGAGCGTCACCCCACTATGAAATCCGAGAAGATGTGAGTGAATGTGTGCAAATGTACCTTATATGAATGGATTTTTCATTTTCTTCCTGGCATTAGCGGCCAATGGTAGGCATAAGTTTCCCCATAGCCAATTATCTTCCGTAGCATAGAGGTCAGTATCCTGCAAAAGGAAGCTTCTTTTCTGGGCTGCTGTTCTGTGGAGGGTTGTTTAAATCCTACTCCAGCTGGCCTCGTCCTACAAAACCCACGGAGGATAAGTACACCAGATGGAAACGCAGCAAAGGGAAAATCTCTCTTATGCGTGTAAAACACTTTCAATCTATCCCAAGCACACCCTAGATGCGCATATCTACTCTAAGCTGAGAGATGAGGAAGCAGACAGTCTGAATAGTCGTTTCGAACAAGCGAAACATCAAAGCCACGGGATCTAATATCCGCGATGATACGCTCTAAAGGTTGAGCATATGTGATATCGTACTGATTGTTCATGCCATTGCCCGCCGTCATCATCCCTGCTGGACGTCTCTGCATGTCCCAGATGCAAGAGCCGGAATCACCTGGCAAGGAGAACTTTTTTTCGGGAAATTCAGGCATAAGAATGGAAACTATAGGCCACTCTTCGCTCATGGTGTGCCTATCTCCACTTGGAGTTTCGGTGGTGCGGGTAAGTGATGCCAAAGTACTTCCAAGACCGAGGGTAAAATTCCCATTTGCCCCATACTTTGCTATGATGGTGGCTGGTTCATCATTATATGTGGTAGTTTCCTTGGGGTTGCGAAGTTCTGCCATAGGGACAATGGTTGTCTGTAGCTCCACGAAGCCGTCTTTCACTGGTGGACGTATTGGTATATCAAACCCATCTAATCCCTCTCTGCCTCTTTCAATAAGAGAGAGGAATCTTCTTTCGTCTCCAATGAAGACTTTGTTCTTAATCGAACGAAGGGGGATTTCGTGGTTGCGAGGAAGTAGTTCGATTAACGCCCAGTCTCTCAGCCAGTTGGTGCCCTGGTCAGATGTAGCATCGTACTGGGGCGAATAGAGAATTTGGCCAAAAACCCTCGAGGAAGAATTCTCAAACGGGATTAGACTTTTCTTGAGAGCCTTGGCGGTGTTGGACAAAGCAGTCCAAGTCGCGGCCGACTCACTTTGACCCATTTGCTTGTAATTCGCAGCAGACTTGTCGTGTCGGCCGACGTCTTCTACAGCAGTTTTAAGCATGAGCTCATATGCAGGCTGATGAATTTGTATAAATTCCTTGAGGGCACCCGACCCTGGGCGACGATATTCATGAATGCCCTCTATTTCTGAGTTGATCACAACGTGCCTGCAAGTTAAAGCGAGAATTCAAGGCTCGCCTCCAGAGGAAGACGAGCGAAGCTTAAGATAAATGCACTTGGTGCCAAACCTCGAGGGCATGTGTTTCATGGCAATCTTGGTGCCAAGGCAGTCGGACAAATCCACAAACATGGGCGCATAGAAATCATTCTCTTCAATCAGCGCCGAAGATAACTTGAAAGTGCTGGACGGCTTCGAGGTTGAATCAGCGCAGGACGTGACAAGAGATTCCTGTATCTCGCAGTGCACGTCATTAATGCCATGTTCCTCCAGAATAGACTTGCAACGCAGGGCAATTGAGTGTCCACGGGTCCACGATAAGGTTTCTGGTGCAACTGCTATGATAAGCGTAATATTATATTCCTTATTGAGGCCAACGCGTAGAGTGTCAACTGCGGTCCAATCTGCTACGCTGACAGCTTCCACAATCTGAACTCTGAGAGAAGATGTCGCATCATTCCACAGCCGATGTAGTAATGGGTGTTTTCCCACAGGTTGAAACGATTTCGGATACATATTATAAGTTCCCGTGAACGTAGTAGGGCCAAGCCTCTGTGGGTTTTGCCAGACATTCATGCTTGAACGCGCAACAAGCTTTGGGCAAGAAGGAAGTCCAAAGTAATACAGGTTGCGCTCTTCGGCGCTGGGAGGGGAAGGGGTGTGTGACATTTTGATGTCAATATCGAGAGACGTCGATGGGAAATGTCTTTTGGGCGGACTAACTTAAGATGTTCCAGATCCAAGTCCTTGACGAGAGGGATATGCCGACGTAGAATGTCCGGCCGTGATATTGGACCTCGTTGCGGGAGGAGATTTTTGTCCAGAACCTAGTCGAACACTCTATATATAGAGATAGTAACAGATAGTAGCGAGAGTAGCAGAAAATAGTAATAGTTGCAGATAGTACCAGCGAGAATAGTAAACACTCCAGGAACCATGTATCTATCTAAGTAATAAAAGATCTTTTATTCCGAGTTGTTACGACATTCGAAACTTTTCTTAGTCGCCAAGGTGCTGAATAGCCCTTCCCCAAAATAAAGCCACCACGGAGCGAGGAAAAAGCAAATTCAACAACAAATAGACGTGAGTCGAGAAAGAGATAACCTTCAACCCGATAAAAGTCTCTGTTGTTGAAGAGTTCTTCGAGTACGTATCTCGGTATAGCTCCATCTTCCAGAATCTCCTCTTTCAACTCGATAAGTGTGGTTTGAGTTACGCCGATGCGTTACGGTTGTTTCAAGGAAAGGCCGTATGAGATGACAGCGCAGACAGCAAAGGCCACAACAGCAGCCTTGAGAGGCGAAATAGCGAGTCCCTTGGAGTAGATCTGTGTGTCCAGGGTACTTGGGATAAATAACTATTTTAAACGAATGGGGGGAGTGGCGATGCAACACCTCAGGTTGCCTAGCCAGCATACCATATCTCCAGTCCAAAATAAGGAACGTGTGGTGGTAGTAGACGAATGTTGTTCTAGCAGCAGATTCTGAAGGAGCAGGGTGTTTTGTAAGTACTGCTAAATACCTAACTAAGGTAGATAGTTATCTACCTACCTAAGTAAATGGAACCTTGAAAGCCATCTCTTCCGTATCCAGCTACAACACTTGAATCACGAACAGGTAGTCACTATTATACCACTGGATAGCCAACTTACACACAGTCGCCCTCTTTTTATTTCATTTAGCTACTAGTAAAAGCTGATGTAATGTAAACTCTGAAATAAGGCATAGACCTAAATTCCTGTAATTCCCTTCTCGACATTGATAGACATAAGTCTGACACATATATGCAGTGCCCATTTCTCATAGACTTCATGGCTGTCTTGGTACCAAAGTAATTAGGTAGACCTGTTTAAGCCTATTTGCTAGCCATAGCCGTCTCATTGGTATCAATGGACAATCGTGCACAAGTGTCTGGTGCCGTGGGATAGAAATCCCTCTCAGACAATATTTCAATAGCATTCAGCTTCTCGTATCTCGCAGTGCACGTCATGGATATCGTAGTCCTTCTCCAAGGTTGCCTTCAGTTGTAGCGCAAGTGGATATGCGCGATCCCAATCGAGTGAATTCGGTAAAACGCCGATTACCAAAATGGTGCGTTTTTCGCCGTTTACAAAGAAGTGGCAAGGCAAGGCCATTGTACAATTTGATGCAACAGTCCTGACCTGTTCTGATATTCGAAGTAAAAAATTTTGGTCCCACACTTGGAGTAATGGATGTGTTCTTCCGACAAGTGAAAACCACAAATCCATGTCCCCAGTTTTCTGAGGGTTGACCCAGACATGTGTACTTGAACGCGCAATAAGCGGGGGGCAGGAAGGGAAGAGTCCGTAATAATAAAGAGCACGCTCTTCGGCGCTTGGGGGAGATGGCTCTGGCATCGTCATGCTGAGATATGTCGATAGTAGCTAATAGCTCACTAAGGCCTAGGTAAAGAAGGAAGAGTATACTTCAACAGAGTGTGGTTGGCCTTGGCAAATGGTGGACGGCATAAACTGTCTCAAGACACTGAACGAAGTTATTGAAAGACTTTGGGTATGATGGAAATGCTACTGGAATGGCGATTCACTGGGCGCACCGTGCTATTATCAAGGTGTGTGTCTGAATTATAAAGCAGGACTGATCAACCTTGTGTAAATCTACACTAATTAAGATTAACCCGATTGAAGATTTCATGAGAGAATCGAAGTATAATAGTGTAATATAGAGTATAATAATATATAGGACAAGTCAAACACGGCGAATACTGGCGTTTGTGGCGCCTTGAGTCAAGTAAGGTGGCTTTGGTTCTGCTCACATTATTGGACAGGGCCTAGTGGACATATCCGGGGTGACTCAGAAGCCGAAACTTTGAAATAAATAGATAACAATACTACCTGAGCAACATGCGGGATATTCCATTGTTGGCCAAGTAGAAACATACGGGTCTAGAAGAGGGGTGAGTAAAGGGTCCGAGATATCTCGACAAGAATAAAAAGCCTCTCAACTAAGTGTAGAAGTGAACTAACAATTGCCATAAAGAATGTGGCGTGGAACCTACTCGGACTCAAATGTATCGGACGTCGTGTATGTAACTGCGTAGGTCAATAGAGGGAAAAATATGGGCAGCAGTTGCGTAGATATTCGCATACCTCTAGAAGAGCAACTCAAGTTTTGTTGGCAAAGCAAAGTTCTACGCAGCCACACGAATGCACAAATAGAAATGCTCCTACTGCCACCTTTCTCATTAACCTTTACTGCGTGCACTTTCACCTAACAAAATTATCAGCCTCTTTGCTTTATCGGCGCAAACCTTGCGAGCTCGGCTTCTCCCGTTATTCCCTCGTAAACAGGTATATAAAGACAAGATGGCTCCCAGTGAATCCCAGACAGACATCACCCCTTTGCTAATCAAACGAAATCCTTGCCTAGTTTCTCTGGCCCATTATTGTCACTAAGCAATAGCAACATGACGACGCCGCAACCATCTCCTCCAACCGCCGAAGAGCGCAACCTATATTATTATGGGATCCCTAGTGCTCCAAGTCTTGTCGCGCGATCAAGTTCGCACGTCTGGGTTAACCCACAGAACCCTGACATGGCAAGCTCTCCGTGGACGGGGACTCACAGAATGTATCCGAAAACGCTTCATACTGTTGGAAAACACCCGCTATTGCATCGGCTGTGGAATGACCCCGAATCCTCTCTTAGAGGCAAGATCTTAGAAGCTCTCAGTGGAACAGATTGGACAGCTGTTGATTTTCTACGTATTAGCCTCAATAAGGAATATCAGATTACGCTTATGGTAACTGTCAGGCCGGACACGCTCACTTGGAGCCAGGGGCATCCTATTACTTTACGATGCAAATCCATTTTGGAAGAGCAGGGCATCTATGATGTGCATTGCGAGATACTTGAATCAGTTGTCCACTTCTACACCGAGGCGACATCCAGAACCTATTCCACCACCGACTCCGGAGTTAAGACAGATCCCCCCTCCAAGACACCAGCAACGTTCCAGCTCTCTTCGGGACCAATCCCGAAAGGCGAAAACGCGAATACATGGGCGCAACTATCTGACAGACTCGGCACCATCATATCCACCAGCCCTTTGGATGGTATAACCGGTACCAAAAGCCTCTATCTCTCCATCCCCCCGTCTTCCACTGGAGGCGAACCAAGAATCGCAGCCTTGACTTGCAGGCATGTGGTAATTGACTCAAAAAAAGAGGGGACGCAGATGTATCAACAGTCCCAACAGTGCAAAGAGGTCATCCAAGTTGACCAATGGACCTATGATTGGAGACTCAGGTGTATCGGGGACAGTGTTAAGAGACGTCTTGAAGCTGCTGAACTACGTTCCATGACCGGTCAAACGGCGGCTCCTTCACTCACTAATCTCAGCAATGAAGCCATGGTTCTTGAGCAGGCCATGAAGCCCTTTGAAGATGCTTCCTCGAGAGTTTTTGGCCGACTTCTTTACTCGCCCGAGTTTGCAACAACATCATCTGTGCCTGGATGTGCATGGTTGAGAGACTGGGCTTTAATCGAACTACTGCCCAAAAATCACCAAGCTCCCCTAGGTTTGATCCAGAACAAAGTTTATGTTGGGTCGCTGGATGATTTCCTTTGCACTTTTAGCAAAAGCAAAGGTTATTACAATCAGGTTCTAAGTTCGGGTGATCTAGAAATGGAAGATGGGGAATTACAGCTGCAGACAGCCGTCGTTCCTATGAATGAAATTTTCCATTCCCCTTATATGGATTATACTAGCGAGTCGGGACTATGTGTGGGGAAGTATGGAGCAAAAGGGGGGTTGTCGTTTGGTCGCGGCAACACCTTGATTTCTGTCGTTCGCCATGTGGAAACCCTAGAAGGAGGCAGAAAAGAAGAATTCATCAGTGAAGGATGGGCTATAATATCAGCCTCTGGAGGAAGAAATAATGTCCAAGAACCTTTCGCTGGCGAGGGTGATTCTAGCTCATGCATTTGGGATATGCAAGGACGCCCTGCTGGAATCATTACTGCAGGCAACAGTGCCTATGCAATGTGGAGCCACATCACATATGCTCAGCCTTTAGAGCGGCTACTTACAGATATTAGATCCCATGGCTTTGATGTGTCGCTTGTTTAAAGCGGGCACCTAGACTCTCTATGGATTGAAGGTGGTTTTCTTTAGTGTTGTGGTTGGGTTGATAAGCCGAGACTCTAGGTATGTAAACATACATGTATGTCTACACTATATCTATTTCCTCGCGGTAGATCCAAGATCCATAGAAGATTTAGGTACATTGAGCACATCTGGGGACCCAGAGTAGATCTAAACACATGCAATGCACTCAATTGTGTGTGCTTACTCTTACAACCTAGAATAGATCTATCTATACTTCTTCACAGATCGCTTTGTGTCTCTATTCCAGGTGTTACCATTCCATTAAAAATTATTTCGTATGTACTAGGCCTTGGTAGATCGCCGTAACCTTTTTGGTGTTGACTATCTCGAGTTGGTCGTCCGGTTTCCTCGGTTGGCGACACGGGAAATTGTCTCTCAACCTGTAGAGGGGCACCCTGGTTGACTCAACTCAGGCAGCTGTAACAATAGTGTACTTAGCGCACACAAACACAAGTAACCACATACAAACGCAATGGTGATTATTGGCTTGTGAATTAGCCTAGATGTGAGGGTGTGAAAAACTCTCTCCTCTCTCCTATCTACTTGTTCTACATCTTTCAGCATTGATCCACCTAGAATGAGCATTATCACACCCTGGGATGACAATATCCGTCCAATGGCGCAATTGATCGCTAAAAATCCAGATCAATCTCTGTTTAAAGGGGTGACATCAACCGTTGATTCACACTAAAGTCATTAGGCGGATATTATATGTCTCGTCCTGGGAACAACCCAAGAGTCAGGGTGGGGCTTTACACTTCAGCTGAACTGACTTAATGTTATCTAACACGATAGAGATCGGCAAGTTTCAAATATTATTGCTCAGTAAGGACATGTACCGACTAGACGAAGGTTCTTATTACGTCGAAGACATCACGTTAGCGGACTTTGAATAGGCCTAGCCGTGCCAGAAGAACGGTGGAGTCAATGGTAAGCCCAATTTTAAAGGCAGGTTGATGTATACTAAAGATGGCAAAGAGGCTTTTTTCAACGTTCAGGCTCTACGAAAGGTTAACTGGCGGTTTCAGTCAAAAACCCGAGTGGTTACAGCGATCGTGCATAAGTAGCAATGAGGAGTAACTGGATGGACTTACTCTGGCTACATGGCTTTGACCTAGCAAGGTCATTTCATGCCCTTGTAAATATAAAAGTAACAGATCTCAGCAATTCCCACTTGAGCTGGCGGAGCGCGAAAGAAGGCAACGGAAAAGCCGAGGTTTGCAGGAAGACCTAGCCAATTACATCTTGAAGAAACTGTCAAATATCACCCATCTTGGGTGCCACACTGAGACATGTGGACAGAACCAGAAGCGAATTGCCTTTAGAGAGCGAGAGTATATGTTAAAAAATATGGGAATGACTGATGATTAATTAAAGAATGAGGGTCTCAAAAACGTGAATGCCATTGCACTGGAGAGAGATATCAGCTGTGCAGATATCCACTAGCGAAGTCAACAGAGAGGCTGATAACAAAGTGAGAGACAATGAAAGCAAAATAACTTTTGCGACAAGAAAATATAAATGTTTAACCCCCAAGGAAATTATTGAAGGTGGAACTACTGGGAGTAATATAGTATTCTACCCAGTCAAAAGTCGGCTCTTAACCCGATAGCACCCATGTTATTTTCTCTCTATTCCGCGTTAATCCCATACAAAGAGCTAATTCTGTCAGAATGATTGCCGCAATTTTGATATTTAGACTAATCTTTTTGTTTTGTAGCACAACCGTACGATGAGTCGTAAGAGTATTCTGTTTTGCATAGTAGATAACCTCCACAAGCAGTACCAACCGTCAGCATTTCTCCATAATCAGCTGTGCATATATTTCACCTGCCCGATATAGAAATATTCTCGACACTAAAAATGAATTTTTCTAGACGGGAATAATAAACTTCACCAGTTGTGCGCAGAATACGACATGGTGGGTAATATCTCAGAGAAGAACTTCATTTCCAAGACACAAGATTCTTGGCATACTCTTACACCGCTTCAGAAATATGTACCTAAGCGTTATTTCCATATTAATACATGTTCTTTACCCCTGTTGTGTCAACTCGCGTTAGCAAAAGGTCTGTGTACTAGTGGAAGTTATTCTTACAGCTACTACTGGTTGCGTGATAAGATACTCCATATGTTTTGCATCTGAGTAACTTGGAAACAGATATAAGAAGGATATATTTCCATTTTCTTAAGTGTAAAATATCTGAACAAACAACTCATTCTCCTCTCCTCTTACCTGTACACTATTTTGTCTTCGAAGTCACGAAATATATTCGCCATGTTGTCATTCAAGGCCATCGCAGTAACCCTAGCACTTATCAATGTCAGCCACGCTGCAACTTGCGAAGGGGGGAGTGCAATCGCCTGCACTATCAACGACGGTGCTCTTCCTCGTGTAAGCGATATGTGGACTGCTCGACAAAATTATTGCGGTCAGAACCAGTGGCAGTGGAACTCCTGTTACAGATACCAGAACGGCCCGGCGACTGCAATTTTTATCCAGAACAGCAGTCCTGGGGGTAACAATCAACAAGTGTGTTGGGATGCCCTTGAGAATATTATTAACCGTGAGTTTAAAATTTACTTAAAGTACTATTTAATGAGCAGTATGCTGATATAAAACATCAATTAGAATGCTCAAGCTTAGGCCAAGGCCAAGCCTTTGGATATTATGATTATAATGGCGTGAGATACCGAATGGGTGGATGCTCAAATGCTCATGTATGCTAGGCACCACCGCTTTTACGGATCGTGCTATTATACATATTCTTAAGACAAACCAATGGCTATTATACAAGAGATATTCGACCGATATGTGACACTATAAATATTTTCATTTATTTTGAAATTATGGTCACATGAACTCTTCTGGATTCCGCCGCCAATTGTCACCTATCTTGAACTGGTTTACCAGAGAGCCTACCGATTCAACTAACCCAACGCCCTCATACCCAAGATCCTGAGGGTAGCCACCGGCACAAAAGAGTGCATTAGAATGACAAACTCTATTGTGTGTGATCTGAATGAGGACATTGTATGGACCGAGAGGCGGAAGGTTACGATATGCTAGGTCAAGACCACGGTATTCGATCGATCAATAGTGAATTCCTCGGTGATTAAGTTTGAGATAACATGTCTAAAGACGGCACCATTAGACTATGTGAAGTCGGATAAAGTTTCCAAACAATTATAGGAGCATTAGCTGGTGAATGGGCATTATAGTTGCCATCGGACTTGAGTAGGAGCAGGGAATCCTTGAACGATAATTACAAAATGGTAACCGTCTACACTGAGTTCGTAAGCTATATTGGACTTTTCTGGTTGAATATATATAAGATACTCCTTCCGCTTTTTTTTTTTTTTGGAATAATTTCACATAAAGAGACCTGAACTTTCACCTCATGGCTGTTCTAGCATGGTTATTCGGTATAACCCTTCCATAAGCTCTCATTGAGCCTTGGCGTCTTAAACAATGATTAGTAACTAAATCCGTTGTCAAAGCTATGGTAATTTGACTATGCCAGATAGAACTAGATAGATAGCGCTGGCTTAGCCAGGCCCAAGTTGGCAGTATTGCAACAATATGAAACCCCCACTTGATTGTCTACCTGAGCATTTCTACACATAGACTCGACAATGCTAATGTACCGGCACATTGCTTACGCCACATAATCTTCTCTCTCGCCGGTTCATACTTGTTCAAACATTAAAACGTTTAGCAATATTCCCGGCGAAATGCCCACCACCCAAGCTGTACTTGCATTTCGCAAGGCAACAATAGCCGACGTAGGCCATATTTTGATTCTTGTCAATACCGCTTTCTGCGGAGACTCGGGCCGTGCAGGCTGGACTTCAGAAGCTACCTTCCTGAACGACGACCGCATTGACGAGGCTGGCGTCATCACGAGGATTAATCAGAGCGGAGCATTTATTCTTCTGGCACATGATACTTCCGGTGCCTTGGTGGGCTGCTGTTTCATTCAGAGCAAGGGCGACGGGCTTGGATATTTAGGACTCTTGGCTGTTGACCCATGGAGACAGGCTAGTGGACTTGGGAAGATGATTCTCACAAAGGCGGAAGTTATGGCTAAGGCTGAATTAAGCATTCGATTAATAGAAGGGCGCGTTATTTGGCCAAGGGAAGAAACGATTAGTTGGTATATTCGAAGAGGTTATACCAAAACAGATCGGACGGAGCCATTTCCATACGCGCAGGTTGGGAATTGTAAGGCTATAAGGGGAGATTTGTATTTCGTTATTATGGAAAAGGAATTATAATTGGTGATGCTATATGCATGGAGCAGGTGAGTGTCTGCGGACAGTGGAGATGTGGAAACTCTCACGACGAAAAATGCCCTTGATACTGGCTCCTCAACTTTCAAGGCTCGAGGCTGCCTCCTTTGGGCCATGGTTTGGCAGGTGTAGGGAAGCTTTGTGTGCTTTATGATCTGACGCCATGAAAGCCATAGATGCCATGCATCACTTTTCTCCAAGTCGGCAAGTTCAAGGGATTAAGGGACCTTTTTTCCCACTCTTCATTAGAGTCAAGTTCCTTGGGTGCTTCAGTGCCTGAGCAGCCCGAAGTTCAATACCTGTGTCTCCTTTGTAATGGCCACCATTCTCCGTCGCCAAGTCGCCAGGCATGGTATTTTTTACCTTTTCTGTAATAGTTGGTACCTCGACGCCTACGGATGTGGTAGATAGTGGGTGCTTTCGGATTACTTAGTGGTCCTCGACAACTCTCGCTTTAGGGTTGAAATAGGTGTCGGCTAACTCAAGGGGCGATCGCGTTTAAACAAATGATACGGTTACAAACCCAGGCAAGAGATCATGACACTTGAAGCGCGCAAGCTTTTATGTCCTACAGAGCGATGTAAACGGTGCTTATAGGTTCCTTTAGTATCGGAAATTGGTATAAGAATAACATCTTACATCTTATACATCAAGCCACAGCGCAAGCTCGCTCTGGTTGATTGGTAAATTATGTGGCTTAGCGTTGACACCATTGCTGATTTGCTTGATATGTAGGGAGTGCAATAGTCGGCCACAGGTTTTCTTTTTACGATTACTGATACTACATTAGCCGAGATGCCGCCCTTCAACCTATTGGCTCCCAAAGCCTCGGTGGTTTGAGATCCAGGTTCTGGCACAATGGTGACTCACACAAGTGAGTCGTTTCTTTGGGTCTTGGCTCTTAGAATCACTATGATATCCAACTACTCGTCACAAATCACCATTTAAACACTTTGTATTAATTTGTATTTGCAATTAACTACGTCGTAATTCCTTCAAGATGTATATTCGAGCCGCTCATGACGACGCCACCATCCCCATGCTGCGCCAGCTAATTCGCGACAACCCTTTAGGCACTCTCGTCACGGCTATTCGATCCAAGTCTCACCCTCTGATACTGTCGAGCCATATACCATTTGTACTTGATATTCAGAACGAGGATGACGAAGCTGAATTGGGCGTCCTCCGGGGGCACTTAGCGCGGCAAAACCCCCAAAGCAAAGTCCTCATCGAAGCAATCCAGTCACAATACGAAGCAGCGCCCGAAAACGTTCTCGAGGACGAAATTATGGTCCTATTTACGACATCAGCACATCACTATGTTACCCCTAAATTTTACGTCGAATCGAAACCGAGCACTGGCAAAGTGGTTCCAACTTGGAACTACGCCGCAGCGCAAGTATACGGAAGGGCCAGGATTTATTTTGACTCCAAGTCCGACGAAACTAGTTCGTTCCTATCGAGGCAAATAGATGATTTGTCGGAGCTTGCTGAGGTATCTTTGATGGGCCACGATGGCATTGATGCCAGACCAGAGGCATGGAAGGTGGCAGATGCGCCTGAGTCATACATCAAGCTTATGCAGAAGAACATCATTGGCATTGAAATTACGATTGAACGATTAGAGGGCAAGTTTAAAATGAGCCAGGACAAACGGCCAGGCGATATTAACGGCGTGATTAACGGTTTCAAAAACCTTGGTTCTGACATTGGCACACAGATGGCAGAACTCGTGGAGGAGCGCGCATTGCTTAGAGGCTTGAAACTAGGGTAGAGCCAACGCTCTACAATGGATACATTAGATTTTGCTTTGCCCTTTGTTCGTTGATGCCTGGTTTATCTGACGGAGGCTTAATGTATAGTACACCATGTTATTGTAAATCAGTGGCGCTACTCTACCAATATACTTATTATATTTGAAGTCTCATAGTCCATCCTGAGACCCCTTAGTAGGGAGCCGCGTGCACATCTATCGGCACTCATAGCTATTAGGCAACGAAGTTGTGTGAGGAAGTAAGGCCGACAGGTAGAAACATTGGAATATTACTACTTTTATTATATTTCCGTACAGTGACCATGAGGTCGCTCAGGTCCCATTGGGCACATGATGTGTTAGCTTAGCAATTGGCTACCATCTATCCAGCGGAATGGTGCTAACCGTAGCAGGACAAAACTCTATCCCATATAACATCAACTCTACAGCGTTCTCTATCGAAGCCCCCGCCAGCGAGTTATGAGGCACGACAGAGGCTGCCTAAAACAAATTCTTCCACAACGGGAACCGGGATAACCAGGCAAGCTGACAGGAAAAGCAACTCGGAGTCAAAATGTCCCACAGTATCCCGAAACCGCACCCGCATCCGCCACGCCACCTCATATGGATTGGCTTTCTAGTCTCACAGCCTGTACTCTAGCCGAACAGCCGGAACTCAGTCAATTTTACTATCTAGACTCTGGGAAGCTGGTGTAGGTACCTATTGCCTCTCTTCTTACATTAGAAAATAGAAAGAACATTGTGGAGGAAGTTACCTACAGTAGCAACCTCAAGCTCACATACACACTTAATTGCGTAACGGTCTAGAAAGAATATCGACAGATATTTATATGATTCTAACCAATATCCAAACATTTAAAAGGAAAAACAAAGAGAATAACAAAACAGAATGCCTGGTTAAATAATCGTCATATAAGGATGTAAGACTATATGATACAAATGGCTAAATTAATTTGTTCCTTGGCCCCGCCGTATTTTTATATCAATCACCCATGACTGAAGTTTGACTGATGAAGGAAAAAAGAACAGAGTAAAAATGGCATTGGATACCTCCGTCTTTGCACTCAGAGTCCCTGGCTCCTTTATTGTAGTATGACTCTTGAAGTCTCAGATATGCGCCGCATAGTGTAGTAAGAGAAAGGGAATCAACATTGGCAAAACCTTCAAGGGCATCCATCATATAGTACATACCTATGAAAAATAAGCGAGTGGTGTCTTGGAGCCCCGCCTAAGTGTATATACTTGTAAAGATGTAACATTGGGCTGTTCCAGGAGCCTCGTTAGGCCTCAAGGCTGGCACATGCAGCCGGCCTCTAGCTGGGACATGTCACCTCTATATGCAGGCTAAAGTCATTAATAAGTTATGATCAGGCTCAAAGCGTGCTGCAAAAAGTAATCGGTACCCGATTTACAACCATGATCCATAGACTCCATTTTGACTTATACCGCTGGCTTTATTGACACTGCTGTGTAAATACCAAGTCTTAGGTGCCCCATGATAAGCTTGGCCGCAGTTTCTACACTGGTTATAAGTGTGTATAATTTTAATCCATTCCGCGAGGCAGTTCATAAATGCTAAAGTTTCCCCTGTATGAGAGTCCGGTATGGATCATAGGTGATCCCAAAAATCAGACCAATGATTCGCATCCGCTTGTGTTACGTGTGGCCGGCAGCGCGTTGGTGGTTTCCTTGAATATATTATCTTGTACACGTAGCTAGTCCAACAATTCACGTGGCTACAAAAATGACGTTATCGAGGTGTGTATCTCATATAAGGCTGGAACGTTGGGCTGTATTTTACAGAATTTGTTATCTTTCTGACTATTTAATAGAAGGCCGTCCCATAAGTTCAAAAGTTTAATAGTTTCATCATCTTAAATTGCCTATATTTCCAATTGCGTTATCGTCGAGTCCAAATTACAATGTCTGGATCTTCGCGTCCATCCACTCTAAACTCGCCCACTTTGGATTCGGATTTGGAGAAACATCTTCTACCAATAACTTCTCATCCATCAAGTCACCAATCAGAAAGTCAACATGATTCAAAAAGCGAAACCGTTGTGGTATTCCCCTTCCGAACACTTCAACTGCAGAGGATAGCCGAACTGCAAGATAAGCTGCTCGAGATATCTGGGTTGAATTTGAAGACTGTGACTGCGGATGAAAAAGAAGCTATTGACATGACTTTAACACGCTACGGTAAGATCCAATCAGGATGGGAGATATCAATTTACTAATTGATACATGTATATTCGCTGTGTACAGCGCAGGCTATACGTGATTATGACACGTTATCCGAAAATACCCTCTTTACTATTCCATCTAACGCTACATTCGTCGGTGCTTTGGGTGGTATGGTGCCACCACACGGTGGCATTCACTTCAAGTCGACGATAGCTTCTCTTCTGAAAAGTACCGACACTATCAGAGCTGCTTGGTTCACAGCGGGCGTTGACGATGCCTATGCTCGGCTGAGCCCCGACAAAAGAAACATTCACTTACCCATTAGTAATCTGATAGGAAACATAGGTGTCCGCGAACTAGGTCAAGAGGGGCAAATCCGTCGAGCTCAACAGAAAGCATTCACAGCACGATTGGTCTTTGCTCTGCTGGGAGGCGTGGCCCTTATTGGTCCTGTCCTCATCATGACACTTCACACGTCAACGAGCACAAATCTCATTACCATATCAATTGCAACATTCATCTTTGCTCTAGTCATGGCGCTTTTTGCGACTGATGTAGAGGGAAAGGATGTACTCGGCGCTACTGCTGCCTATGTTGCAGTATTGGTGGTGTTCATTGGAACAAGTTTGCCAGCAAATACTAAATAAGCGGCGGGCCTATAGACAAAGGAAGAAAGAATAGCAATAAGATGCCAGCATAAAGAGCATTCCATATTCAGATAATAATTGACAGTATCCAGATCCCATTTATTACCGGTGAAGTTCTTGAAACCAACATATTGAAATGAATCTTCTTTAAATATTGATATTTTGCTCTTCTGACTAGGTACCATCGGCTTGAACCAGAGAACCTTAGAATATTTTAAAGAGAAACAAGATCTTGATACGGCTATTACTAGTAACTTGAGAATTTTGGACTCTCATGATCAGAAGCTCCAATCTTACGCAAAACTTGTCGTAATAAAAGTGTGCATCAGCCTCGTGTGCAATAATCTTGGGGGACTGTTACGAGCAGTGAGCCAGTTTGTGGGGATGGAAGACTTAAGTTTCCACGTTAATGCTGGCAGTGTGGATAATAAGACAAGGGATGACTCTGTGTATCGCCACCCAGAGTAAAGATATGGGGATGGCGGGCAGTGTAGTGCCTTGTTCTGTTAGAAATTGCCTGATCAGTGAAAGAGTCGTAGATCAATCATAGCACGAAGCTACATGTATGCACATTGATCACGCTTAGGTATACCAGATCATAAAATCTCGAATCGTGTTTGCATATCGTGTTTGCACATATGTAGGCTGCCTCAATGCTACAGATTTATCATGCGCGGAAAGTCCATATATATCTTCCCAGCAGCATTTCAACGATTCCATCGACCGCCCATTTCTACACCAAGGCCTCTGAATCGCTCATCTTTTCCCACCCACACCAAATCATGCACGTTCAAACATGAAGAGTACGAGCCATCTGTTGATCGTACAATCAACAATTCCATTTTTCTCCCTGGACCAGCTGTCCCTGGTGTAGCAGCTTGGGCTTGTTCCGCCACATTGTCTGTAAGCATGCAGCGCGTCCACTGTGTGAATCTCTGAGACTCATTATCCAATGTCCTCGCGCTGCACAGGCGGCCTTCTGGGTCAAACCAGAGTAAATAAATGGCATAGCCGCGACTGCTGCTCTCAACGCCGGTGTTGCACTCAGGACCGTTGGGTCCCTGACATATGGCATTGTTATCCAGATTTCTGATAAAATATGTAAGCCGCGAAGCAGTTGGATGAGCTACAGGGCCAGGCCAGTCTGCTCCGTTGGGTGTGACGCAGAACTTGGATGACCATTCCGTCTTATCAAATGTTTGGCCATCTCCTTCAGGTAGAATTGCAGTCTTGCCCCAAACGCGACCCTCGGTGCCGTCGATCCAGAAGATGAATAGTCGTTCCCTAGACTCGAAAAACGTAGATAGAGCAACCGGGCCACAGCCCGAGGTATCGGCATCACCGCTGTCAGCGATGTGGGCCTTATCGTCTACAGACAGTAAATCCAGGGGTCCGCTGACGTGGATTGAGCTCATAAACTCTCCAAACGGCGGCATGGGTACCGTTTGGAATCGCATCCATCGTATGCCTCCCCCCTTTCGCACCCAGAAAAAGTCTCGCCCTCGCTTGCCCAGGCGCCCTGCTGCACAGATGGCCTTTGAGACAGCAACAGCGATCTCACCTTCGGGCATAATGGGCCCATCACAATCTATTAAACCCGCTTTGGTTATAATCTGTGGCTTCAAGCGACGATGTAGAAAACTCCTATCACCACCCCAAAAACGGCCATCCGTGGATGTTGACATGAAGAGCTCGCCTCGAGGCCCTGCCCAGACCATGTACATTTCAGGCTCCGTACCAAACATGCAGATGGATCCAAAGTATGTGTGAGCGATGTCAATCCTCTTGAACGGCATTGGGCTTGATGCCCACCTTTCATCCGCATCTACCTGTTTCCACCCATGGTGGGGCCATTCAAGAAAGTTGATCTGTGTTCGCTCTACCGCATCTATGCCGCCATCACGTTTGACCCAGGCGAGTTGGTGCTTATGAAGAGACTTGCCCACAGGGGAAATGGCAAATGCGCCCACTGACCCAGCATATAGATCCTGTTTATAGATCTTTAACGGGGTCACTGTAGCAAGTACCGTTCCATTGTAGTTGGCCCGGCGCCAGTGGACACAGGTGATGGTGCCATTACCTTCCACAAACCAGAGTTCGTTGGTGGCCCTATATGTTACGAATTGACTGCGTGAATGCACCGTTGGAAGATTGGAGAGATCAAGTGGTGCCGCTGTGACGGGATTTATAAAAGTGTCAAGCAGCAAGAGGGTGAAAACATCCGCCCTTTCCTCCAGGAGGCCTACCAGCCGCTTAGATTCGACCATTAATTGATGTACAATGCGGACTGTTTGATCACCCTCCATATCAGAATGCCAGATATGAACATCTCGCTCCAGACGTGTCATGTTGGCTTCGAGTTGTGCATCAACGGCCTTATTCACAACGGGGCTCTTGGAATCATATGGCGCTTCGGGTTGACATACAGGGCTGAGCATAACGCGTACCTTATATGGGTTATCAGCACCGCTTATTTTTGGAACATTGGGGGGCTGCTTCCAATAGATGTTGATACCCGGATAATCCAACGTAAATCGCACATCGATAGGATAAAATGGCCGGGGAATCTCTGGGAAGTACACGCGCGCCGACCGCGGACTCACACGTCGTCCCGTTGACTTCGACTTGACATAGAGCCTTATATTCTCTGGGCTTTGTGGTGTGAACTCGTGGAGGTTTGTATTACTTAATTCACTGGCTGAGGTGGATTCGCGCAGCAGGTGTGGTGCCAGCGAGAAGCTCACAAACTGTTTGCCTGAGCCACTGCGCAGCTTTGCTTCACAAATGACCTCTTCATCTGGTCCTAAAAGGCGTGAGCTGGCCACAGTTATATGCAAATATAACTGCTTTCTACTGGCAAGATAGAGATGTGTTGGTTCGCCCATTTTTAGAGTAACGGCTGGCTGGACTGTTATCTGTCGAGGGTAGGCCGTTTGAGCTTCCCACGAAATGTCAAACTGCGACCTGTAGCCAGATAAATCATCAGGATGGACGACTCTGACTTGACGCAGTATGAACGAGCCGTCAAAGAAGGCATCTTTCATCCGATCCTTGCCAAATCGTGGTTGCGCTGTGATGACAAGTAGAAGCGATTTGCTTGGATGAGCTTCTAGCAGATCTCCCAGCTTTGGTGATTCATTTTCCTCTTTGGGGGCAATGAAGAGGCTCCCAACTACAAGGCTTGCGTTGTATGACCATAGTGCACTCCCATTTAATCCTTCAACCTTGGGCAGAACGGGTGCGGCTGCTGTGCCAGGGATAATGAGAAGCGGGTTTATCCCACCTCCGTTTGTACTCTGCCCTTGAGAAAGCTTGACAGGAATGCGTACTTCAAGAAGCTCTGGATACCTCTTCTCAAGATGAGATTGGTTGGATGATTGCTTTAGCGCAAATACCAAATCCATGGGCGTTTTGAGATAGTGAATTGTGCTGCCGCCTTCGTTCCAACGTTGACTCGTCTCGTTAGCTGAGTCAGGGTCAAAGAGGGCGAAACAGGCCGCCTTGCTTGGCCATGGACACAATGTGGCCTTTTCGGGGTATTTAGCGTGTGGTAAGAAAACTATTTTGCTGTTCTGGTCCTCTAGGCCTTGCGCTGTGAGGCTATGCTGGGGCGGCATCAAGGATGAGGTATAGTTTGATGTTGCCATCATGGAAGATGATATTCCGGTTGGAAGTGGTACCCATGCTATTTCAACCACCTCAATCTTCTTGCTTCGATTAATTGGTTTCCGCTCTACCATTGCTGACGCTGGTTTTCGTATATTACCGCTTGTTGCAGTTTTCGTCCGTTGTCCAATGTCTAACTCAGCTCCAGGCTTCGTCCACCGACCTTCGCCACCTCCTCCGCCAACCATTCCTACTTTATCAAGATTCAACGTTAACTGCAGATTCGGTGTATTAAGTTGCAATGCCAGCGCTGCCGACGATACATCGTCTTCTGCCCCTTTCCACTTCCATACTTTGGTTGCGTCTCGCTCTGGTCCCGCCATGGCTGCAACATATCGCTTAAACAACGTGTCGGGTCGAATCATTCTTGTCTCCCAGTCGTAAACAGTATCAGAGCTACTTCTTGCTGCGGGAGCAAACATTCGTTCCAACTTTTTTCTCTCCTCTCCAACCTCGGATGATAGGGGCACCAACGGAATTGGACGAAACCAACCCTTTAGCTTAGACTTTGTGAGGCTTTCTCCTGCTTCGAAGCTTTGCTGATGAGATGGCTGAGAAATACAAATCTTATTAAAGTTGTTCTCCCCTGGTTTGCGATCAAACAAGCAAAGCAAGATATCGTCAGCCAGCAATTGCATGTAAAGTACCTCGCGGATACCTTCAGGAACTTCTTCGCTGAACTTGGCCTCTACTTTGAGATCAGGGAATGCAGTGACTGCTATACTGCGAAGCAAGAACCCCCATTTCGGCATCTGCACCGTAGTACCCTTTCCAGGACCATCAGATCGAACCTCGGCCATGTACCGATTAAGGCAAGATTTGATGGCTCGTCGAATCACATCGTCGCCATTGGCAAAATGATTGGCCATGCTCAGCCCTCCATCAATAACGGAATCCACCCACTTTGGATCTATGCAGAACGTCCGGATTGATTCACGAGGGAGCATGTCTGGATCAGGGACAAGGTTATGCAAAGGAAAGCCGGCGAGGAAAAACTTATCTAGAGCCCATGCTCGAACCAGCACCGCATCTGAGTCTATGGCTCTTTGGGGAATAGGAGGAATCTCAGGCTTTGCTTCTGTGTGTGGAGGAGGAAAGCCGAAGAAGGCATTAACAACAGCCTCGAGCTCTTCTATATATGTGCCTTCCTCTAAGTCTAGAGGCGCACCGGAAACTGCTAGACGCGCCAGAAGACCACTTTGTCGATCTTCTCGCTTGCGCAACCACCGCGAGTCACCACCCGTTAAGTTCGTGATATCATGTGCCTTTTGGAGCTGATTGACCGACTCGTGGAGAGATCCGAAGCATGCCGCCAATGTGAGGTCACCCGTATCAGTACCATTGACCTTCATTGTAACGGCCCTCCTAGCCTTAACACGTTGAACAGCCTCCGCATGAACATGGCCTCGAAATCGGAGAAGCGCTGCAGTGAAAGAGCGATCTGCCATTGCAAGAGATCGGCCAAGATGCCATGCCATCTTGTATGAGATATCTTCGATCCCTGTCTCGCTATCAATTAAGCCGAGATCTTCGCCTGTCATGGAGAAGCAGCTAATCATATCTCGTGCTGGTGACACGGGGATGAATGGGCCGCGCATAAGGGACCGAGTAATCTCGCCCGTGGGAAGTGTATGAGGCTTCAGTGTGTATCCAGCATATAATTTCTGTTGTATCCAGGTGGCCATCGGATCTTTTGTTCGTTCTGCCTTCGCATGACTTTTCCTTTCCTGTGATACTGTGACTTCCTTCTTTTCCGGTTTGCCATCTTCTGGCTTCTCAATTTCATCCATCTTGTCAAACTCCTTTTGGGCCAGGTCTAGCTCTTTCTTATATTCTTTAGGCATCTCAATACGTAACGGTTGCACATTTTTGCCTAGGCTCTCCATAGTGTTCCTAAAATCAATGTGACTTTCTGGAACACACATCCAGTCCCAGCTGAATAATGATACCAATCCTGCGAATTCTGCCTGTGGTTGCAGGTCTGCCGTCATCCTGGAGACTCCCTCTAGTGAAATGAGATGCGAGATGACACGACGCGGTTTGTCTTCTCCAGGAGGACCAGTCCTGGGGCTAACAACTACAGAAAACTCAGGCTGCGGGTTCGGACCAGCGCCACTATTGCTCATGAGGTTGACGGTACTAGCCATGAAGCCAGCATGAGTTTGTCGTACGTGAGCCATGTGTGAAAACCGACCCAAGTCGGGTACAAATGGTGACTGTTTTGACTCTTTATAGCTTGTAAAGAGCTCTTGGAACAGAGTTCTGGTAATTAACACAAAGTTGACTCTATCCGTGGCTGAGTAGTTCTTTTCATTGATGGGAAGGCCCGCGTTGCCACTGAGTGGCGAAACCACTCCTGTAAGTGTCTCAAGATGTGAAGCAGTTGTCGAAATAGTCCCCATGCTGGACGGCTGCGATTTGGGATCTTCAATTCCCGCAGTACGGCATTTACTCTCGTCAAGAGCAAGCTCATCCTCTGTGAAGCTCAAGACACCTAGCCATGGAATCCGGCTATTCGCCAAACCACCACTGCTCCGTCCTCCATTGCCACCAGTAATTTCTCGCTCCCAAGGTGTTGTAGGGCGATTAAAGACGACGTGTGCAAGCGTTTTTGCATAGTCACTGTGTCCAGAAGCTGGGTATACGCTGTGAATGTCCGCATGTGGATCAACTAGCTGGAAGTTTGGGCTGGATACACGCAGCTGCGTATCGGGAGATGAAAGTTCTTTGGTAACAGTCTGTTTAATATTTGGATCGAAAACCTCGAGATGCTGGGATGTTCTCAATGTGTATTCCCCGACAGTGAGCGGGGGTTCTTGGTATGACCAGACATTTAACTGCCCGCGCGAAAGCTGTCTATCGACTGGGCCCGATGAGCTCGATGTGATAGTGCGGTCTGGTTGGCGTTTAGAAAACGCCGGATACAAGGTATTTGTAGATGCAGACAACATCTTGGACCTCCTGTATCAAAAAGAAAAGAAGTAGTGAGTAGAATGTGCTTTAAGAGAGTCTACATGAGGGGAATAGTATATCTATTCCACTGTTGCTCATATTTGGAGTGTAAACTTGGTAGCTAAATTTACAACCTGCTTCTCGTATGTTTCGGTTAGGAATGTCCACCTGAATATTTTTTTGTACGAGATGTCCCCTGTCCCATATTACATAAAACGGCGCTGGTCAGCTGGGTTTCAAAGGCGATATGAGCCTGGTAGCGTAGGCGGATCTCAACAATTCCAAGTGTCCATATTTTATTCAACTGGCGTATCAAAATCTTTATCGCCCTTGAGCTCGATCGGACGGGCCACGTAGTGCAGGAAATATTGGCAAGTATTGGATGAGCGCATAGGTAGTTTGCCAAATTCGGAGGCTCAGCTCCGGTATTTGACGCCGCCAGCTCCACATGCGTACAGTGCTGTTACTGTACGTCTTATTGGTAGATCAAGAATTGGCCTCTGGACAATTCCAAACCAAGATGTCGAGCGGGCGGGTGATTTGGAACTTCGTGAACCCATATCAACACAAGCATTGCTACAGAGTAAGGCTAAACCAGTCGGCTTCCACAAAGTATGGCATCTCCCGAGCCCCCAAACGCCAAAGCAAATGCAACCGTTGTCGTCCCTATGGCCGTCCAGGCCTTTCTCGTAGCAGATGACTTTGGCGACACGCTCTACCAAATTGCACCGATTACGCAGCCTGATCTTTTTAAGCTCCAGCAACTCCAACAGCCAGATAGATATACATCTCAAATTGGAGGAGAGGGAGGCGGCGAATGGGATCACCATGACCTCCTAGGCAAGGTTGATACGAGTTGGTGGAGACTACAGGCCGAGTATAACCCTCGATTCCGAGACTTGACGACAGGAGGACCACGAGAAAATCGTTCTGGAGTCTATCTTAGCTGGTGCCTGCCAAAACTCTATCGATCTGCAATCACTGCCACTGAGAGTGCTGTCAGCACACCCGAAGACCGCAAGGCATTCGAGGAAAGGAAGCTTCAGAGCGGATATAGAATTAAGGATGCCAATGGAGAGGCAATACCAGACGAAAAAATCCAGGTAATTCAAACTTACAGCAATTTATAACAATATACCCATGTAAACTAACTACGATAGTTCCGTGCTGTGCCAGATCGCTGGATAGTGCTCAAAGCCCCGCGGACTGGACCCCAAGCGGGAACGGAGATGTGGAAGATTATTGAGAGCAACTGTATGCGTGTATTTGACCATGATGAGCTTATAGCCAACAATGGTCAAGATATTGAAGTTATCACGTCTCCAGGTATTAACCCAGCTGATTTGGGTCCAGCCAGCCTGGATGAGAAGGAACCCCCCAAGCCTATGACAATGGGCCGAGCCGCTTACTTGACCCATACAGAGCTTGAATCACTGCCTGATCGAATACACCGTAGTCCTTTCAATGCCTTTGAGATGGGTCATGAATTCTTCGTTGACTACCAGCCACACAACATGGGCGTCTTTTCTTTCTTTGACGCTATGGACGACTGTGCTGGAAAATCTGGATCTGTCACGGTTGATTATGCTGTCATTGGGTATCACTCGGATGCCCGTGATGACCCTCTGATGCTTGATCAACCCCAACAAACAGACACAGCTCCCCTGAGGAACAGAGACATCATGGATGCCCTGGACCTTATGCTGGACAATGACCGCCCGTCTGAAGATACAGCAAAAGACGAAGCTAGGACCTTTCTTAAGAGCTATGCTAGCAGAGACGGCCGGACTATCACATACGGCTTGCTGCGCAACGTGCGTTTCGACCGCAGTAGTGTCAACCATTTGAATGCCCCATCAATCAAGCTCCAAGAAGATATCTATTCTCACCAGCCTATCGCTGTTGGACTCCACACGCTGGACGCTTTGGCAGCTTATATGCATGTCGCTCTAGGTGGTTCATCTACCGCTATCCAAACTCTCTTAAACCAGGTTATCATGTTAGTTGCCAGGGAGGATGATGTTGATTCCCAACGCAAAGCAGCAGATGAAGTGGCAAGCCATTCTTGGGTCGGTCAAAAAGAGGGAACTGTGTGGAATCTTCCGCAAAACGATAATGGAGATGAAAAGATGCCGACCTTCAACGATGAGCGACGTAACGACTTGTCCAAGTTGAACTGTCTTCAGGCACGGTGGGATGCGTGCATACGTGAAGAGGAACAACTCACCCAGAAGCTTTACGGCTGCTGGTGGAATGCAATGGGGATGCGTAAGCTTCCTGTCGAGGTTCTTACATCACGCCGTGAGAGAGTCAGGCAAGAAGCTTTTACAATAGGCAACAGACTGGACATCTTGTCCAAAAAGAAACAGGCGCTCCAGGAAACGATTGAGTATGCAAAGATCAAACTGGAAAATTTACTTGGAGGTGGTAGAAGCATGAAGCTTGTTGCAGTGCCAACCCGTCCATTTGGTCGACACCAGGATCCTACTATACTCCTTGCCGGCGCCAAATCTGGATGGCCATCCGATTTCTCCAAGCCATTGCCTGTTCGCCTTGCATCAGAAATTGCGCCTAAAGCACCTGCAAACTCTAATGAAGACTGGATGAATCAGTATATGCCCGAAATATCGGCGCCTGTGAACCCTCTGTTGCGTGATTTCTTTGAGCCCGAGGAAGATAAGAGAAGTAATGCAACTGAACGAAAGAGTCCGTACGCAGGCATCGAGAATATGCAAGACACTCAAGGATGGTTCCCGCTCTTCCTTGAGTGGGAGATTGAGTACTATCACATTCCTTTCTCAAAATGGACCTTTGAGCCATCGGATGAAGACAGCGGCCGATGGCGATGGGTCATTCCTCCTGAAAATATTCTCGCCCAGGACCCTGCGATTGCCAAAGACTGTCGCCGAATTCACGGCCGCACGCCTTTTCTACCGGAGTCGGCACTTACGTTGGGTTCACGGCTTGAGCAGCTATTTGAGCAAACGACTGACAAGGATGTTCTCGGCTGGAAGGATGAGATTCTGGATAAGGTGTCTTCGATCGAATATTTCTCTTCGCCTCTTTCAGGACTCACAGATAACCTGCTAACTCTTCGCCTGGGGCATCACCACCGCCCCACAGCTGCTTCATGCTCTGGAGACTCGGTTATAACGAATATCCTTGGCCTGAAACCCGATATACTCAAGAAAATAGAGGGCCTGGCACCAGAGCTTGCTCCCTATGGCGCTTCAGCCACGGCAGTATCTCCACCTGAGTACTGGGACAATGATGCTACCCCCTTTAAACCAGTTATGCATGGTCAAGCACGTTTCACTAGACTTGTTGTGGTGGACAAGTTCGGACAGATTGTCTCTGGAATTCGACCTACAGAATATGGCGACAATAGCAAAGGAGAGTCATCGGCATTGTATCCATGCCTGTCGCCCGGTCTCACCTGTGGTGTACTCGATCCTAAAGAAACAGGTGATATCTACTTGCCCAACACTGCTATAGAAGCAGACAAGGATCACAACGTGTGCCAGTTCTTCCAACTGCCCCCTCGCATCAACGAGCATGCTCGACTCAACGTGCGTTTCTTGATGCCGGGAGACGGGATCCGTCATCCAGCCACGGAATGGGAAAATCCGATTTGGGCTTGGTTAGTGACTAATTTTCAAAACCATTCCATACAGGTATACGACGGTGACGGCTGTTTCGTGCGAGAAGTTGTCATCATTAACGATGCTAAAAACCCCAGCGTGGTCTTTTCCATGGGTCCCGACGGTAAGACGCACTCAAAGTCGCCTACTGGCAGGCTAGCCGAGTTATTGAACTCTATGGAACAATTTGACTTCTCATACTCGCTGTTTGATATGCTTGGCGGAGCTGCTGATAGCAACTGGCGTTCTTCGAGCGCAAATCTTGACGATATGCTCCCAGCTGCATTCGGCCGCCCTGTTTGTATTGCAGACATTGGTATGTCAATTGAGCTGGCCGCCCCTGCACTGTCGACCGCCTCTCTTCTTTGTTCCACAGCTTCATCAACTACAAAACCAACAAGTATTCTTGATTACACATTTCCCATCGCTATGGGCAACCACACGGCTGCATTCGACGGCCTGGTAGGGACATTTCCCTCCAGTGGTCCCATAACTGTGCAAAATATCTCAACAGCATACAGTCGGTACGCTAGCAAAAATGCAAGCAAGCCAGGCGATGGGTACACATCAGCAGAGGCAAGACCTCAACCATTAGAAGTGAAGCCATACTTCATTCCTGGAGACACGGGTATTGAAGACGAAGACTTTGCCAAAGCACACAATGCCAGCCTCACACAAAACAGCATTAGCGCAATTATTGATGTCAAGCTGCCCATACACCTGTATTCTGGCTCTCTGTTCCCCATGGTAGAGCTATCATTACCACGATGGCCAGTCGACAATGCCATGAGCAACATGCAAGCCTTCTTCGCCGCCGGTCCAATCCTGATTCCTGAGAAGCCGCGCATGGATCTTTTCCACACAGCAACAGAACCATGGGAAGCAACTGTAAAGATGCCGTCAGCAGCAGTGGCTGACGACTCCTGGCGCTGGATGCAGCCTAGGCTGGAAAACATAGATGCCTATGCCATGGATGATGATGAACCAACGATGGCGAGGACGGTGTGGGAACCAATGCAGATCAAATCCTTGGATACATCATTGAAGGTTGAGACCGCTGCTCGTAGTGAGATTGTAGAAGGATATGTTATGGTGCAGCCAAGGGGACAGAAGAAGTGAATACATCTGCATTAGAGCCAGCATTGTGCAGTAGATCATAGGCACCCAGTCCGGATCAATTTCTTTCTACATACGTGAGAGCTACATAGATATCAAATCTTCGTTGGTGAGCGTATTCTTCTCTCAAACAACCAAACATAACGCAGTATTGAGTTCAGTCCTGATACCAGCCAAGTTCCCACATGTGGCATACTGGCATGTCGTTTATTGCTAGCTTCACCTCTACAAAGAGAAACGCGGTCTTTCCGAGGCGGGTCGACCCGAGCCCGCACAGTGCGATCCTCCCGCATCGATCTATTGCCGCTACCATCAATAGTTCGAGTAATCCCTGCGATACGATGCTTGGCAATAATCAGCTGCATCTGCAGCTTCTTTTTGCAGCTTCAATCGTCCACAAGAGCGCCTCCTGGACGGTTTACGACGTCTCCACGAGGAGCTCAATTTACGTCAAGACGCGTGACCCCGAATGGAGGTACTCGTCCAGCCAAGATCACCCTCTACTCGAAAAACAACAGGCTGTCATCGAAATAGACGCCGAAGTCTTTGTTAGCAAGCTTCTATCTCAGACTCTTTCTTTCTTCACTTTTCTTGTCTTCTATTTTTTTTCTTTTCCTCATTTCCCATCTATGATTTCAACCCTAGTTCCAACATTACTTTGTCATTTTGCTTGAGTTTGCTGCCTAACAGTCCAGGCATTGGCTCGTATCTCAACCCGTGCCATGATAATCGTGCTCTCGTGCTCAGACTTTCCAAATTCATACACCTTCATAACAGAATTTTAGGGCCGATTCTAGAACTAAAAGTTTGTTCTCCGGTTACAATATGACAGACGCATACAACTCCTATGAAGTGCACTCAAACTTCATCAATGTTGGTGCCGGCGATGGCGCCATACATTTGCTGGTGAAAAATAAGACAATAATTGAAAGGGCAGTACTCATCGATGGTGGCGATAAGACTGCGTACGAGGAGTTGAAAAGCGCCATCTTTGCTCTAAAGAAATCTTATGGGCCGTTGAATACCAACAACATACTGTTCAAATTCACTGCCATCGTTATCACGCACTGGGACGGGGACCATTATCGGGCGCTTACCAGGGTGCTACATGATGATTTCAAGCTACAGGGAAAGTCGACATTGATTGATAAAAATTGCACATTCTACTGTCCGGCTACGGCCATGAATAAGATAAACAACACGAAATGGCGGGTTGAAGATGGTCAATTGTACTTTCTGGACGACCACCGTAAAAGGATCCCAATTTGCAAAGCCGTCATCAGCACAGATTGCATTGGGTACGACCTATTCACGAATGAGCCCATTTTTACATCTCCAGCGATAAAATGGACCCGGATGCTGTCTCTCGCTAGCGTATACCAATGCGCCAAACTCAGGAACAAATTGTCGCCCATATTCCTCATCGTCGGGCTGGACTTCTGCTTCGTCGACGACACCACTCGGACCATACTCGCAGATGAGCGTAAGAAGGTCACAAAAGCTCGCGAAATTAACGGAGCTTCACTCATGGCCACGATCATTTGGCCGAGAGATGACTCAAACCTCCGTGTGTCTCTCTACACAGGCGGCGACGCAGAAGAAGAACGCGAACGGCATCTGCTAAAATGGATGGGGAACACTAAGAAGGACGTGTTTCTCGATGTGGTCAAAACGGGCCATCATGGCTCGCATTTTGCCCTTCCGGAAAACATTGTCAACTTTAAGAGCCAGGCATTTGTGATATCAGCTGGCCAGAAACATGGCCACCCCAGTGAGTCATATTTTGTTCATTTTTGTCCGCCCTTCCAGACAGTTAATGGTATTACCGATACTGATCCTATTCGATAACCCCTAATATTCCCCTGCAAGAAGAACGGCCAGTGTCAGGACGTGCATGCTGACGTGGGTAATTATTAAACAAAGGCTTTTCTGTGATATTCTACCTTCTACAGGTCGCTAGCATATTTGCAAAGAACGAAGTCGAGCCCAATCTTAAAATTCTTGGTACAAGGAAGCCATATTGGCTAGACAAGCCTGTGGAAGAGTTGACCACCAACCATTTAAATCTTAACACGGTCATGGGTTACAACGATGGTACAGCCGTCATATTTGATGCTCTGCTAGAAGTCATGCGCTTTACAAAAGACCAGGAAATTACCAAGGACTTGATAAATGAGTTCAACACCAATATGAACGAAACGTCCGGCGAAGTCATAAAGCGCATGAAAAACTTTTTCCACCTTCAAGGCTACAAACTCAATGAGCTGGCAAGCATTGGAGAAGGCAAAACATTTTTGAATCAGGACAAAACATGGAAGCCGCCAACTAGTAAAAATCTCAATGCCGATGATGAGTATTTCGAGGCATTAAAAGCAGCGCGATCAACAATCAGCATCGGGTGGACCGAACACCTGTGCAAGCCACGAAATAATGACGATGACGTTCAATTTGTGTCCGTCAAGGCCAATAGCGATGGAATCGAGTCCCAACTGGTTAAAATCGGCGAGAACAAGACCTGGAATACAGGGGTGAAAACCGCGGCTCGGTGGAGTAAAATAGATGAAACTGAGTGCCCAGTCGCTAGAGTATTTGATGATAAGACAGGCAAGTACAAAATCATACGACGAGTCCGCAATTTGCTTGATACAGTTGTTGCCAGTGCAGATCTGGATCAGCCGCTGGGGGAGTGGACCAACGAGCTTTTCATACGCGATGTCAAGAAGGCGCAAAGTCAGGCCGGTGCCGGTTTTCCAAGAATAGGCCGCTTTGAACGTCTTGAACTCTCTGACGATGCCTCACACATTGCTTTCTGGTTGAACCAGTGTTTCCTCGACGCAGCTACGCTTAGAGTCAGTGGAATAACTAACGAAACGGAAAACGTTGTTCTCAACACAATTGACATTCAGATACGTCCTAAACTCGGTACTGAGACGGCAGCTAATGAGCCAACATGCCTCGTCTTCACGACTGATCAGGTTGTGCGAAATGCCCAGTTTGGAGAAATTGGAGCTGGTCTACCGCAGACGTCACTTGGCTATGACAAACGTCTTCCGGGTTTTGTTTTCGCGCTGGATACTTCCCAGACAAATGGCGCCATGTCTCTTCCGCAGTTTGTCGAACTCATTGGCTTTCCCATCTCTCCTGTCATAAAGGAAGCTTTATCTCCGGTGAAGCTTCGTTTAGCTCCATCCCGCTCGAGTTTTGATGCGAATGCATACAAAGGGCCAGACTATTGTTCGGGTCTGTGGTTCATTCCATTCCATGATATGCGCGTCATCTTCCGGATGGCCATGGAGCTGGACCATGTCGATAGCCCTGACAAGAGTATTTCTATCAGCTCTTCTGCTATTGAGAAATTCTTGAAAGAGAGCGGTTTGGCCTGCAATGTCTCTGATATCCTCGTCACTGGCACGCGTGTATTCGAGTCTATGCTGGACACGCATATGCAAACAGCATCTCTCTTTGGCATCCAAGCAAAGTTGAGCATAAGGACGAGTGAGCAAGATCTAGGAGAACAAGGTAGTTCGGTATTTTCGTCTCTCTTCGACGGCTTGACGTTCACTGGGGGTATTAATTTTGTTCGTGATTATGGCTTCGAGCTTACGCTCCAGCTGCATGATGACACGTCCAAAGTATTGACTCAGCTGCTTCAATGGTGCCAGACACTGATGGCCAGAAGCTCTGACAATCAGAGTGTTCCTTCAATATCTGAAATATCGATCCAAGATGCTGTCACCGAGATTGAGGATGCCTTTGGCACCATTTTGAGCGGGCTCAACGTTCATAGCCTTATAATTGGCTTTGAGAGCAAACTCACCGGTGGGAAACCGCTAGAGAAAATGCCGAAACCCACATATTTTACTGTCAAAATCGAAGCCAAGCTAAAAAATGACAAAGTGCCATTTTCAGCTACGTTACAGTGGCGGCATGGTGTATATTCTCTATCGTGCGAGCTCCAGCACCCCTCTTACCCTACTATATCCAGTATCCCGCAATTACCACAACGTTACAGCAACCTCAGATTTATACCAACCACAGACGTTCCTAACAAGCTCTCGATTAAAGATCTCGTCAATCAGAAAGACTTGGTTTTCCCCCATGGCATTCCTGACATGATTAGCGATGCACGCTTCCAAATAAGCACCCTTGGCAAACGAAAAACTGTTTCCCTTGAAGGGAGGCTTGAGTGTTCTCCTCTTACAGAAGGCCAACCAGGATTTGACACGGGTAGTTCTCCTCCAGTATTTCGCTTCAATGAGCTCCATATTGATCTCACTGTGATATTTGACAATCAACCAATGACCGACTTTATCCTTGAATTTGACGCCGTAACGGAGCTTAGGCTGCCTTCAAGCTATAAGCCGGATCATTCTTGGGGGATTATTGAAGACGTCACCTCCATCACCACCAAGGTTGAGCATGTCGGTGAGAAGAAAGATTCATCATGGAAAATTTCCGGAAAGGTCGGAAACCTGCAAATTGCGCATCTATACGATTTATTTGCCAAAGATGGGTCAAATGATGCCATCATGGAGCTCATGGCGGGCGTTCATATTGACTACATATTCATAGAGTATGAGTATAACAAAAATCTTCCAGGAAAGCTAGAGATAGATGGGTTCTTAACTCTAGGCACTCCTCGAGATGGTCTTGAGCTAGAGCTACAGTATACACACATGGGTAAGTCCAAGAAGGGCGAGGAGAAGGAAGATAGTGGGTGGTTTTTCAACGCCAGGGCAGCCGCAGCCACTGGCAAAGAGCCTGGGGGCAAAGAAAAGACATATAAGATCGCCACGCTCCTCAAGGATTTGGTCGATGATGTCAATGATCTTCCAGAAATCGTTCGAAACGTGGAAATACCGCGATCTTGCTTAGAGGCCAACCTAGCATGCAGGCGCGTTACCTCAAAAAATGGCGAGAAACACGCTGTATTCGCACTTACCATCACCATCGCAACCAAGATTGGCAAATTTGATGTTACTCTGGCCCAAATTTGCTCATATACGGCAAATAAAGACAAACAGAATCCAGAATCCAGGCCAGGACGAATTCTGCGCATCTCACTATCCGGTATAGGTAAAGTAGACATTCCTGTCGTTGGCGAGGCTGCACCGCCATTTGATCAGGTTGGAATTGTGTGGACAAACCGTGACATTACTCCAACGGAGCTTGATGAGCTAAACAACCATGTGTTTATGCATCAGTCTCTGTTGGTGAAATCACGTTCTGGTGATGCCGTTGGTGACCAAGAGCCAGATTCCAGTAGCGAAGTTCGTTTCCTGAAAGGATTCCATTTTCAAGTTGCTCTGCTGGAAGGTTCCCGTCCACGATTGATCTTAGATCATATAGTGGGTGGTAAAGAAAAGGATCCAAAACAAAAAGAAAAGGGTCTTACAGCTGGTGGCCCAACAGACACTTCTCCAGATGGAGGGAAATCCGTTGCGCCGATGTCCAAAACTTTTGGGCCTCTTTCCATCCGCAACATTGGACTCTCTGTTTCTGGTCCGAATTACAGCACTATTAACCTATCCTTGGATGCGATTGTCAAAATGGGGCCCCTCACATTCGCCCTATTGGGCTTCACCATCACCCTCGATCTAACAGTGCTCTGTCATCCAGAAAATCTAAAGTCACTCATGTCCAATGCCAGGATCAACGGCATGTCTGTAGCATTTGATAAGCCACCCACGCGAATTGCGGGCATGATAAATCCGTTCGACGACAAGTTCACCTCCAAGGGCTTTGAAGGCGCCATGGCTGTTAGCCTCTCCGAGTGGTCAGCAATGGCAGGCGGGAGGTACGAGGAACTATATCCAGACCTGAAGATCAAATCCTTTTCTCTTTTCGGTATGGTTCAAGGTCCTATTGCTGAGTTTGGCTGTGCCGAACTCAACGGATTGACTGGTGGTTTTGGCTACAACTCGAGGCTCGAGCTGCCCGCAGATGCATCTGGGGTGGTAAATTTCCCGTTCATTGCTCTTAATAGAAGCACTTCTCAGGGCGGCTCAGTGATGGATCAGATGAATCTCATCTTGACTAGAGGAGTCAAAGACGTTATTTCAACAGCAAAGGAAGAGATGTGGCTCGTAGCGGGTGTCGGCATCAAGGCATTCCAGACATTTAACGGACATGCCATCTTCGCACTGACGCTCAACGATCAGCCCAAGTTTGCGGTTCTTGCTACAGCAACAGCGATGTTTCCAAAACCTCCTCAAGGCAACGCTCGACCCGATGCCCCGCCCAAAGACACATTTATCGTGGTTGATATCGCTATGTCGTGTGTTATCGATCCATTTCACGGCACCGTCATCGCGACCGGTGAACTGACACCTCTGTCTTTCATACTCAACAAAGAATGCAAGCTCACCGGCTCATTTGCGATGGCCTACTTTCTCCCCAACTCCCCTCACGATGGTGATTTCGTCTTCTCAGTAGGCGGCTACCACCCAAACTTCCAACGGCCATCACACTATCCAATTGTCCGGAATCAGGTCGGAATCGATTGGCAATACGATAAAAGCTTGCGCATCTCCGGAGAGGCATATTTTGCCATCACTCCTCAAGCTGTTATGGGTGGCGGCCGCCTCGACATGGTCTTTTACACGAGTGCGCTGAAAGATCATCTCTCCATCACCGTCGTTTTCAGCGCGTACGCCAATTTCCTCATGCATTTCCACCCATTCTCGTTTGAAATCAATATTGGAGTTTCCATCTATGCATCGGCAAAAATGGATCTTCTCCTATGTACCAAGACCTACAGTCCCCTGGCACTCTCTGCCAGCCTGTCGCTATGGGGACCGCCGATAGCTGGCCTCGTAACGCTGAAGCTGTGGGAGTTTGAGATCAAAGTCGCGTTTGGTCCATCGCGTTTCAAGCCGAAATCATTGAGTCTGAATCAGTTTGTGCGTGTTGTGAAAAATCTTCCAGCAGAGGAGCCGAGAGATGGAGGCAAAGAGAAAGAAATCCCGAACCACATAGTAAGCGTCATTGCCGGGAAAGTGGCAACAGGAGAAAACAAAACCACGAATTCCGTTGAAATCTCTGCAGCAGGGCTTCTCATTCAAGTACAAGCTAGAGTACCTGTTTTGAGTGCTCTTATTAGCGGAAATACTGAAACCAAGAAGAGCATCGTCCAAACCGGTAACGGGGAAACCATTACACCGCAGATATTTGCAAGGCCGATGCTATTAAAGAATCCATTCCAGAAATCGGAGCTGGTAGTCACTTTGCTCCAGAAAAATGGCGAGGAGATCAAACTGAATGCAAATCCCCTCATCCAGAGTTTGCCTCCAGCTTTATGGGGAGACTGTAAGTTGGCCGCTATTGTCCATCTATAGAGGGGGAAAAGAGTGTCGCTGCTAACTTCTAGAAAGATGTCGAAAAACCAGATCTGGCTTCTCTCAAAGCTTCTACGATTCCACATGTGATTGGATATAACCTTTCTTTGCATCCAAAGCTCCCCAGTGCGGACAATCTCCCGGCCATTTTAGTGGAAGAATTCAACCCGATCGATGTGAGTGAGCGTATCAAGCCCATAGAGAAGCTCAACGATGATGGCTGCTTCCGGCTGGCTTCCAATATAGCTGTAGAGGTAAGCAATAGCCAGGAAGAGAAGGAAAAGCAGAAAAAGAAGAAGAAGGATGTGTTCGCAGCATGGGATCAATTCAAGAATGTGTGCTCGGGTGGTGGCCTAGGGCGGGATGCGCAACTGGTTAAGATATTTACAGAAACGAAGAGAATTGCGACTTAGTTCTCTCGATGCGGTGCTATGTAGGCTAAATAGATGATAGGGCGTGACATGGCAGCCAGAAATACCTTTAACACATGAATGTTCGTGAGATGCAATATTCTTCGTATTTACCTAGTCAGCATTTGCCGTACTTCATGGCAGAAATATAATTCAGCATTTAACATCTTGCTAGTTTTCTCTTAGCCTCGATTACTTCGGCCCCCATTTGAACAACCGAGCTTATCAAAACAATTAAGCAATGTCGAATCCCTTTCAGGATCAAGGTAATTCTTTATGTAAGGCTTATTATTTCAGGCTAGTTTTAGGGTTGTTAGATGAAACGGTAAAGATCGACTATTACGGTAATTATGCAGTAAGTGTAATCGTTCATAATGTGCTGAATAATCGCAACGAGTGCATTTGGCCATTTCTTTCTTTTTTGAAGAGGTTACTTTTTTTTAGTCGAAGCAGTACTCCCTACCTGTATCTTGCAGCATAGGAACTGAGCGCGTTGCGAAACCATACAATTCAAAATAAGAATATATATCTCTAGACCAATAAAATATTCATAACAGAATGCAACGGCCCATTATTGGTCTTTTAACACCTTGAGTTGTAGAAGATGTGTCTTGATTCTCTTCTCCATCTGCATCAGAGATTGTTTCGATTTCCACCGCACTTATAAACAACATAAACGCATCGGTATGAGAAAACCATGGAGAGTCGTAATTCGCCAGCCGAAACCTAGGAATGAGAAGATTTCCAACCCTTGTATGGTCATAGCAATAGTGAGCCATCGGGTCTGATTCTATTATGTCATCAGAATAGTCGATTCTGCGCAGCCTAAACTCCTCGTCATAATAATGGCGATGCACTTTGGTGTGTGTGTGAAAGTTGTCGGGGAAAACAATCTCTAAGACTCTCCACACCTCACCGTTGCCACGATGGCACGATTTCAGTTCCTTCGTAGAGAATCCTGGGAGTTTGAGGCAGAATGGTATATTGAAGTAGTACCAGAATGCATATCCAAAGAAGTACAGCTGGTAGTGCAATTCTTGCCTAGTTCCACTGCCACCCCCCATGTAGCGAGGACGAGGATTGTCGAGGATGCTAGTCGGCGACTTTGGACTTTGAACGTATAACTCTGTTCTCTGTGGTGTATAAATTCCCCTAAATAAATCGCCAAATTTATGAAAATCGATTCTCTGTAATTTTGTATTAACGGTGAATTTGAGAATCTGCGAGGTCAATCCTTTATGCTCCATTATTGATCCTAAAAGAGCCGCCTTGATAGAAATTGATTTAATCGAGTTGTAGTAGTCTAGGCCGCCACTGGCCTTGATCACATCATCCAGTAGCGAATTCCTGCCATACGTGTTAAAAATGCCCATGATATTGGCATGCAATCTTACATAATGACCACCAATTGTAGGTTACGGATTTAGGAGAAATTTTGGGAGAGGGAAGGTCTTTTCCCCTCTGCGTCTGCAAGATGTATGAATAGAATGAAGAATGGGCAAGTCGATTGTTGAGTCGATTGTTGACGTTTACACTCCACGCCGCGGCCAATGCTTACTCCTGCTTGATGTTAGGCTACCTTACTTGTATAAATAGTTTCAGGATCGCAGAATATCTCTATGGGATAGTCCAAGTTAATGTAATGTTCCTTGTTGACTCTGGCGGAAAATTGTGGACAAGTCCTCGTGATTACTGGTAATAAAGAAACCGCTAAACTTGGATGAGAAAATTCCCGAACACAGACCCTAGTAGTTCCTTGCATGATTATTCCAGAGTTAGGGTTTATTCGCCGATAGCATTTCCCGTATCTCAAATATCAAAGCTTGCAGGGATCTCAATCGCCTCTGAGCGCACCGACATGCGGAGAGAAATCTCAGATAGGGGCAGATCGAACCTTATCTGAATCTTTTTTTTCCCGATGTATTTTCTGATTTGATAATGTTGCAAGGTTCTATTTGGCACTTATTATTGATTTTCAGTTGGTTTTTGGTCGTTTGCAAGGTGTCTCACGTTACATGAAACATACTATTCTATCACTATAGAGGATAAATTTAACATCAAGATGAAGGTTCACTTATGGTGCAACAGCTGGATTTTATCACTATAATAATATGTTTATGATGCTTTCCTTTCCCCCAGAGATTAGTTGCCCGTTCAGCTTTTCTCATCAGTGCTCTGATTATTCTATCATTTTTCTTCTCTCTTTTGCATGCGTGTGCGTGTGTGCATGCTCTGCCCGTTTTGGACATGGCTTCGGAATAGGAATATTTATTGTGGCGGCGTATTTCGAATGACAGTTATGCTCAGTTGGTCATCGTGGTGGTACTTGCGGTATGCGACGTCCACTGGTGTGCTCTGAAGTGCTTTAAATGGTAGAAATAGGGATTTGAGGCAGTCACGATTGTCTGCATACTACCAGTAAAATGGGGGAAGAAGTAATCCGTTGGCGATCGAAACTTATTAATAGCTAAACGCTGATGTAAATCTGGACGAAAAAATAGAGTCTTAACTGGGAATTAGTTGTTATAAAATGAATATCAGGTGACTCAGCGCGGGAGATGCTTCAGTTTTCACATATGTAGCGTTATGTACAGGAGAATTGGCGGGAGCGATGGATGAAATTTCAACAATATTCATCATTGACCAACGTGCCCACTAGAGAGATATGGTATGCTTAATTTCATATACATGAAAACAAATAAAATAATAGCGTTCGTATTATCGAATGGATTGCCGCGGAGATGAAGTTTGCAAAGACTCTGAATAAGCCCTAGCAACATGGTCGCAACGCCACCAGTTACATGGAGTGCCAATTACGGGAGATGGGATAGAGAGGTGTAAGGAAAATATGTGGCTGCGTTGTTTTTCACATTAGCTTAATAAGAAGATCTAAGTTTAGCATTTGAAACATTAACTTTCGTCTCGCTTATGCCCCCTTGTAAGTTATCATGCTGAATTGAAGCATGCTCCCCTTAAGAACACATTCGCCGTGAGTCTTACAAGCGACGTGACTCTTTCCTCTTTGTTCTTTTACACTCGCCTCGATTTTCTCAAATCATTATCTTTTTATTTCTGGTCCCAACTGCAAAAGGGAAAAAACATTTGTGACTTTCATGATGCGGGATGAGCTCATATGTATCGCTTCGGCATCGGCCGGCGTTCTTTCGCATCTTCTCTACTTCATCCATGGAAATAAATCCATGCAGGCGCCAAAAATTCTTGTTTTCTACTTACTGGCAGTGTGTTTACTTTGGACACGATGCTTTCTCCTCCGAGGGGCGTTCCTAGGGACTGTTCTAGCTAGTGCCATGCTGCTGTCCTATTTCATGGCCCTTTTTACTAGTATCTCAGTGTATCGCCTCTTCTTCCATCGTCTTCGTCACTTTCCTGGACCATTTGCAGCAAAACTCACAAAGTTCTATGGACCCTACTCAGCTTGGGACGGGAAACTACACGTTAAACATATCAAACTTTTCGAGGAGTATGGAGATATAGTAAGGACTGGTAAGCTTCCCATCAGCGATTCATATGAAATCGATAATACGGACTTGCTAAATGTCAGTTTGATTGCTAGCACCAAATGAGCTCATTGTGCTTTCAACAGATGCCCAACAGAAAATACACGCAGCAAGTTCCCAATGTTCCAAAAAAGATACTGCTTATGAGGCCATCAACTATAAAGGCTACCAAAACATAGAGACCATACTTACCCGCGAGGAGCATCGCTGGAGACGACAAGTCTGGGACAAGGCTTTCAACACGAAAAGTAGAGAATATCACTTTGATCTCCAGTACTAAACGCTGACGGTGTAATAGCTTTAGAATCGTACGAAAGTTACGCTCGCGAAGTAGTGTACGAGTGGTTGGGGAAGATGGCGTCTTTGCAAGGCCAAAGGGTAAATACTTCATTGTATTCCCTTTTAATTCCATTTGAAAACATGGGTCGCATGGGATTCTCCATCAATTTTGGGTCTATCCAAAATGGTAAAGAGGATCCCATGTTGCATTACCTTGAAGAAACGCTTGGTAGCATCGGGAAACTCGGTGCGATGTGGTGGCCGATTGCCTTATTGAATTCTATTGGGGGCAGTAGAGATCACGTTGAATTTCAAAAGCTGGCATGTAGGATGGTGGATAAGAGAGAGAAAGTAGGTGCTGCAGCCTGCAACTTCTACGCCAGGTTATTTACGAAGCAGTACACTAACATTGCTACAGCTAGCGGATGATGAACGTGAGGATATCATGAAGTATCTGCTCCAAGATCATCACGAAAAGGTACCAAAGGCCATGCATGATCACGATATGATATACTCAGATGCCCAAGCTCTTATGGTCGGGGGGACTGACACCATCGCTGCTGTATTGTCATTTGCTTTCTACCATTTGGCACGCGATCCTACTTTCCGAAACAAACTACATGCAGAACTGGAGCCTCTCTATGGACGCACAATAATTGGCGAATTCACAAACTTTGACTTGAGTGAGGCTGAGGCGCCGTACTTGAATGCGATTATCAACGAGACGATGAGAATGGACAATCCGACATGTGCTAATGGGCCTCGGATAACTCCGCCTGAGGGACTTGAGGTTGACGGCGTATTCATTCCTGGAGATGTAGTGGTATATACGCCGATACATGCGATGCACCGAAGTAAGTATCCTCTGGATTATGAGTTATCTATCCTTTCAGTTTGGGGATGTCAACGTAGTGATTTGTCATCTTGTTTCTAACCATGTCAAATATGACAGGCTCGAAGTTTTTTAAAGAGCCAGACAGCTTTATCCCAGAACGATGGACTACGCGGCCTGACCTGATCATTGATAAGCGGGCGTATCATCCATTCCTTCTCGGTCCTCACAACTGCGTTGGAAAAAGACTCGCCATGATTGTGATGCGATTTGTCTTGGCGTATACGATTTGGTATTACGACTTTGAGTTTGCTCTGGGAGAAGACGGAATTGCTATTCATCGGGATGCAATAAATGGGCAAATTTTAAAGCCGGGCAAGCTGGAATGTGTGTTTACGCAGAGGGCTTGAAGATTGAATCGGGACTCGGCTGTAAGCGCTGTAGCATCCATCGTCATATCCTATCTTCAATTAAAAAAAAAATTCATACTGATGCAGGGCAGATGTAAATTGATGATATGCATGCTCTAAATACATAACTTCAATAACAAGCTGTACGTGCTCTGCGAGCTACTGAGTTAACTACATGCACTGAATGTTCTGGTCAAGAGCTTCGCCAAGAGTAATATCACATGGAAGTGTTCAATTCCCTACTACATACATGTAGGTAATCAATGATGACAACAGCTAGATTTCGGATGACAGTGGTTGTGCCGTGAAAGAATATAGCGCATGTGCGGCGCCTTTTAGTGCTTAGTTCATCACGATGACACTGCCTGATGAACCCGAAAACACTGAGCGAGTGTACAACTCTCGGGAAATCTCGCGGCTCTATGGAGTATTGTGATTCTTTTATGGTATGCTAGATAAAGCACCATTGGTTGATTATTATTTATAAGTGATATGTCCATCGCTAAAAGTATAGAATTGTTTCATCCACCCTTGCCATATGTGCGTACGGTCGCGTTACGATGCTAATCATTAGATCATTCTATTGCATTTTTTCACGGCCAGTATTTGATCAAGATCAAGTGTGGTGACTGCTACAGAGCTTATGAACGAGCCTTAGAGCCTGGAGGTTTACCCAAGATTGCGGAGTGCTAAAGATCCAGGTCCGGCTTCCGACGCTATGCACATACCTCCAGGGTGTTGTTACGCGTTAGATCCGCGGAGCTGAGTGTTGATTGCCGAACAGATAGTGCCAACTCAATAACATCTCTATAGCACAGGATCAACTAACTATGATGATACCTAAATAGGTAGGGGAAGGGGGCTATGCAATAAACAGTACTTGAATTGAGTCGTCGGGAAAGACCATTGAAGAGCAAAAGGACTATGTACTCTTTGAGAAGCCCTCATAGTCACATTGTCATTTCGGGATAATCCCTCGGTATTAAAATGTACAGTCATGATGACAATGAGCCTCGGCGTCAAGCACATCACAAGTGAAACAATACACTGTCGATCCTTGTGATACAGGGGGAGGACAAACTGTTGGAAAACTAGAAAACCAATCGCCTACATAAGACATGAACCCTTTTGCGAGTGAGATCACATTGAGATTCGTAGGAATATTATTATGTTAAGGATGCGGACACTCTATGCATAAGAGGTGATGAATATATCCTTGGTCATAGCATACCTTGTCTAAGCTGCGAATCGATAAGATCTGATATTTCACAGCACCGCAACAATTTCCCTTTGGGGTAATAAACTGATTACTTTTCCAGCCCATCAGAGCCGGATGCGACATTCCCTTTCAAGGTAAGAATGCTAGCTTTATCTGGTATCACGCCGACGACGCCATCAAGCATGGCAAATCGGCCTCGTGGGACAAGGGTCTAGTCTTGTGGAAATCTCGTAGCTACAAATGCCAAATGCGAATACATAAATTTTGAGATCATTCACTAGCTACGGCTAACGAAACACGATAGAGCTTGCTTGTGCTGAACAGAGTGGGTCGTCACCATCAGCCTTACAGGTAGGCTATTGTGCGGTTTACATCCATACTCACGTATGTGGCTGACCGGTGATCGGAAATCTGCCGGACTTGCCTGCTGCGTAATACAGTAGACACTCACACGGGGCGGCAATCGTGTATTCTATAGACTACGGATGTCGCTCCGCAGTGGAGCAGCCGATTCGCCTCAGCCACACACGAAGGGCGAAACGTCTGGAGCTTGTCAGACGAAACACCGATCCGGAGGCCGGATCAATGAACAAAACAACCCAACGCCGACAATCGGAGTTCTGGGTATACCTTGTAGCTCCGATTTTGTAAACATCCTTGTGGTCCATGTTTTAATTCGGGTAATAGGGGTTTCGTCAGATGGACCGAGGGAATAGTAATGGCATAAAGGGAAATACGTATGTGATGTTGAATCTGTCGCGGCAATCCCGTGCCAGTATCGCCTATGGATGATGGCGGCGGAATTAGTCATCAGAATGAGCACTGAGCTTATTACGAAGCAGCATCGGATTTCGTTGAAAGGGTAGCCATAGGGGGCAAGTTTGGACTTGCTAAGTAGACATGCCTTCGTTTGGCTGAGTTGCGGGCCGCTATGTTGCGAAAACGGGCGAAAGTAAATCGACTAGCGAACGAAAGGAACCCAGAAACAAAAAGATCATTAAAGTCAGCAGTGTAGATGATTGCTAGCATAATGGAAACATAGTATTAGGTGGGTTAATACGGGGCCAAGTTTAACATTCGACTGGACTCTAGAATGCCAGCAGTAATACGAGTATATAGCACCCCATACGGGCGACTTAAGGCCGGTAGGAACATTGAGTCATGCTTCAATCAAGTTAACACAGTCGGTAAGCTGGCGCAAGTGCGCCCGGACTTGAGAAAACTGATGGCAAAATGAATCCACCCTCGTAAGATTTTAGACGCCGTCAGTTACCCGGGATGTACGGGGCGCTGTCTGTTCTGGCTCGGTAGAATAAAGAGATATAAAGCAGGCCCATGGCTAACACTGCGGCTCGTTTGAAGCGTTGGACCATTTGGAAGAATAGTTGCTCAAAATCCAAAGGCTCTAATTACAGTACACAATGACTCAGTTAAAAAACGGAATCAAGTCGCCAATTCAGCCCTCTCCGCGAGTAGCTGGCAACGTGCAAGATGTGTGGTGAGTGGACATATGAGACTCATTCAAATCTTCTGCCTTGATTGCGACTCACTAATTGCATTCAGGTCTATTATCAATGCTGCAGCCGCATCTACACCAAATCAGCCCGTGGTGAACATGGGACAAGGCTTCTTCGGCTACAATCCTCCTCAGTTTCTCATCGACGCAGCAAAAAGTGCCGTAGAGCGCCTTGACTGCAACCAATACGCACCGCCAAAAGGCCGTCTCCGTCTGCGAGAGGCCATTTCCAATGCCTACTCTCCTTTCTGGGGCCGGAAGCTTGACCCGGAGACTGAAATCACCATCACCACCGGCGCTAATGAAGGTTTTCTGAGCTGCTGCATGGCCTTTCTCCAGCAGGGCGACGAGGTGTTGCTGCTAGAGCCGTTTTTCGACCAGTAAGCGCGCCATTCTTGTGCCGTGTCCTGATAGCCGGCTTATAGAGATATGTGATTTTTGATGCTAAGATAAAACAGATACATCAGCAATATTGAGATGGCCGGAGCGAAGGTTGTATCTGTGGTGTTGCAGCCACCAAAGTCAGGAATGACAAAAACTCACTCAGCCGGTGAATGGTCGCTCGACATTTTGGCATTGAAGAAAGCCATTACTCCCCGCACGAGAATGCTCGTATTAAACACACCTCGTTAGTCAACGCCGTGTATCCACGTAATAGTTTTGTCGCTGACGGATTTGATGTGATAGACAACCCATTGGGCAAGATTTTCAACCCGGAAGAACTGAAACAGATTGCCGACGTGTGTGTTGAGAACAACATTCTTATCATCTCTGATGAAGTCTATGACCGACTATTCTATGTCCCATTTTCTCGCATTGCAACCTTGTCGCCCGAGGTGGAGCGCATTACTTTGACTCTCAGCTCGGCGGGAAAGAACTTTTATGCCACAGGCTGGCGAGTTGGTAAGAGATTTCACGATATTATTTACAGCGTTATATCTTCGCAAACTGACTGAGTGAACAGGTTGGGTAATGGGCCCGCCCGAACTCGTCTCATATGTTACAAAGGCGCATGCCCGGATTTGCTTTTGCTCTCCATCACCTCTTCAAGAAGCCTTCGCCATTGGTACGTTGAAGTCGTTAACAGTAACATGTGCATAAACTTTTACTAATGAAAACGTAGGTTTCGAACAAGCCGAAGAAAATGGCTTCTGGGATGAATGCATCACCGACGTGAAGTCCAAGATGGACTTGTTCAATGAGATTTGGCACGAGCTTGACATGCCCTTCTCAGAACCAGAAGGTGGCTACTTCGTCGTGGTTAACATGAGCAAAGTGCAGCTACCGGAAAACTACGACTTCCCCACCCATGTGCTTAACCGCCCAAGAGACTTTAAGTTGGCATGGTTCCTGATCCAGGAACTCGGAGTGGCAGCAATCCCGCCAAGTGAGTTTTACTCACCGGCCAACCAACATATCGGAGAACAGTGGATGCGGTTTGCTGTATGTAAACCGGATGAAGTGCTGGAGACTGCCAAGGAAAGATTAAGAGGATTGAAAAAGTATATTAATTAGACGATCCACGCGGATCAGGTGTCGCTGTTCTAGAGTAGATTACATTAATGACGTATATATGCCCCCTTTTCACAAAATAGCAATGTTTACTCAGCATACTCGTATCAATCACTGATGCTGACGCCCAATGTTATCGCAATTCACCGCTTATCCTAGGCAAAAGTTCTCTCGTTTAACCTCCATTATAGAGCGGTGTGGAACCCATTGTCAGCTTATTCCCCTTGCTTGTAAATGAAGTCATTTACACAACTTCACAATAGCTAAACATACGGCAATTAAAAGAACCATTGTAGCTACTCCGGCAGTGATAGGGCCGCCATAGGGCTACGCTTGCTCTTATTACTTTTAGTCGGCTCATGTACCTGAAGCCACTAATCGGACGTTTAACCTCTTAAGTGCTGACCGTTTGGTAACTAAAACTCAGAGAGGGGCAGAAACAACATACATTAGTTCAAGATGGTGCTTGGTTGGTATCAGCGGCCGTCAACCCGCATGGCTTTCACTATCCCAGAACAGCAAGTACATACACTCTGACAACATGAAAACAGACAATTTGTGTCCCAGCGTCAATGAAGGTGGTACTAATGATAGGCTATACTCCCTAACTAATTGTGTAAATGCTTACTGCTGGATAGGCTGTATGTTGAGATTACCGGGATGTTGATCTACATGCCAGTCGGTATACCCTGTCTAGCTTTTGAACAAGGAAATAACCATTTGTTTCTATCCGATTTGCGGGCGCTGATCTTCCAGAGGATGGGTGGAGAATGCTCCATTGCCGTCTTTTTTCCTAGTATTTAATCTGATTCCCGGGCCTTGGTAGGCAACTGATCATCGTTCTCTAGAGGTTGTTTCGTTTTCTTTTCTTCTTCAGCTTTCTCATAGCAGCACTGCTCTGATGGCTACGGACGACAAAACCGCCGTAGAGGCGACCAGCGAAGTCAGCCTGCCCCATGTCTCTGAAAAAGATGTGGATCGGGCGCTGCTGCGAAAGATTGATTGGCGTGTGATGCCAGTGGTAAGTTTCGACTGTCAAAATGTTGTCTGGTCAAGATACTGACATGGTATATTTCCCAGTTGTGTATTACATATGCTCTTCAGGTAGGGATTCATGCATTCCTCTATAGTGTCACATGGCTTTTGTGGCAATGGCGAATACATGTAACTGACCAGTTCTGTATTACTAGTACTGGGATAAAGGCTTGCTTGGCCAAGCAGCTGTATTTGGTCTACGAACAGATCTTGGCTTGACCCAGGGCAAGTCTTACGCTTGGGTATCCGTGGTATTTTACTTTGGCCATATAGCTGGCATGTATCCTGGTTCGCTGTTAGCACAGCGGTTCCATCCCAAGCGTACCTGTTCCATTCTAGCAATCGTCTGGTCCATCATCATGCTCACCACGCCTGCATGCACGTCCTATGCAGGCATTATTGCCAATCGCTTCTTCCTTGGCGTGGTTGAGGCTGGCGTTAGTCCCGTCTTCATGCTCGTTGTTGGTACATGGTACACGCACTCGGAACAGGTCTTGCGATCCAGCATATGGTATTCATTCAGCGGTGGCTCTCTTTTAATCTCCCCGGTCATCAACTTCGGACTCGCCCACATTCAAAGCAGTCGATTGAAGCCATGGCAGATAATGTATTTATTTGCAGGGGGCATTTCCTTCCTTTGGGGCGTCGCATTGCTTTGGATCTTCCCTGATACACCTCAGCGCGCCAAAGGCTTTACGGAGAGTGAGAGAGAACGCCTCGTCGAGCGCACGCGTGTTAACAACGCAGGCACCGAAAATAAACAGGTGAAGTTCTACCAGATCGCAGAGGCTTTGTTCGAGTTTCAGTTCTGGGGAATTCTCGTGCTCTCTCTATTGAGCTGCACGGGCTCAGCTGTTGTCACACAATTTGCATCTATCGTGTTTAACGGATTGGGTTTCGACGCTTACACCTCACTCCTGCTTAATCTTCCGACCGGCGCAATGGCTTTCATCTGTATTTTGGGCTCTGGTTACCTTGGAAGACACTGGAAAGACTCCCGATTCTTCATCATTTCATTATCTTGCCTGCCTGTCATTATTGGCTGCTCACTTCTGTAAGTCGGATACCTCCTTACATGACATTCCTTGTTCAAGAAACTGACATGCACTCAAGTTGGAAACTCGACAACAGCAGAGGAGGAAAAATCTTCGCCTTCTATTTGCTCAATTTCTTCTCGTCGGCCTGGGTCCAATGCATCGGCTTGGGCACCTCCAATACGGGTGGTTATACAAAGAAGGCTGTGTACGCTTCGGGAACCTTTATTGGCTACTCGCTAGGCAACGTTACGGGCTCTTTGCTTTTCGATCAGTAAGTCACAAAGATGAGCTCCATTTTTTCCCTTCGCGGCGAAACGAATGCTAATGCTATTGTCACTAAAAGGAAATTTGCTCCCAAATTCGGCCAAAGCTTCACAGGCGTCTTGATCTGCTTTGTGATTTGCTTCTTCCTCGCACAAGTGGTTCGTTTTGTGCTCGATAGAGAGAACAAAGAGCGCACAAGGGTCCACGGACCGCCCACTTTTGACAAGGGCCTTGAAGACTTGTCAGACAGGGAGAATTTTTCATTTAGATATGCGATATGAGCAATTCTCGACCACTGGGCTATTAGAATTCCCCATAGCTGGTGGTATTCGACACCGAGATGAGCGGGACCTTGGGTAGAATTGCATGATTCACATGCTGCTTGGCTTGGTCCCAGACTGGGGACCAGATCCATTCTTATAAGACTCGTATCAATTTAGTGGCTTCCTTCTACCTAGCCGCAATAGCCTCCGAGACAGATCCACCCAATCCCATCGCAGGACTTTTGACTGCCCATACGCGTAATTGTCGCTGAGCTGCTGGAAGACCGGATTGGTTGTTTGCACAGAGAGCGATTCTACCCCCTATGAGCGCTAAAAGAGGATCTACCCTTGAAAAGTCAAGATGCTTACTGCTTTCGTAGGCAGTGCCTTTTTCAGCTGCCAAGTTATGCCTTTCAGCTGAAAACATTACATCTAGTCCGCAGCTGGATAATACAAGTAGGCTGACTATAGGCAACCGCGACACTTTTGGAGTATCTTGCCTGAACAACATGAAAGCCAAGATATGGAATAGGAAGGCATATGTGAAGGCTTTTTTTTTCGGTCAAATAGTAGGCCTTGCGCCAGTATATCAACAAATACAGATCCTCTGTAATAATTAGAAGCAATTTCTTGAAAGTCGACCATTTCGTTGAAATTATAGTAGCTGAGCTACGCAACCTTGTTACACCACTATAATGGCCGATCTCAGCTTTTATCAGGATGAAGAGCGGGCATCACCAAATGCGACCCATATACAACTGATGGAGGAGCTCTGCAATTATTTCTTAATAACGCAGAAATTATCATTGTCATCAAGAATTGTCGACATAGCAAATGAGGACGAACTCGCATATATGCGAAATGCCGCACGGCCAGGCACACACGCATCACCGTTGAACCAGGTCGTTGCGGACATGGCCAAGATCATGTCCCATCGAATAGCAATGGACCATCCTAGGTTTTTTGGCTTTATTCCTTCTCCTGTCGACGAAAACTCGTTCCTGGGGAGCATACTCACCACCATGTATAATGTCGGCGCCGGTAGTTGGTATCAGAGCTCTGGTGCCAGTACCGTGGAAGATTCTCTCATCAAATGGCTGGCTGAACAAGCCGGGTTTCCATCATCATCCGGTGGTATTTTCGTATCGGGAGGTTCAGTGGCCAACTTGACGGCCATTGTAACCGCACGCGATGCCAAATTGCAGTTCGAACAGAGGCCAAAGGCAGTCATTTATATGTCTGAGCAAACACATTCTTCAATGGCAAAGGGCATAGTCGTGGCGGGCTTTCATCGAAACCAGATCCGTCGCGTCGAATGTGATTCAAATTACCGAATAAAACCCTCCAGCCTTCGGCAACAGATTGAAAGCGACAGGAAGAATGGCTTGATACCATTCATGATCGCAGCAACTTGTGGTCTTACCAACACCGGAGGCATTGACGACTTGAACGGGCTCGCTGATATAGCTGAATCCGAAAACTTGTGGCTTCATGTCGATGGCGCATATGGAGCATCGATACTTCTCTCAAAGACACATAGGCACTGTGCCGACGGTATTGGTCGCGCAGATAGTTTGACGTGGGATGCTCATAAATGGCTGTTCCAAACCTACGATTGCGGCCTGATACTCGTCCGAGACAAGCGCGATCTAGTCGAAAGCTTTGCCACGGGCGCGTCTTATATCCGGGACGCGGATGAAGCCTCCTCAGAGAAGGTCAACTTTTGGAACCGAGGGATCGAAATGTCTCGACCGGCTCGGGGCATGAAGCTCTGGTTCACACTTCAGAGATTGGGCCTCGACAAGGTTAGCGATATGATTGACCACGGAGTCGATCTCGCAGAATTCGCGGCATTGGTCTTCCGAGGCTTTGAAAATTGGGAAATTCTCTCGCCAGCCCAGCTGGGGATTCTCAATTTTCGTTATGTTCCGCCTACTTCACAGCTTCCAGGTAATGGCGTGGATTTCGATCAGTTCTGCGATAAAGTGAATGCAGAGATATCGCGATTGGCGGTGGAACGAGATATTGCAGCACCGCTGACGACGAGGATTACCAAAGTGTTGAACCTGCGCATGTGCACCGTCTCTCCTCACTTGAGTAGAAATCAGCTTTTTGAGGTGATACAAAGTCTGGATTCCGTTGCGAAGGAAGTTTCGGCCTCATTTGTGAAGAAGAGGATTTTGAAGATTTGATATGACCATGACTTATTAACTTTCTTCTCTTGGGTGTATATAGCTGTTTATGTAGGCTATGGGTTTTTCATCGTTTTATGAGGTCAAGAGTGCGGGAGCAAGGAGCGTTGGCAGTTAGATACATGTAAACTGGATAGGTAGTGAATTTATAGAGTGGCGGATTGTTAGTAGAGTAGTGTATCTGCGATAAACGATTTCCCTAGGATTTACCCTTCAGAAAGAGTTTAATGCAATTTCATTTCAGACAAATATTATGTCGCATCTGGGAAAATGGTTCTTGGAGTTTAGCTTTATACACCTAGCTGGTTTGTTTGTGATTTAGTTTAGACCGTCATCCAGAAATTAGGTACGTAACATTTTCATCTTTAGAGGATCGACGTGATGGGTTGCTCTTCCCCCTACAAGGTATTAGATGATATTGAAGATGTTTCAAGCTGTTTATCTAAAATCTACGAGATAGTTGTTAGGCCATGATTGTCATTAGGTAAAAGAAGAAGTTTATGTAGCTGAGGTAGGGTGATAAAGGGAGCTGTTGTTAGCTTATGTCATCAATAAACATCTGCCTTGCTGACCTTGTAATTGAGTGCATGCATACTCGAAGATTATGACACGATCCCGAGAGTAGATCTGGATGATATTAGGTTAAAAGATACCTACTTAAGCATTATAATATCAGGTGTCTGATAGGTTCCTTGGATATGTAATGAGCTGTGTCCTGCTGCAAGTACCTGTACCAGCACCAGCTCTCCCTAGCCACTGCCGCTCCCCGCCACCAGCTCCCAGCTCTCCCGTACCTGTACCTCTCTTCTGACAGCTCCCCCCAGGTCCCCCACCAAAGTGACGAAACGATGCGCTCAGCTCCGCCAGAGCTCGGCAATCCGACGCAGCTCCATTTGGCCCGAAGACGAATTCCGCTCTTCCCTTGACATCATCTTTGCTCGCACTCAAAAACATCTGCCTCTGTATCCATTGGTAAGCGCCCTTCGGCATTTTGCAATTCCCCTTTGCAGTCTCATCATCGAAAGGCCCAACCCTGAATTGAAGCGTCTTCTCTCCCATCTCTTCTCTCTTCTTTCATCTCCCAATTGAGCTCCCCTCCAAGCTCTTGCGCCCTGCCCCTCATCCGTCGCATCTCCAATTCCCGCGATCTAACAGACAACCTGGATATTTGCTTACCTACCTGCGAATAGCTGCAACAGAGCCACCATGTCTTCCTCCCTCCTCCGCACGACGCCTCTCCTGCGCGCCGGCCTCCGCGCCCGTGCCGCAAAGCCTCTCGCCGCCATGGCCACCACGAGCTTCACCCGCGGCAAGGCAACTCTCCCCGACCTGCCTTGTAAGTCTCTGAAGAAGAACGAGAACCAGAATACCGCCCCGATTCGTGCAGCAGAGCAGAGCTGACATTAAAAATCGCGACTCAGACGACTACGGCGCGCTCGAGCCCTACATCTCCGGCCAGATCATGGAGCTCCACCACTCCAAGCACCACCAGACGTATGTCAACGGCTTCAACGCTGCCGTCGAGGCCCTCGCCGAGGCTGAGGCCAAGGGCGACTCCAAGGCTGCCGCTGCCCAGGCCCCTCTGCTCAACTTCCACGGCGGCGGTCACGTCAACCACTCGCTCTTCTGGGAGAACCTCGCCCCCAACGGCAAGGGCGGCGGTGGTGAGCCCGAGGGCAAGCTCTTGGTATGACTTGACTCTTTTTGCTTCATAGCCTTCACGTAAATCATCTTACTCACCACCATCTGCGAACGTATAGACTGCAATCAACCAGGACTTTGGCTCCTTCGAGAATCTCAAGAAGCAGACCAACACTGCCCTCGCTGGCATCCAGGGCTCCGGCTGGGCCTGGCTCGTCAAGGACAAGTCCTCCGGCAACCTCTGCCTCGTCACTCGCGCCAACCAGGACCCCGTCACCGGCAACTTCGAGCCCCTGCTGGGCATCGACGCCTGGGAGCACGCCTACTACCTCCAGTACCAGAACCGCAAGGCCGAGTACTTCAGCGCTATCTGGGACGTCATCAACTGGGGAACCGTTTCCAAGCGATTCGGTAACTAGACCTTTACATCTACTTTTGCACAGAAAAATTTGTAAAATAAACTGGCATTCGTAGCACATTCCATACTGTTACGAGTCTGCGATGTCTGTTGATAGTAGGATAAAATGACCCAAGCGTACCTATCTGGACAGCATGCCACTTCTTTTGGGAGGGTGAGGATAGATGACACAGTTTGCTGCTTTTGCCAACATACTCGGATCAGCTTTAACTCGTCTATTGCTGATTTGACACTATTTACTTAGAGTCGATTCAGAACGATACACACAACGTAACTGAAGCCCTATGTGTATGGATACATTACACTTGACATTTGGATCATACACCATGCTCTCCTATCTCTGCCGCCATTATACATATGCATTCTTGCCAAATAGACGGGTGGTGCTCTCTTTACACATGCGATGGAGGGATCTCAATCCATCGCACGACTTGGTAAGAGACAAACGAGCATGGCCAAAGAAAAAAAAAACATCATACTCGCAAAGAGAGCGATGGAATATTCCATTGCATCTTCCCATGCGGCCTTACTGCCTCTGGCATCTGGCAATGCCCTGATACGCCACAAGTTCGTTTGGGAAAGTCTCAACAAAAATGTCGCGAGCATAGTCGTACCAGTCTTGGTTTTCAGGAGCAGTGCGAGCCTCGAAGAACTTGACGTACTCCCACCACTCTGGATACCAACCTCCACTATCCCAGCCGAGAATGCACACTATTTTGCTGTTTTGAACGATGATATTTTTCGGGCTCAGTTCACCATGCGTGAAACGGATATTATAGTCTGACCGGAACTGACATTTCAGAGCATCGGTAACTTGTGTCGGAACGGACTGAACGAATGAAGACGCCAAGAAAGCAACAAATTGGCGGCATGTGGGCTCAACACGTACTGCCCAATATGTATTCTGGACATGCTGATCCAGCATCAGAGAGAAGGGACCTGACATGGCGGATCCTAGCATACTCCTCGTGCCTGAAGTAGTCGAGTCGGCATGAATTGGATTCATGCCACTACGCATATTGTTGAGAATGTGACGCAGTTGGCGCGCATAGGCATACTTTGCCTCGGGTGTGATATCGCACCAAACAGTTTCCAGAAGGTCCCCTTGAATGACCCGCTCTAGACTCCCCTCCACCTCGTTTGGAGCTGGCAGCTGTAGAACAGGGAGATCTAGCCGGGCTTGGATCGCGTTTACTAGAAGCAGGCCTGCATTCGAAATTGAACGATACTGGGTCAAAATTGCCTGGCTGCCATCGCCACGCCTTGACTTGATTGTCAGCAAGAGGCAGCGTGGCGTAATAAGGCTTTCCAAGTAGATGGTGTGAATATTTGTTGGCGGTGCTGTGAGGCAGATGAGTATCACTCAGGTGCAACGGCGAATATGTATCGACTCACGAGGCGGGAATGAGGGAGGATTTGAGCATGGGTGCTTCTGGGCGTACGACTCTGAGTTGTCCAGATGATCGCGAGGTCTCTTGACTCCCGCAATCACCAAGGTAGGGTTCTTTGGGAGATGCACAAGAGGCTGAGCTCCTCTTCCATTCTGCGATGGAGAGAGCTCTTTTTTGACGCCCGACTGCTTTTGAGAGGTAGCCACGCCGAGACTGAGGGCGTTGCTACCCGACATCCGTGGCCCAACCGATATGTTGGTTGGCATTTCCGGAGAGCGTGGCTGCAGCAACCGCAAGGCACGCTCTGGGTTCAAACCCTCCATGTTCCTGAGAGGGTCGCTCTGAACGCGCTCGAAGACGGGCGAGAGGCGGAGACTATCCGCCATCGTTCCCGCCTTTTCTTGCACCTAGGGAGACTTGGATGCGTTAGTGATCAGATGGAGACGATACAGCAGATGCCGACTCAGTTCAGATGACAAGCTTTGCTACCTGAGTTGATCCAAAGTGACTACACCAGATGGATTTGTGTATGGGAAACGGGAGTGGTGAGGAAACCTGACAGGATGCACAAGAGAAGAGGCGATGGCGAGACTGTGAGGATGAAGCAGCAGATGAGCCTCTTCTCACAGGAATAAAGCGAAGACGCGAGTCACTGGGCGTCTTCGAGGCGCTGAAGATTGGGAGTTTTGGACAGAAGAAGAGGATCTGGAGAGGAAGAGAAAAGAAAAAGAAAAGGCCGTGGAATTTCTGTCGTTTTGTTTTTTGTTTGGCTTTGGCTGGGCAACGACTTGGAGGAAGGAGCAGACCATGGCCAGCTGGCGGCCAGTTGCCCTGAGAGAGAAAACGTCAGTGCGGAACAAGGTACCTACCTAGAAGTGCATGTACACGTACCTGTACTTTGGTTCCAAATGTTATGATTTGCAGTGACGATTCACTGTGTTTCTTAACAAACATGATTGAAATAGTTGATAGACACAAAGTGAATGAGCTGCGAGATGAATCCTTCAGCAGCGTTTGGCGATATTAGTTGAGCGGCTCTCTGGTGCACATGACGGACACGAGCGGTATGACGGCTACCTGCAGCAACGTGAGCAAGAAATGCTGTGAAGAGAAGACTCATGCTTCATTGTTTCATAGTAAATGTCAACCGCTCGGGAGGTCGGTGTCCAAGCGACCAGGTGAATGAAAGTCATGTTGTTAATGTAATGCATTAATCATCTTGGTCTCGAGACAGCTCCGCAAGTAGGGCAATCAACCACTATGTGCGTGTGTAGCGGGTTTGATTCGTTGCTTTAAACGACAAAGAAAAATCCCAAAAAACTGTTGCAAGTAACTGCATATTTCATCCCATCTGGAAACTATAAAGTCATGCATCGATAATACTAACATTAATTGATTTGTTGCTGCCTGCCTAGTCTAAACAAAGTACGCGTCGGGCCACTGAATCATCAACAGACACAACTAAGACGCTCGACAACCAAAACCGACAATCGCATGCGCCTACTAATATCTTGCTTTCTTATCAATCTACTGTCATGAGAAAACATACCACAATAGATCCAAGGCTTCGTTGTGATTCGCTACTGATAACGCTTCTTGCAATGGTTACGAACAAGGGTTGTAGAGCCAATAGTAGCGGCTGTCCTCATCCGCCGCTTACGCGGAATAAGTCTGGTGCCTGGAAGGAACGCGTAATGCCAGCAACTCCTTCTGGGCTTGAAATCCACGAGATGAGTCGTTACACATGTGCTACAAACAATGGCTTCCATCGCAGCCAACATGAAGCTCGTCGTCTTGCTGGCTTCGGTTGTGGCGGCGCAGGGGCAAACGCCAATCCGCCCAAGCTATGACAGCGCAAAAGCCAACGCCAACCACATCTTCAACGCCATCCATTCTACCGGCCGTCAATGGGGATCGTCGCTGAATCATAACGGCTTCGGCTTCATTCCCGTTGTTGTGCCGGCCGGGATCTCGCTGTATCATGGAGGCTACTTCGAACAGCCTCCAGAAGGCCCCGAGTGGCTAGCTTTTGAAGTTGAACATGCAGAAAACTTTGCCCGAGTACCAAAAGGGGGCCCTCGAGGCTGTCGTCCTTGTCGCGATGAGCAGCTCCATTCGTTATCCTCTGAACAAAAACCCCTTGATCAAGCAGGAATTGATGGCTGTGACTGTGAGGTTGAAGGAAGAGTAAGAGGGTATCTACAGACCTATCAGACAACACGCAATGTACAGCTTCTCTATCTGGATGGCACATCGGCAGGCAAGAGCCCTGTTGGGACGCTAGATTCACAAGACGAAGTCCTTTGTCAAAGCAATAGCTCGCGCTGGGATGACATGGGGGGCGAAATGTATCGCGCAAAAGCACTTTGCGATCTCATCACCGAATGGGGATGGGACGGGATTATGCGCATGGAGATTGGCTTCGAGGTCATATACTGCAATTTCAGCTCCGGTTTGAACCTTGATTCTTCGATCCGGACACTTGTCCCAGAGGACAGATTGGAAGATGACTTCTCCTTGATACCCTACTTGTGGTCAAGGGCAGCCACTGAGCGATATGACGGCCTCGGAGGCGACCGAATTCAAATGGACTTTTCATCCATGGTGTCTGGGTTCTTCTTCCCCATCAACATCTCTAATACAGATCCAGATCGGCCGGACCTTATCAGACTAGGAGCAGCACAGCGAGAGCATTTGCTAGACATCAAGAACTACATACAGACCTTGTTCGTGGAGCCGAGAAAGTTTATTGTCAATTGGCAAGCAGTTGTAGACATGATCATCGCTCGCTTCGGCAACAGATTGGCAGCCATGGCTTCGGCTAGTGTTTCAACGGATTTATTCATCGGCGAGCTGGAAGGTACAGTGCTCACATATCTCGAAGCCCCGAGCCTCCCCGGCGATGTCACACTGGCAGAGGACGATGATGGTAGAAATAGAACTGCCGAAGCCATTGACCGTTGCGCTTCACACTACTTGAAACCGGCACTGCTGTCGCAACAGGACTGGACTCTATCAGACTCATTGATCCATACCGCTCTCGGGACCGTTACGCAGCATATCTGCAGCGACCTTTATTTCATGCGATCAATTCTACTCCAGGCATCACCAGATGCGGCGCCTGATGCATACTTAATCAAGAGAGGCGTAAAGAGCGCCGATATGGAGGAGGCAGTGAATCAAACCCGCACCATTGTACGCGACCTTATGCAAGATCTTGCCTGGACCACGTGGAAGAAGCCGCAGCTGTGCGTTGAGGGTCAGATCCTACTAACCGCAATGTGGCCACTTGGAGACAGCGTCGACCACTTCAACCCTGGCTGTGTCCCAGCCCAAGATATAACAGGGCGGCGAAGAAACTATTGGACGCCTTATGAGAAAAGACCACGCATCGATTGAACAATTGCTTACTTTCGGTTATAAGCAGCACCGAGAAATGGATATGATGAGACATGATAATTCGCTTTATATTATAAAGATTTAATGCTATGCTATACTATTTCTTTAGGCCAGCCTTCTCGACTACGTGCTAAATTAGGCCTTGACTCCGAGCAACTTCTCACTGACCTCCCAAATCCTCTTCGCGTCAGCCTCATCGTAAGTATAAGCAGCGTGTCCCCTCCATTCGGGCTTATCTGTCTCCTCCGTGGGAAGTGCAACGGAACAGTCTTCCAAGTACTTTCCTCTAGCTCCCTCAGCCAGGACATCGTCGCTAACTGCCGCCCACACCTGCGTCGCAGCGCCCTGTGAGTTGTTCTTGAAGACTTCAGACGGCCAAGTCTTCATGAGTCCCTCAACGACCTCCTTGCCCCAGCCGCTATTGTCCAAAAAGGCGGATTCGAGGATACCGCCGGGATGGACGCTCCACGCGGTGAGGTTTTGGGCGCCGTAGCGACGGTCAATCTCGGTGGCCGTGTAGATGCTGGCATTCTTGGCCTGAGCATAAGCAAGCGAGGGATTGTATTCCTTTTCAAAGTTGAGGTCGTCCCATTGGATTCTTCCGAGACGGTGTCCGTAGCTGGTAACGTTGATCACTCGGCTAGGGTTCGAAGCTGATGCGCTGGCGAGCAAGGCATCCTTGAGAAGAGAAAAGAGCAGGAAAGAGCCGAGGTGGTTTATGGCAAACTGTTCCTCAAAGCCATCAACGGTGACTTTGCGCTCAGAAGTGATACCGCCTGCATTGTTAAGCAGGACATTGAGCTTGCCGCCAGACTGCTTCAGAAACTCGGCAGCAAAGGCCTTGACGCTGGCATTTGACGCCAGGTCGAGCTCGAGGAAGTGAACGTTGGGCAGATCGGCGATGGTTGGGAGCGCAGCCTTGGCCTTGGAAATGCTTCGGCCAGCCAGGTAGAGAGAAGCACCGGTAGCAGCGAGAGCTCTGGCACTGGCGGCGCCAATTCCGGAGGAGACACCGGTGATGATGATGACTTGGCCCTTGAGGTCCTCCTTACCAGCGTCCTTGATGATCTGTTCGGCAGTGGGACGGGCATCACCAACTCCGCCGAGCTTGTTCCAGGCGTGGACAGCAGCGTATCGAGACATTTTGTATATAGGAAGGTATGTGTAATCAGTGAATTAGATTGAAGATGAGTGGTGATGGAGTGTCGAAAGTTTATATATATGTTTATATGTTTGTTGGACTGAAGCAACCAAGTTCATCCTCTCGAGCATTTCAGCTGTCTCTTATATCCTTTTCACCATCATAAAGGCATGATGTCTTCAATTCTAATCTCCGTCCATTTCCACTCTCGGCTCCATCATTCTTTAAATCCGCCAAACGCCACCCGCAGACAGTCGGGGTTGATGCGGACTCTTTCCCACACCATGGCATTTCATCGTCCCCGAATCGATGCGAGACAAAAGGGGGGTCCACTGTATTCGATCATTCCGCCAATTGAAACGCTTACTTTGCGAGCTGACCAATGAGATGTAATGCTTGCTTGCAATAGTGGGACCCTCTGAAGATTCTTCGGGGGGGCAATTTGATGCTCCAGATGGTTCTCCATCTAGTCTGATTATTAAGAGGCGGCTAAGCCCCTCTATTCGTCTCCCTCTCTCCTCCATTTGCATGCTTCTCTCGCGTGGATATGATACAATATGTATCCGTATAGTGGATTGGGGGCGGAGAAAGACTCTCTTACAACTCCTCCGACAATCCATACTAGATTTTAGTAGGAAGATGGAGCAAAATCCCCGCCTGTCTAGCAGTAGGGGTGATATGACGCAAAAGAGGCGGACTTTCTGGCAGTTGAGAGCTGCAAGTGGATTGTATAGGTAGTTTTGTACTCGTGTGGTTATGTTGCGGCAGGCATGGGGTAATAGTAGGTAGCCATGATTAGCAATTGAATCCACTTCAATAATACTTTCCAAGTCCCTATTTATACTGTATTTCGGTGGACGCCATCTACATCCTGTGCTAACTCGACCAACTCCCTCGTGATCTGGCTCTTACTCTCGATTCTTCAAGTATATGCTTCAATGCCACAACATTGGCATTGCTCCTGGCAGCTGCGAGCGCCTCCTTTGTCATTTGGATTTCGCCCCCTCTTTCTTGCAACAGCGTAACTAGCACCGACTTTTCTCTGTTGTTCGCCGCTGCCACAACTACCTCTTCAGTAACTTCAAACTCGGTCCCTTTTGCTTGAAGTAGGATTTTTAAAGCTGGAAAATACTCGTTTTCTGCTGCTGCGACGGCAACTTTCGGTGTGATCTGGACTTTGTGGCGCCATCTCCCAAGCAGATAGACTAATACGGAACGTTCTTGATTCTCCGTTGCAGCGACAACAACGTTTTCCGTGAGGTGAGTCTTGCTTCCATGTCTTTCAAGAAGGTACTGCAATACCGACTCATCATTCTTTTTTGCTGCTGCCATGACTACACTCTCTGTAATCCGTATCTCGTCTTTCTCTCTTCCAAGCAAGCACCATAACGCTGAACTGTCCTCGTTCTTTACCGCGGCTATTAATACCGCTTCTAGAACTTGGACATTCTCCTGGCAGAGAAGGAGGTATGTTGCTTCGATATTCCCCTTCCTTACTGCTCTTGTAAGTAGGACCTCCATCGGTGGGGGAGTATATTTTCTTCGGCTAGGCGTCTGGTCGACTTCAAGAGCGCTGGTAAATGTTTTCTCCGCCGCCCTCACGGCTTTTTCCGTAAATTCGACCTCTCTAAGGCTCGCTTCCGTCAGAAGTACAGCAAAATCTTTGTCTCCCATCAAGGGATGCCGTGCGGCCATTTCTAACAGGTTTCTTACTTTGTCGAAATTCTTGGCCCCGTTAAAATGACTATGGCTTCTGCACATTGCCACAAAATTCGTCAACTCTCTGATGAGATCCTCACTTCCCTCCTGTAAGTTCATTTTCGTCCAGACCATTCGCCAAAATTCGCTTTCGGCTTCCCATAAGGTCCCCGTTCTCCCGTACATCAAAGCGAGTTTGCTCATGCACATGAGCGTTCGTCGATCTGATTCTCCAAAGTCTCTTACGCAAGCATTCTTCATGCCTTGAAGAGTGCTGGTTATCGCTTTGTCGTTGCTTCCTGCATCACTCATAATCAGAGCTACATTCCATAGGCGTGTCTGCTTGTCTATGTAGTCTTCTGATTCTCCTTTTGGGTACTCGAGTATTCGGCTAGTCATCCATGCTTCATAGTCTCGATTCGTTGTCTCTCCATGAGGGCTATTCCAATCCCATACAAGCAGGAAGTCATGCACAGAAGAGCTTTCCGGCTCTTCTAACTGCTCAAAATCCATTTTCTCCATTCCGTCAACCTTGGGAGGAGTAAACTCTATCATAATGATTGAGAAATAATCATCATGTGGCCTAATGACCATGGGTTTTGCAGCTCCAAGTAGGTGACAAAAGAGATCGCCGACCTCGATGGGTTTCCCCGCGACTTGAACGGTCCATGATGGTCCAGGGGTGTCCATTCTCTTAATGTTGATGTGTTGCCTATCTCCACGAGAATCGTCATGTACTATTTGAACAGGAGACACGACGCCAATAACACATCCTTTCGCAAATATGACAGCTGCCTGCTGTTTAATCCATGATTTGACAAATACCCGTTCGCCTAGTATAAACGTGACAAGCTGTGCCATAAGTTCATTCCATGGTGTTTTATAGTTGGGCAATAACCCTGAGGTAGTCGGATTATCAGAGCTCATTCCCAGTAAGGCAAAGATTTTGTCATGGCGCTCGGTGGCCTCGTGTGCGTGGTACATATCTATGAGCGCGCCTAGAGGCCGTATATCCAAAGATATACCACCCATTGAGTTCACCCTATACTTTGGTCTAAATATACAGCCTCTCATAAGATAGGTTACTGATCGTATATGACTCGGGATATCTTCGTACCGGAGAAGCGATGGTAAACCTAAGCAGAAAGCGTATCCATCAATTCTCATGGAGCCACACATCATGACAATATGTTGAGCAGCAGCAACTTCTTGAAGAACCTATGACAAGTATTAGTGTGCTTTGCGATACTGGTGGAATATATATCGTTTACCCATATTCGCCGAAACCATGGTCGCTCAAGTATAGCGAGAATTGCCTGCCGATCCGTTTCTTTATTGAATGTCTGTTTGTGTTCCTCATCTGCAGCCGCTCGTATATTCTTGAAGGCTTGATCGCTGTTGTCGGCTTCTTCACCCAGCCACACGATTACGCGATTTGCTTTAGAATAGATCTCTGCCATGTACTGAATTTGCTCTCCTCGCTCTTCGATGCTGGTCTGGTCGATGCAAACAGCGTCTATCCATAATATCCGCTCAATCATTTTGTCTCGAAGACGCAAGAGTACCTCGTAGAGGTTTGCTGTGATGGGCATACTCCTCTCATCAATATAGAGAGTATGAGGCCTCTCCGAACTCCCCCACACATATGACAATGCCTCGTACATGTGCGATCCATCGCCTAGCTCCAACATAGGATAATCAAAAAGCTGGGAATGAAGAGGCGCATCCTGATTCCGACTTGGTAACAAGCGAAGCAATCGAATATGTCGATGGCCTAGCAATGGCGAATAACGATACAAATTATTAGTATCTTGATGGCACTCATTTGTTGAGTTCTGGAGTAGTAGTGATTGGGCCAAAAGGCCCTCATTATCATTGGCGGCCTCTGAATCATGATTGGAGGATCCTATCCGGACATCTGCTTCTGTGGTTACAGCAACTGGCGTAACAAAAAGAAGAGAGTCATGCACCGTCATCTCTTTGGTCTCGTCGCGATGCTTTTTCTGTCGCCGGATAGGCTGAGTTATTGGTGTTATATTGCTGCACGAGGAAACACTGAAAGATTGGTGGAAGCTATCTTAAGAGGGGAGTTTTTGGGATATTCCTTCGCTTCAATTGATGCGTCTTCCAGCTCCGCACCCTAATCGGGCATCGGTGATTTTCCCCTGTTTAGCCTCAAAATAGAAACAGGCAACAAGGCGTTCTACAGTCTACAACAGCTCGATCCGACTCACCGCCGATGAAACCTCAGAGTCGCATAATTAATAATCACAAATCGTAACTACATAGACGGTAAGAACATGAATAATCTGAAAATAAAGGTCGATAAGGAGAGAATATATAGCAGCCTATTCACCTGTCGGGATTCTAAGGGAACTGGCTGCATGAACACATGCGCATGGAGTTTCTTTCCCGCTGAGATTGAATACCAGTGATTTCTACTCCGTAAATGGATCAATGCTATAATTCGGCCCACTCTTCTCCTGCGTAAAACTCAGCTATTGTCTTGAGTGGATAGTAGCTCATTTTGTCAAACGCAGCGCCGTGCTGCAAGATCGATAAACTGAAAATTTTCATATGGTCGGAGGGAAGCAGGGCATGCGTAGGTAGAACAGCAAGGGTTATCGCAAATTTACGAACCGCAGACACGCTCCTACGCCAGATCTGGCTCCAGCTCTGTATGAATAGGCAAGATCTCAAGATGGCTGATGGCGATGGCCAGTTTTGGACACAGCTCATGTCGATTTACAACGGCCCAGGCGGTATTGCGGCGCTTATCGAAGGCAACAGCCGCGAAATCAACAAGAACCCCGCAGCGGTCTTGCATATTGCCAGATTCTGGCACCATCAAACCATACAACTCAGTTGATCTTTTGGGCATCACAGGATGCGATGTGTACTGCCTTGCCGCGCTTTGATCCTGAACAGTTCACATAGCAGCTGTTTGGATCAGGTAGATGCTCATGATATTCGCAGGTTCCTTTTTTTGGAGCTAGGGATGCGGAAGGGCGAGCTCTCTTTGTCAAAGCTTCAATGGCAAGGTCGAGAAGGAATTGTTTAGGCAGGTCGTCTTTATTGGCCCATTTCGTTAACCATTCTCCAAGCCCATGGTAAGTATACATGTCGACCAGAAGGCGTCGAGCGGCCGATGATTCCGGAGTCCCTTCATATATGTGGCGGATGGCCGGCCCAACAGGATACCAATTCAGACCGTCCGATGCCGCGGAGCGGGATTTGATCAAGATCGCATCTAGGACAGCGTCCTTGAAATTAACATCCTGAAGAAACTCTCCCAATGCGTATGCTTTTGCGAGTTGTACGTATTCAATGTTCCCTTCTAGTCCAGGGTTGTCATTCTTGACTGGGAGTGTTTCAAAGTACAACCAATGCAGGTATACCTCAAACACTTCCGGGTCTTCTTCTTTAAGAGCAATAGATCCACTATTAGATGTCTCCCAATAAGCCTTCATAGCTGTTTTAAAATAATCCGAAGTGCGACAAATCAAATGCTCATGAACGGAGAACGTCACGGGTTTGGTTGATCCAACCGTAACAGTAAGTGCTCTACCCCGCAAGCTACAGTCCAGTTAGACCAGGATGAAAGATTTAGGGACAAAGGACTCAACTCACTCCAGGGACCCGTGCTTATACGTTCTCAGTTTGGTTATATCCATTATTAATGCCAAAGGATATGCAGTATTATACGACTCAAATGTTGTAAATATGGTCGATAGGTGTTGGACTCGAGAGTTCTCCGTGTCAAGAACAGATTACAAAGGCCTGAAAGGAATGTAGTAGTATGCTGCCCAGCCAAATTGATGGAGGTGTGGAGGTAAGCACAATCCTTGAGGTACTGTGTTCCATTTCCCAATGTATCAATTGGGCTTGCACTGCTGCGGAACCAGACCTGGCACGTGCGGTCGGTGCTACATCAATGTCAGGCAGCACATCAAACCCGCTAACCACATACGCCAGCAGCATAACGAGTATCTCCCTGTGCTTCTGGACCCAGTCTAGAGACATGCTCTCTCATCACGTGGCCCTTTTTTAAGTAAAGCAGAACACCTTAAGATCGATGCCTGTTCATTGGTCTCTTTCCTCTACTAAATGATTACTTCGTTGGTTCCAAAATACTTATATGATGCGGTAGCAGTCGGAAAGTACTATCAATATTATATTGTTGGCAAATTACGCCCCCAAATATAGAATCGAATATGTTTTCTTTTTGCAATTTGCCATTTTAATGTTACCAAACCTCTTTGATTGCAAAGAAGCTTATAAAGATCATGCCAACTTTGTGTATCGCCAGTCTATTTTCCTTGTACACCTAGGGAATGCTGAACTTCGGGTGAGAGTTATGTGACCGTTCTGGCTGCATAACGGAACCTTTACTCGTTTTCTCTCCTACGCCGTCGTCAACGTCTCGGCGGCCGAGTCCACGTTCTCCTTGCTCTCCGGCGCGGCTGGAGAAGGATCTGCAGTAATAACATGTAGTTGCTTCACCTTCCGGATATCAACCCAGCCCAAGCCCCAGCCAAAAGCAAACGTGGCGATGCTGACTCCGATTCCGAGATACATGACATGGCTAATTGCCGTGGTATAGCACTTGAGCGCGGCTGTGAGTCTATCGCCGGAAACGAGGCTTCGGATAGTTGTAGCTCCGGTACTTAGGATGATGTCTGGGTTGACGCCGATCTCGTTGGTGTGCTTTTGGAGCTCTTTGCGCAGGCCATTGGAGAAAATGGAATTGGCAGCAACAAGGAAGACTGCACCGCCCATGTTTTGACAAAAGATTATGATGGCCATGGCAATAGGAATCTGCGGGGGTGGGACAAGATTTTGGATCGCTACGTAGGGCTTCAAGAAAAAAAGGAACAGTTAGCAAAAACATGATTCGACAAGTATGTCAGGAGATTGAATAATGAAAAGTAACTCACCGCCGAGCTCATAGCGCCACTACCAACACCATAGAGGACCTGGTACCCAAGCCATTTTGATGAAGAGGTCGTAGGCTTCAGCATAGACATGAGGCCATAGCCAATGGCGGCCATAGAACTTCCTCCCAAGTTCCAAGGCAGGTAATATCCAAAAATCTCGGCTGCGAATCATCAGTCTCATAGTCTTTTAGGTGGTCAAGGAGGAAGAGGCAAAGGGTAGCAACGAACTCATCATTCCAGAGAGCATAGTGAAAAGGACCAATCCCAGAGTCGTCGGCAGCAGATGCACACCACTCATGATGGGCCCGTTATCGAGCACTGTTTGGAAATAAATGGCGAGGTAGTATTCGGCTACCAAAATGGCACCAAGAAGGAAGAACAGATTAGCCGCAGCAGACCAGACAATACGCTTCTTTATCATTGCGTAGGGCACCATGGCGTTATCACCTTGGTAATATTCCCAGACGAGGAAGAGGATAAAGGTGACGACGGCGCCAACCAAAAGGCCGATGACAACAGAGCTATTCCATGGATGCAAAGTGCCGCCGTATTGCAATGCAAGCAAAAACATGATGGCCGCGGGGCTGATGAGCATAAAACCAGGAAGATCCAAAGACTTGATGGTGGTACCAAGGACTTGCCTCGGGGGCAGCTTGTCCGTCATCTCGGGGATGTTGACAAAAAGCAGCAAAATGGCTAGAGCACCGCCAATGGGAAGATTGACGTAAAAGCCTACAGCGAGTTAGCAGGGTCGGGGGTTAACCCAAGAAGTCAGCCAAATCACTTACACCAACGCCATGTAACACTTTGAGTGAATGCACCACCAATGATGGGGCCTAAAGCGATACCGAGCTGGCCAATGCCCAGATTAATACCCAGGAACTTGGCTTGCTTTCTGGGAGGCATCACAGCCGAGATGATGGTCAGGGCACCGTTTCCAATACCCGACGAGCCGGCACCTGCAATGGCTCTACCGACGATGAACATTGGCGACGAGACGGCCGCTCCACAAATGACAGATCCAAGCTCGAAGATGAAGAAGAATACAAGGAATGACCACTATATCCAGCGTTAGAAAGTTTTGTTCCATTTTGCCTTCTTTTCCCAGTTTTTTACCCTCATTTTCCTATCCTTTCTCTTCCCTCTTGTGCCTCTTATTAAGAGGCCACAGAAGCACTCACCTTTATATTGAAGTGGCTGTATATCTTGCCGGTGAGCGGCTGCAGTGCTGAGCTCCCGAGCTGGTACGCTCCTCCATACCAGCCGATATCGATCAGAGAATTGAACCGCTGTGTAATGGCGGGGGCTGCGGTAGACACGACGCACATGTCGAGGAAGACAAGAAAGTAGGCAATCGTAACTGGCCCCAGGATGGACCATAAGACCATGCCAGTGGGATACTTACCGTCACTGTCTGTGGCCTCATTCCCAGAGGAGGTGCCATCGGAGCCGTACTTCTCGACATCGCCAGTCTTCTCCGGTGGCACCTCGCCTGTGTCCACTGACTTATTGGATTCAGTCATACTTCAAGGTAGGGGCTACGGCACTGAAGTTGAGTGACGCCAGGATCTGTATTAGTGGTTGTCGCGAGAAAGGATGTGTAGTTTGTCGTGCCAACTTACCGTGAAGCCGCAAGCTATATAGCACGAAGTGAGAGTTACACACCCACCAGCATGTACAAATACAGAGTATAAGATTTTAGAAACATACCATTGCTTGTAGAATACATGTATGGAGCGGAATCCCACGACTAGGCGGGAGCGAGTGAGTGTCGGCTGGTGTAAGTTGGTGTAAGTCGGAACCGGAATTTGAAATCCGGTTCTTAGTCCCTGTCAGATCGACGGGACCAACCGCCAACCGGACTGGAACGGACTTTGAGGCCGGTTTGGCACTAACAGGGATTTACTACAAGGATCTCCGGCCCGCTTAGGTAAACTGGGACGGCGCCGTATCAATACTGCGAAACGACACGGGAGGAGAGACTCGATACAAGACAGCACCTGGTTGGCTACAGGCAGTTTGAGAACGGCCCAGGCTTCTTACAGAACTGTTGTAGTGCACCGGCTATTCATCGTTGAATACCGGATATCAGATATGATCGGTGGATGGCTTACAAACCCAACCCCGTAAACATCCGTTAACGATACTCCGAACGTGTAGCCCTTTCAAGCCCAGTGTCAAGGGTAGATCGTCATTCGTCAGGGCAACAGTTAGGTCCCGAGGTCTAGTTATTTACATGTAGCCTGGTATCATATCGCCGGGCCAGGAAGTAGAAGCAAGAAAATAGGGGTATGCTCTCAGCAAGATGAGATCTATGTTAGGTTCAAGACTGCATATGCCTCTCTCATAATAGTGAGAAATCCTTTGCAATGTAGGTATCATTTAATCCTTGAAGTCAACGAAAAATTGATCCAGCCATGAAGTGGGACTCATTAAGGATCCCGCCTCTTGGCCATATGTCCACACATCTATATTTGCATCCGTAGTTGTGGCCATACCCGTAGCCGTAGCCGCATCCACTCTGGAGTCTACTCCATCTCCCACTTCTGATGTTCTTCGCGAATCATCTTGTTGGGTTAGCGGCCCTTTGTCTTGATAAGCCGACTTATACATGCGTAGGCCGCGTGCAAGCTGGGTGAACACGCCATCGGCTGATGCCGGCTGCTCGCACGCTTCTACAGCGGCGAGTTCTAGTTTGTCCGCCATACAGGACAAGAGGACGGGCAAGTCGACGAGGCTGCGCACAGCAGCTAGGTCCCACCCCGGTTCGTGGTGCACGCTGAGTTGGTGCAGGGTGGCCACGCAGCGTGCCAGCTGAGCCCACTGGATGAAGGAGACGCCACGGAGCCCAGACGGCGACAGCGTCAGAAAGGTCGACGTGCACGACTTGATTGCCAGCGCCGACTGCCAAAAGCAGGATAGGCGTGTAGGCCCGCATGTTGGCGGTGGTGGCTTCGCCTGTGGTCCGCGAGCGGATGGCGGGTGGTGGATAGTGTTGATAATGCACATTTCTGTGTAGTACGTCTGAGCTAGGAGGACTGCTTCTCAATTAGCAACTGCTGCCTAATTCAATTGTTGAGAAGAAGTCTGGAATGAGCTGGACACTTACCAAAGTGCTGCTGGAATACCGGAGGGACAGACGCACGGAGCTCTTGGACCTGTCCCATCAGCCCCTTGATGCACAAGAGAGATTGAGGTGAAAGCGTCTCTGGTGGGGGATGATCCGGGAGTTGGGCGTACTCCCTGACCTGGGCAGCTTTTAGGGCAAGCAGCTGCAGGCGGACCTGAATAGCAAGTGCAGCATCGGAGGGACATTCTGCGCCGGCATTGTTGCCGTTGGCGATAATTGCAGCTAGACCCTCGTCCATCTGATGTGTCCATCGCGGCGCATCAACATGGGAGAAGTAGGCTGAGACGGCCGACCCAAGCACAAAGCAGCCTAGAATGGCTCGTTGGCGCTCGAGGTAGAGCCAAGCATTGGTCACTCCAGCACCCGGAGTCGTTGCCGTTGTCGCCGCCATGCCACTATACGCACCGCCAAAGCTGCCATTTGGTTCCAGGCGGCTTATTGTCTGTGCAACTTCTGGTACGGCTTGATCCAGAGAACCCAACTCTCCAGCCAACGAAGTGGCCAACGCCATGAGTCGAGACAGACTGTGACGGCTAAAGAGGTGCTCCCAGCCCCACGCAATGTAGATAAGGAGACCTAGCAGCAAATCAACTGTTTTCTGTTGTTGCTGCTGATTCTGGTGCGACGACAGTTGTAGAAATGCCTTTTCGCACAGTACACGCTTCAGCTCGAGGGAGCGTTTCCTCTTGTCCTCAGCTGATACCGAAGTCACGCAAACAATTGCGCGGAACAGGAAAGGCCGCTCTTCCCACAGCTGCTCGGCCGTGAAGTGGGCAGGTAAGTGAACAAAGGAGAAGTGATGCAGCATTCGCGACCGGAACGTATCGAGAGAGAGCAATGCTAAGAGAGGAGATACAGACGGCGACATGAACGCGTCCACGGTTGAGGGCGGCGTGGCCAGAGGGATGCGGCTGGTGCTGAACCCGTTCGCATTGTCCGCTGCCCACCAAGAAGCAGAGGCGCCGGTGGCATCGGTCTCGGTATCAACATCTTGGTCGTTGAATGTCAGGGTGCCGCTCTTTGATGTCCTTTCTGCGACCGCATCTTGGTAGGTAACGCTGGGAGGGGTGTGCATCAGCGTCGCTGGGTGGTGTTCAGCCGTCTCGACTTGGAGCACCAGCCGTGGCTGTAGTCGCTGCTCATGTTGTGGTTGCAGTGGTGATCTCTGCTGCTGCTGTTGCTGCTGCTGCTGTTGCGACCAAGCGCCGACTCTGTCATCGCCAATGTTACTTACGTTTCCTATACCGCCGACGTCTTCAATACTGCTCATGATGCCCGCGTTGACGTTGCCCTTCTGGAGCAGCGACATCAGCTGGCCCAGCGTTCCCTCCAGCTTGGCGATGCGGTCGTCGGACGAGTTTTGCTTCTTCTCGCTGCGCCGACGCAGCACATCAGCGGGATGACATTGTCGCTTAAGACGGTGACACCTATAGATAGACCATATGCGTTTGTGTCAACCAGAGTCAACGAGTGCGAGCGAGTCCTGGTTTACCGGCCATCAAAATGAAGCTGAGACTGACCTTTCGCATCCATTGCCTTCAAGACGGGGAATACACTTGCATTTAATCTTGAAACAACTTAAGCACGCTTGGCCATACGGCGCCGAGCGGCCAGCGGTTTTCACTACGGCAGTCATTCCGCCCAGTTGAGATCCAAGTGTTTATTGACAGCGATGCAATTCCATACGGCGGTTGGGAGCTGAGTGTTGGAAGCTGACTTCAGGTGGTATGAGACTGCTGTATAGGTAATATGACGTAGGCCTGTAGGTAGTACATGAAACCTCAATAAACTCATAACACAGTGCTACTTTAGTAGATGAAAATATGAGGACCTAAAATTTAAGTTTAAAAAAACCTCCTCCGAGGTTTTCGAAAAGAAAAACCAAGGGATATTTATTCCTTTTTATATGTAATTCTTATAGATTTCTAGCTTAACATCTCTAAATATTTTCTATTTTATAACTATCCTTTAATATACAGTAATAATATTATGCTTTTAAGCATCATAAGTTAGTGTAGTTACATGTAATTACCTACCTAGGTAGCTGCAGTAGAAGGCGTAATGGGTGTCGCTAATTTTTTTTTAGTTATAGAACTTTCATAAGAACTGAGGGCCAGGAACGGTCAGGTACAGAAAGGGGAAGTTAAATTTAAGGAGGAGAAGCTAAGTAGAGTTCTAACTACCTACCTAGTAGATGGTATAGACTTGTCGCAACGCATGGTCTTAGGGTATATAATTCGCTTCCATTAAGCATCTGAGAATCGCGCAGTCCTACCTATGTTTCACCATGACTTTCAACCGACTGAAGAATCCACCGCTCTGTCTAGACGCCTTGCTATTCACTTGCGAAGAACTGCACGACCCTCCTTCACCCTGCAAGGAAGGCGGCCGATGTTGGGCGCGCGAAGAACTCCGTGATCGATCTGCTGCCCCGGAGGAGGTACGCGGTCGATCTCCCACGTCTGGCACGCCCAGTCGAGCCAACAGTCGTAACGATGTGTGCGGTTGACGAGATGTCGCCATTGGCCTAAGCGAAGATATGTGGGTTTGTAGCAATTCCATAGCATTTTGGATATACTCGACTGACTCGACTGACCCGTTCGCCCAAGGCTCGCCTGCGAGCGCCTCAACAATTTCGAGGGAGCGTTGGGCTTCCTCCAAAGACGAGGAATCCAGCAGGAACCTTACTAAATCTCGCCTCGTGTCGTCATTGCTCCGGGGGGGACCTAGTTTGCAAGCCATCGGGAAATCAGCAAACCCGCCCAGGATGGCGTGCACAAGCACGGGCATGACCTTTCCGCTATCACGCGTGAGGCTCGGATGTTCGAGCACCTTTGCTCGAACATACTGGGACACTGGGACTTGCGCCATCATGTCCAAGAAGTCGAGCTGTCCCCATTGGCTCCATCCACGCGTAGGGGTTACTGCGTTTCCCCAGTGGACTAAAGCTATCTCTTGTTTGGTGTTTGAAGCTGAAGAAGGCGGTGGCCGATCTTGGGTAGGATAGGTGTCCTTCAGAAGACATGACTTCCCGTCACGGAACTTGACGAGCGAGAGCTTTTTCACTTCGCGATCCAGCCTGTCCAGCGTCTGCACAAGCAGCGTCGCCGACGTTGCAGACGCACCTATGTTGGCGCCAGGCTCCCTAGCCAGCTCAACCAGGATCCCGAGGTGCGACCAGAACATCATATCCATGAAGTTAGGCGTCACATAATTCTCTATGGGTAGCCGCAGCGTCTCGCCCTTCAGCGCCCAGAGGCGGGCGTCGAAGCCCGGCTCCGCAGTCGCCATCATGAGCCCCCAGTTCTCGTGCACCCATTCCCGGGCTGTGCGGTGCATGTAGCTCACAACGCTCTCGCGGCTGTTTTCCATTTGGTGGATCTCGAGCAGTCCCTTGGTTCGGCTGTTCAGCTTCCGGTTGAGCGACAGGACCACGCCAGACAGGAAACTGTTGACAACCTGGTTGATGTCAAGATCGATGCCGACCTCCTGGTTGTCGCCCATCCCAATGCTGAGTGCGAACGGCGTCAGATTCTGGTCCTCGAAGCACTTCATGACGTCGAAGTAGTGCGCCGCCTCCGTGCGGTAGCTCGGGTGCGTCTGCTCCCACATGACCTGAAACAGCTTGCTCAGGTCCTCGGGCAAGCTGTCTAGCGTCTCCTGCATTTTGGCCAGGCTGTCACCCTCCTGGAGGCTCTGCAGCAGATTCCACACCGCCACGGACACCCAGAGAAACACGCCGAGCGCCTTGTCGGCAATGTCGCGGAGCAGTTTTTCGGCCGCGGCCTGGTACATAGCCCTGCGCTCCCGGAACCCGAGGCTCCTCTCGAACTTATCCCTGATGTAGAGCTCAATGTCCGGTCGAGTAAGCCTCTCCAGCTGTAGCATGGGGTTCTGACTGAAGGCGTCGCGAAAGACGTTCCACGGTCGGCTACTGACGCAAATTTTCACGCTGGGGTTCTCGTTCGCCTCCTGTATGAGGTCCACAAGTGGTTGATAATTTCCCTGGCTCACCTCAAATTCGTCGAGGCCGTCGATCAAGAGTGCCAGTTTGAGTATCGGGTGCTTCTTAGAGGCCTTGCGGCCGGCGTGGGAGACCAGAGCGCGAAACCCAGCTTCCAGCTCCTTCGGCTGCCAGTCCGGGAGGTCCAACCTCTCGGTAAATACCTGCAGCAGCGACCAACGGGCAGGAAAGACAATGGGCACAAGCATCTCCGGGTCACTGGATAGACATTCATAGAGGATGGTGCGGAGGAGGCCCTGGGGAGACTTCTGGAGCCTACTCCCGGAGTTCCAAGAGAAATACCTGGCCAGGATGAGACGTGAGGATGGTCCTGCCCATGTCTGCAGATGAGCCTGAAGCCTCTCATCCTTGCCAATGAACTTGGTCAGGGTGGACTTGCCCGCGCCGGGTTTCCCTGTGATCCAGTAGATGTTATCTGAGTCGCTGCTCAGCCAATCCGTGAAGTCAGACCACAGCGGTTCCCCATCGTCAGTGCGGCGAGGCTTAGAGAAGACCCATCCAAACGTCTTGGCGTAGGCTTCTGGGATAGCTTTCTCCCGATGGAGCATTGACTCGAACGGCAGACTGTTGATGACCTCTTGGGTGCGTTGCTCGTGCCGCAGCTTGGCCTTGTTGCTGCGCGACTCCTGCACTTGCCACCGTATGGCATCGCTAGGCTTCCAGTCGGAGTCGAGGACGTACTTAACGATGCCTTCAGCCTTCGACGAACGCCCATCAACCACGTTGACGAGCTCCTCGCCAAACTTGCGCGTTGTCTCGTCTATCGTGTGGAGCTTGCTCATCGTCGCAACCTGCCGTTGAGCAATCTCGAGAGATGTGACCTCGCTCTTCTCTGCTTGGCCCCTAGTCGATCGAGAAAGAGTCAGTGTGAGCGCGCACCCAGGATGAGAAAGATAAACGAGTGGCATACGTACCACAGGATGACGAGAGACGCCATCATGATCTGCTTCTCGAGTTGGTGGATCCGCTCCTTCAGCCCGTTGATCTTGGGTGCCGACCGAACGCCTTTGAGGGCAACCACGAAGCTGTCCGCCGCGTGCTTGATACCTTGATTTCCGTGCGTCTTGAGCTTGTCCAGGCGCTCCTTCAGATCGGTGCAGATGTCGTTGCACTCGCGACAGAGACTCAAGAACTTGGCCCGCGAGGGCTCGTCGAGCCTAGGCCCGCTGCCTTCCGCCCCCGTCACTCCTCGATCCCTTTGGGCACCTTGCGCCTTGTCGTCGACCTCTTTCATCAGAGTCGTTAGGTTCTGGGTGATTTCTGCGAGCTCGGCGTTGCGTGGCGCCTGGCCCGACGACTTCCATATGTCCCACGAGTCGACCAGGATGCGGGATCCATAGTCTAGGAACTGCACGGCAGCGGCGGCGACGGACAAAGCACTAAGGGGGTCCATCGCTGACTTGAGAGGGTTCAAATTGGTGCTGAGCTCTGGCTCTGTGAAAGATATCTGGAGAGCCGCAAAATATGGAGTAGCACTAACGCTCAAAAATACTCGCAGCTACCCTCTCTTATAAGGCCATCTGCCAGCTGAAACAATGCGGGGCCATCTTGGCGATTCTTCTCTCGAGCTGGGCTGGGCTGAGTTGGGCTGGGCTGAGCCGAGCTGAACATGACAACAGTACTCGTACATGTATCCCGCCACCTAGTCAAACGGGAGCCAAGCTTGACACCAGTCATTAAGGAAGTACTCGAAGCTGACTCGAACCTTTCTCAATCCGCTGTGCAAGAACGTTACAGTAGAATTATTTTTGTCCAGCATAGCTCGAACTATTCTCATCATTGTGATCATCGATGTCCTAGACAAATTTCGTATCATTACGTACAAAGTAAACGGGGTTTTATCTCACAGCTATGGTTACTATAAACGCTACAGTGCTTTATGAATTGCATGTGTACATGTACTCAAATATTGCAATGTGGTATCTACGTGCATACCTAGGCTCTCGCTAAATACCTAGTAGAACAAGGCGCATGTTAAGCCGCTGCAGCTTTTATCCTCTGTTACCATCTTCTCAACGTCATAGTCCCCATGCGGTTCGAGAGGCTCGTTTCAGCTTCATCTTGCTCCTCTCGGCGTCCCTCCCCATTGGGTCCGTCTTCTGGCCGATGCGGCTCAGCAGATCGAGGGTGCCGGGATCTAAGCGCCGCATGCACTCCGGGCAACACCGGTGAAGGCCAGCCGGAAGCGCGCGCGTAAATAGTCGCCTTGATGCCTCGGCGAATCAGTCATGACACTAATGACGCCACCACCAGCAATGGCCACCTCCAGTGACGGCGTTGCGGTGCTGTTGTTGCTTGCCATAATGTTCAGCCGCAGCCTGGTGGTTTGCAATATCTGAAGTTGAACCAATTGGACACGATGAATTACAACATTCATTACCAAGTAGGTGTGCCTTCGTGGAGGGAGAAGTTGGACGGTGTGAACACATTCTTGTCCTAGAAGCATCATTCAATATTACAATCAATTACACGAATAGAACAGTCTAACTTAGAGGGGCAAGTTAAACACAATCATCAGAGTTTATATCCTCCTAGCTCTCGGGTTTAGAAAATCCTCAACTAGGTGCTAATAGTCCCACTATCTACTAGATACTGTGCCGGGCGGGGCCGAACAGTGCCAGGCTTCAGTTCCCGGTGGCGGCCCGGCTGGCGCTACCGACATTCAGCAACGTGGCAGACGGGTCCCATGTGTCGACTGATGAGACGGATCTCACCGGAATGGTGCTACGGGCGATCCTGACGCAGCAGTTCAACTGGGCCGGGACGGTGTCGAAGCTATTGTCGACGTCGGCTGCAACGCATAAGGAGGTATCCCTGGTGGCTTTTGGGCAGGACCGGTACATTCCTCCGACAATAGCACGACTGAAGAAATGCGGTTAGACTATTATTATCAATGATTTAGTTGCTATGATACAGAGCAATTCAAACCGGGGATGTAAACATAAATATGATCATTGTCAGCTTACGAAGTTACGTAGCTTTGTGCGTAATTTCGTGATATACCTCTGTTTTAAGAAAACAATGGGAGGCCCAGATTTATATCCGGATTTGACTGAGGCTGCATCAGTATTTTGTACTATGCAGTGTGTAAGAAGACGGCGTATTGGTGATTTCGATAGAAGCTCTACATAGTCCAAAAGGAACTAACAGGATATCCATCTATACTACGCAATCGTGAAAGAGTTTTACATGGGCTACATGCCATTGTGTGGAGCAAGTGTCATATAAATTAAATCAACAGTAGTAGTATATTTGGCTATTGAATCTCTGAAATAAACTACCACTAATACTTCTAGCTTTAAATCTTAAGCTTTTAAGCTTCCTGTTTGCATTTTAGCTTAACTGGGAACCAAATGTCAAGCGTCAATGCGGAGTTGTAAGGCGCTTAAACGTAGGAGTCGGTAACGGTAGAGCCGTCAATGGTAACGCTGGTGAGAACCTTGTTGTTTTGTCGAATGTCGATAACAGAAGCAGTTGAAGCATCCAACGAGGAACTTCCGGTCGAAGCTGTAGCACCGGTAAAGACAACGCTTCCCCAGTTTGCGAGGGCAACTAAAGAGGAGCCTTCCTCGAAATCCTCGACGATCCATTCGGCGTTCTGTCCTCCAAGAGCATAGGTAGAAGTAAGAGACTTGGAAACGCTCTTTCCAGTAGTGACGTTCTCAATAATGGCTACGCCAGCTTTGGTGGAGGTTGAAGTGACGGTAGTCTTGATGACATCGCCCGGGGAGATGGCGAGGGAAAAGTCGTATGCGTAGTCAGGGAACCACTCATACCAGGCATCGTAGCTCACTTTGCCGTTGGTAATGGTGAAATCAACGCCTGTCTGCAGGATAGCATTCTGGTACGTATCGCCGTCAATGCCAACCCAGGCAGAAGCGCTATAGGTGCCGCGGGAAGAACTACCCGAAGGAACCTTTGGAGTGGGAACAATGAAGCTGGCCGAGACGCTGTTGAAAGTCTCACCAGCTGGTGGGGAGGTGATTACGGCTCCCGACCAGTTCGAGGAGTAAGAGACGTGGGTGTCATTTCCTTTCTCCTGAGAGTCAATGCGCTGAATGGGTCTGGAAGAGCGTCCTGCTCTGCGAGCAACACGCTCGCTCAAGGTGCTTGGGGCCGCATAGACGCCAGCGAGCAGTGCGTAGCTGAGAGTAATGGCAGAAAACTTCATCTTGAATGGTTGAAGCTGTGTTGGAGTCTTTGCAAAGTGTTTTGTTGCTGTGAATAAGAGCTAGGTGCTTTCCAAGTGCGCTGTTGAAGAGTGGTTTTGAATTCAAATGTCAAAGGCAGATATGTTTGCTTTTATAGATATCACAATATAGCATCAACCATGAGAAGAACAATATACAACAGAAATGTCGTTTGATACTACCTTCCCAAAACATTGAAATATCACTTCTCGTGACCAACTTCAGAGAGCAAAAGATGCAAGATAATGCAATGACTGGTTTCGAGCATGTGATAGTTAGAATGGCTACTCTGTCTCTTGGATGAATTATAGAACGCTAACTTGTAGCAAAAAATTGCCCGCCGACCTCTAACGCATTCCTATCCGCATGAAGAAACTCAGTTCCGGGAACCTTTGAGAAAGTCGTAATTGCAGGGCTTGTATTGCTAGAGATTATCATAAGAGATCGCATTGGCGCAGATGTGGTGGAGAGTATCGCACTTCAGTGCCGTGTTCCGGTAGATGGCACTGTTGACCCAGATTCGTGAATCATCTTGTATGCCATTTTTTACTGAAATGCTGCATCACTAACTTATAGCTACTCACCTTCCTAATAAAGCCGATCCTGCCGAGGTTCAAATGGCGCGTTGTGTTGCTGCAGTTGTCCTATAACTTGTTGTCATCTAAATGGCGTATTTTGTTGCATAAATTACCGAATTGCGTAAGTTGTTGTTGCGATACAGCATCGCGCAGTCGTCATAACCAGGACATCTCGCGGGTTAAGTATGGACCGCGCCGTTGAACAAGGCATTGACAACCAGAAGCGGCAATCGCTTAAGCAATAAGACCAACCCCAAGCAACAGTTGCTCTCAAGTGTTCCAAGAGCGTTACATGCATGTGCCGTTTTGCTTTAGGACACTAGCACGCCCAAATCCGCAAGCGAGATTGCAAGCGTGTATGACAAACTACGCTATGCTGTGAAAGGCTGGCATTTGGCAACTTCTGAAATATAACCCACCGACGTTTATCATCTAACTTGAGCTCCTCCGAATGTTTCAAGAGCTCTGTTGATTCAAACTCCTCTGTATACAGGCAATGAAATATGGGGCTTTCTACTAAGGTGCTTTTCGAGATATTCTCCTTGGGTTATGTGCTGCTGGCCCATCATATGATCAAATGAAGCATATTCGTTTATATCTTTCAAAGAATCTCCCATAGTGTATTTCATCAAATATGAAATAAATGTCGCCATGTTTGTGCAAATGCACATTAGTTTAAATTCGTCAGGGTGGAGTTCATTGTCATCAGGAATGCGACGTCGCGTTGGCCAATCAGTAGCTTGCATTAGAAGGACGAATTGGATCAATGTCATGGGCCAAACAACCAGTTAATACTTTTTGTATCTCCAACGTATTTGAACAGATTATCGGCACTAGTCTTCTTAAAATATGGATATCATCTAAGAAAAGGAGCATTTCAAATGAACCTGACTTCTATTTATTCTAGAAACCGCTGGGATCAGAATTAAAAGACCAAACTTGGAATACAAGCATGCACTCTACCAAAAAGATGAGCTAAGCCGCTAGCCAACACACTTACACAGGAACAATGTTGGATCGTTGACACGAAATTTGAAAAGAAGAATATGGACTCCCCTGCATTTGACACATCGTGATGGATATTCTACGCCTACTGGGCCGTTCATCCATTCCAGTGCAGAGATTTCAGAAAAAATAAAAAGCAGATAGACACCCGAGAAATGTAGGTTGTATCATGCCAATTTGCGATTTGACTATATGTTGAACAGAAACAAGCATGAAGATGAACAACAGTTGCCTACTTCACTGGGCAGAAGGCATATGTAACTTACTGCAGTTGTTCAAGAATAAGCTTCTGAATTTGAACAAAAATATTCACTCCGTTCACTAGTGAAGGGTTGCTAACAATCTCAGACATCCCATCACTCGGCAAATAATATACATGTGGTTTCGCGTTTTACTTCAAACGTCAGGCAAAATGGGGGAATTTCAAGCTGAAAGTCGTACATTTATTGGGCAACTCACCTAAAATTCCAAAGAATATCAATTTAGTCAGCATCAAGGCTAATATCTATTAACCTAACTTATAACAATAGCGGGGAGACAGGTAAGCATCCCAGACCCAATGGACTTTATTCTTTACGCTTTGTTTTAAGCTTACAGTGTCGTATGCTGAGTCCATGTTTTACTTTCAATCTTAGATTAATGACGTCACGCAGTGGTATTACCCCCTCAAGAGTACTGGATTCACATTTATAGATACCCTCAGCCAACAGCTAATTACAACCAATTACTACCAACTAATACTGCCTCTCTTCTGAACAAATTACACAGTGTTGCACTGAACCCACTCGATAACATCCTTAGACTCGAGAATGATGATTCCGGGTCCATTCACCTGACCAACTCCCAGTCCGCGGCTCTGAGCATCCAGGAAAGCGCAGCGGGCACCGTAGTATCTGCCGGGGGTTGCAGGGTTCAGAAGAGGCCGAACGAAGACATTGTCGACAATACCACCGCTGTCTAAACAACAGGGTTAAAACACACTCTTTATCGGTCAACAGCTCGATGATACGTACTGAGAGGCACCTGAGAGATGCTGTCCTCGACCGGGACCATCTCGGATTGAGTTCCGTTGGTGTAGGTGAAAATGAGACCAATCTCAGAGTCCGGGCTAGGCTCGCCCTGAGGAGCAGCCATGACGAGGCTGCTGAGAGCTGCGAGAAAGATGGCGGCACGCATTGTGATTATTGGTGGCTGGGTTTTCTTGAACAAGGTGTAGATTGAAGTTGGCGTTGCTGTTGTCTCCAGAAAGGGATATCTTTACCTGCTGAGAAGGAGTCTTATATACAAGTATAATTGCCCACGGTGGAGCGCCTCCTTGTCTTCGTATTTCGCCAACATCCTGGCAATTCCCAAGCCCGTATCAGTAGTGATGAGCTCTATACGAGTAAAGGCCAAGCAATTTCAGGCGAATTAACCCCGGACATAGACGCCAAGACTCCACGACTCTCCCCGCAGCCACGCCCGGTCGCTGAAGTAAGCATACGAATAGATGGTCATCATACGAGTACTTTCGTGTAACGGAAAAATAATATCCAAGATATAGAAGCGGTGTGGCTTCTTGTTTTGTCTTCTTTGACGCAAAAAAAGCCCATCTGGAACGTGAGCAGTCTCCGGCGTTGGTTGGCCCACATAGAGTAAAAGTGCACAATTAAGGGGTTAGAGTACCCGAGGCAATATGCCAGGGTTTGCTAACTATAACAATACGCATTCCCCTATTCTCCCTGGTTAACCATTCGCGTGCACTACTGCATCAAGTAAGCATTAACACATTTAAGCTTAGCTTTTTATTGACAACGCTGAAACACAGAGACTGGATCTCTTATTAAGAAAGATATTTTTATAAGGAAAGTAAAAAGCGAATCGGAGATTTTTGATGATGCGCACTCCAGCTAATACTGAGAGTCATATTTCCCACCAAGGACGCAAATTATTTGTCGTCCTTCTACTTGCAGTAGATAACCAAACCTACAGTTCGAAGACACTTGTATATATTTGATCAAAACACAATTCTCTTAGCATCTCTGCGGTTCGGGCCGAGCCAGGTCGAATAATTATTTGCCACGCCGCAAAATCAGCCATTAGAGGTTGGAGACCAAGTAGTGGATCATCCTCCACAATTTCTCGTGTTGTGAACTTGGATTCGGAAAGGTGAAGGCCATAAGCTATATTCCAACCGAGCACCCTAGATGTTTGTAGAAAATCAGAATATAAAAATAAATCCTCAGTTTCAAGATGCTTACGAATCTCATCGTTGATAGAAAGCGCTACCGTATGCATGGACCCGTTGTCAGAGTGCTATATGATGAAGCCACTCTGTTTTTATCCTGGCAGAATGAAAAAGGAAAATTACATCATAATTACCTAATTATCATATCTACAAGCAGATCTAACCTCTAGTTAACCGATATATGATAGTATTAGGTGTGTCAGTGTATATGATCTAGTGAGCATTCTATCCTGCATACAATATCTTGTTCCGATGCGGTATCCGCTCTTAAGACCTAATGTACTGCTATTTTGTAGCAGTTGAAATGTATAGCCCCTCTTTTTCGAGCTGATCTAGCATGCTCATTGGTACTCCTGTAATGCTCGGTTTTTGGACTCGCAACATCCAACTTCTTTCACTTGCCCTCAGCTTCCTTTGTTGATCAAGATATCTGGCTACCTTGTCTATCATGGTGCTAATAATACACTCTTAATTATTGTCAGCATTTAGCCAGCCCTAAAACCTCTTCCACTGACGTATCATTGCGCTTTTCTGTGGCACGTTCAGTGTAGCTCGAGATGTTTCCACCCCGCCCCCCGAGAATGCCATCATAATGCCAAAGTCGCATCATACACTTGTTTTTCCACTACAATCCGACAATATTTTTCTTGGTCATGCCTCTGATTTCTTCTCTATTAACCGCTTCTGAGAGGATTTGTGGCTCTGTCAATTTTTCTTGGTCTACCAGATTATCCACGCTCGGCTTCATCCAGCTACCTCGTCCTGAGCCAGGCTCAACCAGGTGTTTGAAGACTATGGCACCCCTGACATTATTATCTCCAGAGTAGCCAATGCCCATGTGTCTTTGCAATAACCATTGTTTTGTATCTTCGTTATATTCCAGGGGGCTGTTCAGGTTGTGCATGAAAAGAAGCATCCACAGACCGCACCGCGACCTTGGCATTCATCATATCAATAGTACATATTTATATCTGTGGAACCACGTGCAATACTAATTAACGTGGCGAATGGTTTATGGCGGGGAATTGTAAAAGCAATATGGCTAAGAACTGCCATCATCCAATGCGGTCTTCTCGCAGTTGATAACTTGCCCACAACTACTAATGTAATGAGCAATCCTATTTACACCGTAGCATATTCCTATTTAAACCGTAGTGGCCTGTGCCTATACTAAAGTTAATGTATATATACTACTGGTCCTATTGATCTACACTTAATTACAGTATAATACCCTGGTGTATAATATACTTTATAATATTATATATAATAATATTATAATATTAGCTTTATCTTTTAACTTTACTTTTTAATATTATAAAATTTTATATTATTAATAGATTTTTTCTTAGGTAATAATCTCTTTAATCTACTGTTATTATTAAAGCTATTATATAACCCCAGTTTTAATAAAATTTATATTTTCTTTTTATTAAATATATTAAAAGTAATAAAAGTAATAAAAACCTTAGCTGTTAAAGTTAACTTTAATAATAATAAATTTAATAACCTAAAGTAGCTGTAATATTATAAATTTAATAAAAATATAATATTTTTTTAGTAAAGAGATAAAATTAAAAAATTACTATTGCCCTTTTATACTAAAAAGGTATTATAGCTACTTAAGTATATAGTAGTAGTATTACTGTAAGTTAAAGAAATTATAAAGCTATTACTGTAAGTTAAAAAAGCTAAGGAGGCTAAAGAAGCTGCAGAATATTAATTCCCAGTTTTACTACCTTTTATACTATATAATTTATTTAAAAAGCTTTTAAACTTTTTATAAACGTTTTATTATAATAATAAAGTAGTTATTTAAACTGTAAAAAACTTTAACCTATAGATTATTAACGGTAAAAAAGTTTTAACTTATTATACTTTTATTTATAACTATATAAATAGTTAAGTTTTTATAAATACTAAAGTTTAATAATTATTAATTTAATAAATAAAATACTTTTATAAAATTATAGTATTAATAATTAAATATATTAATTAAAAGTAATTTTATTATATTATTTATACTAAATATAACTACCTATTATTTTTTAACTTATTAATATATATAATATATTACTAGTATACTTTAACCCAGCAGTAATAAAAAAAAGATTTAATTAAACACTAGGCCTTTTTTATATATAAAATACTAAAGATTTTAAAAAACTTTAGTATTACTGTCGCTAAACCTATATTTTTTTATTAATTAAATATTTATAATAATAAGCAGAGGATTTAATTTAAAGGATTTAATAAATTATTAACTACCTAAGTGTAGATTAAATAGTTTTAAAATAATAACCTTCGTTATTATATTAAACTTAATAATAATAATAAAATCCAGGGTATTTTATAGACCTACCTTTAGTTAAAGAAAATATAGTATTAGTTTTTAAAAATCTTAAGTTTTAATAATATTTATAAAATTAATTATTTTTATATATATTTTTTTAAAGTTATAAATATTATAAATTAAAAGTTAATAGTTAATTTTATATTTAATTTTATTAATATAAAAAAAAATAATAATTTTTTATAGCTTTATTAATAGTTTAAAAACTTTTATTAAAACCTTTATATATTAATATTAACTATAATAATTATAAATAAAAAAATAACCTTTAAAAATACCTTTACATTAATTTTCCTTAGTATATAATAGTAGTTATATATATATTATATTAATATTAATATTAAGGTAAGAATTTAATTAAAGTGAAAAAGTAAAGATAGTATTAGTGATAGTAAGGCTAACGATGGTGAGGTTAAGGTTATTAATAGCAATAATAACCTCTTTAGCGCCTAAGCCGCCGCTGCCTAGAATAGCAATAACCTTACTGTATATACTGTTAAGTAAAAGATTGCTAAATATAGCTATACTACCTTACTACCTACTGCTAAGCCTTAAACTTATAATAGAATATTCTACACCTAGCAGTAGATTATTTATATTAAAGATAAGGCTAGTTTTTAATTAGTATAGGATAAAATAAAGGTTATATATAATTTAACGTAGAATTATATTTTATATTATATTTTAAAAGAATATATACTATATTGTAAGCAGTAGGTATACTGCTTTATTAAAAGTTATTATAACTTTAGTTAATAAATTAATAGTTTTATAAAAACGGTATATAAAGATATAAAGTCCTTTTTTATTATAAATATAAATAACTTTTTTTACTTTTATAATATAATCTCCTTTATATTATAAAAAAAAAAGAAAAACTATAATAAAAATACTATAAGGATATAAATATAGCAGCAGTAATATTTTATTTAGCAGTAAAGTTAGCTGGGTAATATCCCTATAACGGTTAGCTATATTACTGTTAATCTCTTTATATAGTAGTATTACTTAACTGTAGCTGTAATATCCTTAAGCTGTAGCCTAATACCTAAGCCACTGCCCCTTTATATTAATAGCTTTATATAGTAATATATACTTTTTTATAGCTATATAATTTTTAAGAAGTTTAATATTAGTAAAGCCTTTAATAAAAATAATATTTATTTATAATAATAGTTAATTAAACTTTTAATATATTTTTTATTGTTTTTTTATAAAAAAACTATTAATTATATAATATTAAAATATTAATAAGCCTTTTTTTTAAATTTATAATTTTAATATTATTTAAAATCTTTATAGCTGACTTTACCTTTTAAATAATAAGAAAATATTTATATTATTAATATTAAGGGTTAATAATAGTTAAAATAAATATTAATAGCTGTAGTTAATATTATTAATATAGCAGCAGTAGTTAAAGTAGAAGCTGTAGGTATTATAGTATATAAAGCTAAGTATATACTATAGTCTTTTTTAATTTAAGGCTTAGGGCTTATAGAGGCTGTTTTAAAGCTGCGGTTGCGGCTGTACTTAAGTAGCTTTATTATAGTTAATAAAATAATTAAGAAAGTTAAAGATAGTCTTTTCTACAGTAAGGCTAGCTGTAATAACTGCCGCTATATTTAAAACTAAGCCTAAGACTAAGCTTAAGACTAAGTTAGAGGTTAAAAAAGTTATTAAAGTTATCCTAGCCACTTAACCTAGCGTTAATAAGCTAAATAAATTAGCTGGCTTATAAAAAATATTAATATTAAATTAAAAGGGCTGAAAATACGTTTTTTAAAGTAATTAGTATTAATTGATAGTTTATAGTATTGTAATATAAGATTTTATATTAAAATATTATTTTTTAGTGTACTGTACTGTATTTTAGTAGGTAGGTGTAGTAATTGTAATTTAAAGGTAAATGTAGTTAGTAATATAGAGCACTACAGTTTAAATAGGAATATGCTATGGTGTAAATAGGATTGCTTAATGTAATAACATACGTGGGATTACTGATAAATCATTTTATAGTATTCTGGCCCCACAATGGCTGAATTGAACGCTTGCCAGTGCTTGGATGGTGAAACAAGGCATCCAAGGTTCTCATCTATTGTCAGTAATGAATGACGATAAAGAGTGGCTATCCTAGGTGCAATAATACAATTCTTAACCATATCCATAGCACATCCAACGTCATTTCACATTATACTAGGAAAAAAAACTTCTTTTTTTAATTTCTTCTCTATGTCTATGATGACGAAAGTCTTCGGCAGGCCAACACGATACACAAGCCATCTCCGAAGCACTACAGTCAATGGTGTCGTGCAAAGAAGATGCAGCAAGCCTAACAGAAAGTTAATTATTGCGCGATATTCAAAGCACCAGCGATCACCGGCTATCGGGAGACTTCGGAGCAACATTCATGATGGACTTGGACTTGGCAATATCTAAGTCTACAAAAGCAGAAAGAATATCTTTAGCGGCAAAATTACATAAAGATCTTTGAAAAGTAAATGGCGGGAAGGGTTCCTATTTAGCTGGTTGCCCCAGAAAGGAGCTCAAGCAGCTATCGAAAGTGAGTAATTCTTGACCATTGATTGATTGTTCCAGTCCGTCCTCGACTGCTATACTCGACTGCTATACTCGGCGATAGGTGATGTAGCGGTTACACCTTCTGCAGCTCCCCGCAATTTTCCCCCAAAGGCTTCGAACTACTGCGGCTCATAGCGACTCTACCTCTGTCTTCTGGGGATGGTGAATTGAGGTATGTCCCTTTACTCTTTTTCTGATTGTTGCCATGCGTCAAGTGATTGGCCGCGGCTCGAATCGCCTTTTCGGCCATGTGTAGATTCGATCTTTGAAGCCTCGTTTAGACGTTATTGCCACTATCTCCGCTCCCTCAAGGCTCTGTCGATCCTACGAGATGTGGGTCCAAATTCAAATTCAAGGGAGAGCGCGACAAAGTGCGAAGACGAAGTGCGAAGACGGAAGGATGAGTGAGCATAGAAGAGGATATGGCACTGTATACGGAGTACAAGAAGGTTGGATGCCTAGAGCAGTCAGGCGATACTTTGTCTCTCTTTCAGGATCAGAGGATGCTATTTGTGCAACGCCTTACGTACTTGTGCTGTCTGAGCCTTGTTTGAGACTCAGCCCCAATCAGTTAAATAGCACGGGCATCCCCCACGAAAGATTGTTCTTGGCTGCTGCACTGAACACTGGCGTGGCATAGTTTCTTTCAGCAAGCAATCCACCACGCCCAACGCCATTAAATATTTCAATATCCCTGTATCGCGCGTTGTTTCTCTCAGACAAATTTCTTCTTTTTACTGCATATTCGTATCGTAAGCTGGGATGTCCCAGCTGGAACAACAAGAGGGCCTGGTGCCTAATGCCACCAACATGAAACCTCCCCTCTTCGAATCATCCGAGTCACGAGCGCACACTATTAACAACAACGACAACGCTCAAGGAGAATTGGCCAATATCAATTCAGCAAACTATCATACCATTTCTATGGGCAAATCGCCGCTGTGGAGCTCTACCACAGATAGTCCCCAAGCCCTGCAAGCTGCCGCCTCTCCAGAGGGTCAGAGCGAATCCGACTGGATGGTATTTGATAAAGAAGCAGCGGACTCTGACAAAGATGCCATCGAAAATATTTCAATTGGCGACTTTCAGATGCGCGAAGAAACTCCGGAGCCTATGAGCAGTCTAGCTCAACAAGACTATCAGTTGCAGCTGAGACTCCTCGAGGAGCAGAACAAAAAGCGCCTCGAGATGGCTCGTCAAGAGCAATCAAAGCCGGATTCCACTGCCTCCCCATCGAATTCCATCCAGATGTGTGAAGAAACTCCCGAACCTATGAGTATTCTGGCTCAACAAGACTATCAATTGCAGCTAAAGCTCCTCGAGAAACAGAAGAAAAGGCGCCTCGAGATGGCTCGTCAAGAGCAATCTAAACTGGAGTCCGTTGCTTCGACATCGAATACTATTCAGATGCGTGACGAAACTCCCGAACCTATGAGTAGTCTAGCTCAACAAGACTATGAATTGCAGCTAAGACTCCTCGAGGAACAGAACAAAAAGCGCCTCGAGATGGCTCGCCAAGAACAATCCAAACGCCATATCCAGCTATCACAGACAGAAATTAAGGTGAAAGGGCCCCCAGAGCCTATTCCTATGGCAGTCATGGGCTCACCGCAAGGAAATCCAACTGGCGGTCGCGGAAACATGATGGCGCCTTTGCCGCCCGGAGCCCCATACTTTATTCCAGCGTATAGACCATATTCAGTCAATCCAATGGCTTTGAATGTGAATAGCATGGCTACTTTAGGAGTCCAACCTGTCAGTTAATATTCCCTTAATGATGCAGACGATACCAATGCTAATGCTAATGGCCTCCTCAAGACAATGGTACCAATGCCGCCAAATCCACCTGATCCTACGGTCCTTCTTCTACAAAGGCAACTCAAGGAACTCCAAATTACGAACCAATCTCTCCGCCGACAATTGGAACATGCAAAAGGCGACAAGTTTGTAGTATTCCACTGTATCCTTGGGCAAGTAGGAGAGGGGACATATCTCGGCAAACCCTATTGGGTCAACTACGGCGGGAAACTTCAACTCAAAGCGGATTCCCCTGTCCTCTATCCCGATGCGTACATTCTTTATAAGCCCCTTGAATTCGCCATATACAAGTATTATTCAACGGATATACCAACAGAGACCAGAGACACGCTACAGCAAGATGCCAAGATGCCAGTTCCAGAACCCAAAAGCGAGGTAATAAAACTCATTTCGGAGGAGATGATTGCGTCAGCAAAAGCATTTGCAAAAAAGAATGAAGATTTACGAAAGAACTTTCCTTCTCTGTCCGCCAAGAATGAGATGCAAGTACCATACTCATGGTGGTACCACTACCGCGACCATCGAAACATAATTAATGATCTACCAAAACCCCAGGCGGAGCTCATCCACCTTCTGACTAAGTGGATAGATGACAGTTACAGTGAGCTCTACAGCCGAGTTGACAGCCAATTCAGGCGCGGAATGGTCTCCGCTGCATCTATGAGTTTCTTGATCCAGCCTAATGACGTTTTGGTCCGCAGAGATGCGGAGGGTGTTGAAGCTTTTTTGGCAACGTCATGGTTACATGAGGAGAAAAGAAGCTCTGAGATACAAGAGACTTTGGGAGATCCAGAGTGCACTCTCTTATCAGTGCCGTGGTCGAAGAAATCCCAGTGGAAGTGGGAAGTTGACGCGTGGTCATATGTCTACAATGGTGTTTTTTATCGGATGATGAGAAAACTCATTATAAATATTGACGCGGAGACAACTGATACAGAAATCCCGATTGTGAACTTGGATGTGTTTCCGCTCCGCTTCGCCTCACGAGAGTTACAAGAAACGCTGAGACGACGAGGCAAGACATTCTGGAGTTGCCGACATGGCAGCTACATCTCATACGACAGTAAAACCAAGACCGAGGACTCTACAGTAAGATTTTTGAATATAGCCATCAATGAGGAACCAAGGCCGCTAACAATTTACATAGCTGGGACAGCGCTACATGGTAGACTGCCGAACATACAACAATTTACATCTTGAATCTCTGCTCGGTCAGGATGTACCGCGCAAAGAAGATACATTAACACGCGAATTCAAGGTTGAATCGGCCTTTATACAGCAAGAGGAGGCTCCATTGGAGCCTGATGTGTTTCTTTTCCCTCGCACACTTATTGGCTACGACCTGCAACGAGAGAAATGGGGTACGTGTTCTCACATCAATAAGATCCATAAACAGCGAGGAGCAAACTAACGACCTGCAACTTAGATCACCTCGACGTCGATCTAATCAAAGAAGTAGCCTGGAATAAGAAAGCATTCAGTCATCTCGTCGCAGAAGCCGAGATAAAGGAAGTAGTCCAGGCTCTCGTCACAACAAAGATTGCTACAGAAAGAGGAACAAGCTTGATGCAGAGCAAAGGCAATGGGCTCATCATGCTCCTGCACGGAGGTCCCGGAACAGGAAAGACATTCACGGCCGAGAGCGTGGCAGAATTGGCCGAGAAACCTCTCTTACCCGTGGCATGTGGCAAGATTAGCACCACGCCCAAGTATCTGGAATCAATGCTCCACCTTGCGAAAACTTGGGGATGTGTAGTTCTGTTGGAGGATGCAGAGGTTTTTCTAGAGCGGCGCTCTGTGGACAACATGGCACACAATGCTCTCATCTCGGACTTCATACGCGAAATCGAATCCTTTGACGGCATCCTCATCTTGACGTCAAAGAGCATCCGCAATCTTGATAAGGCTTTCAAGTCACGCATACGGGTATCTCTCCACTATGAGCCACTGACCCAACCACGACGGGCACAGGTTTGGCGGAATTTTTTGAGCCATCTTAGCTCCCTGGGTGAGAACAGCATTGACTTTGATGACATCGAGAGTCATATAGGTGAGCTTTCAGAGCGAGAGATGAACGGACATCAGATCTGCAGTGCCATTACCACCGCGAGGCAGCTGGCTCAGTTCCAGGGCAATACCATGACCATCGGCCACTTGATATATGCTATCGGCATTACTGACAAGTTTGCCACTTTTTCCAAAACTTGAGAGAGTGATCCTAGAACGATCGGATACCAAGTGGTGAAGTTGTATGTCGAACACTAGCCAAAGGAGAGGCTAGCTTATGATACGTTTCACTATTGACCGAACGGAATAATTGGTGATTCATCCGAGAGACATATCAGTCATTTCTGCTCCGTAACCGGTATCTATTCTACTCACATGCAATATCCATCTCTCCTTTTTTTCTCGCTGCCAAGTTATTATGGCGTCTGAGTCACCCAACGCGGCCTCCCGAATATCGCCCCATTTCCATCCCCTCTTTCAAGTGTCCGACCAACAGCATTACAACCAACAACACAAGTCATTCATTAGTCATGCAGCAAAATCAGCGATCGAATAAGCATACCTTCTCTATAGCAATCGTTTTATGGATATTCATATTGGTCTCTTCAAATATGCTTCTTTTCCGGCAATATTCTAGGGTTGATGAATGAATATGACTTCTCTTTGCTTGGGATCGATGAATGCTGTAAAATTTTCCCCAATATTCAAAGAAACAAAAGTACTTGCCTAATTAACACTAGTCTCTACCGTCCATACCTAATTCAACATTAGATGCCAAGGCTGTGCTGCCTAGCATCCTCCTGATGCGTTCAAATGCATGTATATATATGTACATGTACTCCCTGCTCCAAGATCCTTTGTATTCCTGTTCCTCATGATATATTGTGCGATTAAATTTTTTGGCAACTCAAAATAATCTCATTCGCTGATTTACATCATTTCCAAGAGTCTCCCAGTCATAAGAGAGCAATTCTGAGCTGAGCCGGACCAACAACTCATCAACACAATGTCCACCTTCCACCCCTTCCCTCGTCTTCCAATTGAGCTTCGCATTCGTATCTGGAACCTAACGGCCTTTCCTCGTATCGTACGTGTGAGAACCCATATGAGAAGGAGATGGGTGACGGTTGGGGAAACGCTGGTTCAATATGTGGCTTCGTCAACTCCCTGCCCTCCGGTAATGCAGGTCTGCCACGAGTCTCGACAACACGCGCCATATGAGCAGGCCTACACAAATGGTTTTGAGCCTCGTTACATCTGGATCAACTTCGAGACCGACATGATTTGCCTGGAAGAAAACAAAGACCCGCTATCGCTGGCAAACCCGTTAGCGCTCGACCCTCATGAAGAGGACATACAACGGCTAAGGTTCTCAATCAACAAGGAGGCGGATTCTGAGTGGTTTTTCCATTTTGGCAACCAACAACTCTCAAGTTTTTCCAGTGTCAAAGAAATTCACTTGGCGGTAGACAGAAAAATAGCCGGGTTTAGTGTCTCGGCGATGGCAGACACCGTAGAGTACTGTTTAGGTAGGTATGCTGATATCGTCAAATTTCTCGACGTCGGGTCAGGACTTATGATGGATGCAAATCAAGTTCGCTTAACGCATGCTTGGATTACTTGGCACTCTTTTGAGCGCTATGGAAAAGCAAAATTAGACACATTTGAAGAGGATATGAGGTGGATGCAAGATGATGATACGATTCTCACATTGTCGGAGATTCACGTCATAGAGGATGGAATTGTAGAGGTTGAAGAAGATGAGAGTGGAGAAGATGAATAGCAGCTGTGCATGCAGCTAAAATTATTCGTCTCATTATCCTCTATATACATCAGGATCTGATAAATGCGAACAAAGAGTCTCCAACCTTCGGAGTCAAGCCGACCTCTTTGGACGTATTCTAATTATAGAACCGCATGTCTCCTGTGCTGATGTGTTGGTCAGCAACATTGTATATAAGCTGAACTTCGGAAGATAAATTAAGCTAATGCAATCCATTATGTTTATACGACGTCATCAGAGAGTTCCCAACAGCATCTAACCAACTTTCACATGACAAATGAACTTGTATTTACTACTATTTAAACACTATCTTTACAAATGCGCTATCTCATAAGGTCCTCACTGTGCTTCAATGTCATGCTGAACATAGATCACGCCCCGCGTGTCTGTCACAACTTTGTTTCCCGGATCATACTTGATTTTTGTTGTCACCGTTGGAATTTCTGCCCCATTCGTATGGAAGCTCTTCGAAGACTCTTCCTCAATCTGGCTATACTGCTTCTTGCCGTATAGAGTGCTTCTGCTGTCAGCCTTGGATCCAGCTGTGGCACTCTGAAGGCGGATATTGTTTCCATCAGATAGCTCAGTCAGTCTTGTGATGACAGGCTTGACGTAGGTCTTGAGAAGGGGTCCCAGTGTAGGAATGCAGGCGGCGATGATTCCGAGCCACAGTTCCAACAGACTGATTAATCCGATGTCGAAGAGGTTGAAGACGAAGTCGGTATCGTTGAGTGTTGAAATTGTAAACTGTAGTCTCCATGCCATGATGGCAATAGTACTGGTCAGGTTAGCATGGATATCTGTAGCCAAAATCCAGAAGAAAAACCACCTACATGAAACCAATACTAAACATGACGGAGACGACCAATTTAGAGCGTACGGCTAGCTGCAGATTCCAGAGCACAGGTAGCGGCATTATGACAATCGCAATATCGACGACCATGTTTAGTGACACAGAGGTTAGTTCTTGGATGACAATGTTGCGGCATGAGCCTCCCGGTACCGGATCCCATTGCTGAGAGATAGGACGGCACTGTGTCATGAAGAGGACGAAAAAGGCAACACCGTAGCAGCCGACAACCCCCATCATGATATGCGACCATAGCTTGAATTTCTTTGTGCTAAAGACTCTCGTATATAGCCAAAGGACCGACAGCTTAATGAAGACAGTGCCCAAGAGCCATGTGACTGCACTCGAGAGGATAAGCTGGTTGCTGCTGATTAGTTTGGGCCCCAAGATTTGAGATGACTGGCTATTAGTAGATGGAAGCATACCTTGAATTGGACACCGAATTCATACGGGGTGAGTTCGTTTGTGTGCTTGCCCAAACCATTGAAAATGGCCCAGATGACGACTCCCTCCAAGGAGATGGTGTTTGCCTGGGTTTGTAATGTCAGCCCACATACACACAACTAACCAACGTGTCCCTGCATTCCCAGGCTCTATTTTAGGAAATCAAGGGCATGAGTTGTCGAAAGATGTTACCTACCAGGGCAAACAACACCATGTAATCATCTGGAAGCGCCCTGCGCCTGGAGAGAACCGCCGCCCAGAAGCGCAGTCCGATGCAAACCGTGCACAGCACGGTGAACACACAGATCCATATGAGCAGCTGGATTCCTCGAGGGCCTGCAGACATGTTGCAACGGACGGACGACGTGGCAATGTGTGGATGCGATTGCTATTGTCGTTGGTTTGAGGGGTTCGAAGAAGTGGTAGCAGCACGAGGTGGGTTTGGCATAACTACCATATAAGTATAGCCGGAATACGTACGAGCAGTTCTGACTGCAGGGCATACCTGCAATGCACATGCTGGGTGCACTTACAAATGATACACAATCAACTGGGGAACTCGCATTGTATCACGGATGTGATGGGGGGGGCGTGTGGTCACACCAGCCATCAGATGGCTTCCGCAAAACTGCCCGTTGCAGCATCTGCTACCACTTTGTCCTGCTTCCGCCAAGTTCTTTGTACTGCTACTAGTAGTCTACATGTGGCTCATTTGCCGTTGCATGTACTCCGTAAGACGAGTGGGGGTAAGGATCCTTGCCCATGCAACCCTGCTGCATTAGGATCTCTACTCCCACAGACCGATGCTCAGCGGACAGACAAGTCCGTGCGACGAGCGTTAATGTACATTGGGAAGCATCGTCCGTGTACGCATCCATTCCTTCTACCAAGTACCTATGTTTCCAAGGATTGTGTAAGCGCTTGGCTTGAGGGGCCTGGACCGCGACTACATAAGGCTGCTTGTATAACCTGGACATCGACTCCTCCCCCTGGCTTCTGGCGGACCAAGGCATCCCGAACCTGTATAAACCTCAAATATCTATCCATTTCAGCAGACCACAAGGTCCCTAAAGAAAGCACATACGCAAACTCCCACATGATGCAGCCTCCTTTGCCCTCTGCGACGCCAAGCTGGCGCAATGACACGTACGCGGCCATCTCGCCCGCAAGGCCAGAGCTCAGTGCTTCAGGCAAGACCATCGTCATCACCGGTGCTGTAAGTAATATCTCACCTTGAGCACCCTGTTTCGGCTACTTGTGCTCCTCACATACGGTGTTCAATGCTGCCGGACCCCTGTCACCACCACTTCAAACCCTCTAGAAGCCAAGCGGCGATCCTCTCCACCCGGCTTGAGCTAGGGAATCTTACCGCAATGGAGTTTCTTGAAGTAGTTGAGCGTAATGGGTGGATGGAAGGGGACCATTGTGTCCCATCCAGGCTAATAGATATGCTAATGCGTGGCGTCCAAAAGGGGAGCGGCATTGGTCGCGAGACGGCCACGGCATTTGCAGCCGCGGGAGCTGCCCGCATTGCATTGCTTGGGCGAACGGAGGCTTCGCTAAAGGAAACTGCTGCCGCACTGCCCTCGACTGTTTCAACTTCGTCACATGTGGTCGATGTCACTAGTGAGGAGTCTCTGGCCAAGGTGGCTGGGGAGATTGGCACGTGGGACGTGCTCGTCCTCGGGGCCGGCCATGTATCCGTGCCGTCGACCATTGCGGCCTCGAACTTTACAGAGTTCTGGCAGTCTTTCGAGGTAAGCCCATGAATCATTGCTGTAATGGGTCCTTCACCACGTGGTGACGAACTGATCGTCCATGTCGTGTTTACTGAACCATTCCCCTAAACACAGACCAACACCAAAGGCACCTATGCTTCGCTTCATGCCTTCTTACCCACTGCCAATGCTACTCATGCAGCGGTCATTGCGGTGACTACAGGCACCACGGCCCTTCCAGCAACCATGGTGCCCGGTCTATCGGCGTACATGTCGTCCAAGCTCGCACAGACGAAGCTGATCGAGTTCTTGGCTGCCGAGCACTCGAACCTCTTTGCAGCGACCGTGCACCCGGGCATGGTCGAGACGGGCATCTTCACCAAAAGCGGTGCCAAGGCCGAGGCTCTCCCCATGGACAAAGGTGTGTTTCGCTTGTGCTTCTCGAGTCTTTGCGACGGCCTTCAAACTTGTTTCTAACACTACCGCACTGCTAGTACAACTTCCGGCGCACTTCATCGTCTGGTTGGCAAGTTCTGAGGCGGCCTTCCTAAACGGTCGCTCGGTGTGGGCCAATTGGGATGTTGACGAGCTCAAGGCAAAGGCCGAGGCCATCCAGCAGAGCCAGCTCTTCACTGCTGGCATCAACGGCTGGCCATTTGCCCCATAGGCGAACTTTAGATAGACTCTCGGGAGCACTTTTGAAGAATGAAGAATATGAAGTTGTATATTGTAGTATGGAAATCATTATGAAGAATGAAAAATAACAAGTTGCATATTGTAATATTGAATCATTATGAAGAATGTAGAATGACAAGTTGCATACTTTGAACATTGAATCATAAAAAAAATTAATGGACTATATTCTAGAACTACATAGACTCCAACTTCCACATCCCGACCTGCAGAATGGCATCGGTTCCTAGTCGATGGTATGTCTCTTCTCAAATTGTAATTTCAAGATGCCGGGGTTAGATGTAAATTGGTCTCTCACAGTCTCCAGGGCACTCAAGCTGTCCTCCCCTGGTGCAGCCCGGAAACGATAGTTCTTCAAGATCCTTGCCAGCACATACTTCATTGTGTCCAGGGCCAGGGTTTTACCCAAGCAACTGTGGTGGCCTGTACCAAATGGAGCATATGCTGCCCCATTTCGAACCATTTCGGGCCGAGTTGTCCAGCGCTCTGGGATGAAGTCAGAAGGCCTCTCAAAGCAGCTTTCTACTAATCCCATAGTTAGCACATGCTTCATTTGACAATGATTAACAATCACATACGTCTTCCGATGGTATATCGAGGAGCAACAATTGTCGTGTTGGGGGGGATAAACTGATCGTCAATAGTGAGGCCAAATGCGGTCGTCTTGCGATTGCCGCCCGTAAGGAGAGCGGGATGCAGGCGAAGAGATTCCTTAATGACAGCGTTGAGATGCGGCAGGCTGACGAGGGTCTTGAGATCCGTAACATCTACATTCTTCACTTCCTCGTGAATCTGTTCGGCATGTTGAGGGTGTCTGCCAAGCTCGCAGAATACAGCAATTAGAGCGACTGCTGTTGGCTCACTGCATCCTTGTAAGCATTGTATTTTCAACAGGCTTGTTCGTTTTGTTCGTCTCACCTTCCGGCCACAATTGCTAATAAGCTGTCTCCTGCTGCCCAGTGCCACTTTTCATTCTCAGTAGCTCCATTTCCTTCAGAATCCTTTTCCATCAAGTAGTAGGACAGGTCTTGCGACTGGCTAGCGCTGCCGTTTTCGAGTCTGTCGCGCATCTGGGACTGGCACCATGCTACCGTGTCAAACCAGTCCTTCAGAACGCTAACTCGCGGAGCCAGCTTGAAGCCAATCTGGATGAGCCATGGCACTGAGCTGAATGGCCCCAGCAGAGAAAGAGCCCGCTGTAGACGGACGATGATGTGATGCCATTGCTTGTTCTCAAGCATGCCAAAGGATTTGCTGAAGACAAAGTCTCCCATAATGTCAAAGCCGAACCAAAGGAGAAGGTCTCGCATGTTGGTCACATTCTCCAGTTTAGCATCTTCCGCGATGCATTGATCAAGCTTGTCAACATACTTGAGGATTTTGGCTTCATGCTCCGACAAGGCTGAGAAAAACTCCGGTGTAAGCAACATAGCAAGGTACAATTGAGGAACTAAACTGACCTTTTGTAGTAAAGCCGCTGTTCCATTCACGACGACGAGCTGCGTGAACCGACTTGTTTCGTGCTGTGACAAGGGCCTGGCCCGGATGTAAGATGTCATACCACTCTGCTTTGATACACTCGGATCGTGGTCCATCGACTGCCATGAACACATCCGGATGAAACACTGTGATTTCGGCAGGGCCTATATCGATGTCAGCTTAGCTAGCCAGCTCCCTTGCTCTGCCTTCTTCTTCCCCACAAAGACAGTATTGGTCTTCCTCTGAAGGGTTCTTACCTGTTCTGACAAAGTTTCCGTATTTCTTGTGCAAGTCATCAAGAACACGGTGATTCATTGATCCCCTGGCCGCCCAGACATGCCAGATCTTGGTGAATCTTGCATACCACGGGCCCTGGAAGCTAGCTCTGGTGAGAGGATGCAAGACGATGCGATACAAGAGTATGCTCGCAATTAGGCCGAGTATATACCCATAGCTCCAGAACACGACTCCCTGGAGAATCTGAGCGACCACAGTATCCTTCAGAATGCGCACTAGGACAGGGACGCCAACGTAGAGTGCAAATAGCTGAAGGGTAATCTGAGGTGCTTGAACATGCCATTCTCCTCGGATGTAGACAGTAATGTGGGCAATGATGCCAGACAAGGCGCCCACTGCCGTGAGGATAGCCTGCTGGTTCGCGTAGTAAAAGTCCATCGTGCCCATTTGCTTTACAGAAGAAGGTAGATGCCGACAGGAGAAACAATGAGATACCAGAAGGCAGATTTATCACGTCGCAGAGGCCGTTCACTTGGAACACAACTTCTTGCCGAGGGATAATATCAGACTGACCTTCCCATTGTGGTGCTCAGATATGTCAAAGACCACTACATCGAGTGGATTATATTCATTTTTAGACAGTCACTAAGATGCAGCCGGTGACAGCTTACATGTGTATTTGCCATTCATGTAACTAGCAGCTATAATGGACGTGGCATCAGTACGCCCTAGTTGCATTATCACCATCTTTTGGCTTGTGTCCGCGGCCTATATCAGCCCGTGACAGATTCTCTCGACATCATAGTCCCGACCCAGCTCCCAAACTCCCCTTGATGCATACATAGCCTAACCAGAATGAGCCGTTTTGCAGCTCGCTTTCATGGGCACCCCGACCGGATCCTCCCTGTATGTGAATTTGGTGGAAAACCGTGTGGTTGGATTAGCTTAATGTCACCGAATGTAACACGAATGCCTGTGAGTCCATCCATGCTTGTAAGACGGACGGCATACAAGTAGGCCGGCAGCTATCTTCAATGGTGGACGCTAAGAGACACGATCTGCCACCAGGGCCCCTTAACCTAGCCCCCAATATTGACAGGGATGTCATTGCATGATCTCCATAACCGAGCGTCACAGCGCACGCACCGCAGCGTAACTCTATCTGTGGCTCTGTCGATGCAGACCCCTTCCCGTTCCCCTGCCATTCGCCAGGGGGGACTTTCCTGAAGCGGCTTATCAAGGACGAGCAAGGGCTTTGTATCAAACCAACAACTCTACTTGGACAAGCACAAAGTGTTTACTCCATCCCCGCTCAGCAGCCATTTTACCGGGTACCAAATGGGGGGGAAGTACTGAGTTATTATCGGCACCCCCAAGCCAAAGCCAATGGCAGGATCAGAGTAACCCCCGTTGGCGCAGTCAGTCATCTCAGAGCTCTATTTGCCCGCTTCTAGCGAGGCCATTTTGTTTTGTGTGTGTCGCCACCAACACTACGCAAAACCCCGGCCACCTTCCTATTGGTGCTGATGGCTCAACCTCTTGGCGGAATAGCGGAATGGCGGCCGTCTGGAAGACTTGATCTTACCAACAGTGCACGGCACGGGAAAGAAGGGAAGCCGAGCAGTGCCTCCTCCTGACGCAATGACGGGCGGCAGTTGGTTGAATGCATGTTGTTATGTCTGGGCACCCATCACGTGGCAAGCCGATGTCGACGGAAGTGATGTTGGGACTTGAATCCATCTCAGGCTTGAATTAGAAATCCAAATCTCGTAGTCGCTGTTATTTCTTCCTCGACCCTCACTCTCTCAACTCCACGAGGCACTTTCAGCAAACACCCACGCTGAGACCTTTCGTATTGCAAACGACAAATTATCCGACATGGCTAGCTACGACTACATCATTGTCGGCGGTGGACTTGCAGGCTTAGTCCTGGCCGCACGCTTAACTGAAGACTCCTCGAAGCGGGTCCTTGTCCTGGAGGCCGGCGAGGATCTTACTGCAGATGCCCGTACGTCGGTTCCGGCTATGTGGCCGACGCTGTTGAATACGGACGCAGACTGGAAATTCAGGACAGCTGCTCAGGTGAGAGACGACCAGCTGCTAAATAAATCTGCTGTCTTATTGCTCGGCATACTAACCATTGTTTCAGGCTGGCTTCAACAACCGTGAAATCTCCTTCCCCCAGGGCAAGCTCCTTGGTGGCTCGAGCGCCCTCAACGGCCTGTCCTTCACGCCCTCGTCCAAGGCCAATGTGGACGCTTGGGCCAAGCTTGGGAACCCCGGCTGGGACTGGGCAAGCTTTTCCAAATCGCTGGCCAAATCCTACACTTTGACCTCCAAAGCAGGGACCACTGGCTCTGGCCCGCTTCAGCTCAGCTACCCCAATGATACCAACAACAGCTGGCCCAAGATCTGGCAGCAGACGCTGGGAAGTCTGGGGTTCCGCCAGTCTGGAGAATCCTACACCCAGCAGTCCAGTGGACCGGTCACCGTTGCGGACAGCATCCATCCTGCTACCAAGACGCGAAGCTACGCTGGAAACGCATATCTTGAGCCTGCTCGCAGCCGAGAGAACCTCACTGTCGTGACCGGGGCTGCAGTTAGCAAGATTGTCTTTGCCAAAGATGGCAGTGCAGTCACCGCTGAGGGCGTCCAATATGTCAAGGACGGTGAGACTCAAACCGCCACGGGCAAGGAGATTATCCTCACCGCCGGCACAATCAACAGCCCCCGGATTCTCGAGCACTCGGGTGTTGGTGATTCGAAGCTCTTGGCGAAGCTAGGTGTCGACGTTGTCATTGACAATCCCAACGTCGGCGAGAATCTACAAAACCATCCGATGGCCGGCCTGAGCTTCGAGGCCCTTGAGGACGCGGAGACAATCGATGGCCTTTCGCGCCAGGACCCAGCTGCTCTTCAAGCTGCCATGGCCGCTTATGCACAGCAATTGGGACCGTTTGCAAGCAGTGGCACCAACAATGCAGCCCAATTGCCATTCCCAGGCATCCAGACTGCTGAGGGCAAGGCTGAGGTTGAGGCGCTTATTGAGAAGTACATCACTGGCGCAAAGAATGTTACCAGCCCCTTTGACAAGGCTCAAGCTGAGTTTGTCCGCTCAATTCTTACCTCTCCTGAGGAAGCTTCCGGTTACTACATTTCCTTCTCGGGCTTTGCGTCGTTCAACCCTGATGGATCAATGGCACCACCGCCTCCGGGAACCGAAAAATATTTCTCCGTGGCTCTGCTGCTTACGCATCCCCTCTCTCGAGGATCTGTCCACATCAACTCTGCATCAGAGACATCGACAGACGTCACCATCGATCCTCAGTACTTCTCACACCCTCTCGATATCGAGATTTTCGCTCGACATCTTCGATTCGTCGAATCCCTTGCCAGTGCTGAGCCTTTGGCCAGCCACCTCAAAGTAGGCGGCAAACGCAACCCTGCTGCTCCACCAGCTGGTATCTTTTCCGCGGCCTCTGGCCTCGAGAAAGCCAAAGAGTACTTGCGTCAGACGGCAGTGGGCGCACACCACTTCACCGGCACTTGCTCCATGATGCCCAAGGACTTGGGGGGTGTCGTGGATGCTGAGCTCCGGGTTTATGGATGCCCTAACCTACGAGTGGCAGATGCCAGCATCATCCCGCTGACTCCTCGGGCAAACCCCCAGGCGACTGTGTACGGTGTAGCCGAGCATGCCGCAACCATTATCAAGGGTGGGCTCTAGAAGAGCCGATGATGGACGCCGTATCCGTAGTAGTCACATGTTTTGTTTTTGCTTGTGATTTGTGTCACAGGGGTGGCACATTGTGTATTAGAGACATAGCAATAGTTGTCGGTTAGTTTTGGAATAGCATCAAGAGTACCTTGAAGGGAATGATCGGCCAACCACCAGCCTAGTGCAATTCCTCCAGGCTTGCGTAACCGTGACTAAATTCGCTATAGTATTGTAATGTACACGTATTTACTGATTCGGCAGGCCTTGTTGAATTAAACATGTAAACGTGTGGGTTCTGCAAGGTTCATACAGGTACGCAACTTTAGGCGCTCCCCATCCCAGCAACAAACCCCAGTCTCTCAATCCCAGTCTCAATCCCAGCCCATTCCCAATGCAATCCCAGTGCCCGTGCCAAAAAGCCGGAACACTCAATCCCACTTCCCGTGCTAAAAGAGTCTTCCGGGCCGAGAAGCCCGTGGTCTGACACGGTCTCTGAAAGACTAGCAATGTTTAGCAACCGCTCGGCAAGCCTGGTTACAGGTAATATCTCAACTCGCGGGTTCCCCTTAGTGTGTGTAGTGTAAACCTCCAATATCCTAACTCGGAAGCTCCCACCTGTAACATTGCACGAGACGGGACGACAAGACACGGCACTTTACTACCCGTGCAATAGCCTAAAGTAAAGCCCGATGAATTTCGTCCCATCTTTTGACAGGTTCCTTGGCCATCCGGTCCGTGCACAGCCAAGTCTGAAGACCCGTGCACCTTGAGGACCGGGACTTTATTGCTCTTGCAGGGATCATCGATATACGAGATGTACGGATATGCAATACATGTACGTAAGAGCTAGATATGCACTTCACGTATACATGTAAGCATTATAACACCAGGGGTCTGTGCTTAGGTTCTAGGCCAGGAGCTTTTACGCCGAGGCGGGATTGAAGGAATCACTTGATATCCGCTACTTACATGTACCTGAGAAACAAACAATCCAGTCGTGATCACATGGAGAAGTGTATGAATTGTATCGACATCCTCAAACTTGATCGTACTTGTATGTACCTGCCTCAGATTTGAATACCGAGAGATGCCGCAGTCAATGATCGTGGACTCCGAGCATTGTCAGTTGCCACAAATAGCTAATCAATGCTTATCAAACTCCACAAAATATGCTTCGTAACTAGCCTAGTTTTATCTTGTTACCTGAATTGTCCGAATATCAAAACAGAGGAGTGGCATTATCAACACCATCTCGGCGGCACCAAAGCTACAACTCATCCGTTTCCACCAGGTACGGATGATCACAAGGTGATGAGTTTGCGCCGCAAGACTATTATAGCTCATGGAATATAGCACGTTTCGGGCAAGGGGTGATGATCAAAATCAGTTCAGGACGTGGTGTAGTTCCCACAGATATCCCTCTTTCTCGGGCCTTTGGCCAATAGGATGTTTGCCTTTGGCAGTGCTCAGGGACTCTGTGGCCATTTACCCCTTCTGCGTGGCATCTACTCTTTTTCCGGTATTTTTGTTTAGTTTTTTATTTTATTTTTCAAGGTATTTTTCAAGTAATTTTTTTTAGAAGCCAAGACAAGGAGAGAGTGGGAGGGAGGGATAGAATTATAGATATATACATCGAAATGTCGACGTCTCTTCCAAACTTTTGTCCTCCTCATCTTCATGTAACCATACAAGGATCTACAGCAAGGATCAACTCTTTCAACACACATACTTAATCATGGAGAAGACCATTGGGGACGCCATGCATCCCGAGCACAAAGTTGAGCCCGCCTCATCTGCTGTCTCCACGTTATTCTACATCCCGTACCTGATCTGGGAGTTTACGGAGAGCAACTTTCCCACCTTTGTTATCCCAAACACTACCTTTGGCGTCCTGGGAGCTCTCGCCGGCTCTCACCTTGCTGATGGCCAACTCCCTTCGCTGTGGCAGTTATCTCAAGCTCTACCCTTAGTCGTCGCCTTCAACTGGTATAACGTCTTGATATTCGACCTTGCAAACCAGAGATCCGAAGAATCAGTCAAAGAAGATCTAATCAACAAGCCCTGGCGACCGATCCCATCCGGCAAGATTACCGGGGAACAGACAAGACGATCTATGCTGGTGGCAGTTCCGATCGCCCTCGCTCTGAACTACTGGCTAGGTGTTTGGAAGGAAGGTGTCTTCATCCAGATCCTTACCTGGCTTTACAACGATCTCAAGGGTGGAGATGAGGTAGTACGGGATCTGATTATATCGATTGCATACGGGTGCTTCAACCATGGCTCGCTGCGTATTGCGCTCGGATCACAGGCTACCGTCAACCAGGAAGGGATGACATGGATCCTCATCATCAGCAGCGTCATCCTTACCACTATGCAGGTGCAGGATCTCAAAGATCAGGAGGGCGATCGAACACGGGGGCGTCTGTCCATTCCCTTGCTCCTAGGCGAAAAGTTCTCACGCTTCTCCATCGCAATATCTGCAGCTGTCTGGTCCTGCGTATGCCCATTCTTCTGGAAGCTCCCACCATTGGCCTACGCCGGACCAATGGTAATTGGAGCCGTCTTGATGACGAGCGTCTTGTTTCGAAAGACGGTAAAGGCAGACGACCAATCGTGGAAGATTTGGTGTCTTTGGACAATGTCTCTATACTCCTTGCCATTGTTTACGTTGTAATGATGAGCTAAAGGAGTGATTCGACGAGTTATACGATCAAGGAGTTGGCAGATGTTTACTTTGTGCAATCTTTCTTTTCTTATGCCCGGGAGAAAATGTTTCTTTACCTGCAATCGCTTGAAGCAGTGTTGTGTACGAGTAGTTCTCTTTTCGTCTTTTAAAAAGGTTTATAGCAAATTACATATGAACTTCCTACCAAGGCAATGCCTTTGCGTCAAGACAATGCACTGATGAGCCATTATGACACACTGGAGAAACACATCATGTGCTTTCTTGCTTCATTGCTGTGTTAGACGTTCTTTATAGGAAAGATTGCACACACAATGTCGGTGTTGCCGAAGCTCAGCCTCTCGCTTTGTCATAAAGGCTGCATGTGATACCCTTGTCAACATGGCAAGTCTCATGCATCCCTGGATACCCCGAGTTGACGTTGTATTCGTGCAAGTGCTGCTGGTGTGTACTTATCTGTACCTGTATACTGTTGGTCAAGTTGATACCTCTACTAGTAAAGAAATGGTCGCAGCTATAACACGTCAAGGTCAAGGGAATGTCACTCTTGCTTCCAACTGGGCCGCTTCTTGGCGTACACCTGAGACGGAACAAGGGAATGCATACCAGGGTTACATCAGAGCGTCGTACTCAATCTAGACCAGCAGATCCCCCGTCAATGCACCTGTCAATGCGCCAAAGCATTTTCAAATCACATAATGTCTCATACATGCACTCCGTACTTGCCGGCTTCTTTGTTCCGTTCAGTTCAGACTCTGCTTCTTTTGGGAAAACATCCGCGCTGTTCATTTCATAGAATGGAGAATAGTGAACGATATCGACTGCAAGCCCCCTGAGGAAGAAGAGCGGCCAGCGGCGACTTTTTATACAGCATGACAAGGGAAATCAAGATATCGCTTCCAATAGCAGCCCGTGGCTAATGCACGCGGCAAATGGCGCCATGAGCCGTTGCGAGTTTCCAGAAGTAAGCGAGTGATCGCCTTTGGCCGCAGACCTTCCCATTCAGGCAAGCCTCGATGCAACAGCGAATAATCTCACCGCCCGGCCGCACCGTCAACTTTGCGCATTGACTTTCAATATACTGTCACTGGTGCGTTGGCGAGGTTGGTCGTACGTGCGGAGAGACTCAGTTGCCTGAGAAAGCTGCGTATCAAAAAACGCACGGGCGGTTTATCCCCACGATGCCCAGCCATGATTCCTTCTGGAAACGTACGAGAATAGTAAGCATTGGGCTACTATTGCTTGGGCAGTGACGTAGTTTACTGGATAGTATCTAACAGTATCATGAGCATCTTCCTATTTTTCTGTATGGTTCTACTGTAGTTGTCAAGTGTCTAATAAAGTACGGGCGTTGAGTAAGTACCCAGTACATGTAGCTACTTACATGGAATATAACGAGTTGTTACAAAACTGCATTTAATATTCAGCTCCCACGGACTATACGAGTAGTACAATCTAATTCCCTCAGCCGTACAATCAGCTAATGCGCAATTCACCTGAACCCTTCTCCCGTTTAGTTCCATGTTCTCCGCTCTCTCTTCACGTGGCAATCTACCCACGACAGCACCCCCAAAGCAAGGGCAACCTCGTGGTATGTCCTTTTTGTGTTCCATATCTGCATCTAGATTAAAGGAAATAACCCATCTAAACCGCTTTGCTGCTAGCTCTTACATCCTCCGTGTCCACAGCTCGACATTACCGCAACATGAATGGCCGAACCGGCTGGAAGGGGTGGCACACCCGGATAGTAAAAAACGTGGTCTATGCATGAACCCCCCTGTCCCGGGGACACCAATATTGGCCCTTGGTTTACGAAGGTCCTGTAGGGAGCTCTTCACCATGAATGACCACTCGCTCTTCCTCACCATGGAAGATTCTATATATCTTCTCGAGAATTCCCTGCTCAAGTTTTGAAGATTCTCGTCATCACAGCTTCGATTCGGACTCAACTCTTCAGCAATGGCTCGACTCATCGCCCTCCTGGCCACCGTGCCAGCTTTAGTATCAGCGGCTGCCATTAACACAACGTGCCGCTGCTTGCCTACAGATCCGTGCTGGCCCTCCACAGCAGATTGGAAAGCCTTCAACGCGACAGTAGGGGGCAAGCTGATTGCCACCGTGCCTCTGGCCAGCGTCTGCCACTCCTCCTCTTTCGGCTGCTACAGCGCCTCAAAGTGCGATCAATTGAAGTCCGTCTGGGACTTTCCTTCCACGCACATCGAGTCCTCCTCCGATCCTGTTGCTCCCTTCTTCTCAAACCGCGGCTGTGATCTTTTCACGGCGCCCGACGCCCAGTGCGTTGTTGGAAGCCTCGTCCAATACTCCGTCAAGGCCGCAAATAAGGCCGACTACCTAGCTACTATCAAATTTGCCCAGCAAAAGAACATCCGCCTGGTAATTCGAAACACGGGCCACGACTACTACGGCAAGTCGACTGGAACCGGTGCCTTGGCTCTTTGGACACACAACATCAAGACCACCCAGCTCCTCAACTACAACGCAAACGGATACAAGGGCAAGGCCATCAAGGTTGGTGCCGGCATCCAAAACTCCGAAGCTCAGGCCTTTGCCCACGCCAATGGCCTCGCACTTGTCACTGGCAACGGCGGATCAGTTGGCTTTGCAGGAGGCTACAGCCAGGGCGGTGGTCACGGACCTTTCGCCACCAAGGCCAACGGCCTTGCTGCCGACCAGGTCCTTGAGTGGGAGGTCGTCACCAGCACTGGCCAGTACCTCATCGCCACTCCCTCGCAGAACTCTGATCTTTACTGGGCTCTTTCCGGTGGCGGTGGTGGAACATATGCCGCTGTCTTGTCCATGACAGTCCGAGCCTACCCTGATTTGCCGTCGTCTGCCGCCAATCTCACATTCACCAACCAGGGAGTCACCGATGATGCCTTCTACGCCGCCGTTTCGAAGTTCCTGACCACGATGCCCAGCATTGTCGACTCTGGCGCAACCGCTGTCTTCCTGCTTGCTCCCGGCATCTTCTTGTTGCAGCCTGTGAATGCTCCTGGTGTAACCAAGGCGCAGCTCCAAACACTTCTGAACCCTACACTCGACTACCTGACCGCCAATGGTATCGGATATGGTAAGTTTGTACCGCTACCAACGTTCTACTTGATCATTAAACCTCCCCAAGCATAAATCTAACCTTGAGCAATTGCAGACTTTCACGTCGACCAATTCCCTACCTTCCTAGATAGCTTTAATGCTTATAACCCTCCTCCCAACGTGACCGAGTACAACATTGGTGGTCGCCTCATCCCACGAACTCTCTTCACCACGGCGAGTGGAGCTGCTTCCGTGGTAAATGTCTACCGATCCATCAACAATGCCGGCGGTGTCGTCTCTGGCGTTTCCCTCAATGTCGCCAATGGTACCAAGGTCTCCAATGCCGTCAACCCTGCATGGCGAACAGCCATTACAAGCACTGTCATTGGCATGTAAGTTATTCAATATATGCATCAATCACTTAATTCCGTCATGCTTACATATCTTGCAGTCCATATGATCCCCTCGTCTTCCAGAACAATCTCAACGCTCAGAGCCTCATTACCGGCTCGCTGGTTCCTCAGCTGGATGCCTTGTCGCCCATCAAGGGTGCGTACCTGAACGAGGCCGACATGAACCAGCCCAACTTTCAGCAAGTGTTTTATGGTAGCAACTATGCAAAGCTCAAGTCCATCAAGAACAAGTATGACCCTACAGGAACATTTTATGGTCTTACAGCGGTCGGAAGCGACGATTGGACTGTGAACAATACTACTGGAAAGCTGTGCAGGATCGCATAAATAGATAGAGCACTTCAACTGGGAGACTAGAATTGGGAGATGAGAATTTTATGATATTTTAGACTAATGGCAATGGCAATATACTATCTTTAACTATAATACTTGCTTCTCTATCTTACTTGAACTTTGACCAAGGGGGGGTGCAAATGATGTACTTTTTTAATCCCTTTTAATACTGAAAATCTTCTCGCCTACAGGAGGAGAAATAGTTTAGTCTCCTTACCTAGATCTTAAACGAGCGTAGATAGTACAGGTTAATAAGAAAACTTTCCTGGTTCAATCCACAGAGAATACATATCTAGGGAGCGGTTCAAGACCTTCCGCGAATATGCTCTTCTAGCTATAGCTTTGGTGACTTTATGCACACCACAATATTCGACAATACGAATGTAGTAATATTTCAATCTGTAGTGGGCTATGATGCAGGGTAGAAAGGAATGCATTTTGAGTACGATGTTGTGAAACCATAATTATTTAGATGGGGCTTTTGTAACTGAGTGGTTATGCAATTTTGGCAAACGCATATCCTAAGCTATGTAGCACAGCATAGCACAACATAGACGGTCACTTACCTAATTCAGGACCCGTTTCTCCTGTTCATTATCAGCCATTGGTGATTCCGGCATGTTGGTTCGGGTTGTTGGTTCGGGGGTTGTTGCAGATGGAGGGTTACTTTGAGATGGAGCAGGTAGACACGGGACAGACGCAACAGAAAATCCTTCCGTCATCGGATTCACAGACCACCACTAATATTTAGTGGACACGCGGCGGCAGGTAGACATAATTTGATCATCTCGTATTCTAAGTTACGTAGTGCAACACATATAGTTATTTGCCTATTCCCTAATATCAGTGCCGGCTCCCCAGATAGAAGGTAGATGTCGTAACAAGATACACAAGAAATTGTCTTCAGCCTCTCAATTTAATGCATAATGAATACTTACAACTGAAGGTAGAAACTCATAAACAGCACGCCATCACTCGGTGAAACAGACTCGTTTATCACATAAGAAGGAGGATGATATAGAATGTCGATTAAGATTATCAATGAGAAGTAGTGTGTCGTAGTCCATGTCCTGCGCAGTGTCCGGGAACTGTACGACACCAAGGTTTTGATGTAAGATACGTCATGTCAATGAACCGCCATGTCTCCAAGTCCAAGTAAATCAATAAACATGAAGCCTTCAATGTTGTCATCTAACACCTGAACTTGTAAACATGCCTGTTTGCGCTTGTAATCGTTGTCGTGGATCACCGCCTCAGAAAGGGCGATATATCTGGCTATTTAATTCCGTAACATCATCAGGCCAATCTCTTCTTGAGAGAATCATCAAGTGTCACAGCGGCATAACAGGGACCCCGAAGGAGACATTGTCTATGGCTTCTTATTTTTTTGCTTTTGAGAATCCGTGACTATGCGAGAGGGCGACTTTTGACAGCCCTCACCCAGCGCATAACAAACTATGTAAGACACTGATAGATTCTTACCCCCCAATCATTACCCATGATAAATTCGTACCACAACTCACAACACCAGTATTTTGCACCCGCTTACAGCTTCTGCATGGCGACGACATCGGTGGACTGGACCCAGTCCTCGAACTCCTGGATCTGCTCCTGGAGCTCATCCAGGGAGACCTTCTCGTCCTCAACGACCAGGTTGATCTGCAGCTTCTTGATACCGAAGCCAACAGCGACCAGCTTGGAAGCACCCCACAGTAGACCATCCTGCTCAATACCACGGACAGCAGCCTCCATGGCAGCCAGATCAGTCTCGTCATCTGTAGTCGCAACGGTTAGCATCACCACCTGACAAAGCAAACTGCCGTACTGCGACCGAGAGCCACAACATCAGCAAAACAAAGACGCGGATTGTAAAACGTACCCCAAGGCTTAACATCCAGGGTGACAACAGACTTGGCGGCAACCTTGGGCTTGGCAGCCTTCTTCTCACGGTAGGCAGCCAGACGCTCCTCACGGACACGGGCAGCCTCGGCATCCTCCTCCTCATCGTCAGAGCCGAACAGGTCGACATCATCATCGTCAGCCTCGGGGGCCTTGGCGGGGTTCAGGGTGACCTCGGCGACCTCAGGGCCGTAGACGGTGTAGGGCTTGCTGGCATCGCCCTCGAGGGTGGCGAACTCATCCTCGTATGTGGCAATGTGCTTGTACCAACGGGCAGCAGAAGGGTACTTGTCGGCGGCGGGAGCCTCCTTGATGGCCTTGAAGACGGCGACGTCGGCCTGGGTGGCAGAGAAGCTATATTTGGCGGGGGAGGGGTTAGTGAGGGGTGTTTTGATTTTTTTTTTTTTTTTCTGGCCGTCATGCAGGCACTGAGGGGTGGGAAAAAATGAAAGAGGGGCTGGGCTGCATGCACTTCATCGCCTGATTGTGACTCAAAACGATGGGAGGAAAAAAAAAAGATGTGTGCGATAACAGGATCGAGATTCAGAGACAGGAGAAGGGCATCGTCGTCGCTGCGCAAGGGAAAAGAGCGTACCCAGTGATGTAGGAGCGGGTGGAAACCCAGTTGTTCAGGACTGTCGAAGCATCGTTAGCATCTGATGTGAACTTTGCCACTCTGCGGCAGCACAGCGACGAGATTCTGCTTACGGGTGAGGCCAGCATCAGTGAGGAGATCGGTGAAACCCATGGCTGCGGTTTTGTGGGATATCTGGAGACGAAAAAGGGCGAGAAATGAAGGCGTTTGATCGAGGGGATTGGAGAGTGTTGGGTATCTACGAGGAGTCGCAAGAAAAAAGATTGCACAGAACAGAATGCGCAGTATTGATGCAACCCCCACTACGGGAGCCCTAGCAGAGGGGTGACTTGTGGCCTGAGGCACCAAGAAAAAAAAATTGTTCACCTGTTCAATGATGGGAAAAGTGGCGCATGTGGGCGATGAGACGCTGTAAAGGGCATGTGGTTTGAGCCACGGCGGCTATACGTAGCATGTGGTGTAGATGCTGAGCCACAGGTGCCCCGCGTCTACAACCCCGCCAAAACAACAATTTCACAGCGAATTGATCAACAGGTGATGCTTGAATATTAACTACTAATGTACAGGTACATAAAGCTACTAATTGACTGCAATATAGAAAGATGCATCTAGGGTTCATACTTGTGCCTTCCATGGAGATGCAGGCTAATGCTCGCAGAAATTGTACGACCTATTCTCCGTGTGCTGCTTCGTCTCTGCCTCCTGTCGCGATCGCTCATGCATCAGCTTCAGCCGGTGCTCCAGCGCCTCTTCCACCGTCATCAAACTCTCAGGAATCTCCATTTGACTGTCCTCTTGTGCCTTTGCAGCCTCAGTCCACCAGTCTTTCTGCTGGGGCGGCACCATGGCAGTGGACACGATACGCTCATGAGGGTCGACGAGCCATAGTGCGAGGAACCTTCTGTGTCCAGGTTTGGTCTCGTCTTTAAGCCGGAATGATGAAACCCGGTGTTGGCTAAATAATGATTAGAATCCCTGCATAGAACCGTATTCATCCAAGGGTAGGTGGCTCAACTTACAATACGTTTGGGAAAGCAAGGACTCGTCCTTGGCACGTCCTGACGTCTCCATAGTTCTGGATGCAAGATCCTCCATTCCCAAGAGTAGTGCCGTAGATCCGCTCCAACCAGTTGTAATTGTCTTGGCCAGTTTCAATAGACTCGTTGAGGTCATCTCTAGTCTGCATACGGAACGACAGATGGCTATCCGTGACGTTCTCGCTATCCAGATAAAACAGGGCCGTACCGCATATTCTCTCATTCATCTGTCCCTCAATCTGGACAAGGAAAAAAAAACCTCTTAGCATAGATCTCACAACACACTCAAAAAAAGCGGAAGCAACTTACATGCCATGAGCCTGCTGGAAAGTAAGGCTTCTCAGGAGTCAACTCGATGCTGGCCATTTTCACAATGATCTGCAGCCCGTGCTCCTTGAACTTGTCGCGGATCCTTTGCGGGGGAGTGTAGTCTATCTCTTTGAATTGCCGTGGCTCTGGAATAATGGCTTCTCGGCCCTCGACCCATTTGCCAGGATATATCCTCTCACCCATACTGGGCTTCGGTGGATCACCATACTGGTACCGATTGGTGAAATGCCATGACTCGTCATCCGGCCATTCATATTTCATCGACACCGTCCACAGGCCTTCCTGATCATCACTATATCATATCCTGTCAGTTTGTCATTTCAATACCATGTCACAAATCCAAAGCATCCTGGGGATATCTCACTCTGCCTCGGTAATAGCGTCGAACCGCGATTCCGTCCTTCCAGCGGCGACTGTATCTCTCCATCTCAAATCCTCCCGAAGGCACTGATCCCATGCCGGTATGGCGGCATCAATGGCATGCTCAATCGCCGTGTATATGGCTGGATATTTTCCTGGGTGCAGGTTATTGATGTAGCTGGTAATTTTGGCCGACCCATCGTCGCGGAATGCAACATTGGCTGGCAGCCACTGATACAGGCTTGACCGGTATTCAGGAGGAACAATCCCCATGAAATGAGGCTGCCAACAAATGTTGAGAAATCTTCTCCCGTAGTCGGGAAAGCGATCAATTGCGGGTGGAATTTCTCCTTTGCCAACAAAGTCAAAGGCGTTGTCCAAGCCAATCTGCTCCTCCAAAATAAAGCTAGATCGGCCTATGTTTCCAAACCGCCAAAGATTAGATCTTGCTCCGACATCTTATTCCAAGGGGGGGAAGGGGGTATAGTAAACACATACTGAAGACGAAGGGATACATGGAAGGATGGACTAGATTCTGCACCATGTCATTGGTTCCAGGGTGCCAGTCCACATTTGCAGCCTGGTCCGCTCGGAGTGTCTCGAATGCTTGCACCAGCTCATCACGAAGTTGCGCGTTCATCAAGTCATCAGACTTGACAATAGTATTGCCGGCCGAATCAAGAGTAGGGATCAGACCAGTCTTGGCAAAGTACGCAGCCTTGTTGCGTAACTCAGCAATGCACTATAAGATTTGCAGGTCTCACGTCAGTTCGTCATCTCATAGTAAAGGAGGCGGTCCAACGAACAAACTCAAAGGCCTCGTCCGAGATAAGGCGGGTTTGAGGCATGGGTATCCTGTTCCAATGCATTTTCTCCTCCATAACCCTTGAGTAGAGGCCATTCTCGGACTGGGTCTTCGCCTCTTGGCGCCATTTCTGCACAATGGCCTCGTCAAATACTTTTTCATGCCAGTTCAGCTTGTCCGTCAATTGCTCCATGATCAGCATCATGGCGACCTCTCTGACGGGCAATATTTCCGAAGTGGCCCCTCGAGCCTGTGGCATACCAATTCCATAGACGGGCGGCAAATTGTCAAGGTCATAACGCTGCGACGTATCCACTGGGAGGTTGATGCCGGGGTACTGGAAGCCAGCCATAGTGGTTGGAAAGAGGAAATTGAGAGCTTTGGCTCTGAATGATTGTTTTGGAGGTGAGAAGAAATTGGCAGCCTTGGGTTGCTTTGATTCACTTGGAGGCGGGAGATCTGGAAGGGAAAATGCCTTTTTAAGCTCATCGTCAACATATGGGCGGGGTTTAAACAATCTCGGCATCTTGAGCGGGTCGTTTTCCAGGCAGAACTGGAGTCTTTTACTGAACTGACAATAGAGAAAAACAGAGCTAGACAAAGAAAACAATTGAGATCCTGATTTGGATACCAGCCGATTCATATAGTAGCCCCCAGGCAATTATGCTGTTGGCCCTAAAAAACCGGAGGTGAGCGGGGAGCGGGAACCATCGTCTACGTCTAGCTCAGGCAGCAGCCCCGTAAATATGGAAATGTATGTGAATATTTACAGCCATTTATCATATACCGCATTCACAAATTCAACTGCGATAACAAGGATACTGATAAAAAGGGTTCGTGTTGCAATGAAAAGATGTGCCTCCCATGCTCAATTGGCGTTGTCTGCCTAAAACCAAGAAGCTCTTTGGGATCATTCGGCTAGAACGGAATCGTACATGCAGCTCAGGGGTAAGCTGCTATTACCACTTTGCTATTTTAGGATAGCTCAGGCGTGTTAGTGCATTTCGGAAAACGATTCATTGACTGTACTTGAGTAGATGCTCCCAAGATCAAGGCTTATGCCAGATCACTATAATACTAAAAGGCGATAATGGGCGTCTTGTGGTTAAACAGTGGGTATGGCCTGCACTCATGTGGTTTTGAAGAATACCGGGCTGTAAATGCACAGGTATTGAGAGGTAAACACATCATCAACTCTAATAAAGGCAGAGCTACCGCTACTCCACTGAAAATCCGAAATCTGAAAACAGTCCAAGTTTGGAAAAAGTGTTAAAGTTGACAGAGTAGATCCTTCGGTAGATATCAGTTTAGCAGTATAACTTCTATGAAGTACGGGTTATTCATCTCGATATGTTATATCTTATTGCATCACCATCTTCATTCATGCTTGAACCTGCACGATTCTGTCCCACCATTACTTCGTACACAATCGAGACAGATGCTGGCTCTCCTTTTTGCCGTTTCCACCTTTTCAGCAAGAGCGGTGATATACTCGGCCGGCTCATGGTAGTAACTTTTTGCATATGTCGAAGAACCAAATCCTGAAGGCGCCTGATGGAGTTCCCGTTTCATACAGTCCTTCGAAACCGTTTTGATCCGCTCAATAACCTGCGAAATGGGAGCCTCAAGCATCTTTAGAGGGGTGTACTCGCTTAATAGATCTCGGTATCTGCTACTCCGGCTTTTGCCCCAACCACAGGAACAACTGTTCTCCGCCTCCTTGAGCAGTATTTCCCCAACTTCTGCTCTCAATCGATTCCTTCGCTCTTCTAATAAGCCTAAAGACATTAACAAGTAATTCTAAACCTCCGATATATGGCCCTTAACTCACAAGTAGTATTAGTAGGTAATATTTGGCATAAAGGGGAGTCCTCTAAAAGCTTAATGTAGGAGCCATGATGTTGAAGAATAAGAGCCAGGGCATGCTCTCTAAACATCTCCATGTCGTCGAACAAGAAAGCCGCCGCCATGAGGTATGCCAGTTCTATCGGATCAGTGGTGTTTCTCTTATTCTGCAGCCACTGTGCTCGGGCATAGAGGAGGGCAGTATGGAGGTCATATTTATCCACCTCAATAGCAATCTGAAGAAGTTGTCTTGGCGAGAACGTCGCCGGTACGAGATCATTTCGATGATGAATGACGCAACAAATTGCGTATAATGCGTGGGCGTCGTCCTCTATAAGCGGAATTTCCTTCGGGGATTCCTGAGACAGATTTTTGCCTTCGCTCCAATGAGGTCCGAGCATAGCACTAAAGACCTTTGAGGAGCAAACGAGGCATTGAGAATGAGCTCTCAGTGAGACCTTTTGCTCTCCGACAACGAGGATAACATCACCATTTAGAGCGATATCCTTGACGAAATCTAACTCTTCGCCATTGTCGAGATCCATCGTCCTGATTTGCAAGGTGCCCATGAATTGTATAGGGTCAGATTGGGGATGTGCATGAAGTGTTATCACTCGAAGTGAAGGAGAGAGCGTTGGGCATCGTTTGAATCACCACCCCGCGTGACTTTAATTAACAGGCACCTGGTAATTGGACGATGCGTGAATGAGGATGATACGTAGTCTTAGATTACCCCGCAAATGAATCCAGGGCCATTCCAATTGGCAGACAAGCCCATTGTATGTAACCAGATAAATCAATCCAGTCCGAGACAAGATTGTTGCCTATGGGCAGTGTCTACCTCTTTGGTTCGAGCCCTATTGGTCTACAGAGCTCTGGGCTCCATTTCGCCTTTTGTTTTACTTCGCCCTCGTATCATATAGAGATTTTAGTATTCAGATAACCAATGCTGCATAATTGGAGCAAGTTAATTTAAGTCAATCCGATGGCGATTGAAAATCTCGCTGTCCAGCCGCAGGGCAAAGTCACAGAATGTCAAATTGCGCAAGATTTCATTCCGGTGCAGGGTAGGTCAATCATGTACACAGCTACTCGGACGCGCCGGACGATTGACACCGAAATTTTCATGGCGCGCGGTTTAGATTCAATTGACCTAAGAAAAAGATTTCTAGAAGGTTGCAAATAGACTGTTGGCCTAATAAATCACCTTCGCATAGGGTTTTTGTAGAGTTGTTGTAGTGGTGTTGTTGAACGGCGAATATAGTGAAATGTGGGTTTAGCCAATCTGCCTTCAAGTCATTGCAGATGAAATCCATCCACATGAGCTTATCAAATTGAAGGATTGGCAACAATGTTACACAAGATAATTAGCGCATCAGACAAAAAATCAATTTCGATAAGAAAATGAAAAAGATGCCCATTACATGACGCACAAATATAGAATACAATTTTTAACAAAAAAGTTAAAAAGAACAACCCGACAGAGACAGGATTCGAACCTGCGAGGCCGAAACCATATGATTTCTAGTCATACCCATTAACCACTCTGGCACTCTGCCAATGGCTGGGTTGTTATGCCAGAGACTTGCCGTAAATTGTATATGGATGTTTTCGCTGCAAAACACAAACAGGCATTAGCATAACCAATTGCACGAAAAACATGGTGGATGCACTTTTATATATGAGCAAGACAGAAGCTGACTTTTGCCTCCGTAATAATACTCTGTATTCCATTAGAGGGAGGAGAATGTTTCGCTGTTGATACTTGACTAACCAGAAGCAGCCAAAAGGTGCCACCATCAATGTCTCAGTTCCAGATGCTGTTCAACGTTCAGCGCCGCCACTGCGTCCAGCCATGCATTGCTCTATGGCCATGTGATCTGTTGTGTCACTGTTATGAAAGATTAGATTTAAAAAGATCATTCCAAAAGAATGAATGCATTTCAAGCTTTTTGAGAAGGCGAGATATGAGCATGTACACCTTGACGATCCAACTCAAGTTCACAAAGCACACAATTACACACGACAAGGGCTTCCATCACCAAGCATTCAAGAATTTTGGTTCAATGTCAATTTACCAGCTATACTTGTGGATATCACGCATCTCTCAACCAGACAGGCCTGTTAAAAAGCCATCCTTGGTACTATTTTGTTTACAGTCATTCGTCTCTGCTGCACCATTATTTTCGCCATTCTCATCCAAACCCCCATCAACCGCCTAAGAAGTACCAGTGCAAGCAACAAATGCATTACCGCTAGCACCAGTGTGCGTAATAATACCAGCAATAGAACACTGGCCGTTAATCACAACACGGTCCGCCCCAGGAGAACCTACATCACAGTCAGTCTCACATCCCTTCTTCCAACGAAAAAAACATCAAAAAACGAACGCACCTCCAGTGTAAGTCTTGCCAGAAGACAGAATGGGAAACTCGTAGAACGGCTTGGAAAGCCCCTTGAAGCGGAAGCCCTCGTAGTTGTTGTACTGGTGAGGATAAGTCGAGCCCCCGGCAGTGCTGCCGGCCCGGACATAGGAGCACGCGGCGTTGGAAGCGGCGCTCACGGCGCTGGCGCTGTAGTAGACCTTGCCGCAGGTGGCAGTGTCTCGCTTGGTGAGCTCATCCAAGGGAGCGGCGCTGGCAAAGGCGACGAGGGAGAGGAGGCTGAAGAACTTCATTTTGACGGGCTATGGCCGGGGGGTGTGAGCAGAGCAGATCTGAAGAAGAAGAGACTGGTGTAGCACTGATGGGGTGGCACTGGCAGATGTCAGTGGAAAGCAGGGAGGCAGCTTCGTTTTATACCCAATACACCGTGATTCAGTCCTAACGTCTCACGCTCTCATCTCGGCTGCTAACCAAGTACGAACCTATCCTATCCAACACCATCACCAACCTCACCACGTCCAGCACACCAGCGGGATCCGCAAAAGCGCGCTTCATCCCACAACACCACATGTAATACATCTTCGGTTCCCCTTTGAGATTGGAATAGTTTCCTCCCGCATCAAACACCGCGAACCTCCCCCGCCCCGATGCGCCGCCGCCTCTCTTGGCCCCTCTTGGCAGGCTCGCAAAACCGACATGTCCGAGACGCACTGCCAGCCACTCAGCATTTGCGTATGCGGCCATGTGCGACGGATTGTGTCGTCGTGAACCCCCAAGCCGGACGACGCTGCGCAACTGGGAAGGTCAGGAATTATACATCGGAAACAAACAAACCCTAACGAGTAGACCGGCAGTCGCTGAGTGTGCCGTGCTAACATGCCGTATGGGTAGACTGATAGAAAGTGTCTCGAATATGTGCATCTTCATTGGCGGGATACAGTCTCTAAACTGGCTAGTTTGGGGGACCCCTGTTCTTTGGAAGCCTTGGCATTTTTCCAGATAACCAAAGTCAATGGCTTGATCAGTAAATCTATCCAATATGTTGCTCACCTCTAAGGAGCCTCTCTCTTCTACAACATGCCGAATATACACAAAGCCTTTCCCTCGCTAAAAATCAGGACAGGATAAGAAGAAATAAACTAAAACCATACACATTCCCCCCAACAAAACGAGGGGGCCAGGCACAGTCGTCGTCATATCGACCGTCAAATAAGCTTATATGGACGCTCCCGCACGGCCCGGCCTATGAGCAACCAGCTTCGATCTCACCCTGTTTCAAGTCCTGATGCTAAAGCCATTAGCATCGAACCCACCCATCCATCCCAAGCCTTTGAGCCTTCCGTTATGAGAAAATACTCCTTGGAAAACTCCGCTAGAGGTGTTGATGGGGACTGCAAGTCGGGATTAATGACTTGGGAACCTTTGGATGGTGTCGATAAGGAGGGCCGGAGGTGGCCGACGGTAGATATTGTGTAGCTGTAACTGCACACGGTAAATGGTAGCTCAAGAAGGTCAACGAAATGTTTGAATCAGCTTTTCTAACTACAATTCCGGTGGGTGGAGCAATGGGGCACAAAAGTTCTTGATGTTTGTGAAAGACGGTGTCTGAGGGACTTCCAGGCATAAAAGAGTAAGATAATCGATTCACAAGGCAGGCTATATCTCCTTCTTAAGGCTTCAGCCATAAAATTGGCCTGTATTACAAAGCAGGAAGTACCTCTTCACGTAGGTAACAGGACAGCAAAGCACACAAATAAAACCAACGACCCAGTAAAGAAAAATTACAAAAAAAAAAAAGACAAAAAAGAAAGGGGCCAAACCGTGGATTGAACACGGGACCTCTTGCAGTTGAGTTGGTAACCCAAAGCAAGAATCATACCACTAGACCATTTGGCCTCTAGTTGCTATGACTAATAGCTCTCTACACTGCTCTATATGCCCCTCCACTGCATCTTTCAGAGAACCAAAAAAAATTCGACGCCAAAATCCCCCCCACCACATCCACCACCCCCACAAAACCCACTACCAAAAAAAGGAACGAGAAAAAAAAAACACCTATGTGTTGCAAAAGGCAAAAAAAGATAAACACGTGGAGACAGAGGGATTTGAACCCCCGACCTTTTACAGGCTTGTATTGAATGAACAATGCAAAGCAAACGTGATACCCCTACACCATATCCCCTATGTTGGAATGAGCGCTGAATATTTCCCCTTATACGGGTATTGCAACAACATGCACTCCCCCCATCTTACAATTCTGCATTGCATTCTCTTGCTCATGAACAAGCAACGGAAAGTTGCACTCATCTTTTACAGACAATTTAATAACTTCTACTGCACCAGAATCATATACAATTCTTCGATACTTTCCCATCCTCCAGTTCAAGATGCCTACACGTCACAGCCATTGACGCTCCTCCTCAGGAACAATGGCAATCTAAAAATAGCAACAGTCTCATGCAACCTCAAGGGAGGCTTTAGACTTTTACGACTGCATGGAAGCGACACGTGGGAACAGCGCCAAGCACATGCCATCTGCTCGTATGAGATCAATGGCATTGTTAATTCCGACTTCAACCCTCGTAGCACCAACCAGCAAACTTCCTTGTTGGGCAAGACAAGATCCATGAGGCAAAAAAAATGGCAAATCCCAGCCAGCCCGAGCCGCTCAATTATTATATGCATTTCTACATGACATATTAAAAATAAAATTCTAGTGTATGTACTCGTATATATATATAACATCTCTCTTCAAATCATGCCTGGTTTAATCAATCATCAAAACACCACCAACATGTAGCAAAGAGCGGCAACCGTCAGGAAGATGGTGCCGGTCAGAGCCTGAGCACCCGATGACGCTGCTGAGCCCTTGTCATCGGAGGCATTGTTGGTATCGGGTGATGGTTTTGTGACGGGGTTTGCAGTTGTAGAGGGGTTGGTCTGCTTGATGGGCTGTGTTGATGATGGTGAGGAGTTGTCACTGGTTGCGCTGGAGGTGGACGTCGAATCCGGGGCGGTTGAAATAGAAGTAGGCGTGGGCTTGTACCTTTCGTCAAGGGTAAACTGGTCCAGAATGCACTCGTTCATGAGCTTGTTGTCGGTGTAGTTGCCGGGCTCGCCCAGGGGAGTCAGGGTCAGGATGTAGGTGGTGTCAAAGCTGCCAGCACCCCAGCCGACGAAGCCAATGTACACATCGCTGTTGGCGCTGATGGCCTTGTTCTGGGCGCAGAAATCAACCATGCACTGAGACATGTTAGCTAATTTTCCTCTCTCAAGTTGCTAGCCAGTTTAGCTAGTGAGTTGATTAATGTCTTACCGAAGGATCCATGGACGCGCCCGTCTCCGAGATGATAGCCTGGCGCTTGTTCTGTCTCAGCCAGCCCGCGAAATCGTTGAAAGCCTGGACATTGTCGGTCGTGCACTCGACGTGGGATCCCGAGTTGTTGATGTCAAGGTACTTGTGCACGTCAAAGTACAGCAAGTCGGTGCTGCCATCGGGGTTTGTAATCTTGGCGAGAGCCTCAGCGCTTCCGGTGGACACATAGGTCTCGACACTGGCAAAGTTGGTTCCGGGCAGGAGAATCATTTGCGACGTGGCACCGGCCTTTCGGATGGCGGTGACGACCTTTTGGCAGGTCTGCGCCCACAGGTTGATGTCGATGTCGTGAGGCTCGTTCATCAGGCCGAAGATGATCTTTTCATTGTCCACATAGTACTTTGCAATCTGGACCCAGAGCTTGACAAAAATGTCGTCCGACACTCCTCCCTGGCCGATGATTCCGCCGTTGTAGCGAGCAAAGTTGTGCATGTCAATCATGCAGTAGGCACCCGTCACCAGACAGGCATCGATGACCTTGTTGTAGGATCCCCAGTTGAGCTCATCCAGTTCGCCGTCCACCGTGTTGTTGAGGACAAACTGCCATGTAGCGGCTGCACATTCACATTGGGCATTAGCATCAAGAATCGAATCTACACGAGACACAGCAACGCTCACAAATACGAAAGACATTCAGGCCGTCGTCCTCGGCGAAGTGCTTCATCTGGCCCGCGCCATCACCTCCCTTGTAACTCAGTAAAGGCACAGACGAGGTGTCGGTTGGGCAGCTGCCGTCAATGTCGCATCCAAAGTCTATTCCGGGGATTGCGACGCCCAGATACTTGATCTTGCCGGCGAGAGTCTGAGAGGCCAGGGCCAAGGCGGCGGCCAAAACGGATGTCGCGCGCATGATGTATAAGAGACTGGCAGTGCGGCGCAAGCACCAGAAAATAAGGGCGAAGAGGGTCTGATTAACGAGATGGGCGTTATCGTGATGGTGTTTGATTAGCGAGAGAAGTGTGCTATTGAAAAAAGAAAAGAAAACCCGTGGTGAAGATCAAGATGGTGTGATTAGGAGAATGAAGACGAGAAGGAATAGAAAACAGATTCTATGCAAAAACAGCAAGGCGCAGAACCGACGACAGCCAAAATAACGGAACGAGTGTGTTAATGCTGCGTCATGGTTTGCAGAGCGAGCGTCGATGAAGATATGGAAATGGTGAGAGTGAGGTGAGTGAGACGGAGAAGAGAGAAGAGAAGTGGAGGAGCTGGAGATCCAATTCATGAATAGCAGGGTCACCCCTTGACGTCCAGCGCCTGTACGAGCACTATTACAGTGCAGTATTCCGGGGGGGCTGTGAACTCGGCCTTAGCGCCGCAATTGCCTGTCACGGCTCGTGTTGCGGCCAGGTTGGGCATAGCGGGCGTCTCGATTCGTATTCAACGTCAGCCTCTGCAGCGGTCGTATTCAGTGGTAGGGCCGAGAGCGAGGCATCCATTTTCCGTTTTGCTGAGATTTGGGAGAGTTGCGGAAGAGCTAGTGCCGGGTACGAGACCAAATGGCAGCAAATTACGAGTCAAGAGGCGTCACGTCACGCAGAATCTACATAGCACAATCTCGAATCCATTTTGATCGGGTTCATGTCAAAAAGGCTCTCGGGCTGTTTCTAGCGGCGATAATGCGCTACAAGGGGCCCAAGCGCCCTCACTAAAGCCCTCCAGCTCCAGCGCTGTGGGAACAGGCGGAGCCGCTACGAAACGTTGCGAAGAAAAAAATATCCATGGAAGCACGCCAAGCCAGTCTTTCTTCACGAGACGGAGCGAGTAAGAATCTGTGATTGCGCCCAGCCGTGGACAGCAAAGACTGCAGTGCACGATACGAGGCTGCGCTTCTATTCTAGGGACTCGCCTATTGCGGTGGGAAAAGCGGCGACGGGTCTATACGTATACCTATATGCATGTGTTGTCTCTTTTTCCACCGGCATAATATGGGCCTGCGAGAGGTACATACATGTATATGTGATGTGGTATTCTGTATGAAACTGCCTATTCATGCTCACCACCATCACTATATTAGTAAAGTACAGATGCATGTATACTTGAAATACGGCTGTGCTCATGCAGAGGACACCAGACGGAACATGGAACAGTGGTCCGATCTTCCTGACCAACAAAGGCGGAGGATCCGCGCACTAGACGGGGGTCGAGCACTGTTACGGAGACACACGGACAGGGAATACCCCCCCATTAGCTATGTCAGCTTCGACAAGAATAGGTGCCTGTAATGGAGTCTTTTCTGCTTCGATGCCATTGATGTTCTAGTCTGTCTATTCATAGATTCATAGCTCTCAACTTCAAATATCGTTGTCTTACCCGGCACAACAGCGCCAAATGCAAGTCTCAACCAGCGTAGAGTCAACATATCCTCACCTCAACTCCAGCATCACACATTCACTCATCGCCCATCAAACTTCATTTAACAAGCTCCCCGTAAACCGCCTTTTCCAGGTCCGTATACAATTTACACGCCACCGCATCGCCAAACGGGAATACAGCCACCACAAGCACCGCCGCAATGCCCGACTCGCGATCAATCCACTACCCCCAAGCAGTCAGCCACAACCCACCGAATAACAATATCAACAAACCGCTGCAATAATACGCAAAAGAAAATACGAGACAAAAAAAAAAAGCACTCACCCAGCGCGCATTCCCCGCCCCCGTCCAGGAGAGACTTCCCCTCCGCCGCTGCCCCGGCAAGTCCCCCATCGCCAGCAGCCCCCCAAACCCATGCTGCAGCTCCACGCCGTCCGGAAACTCGGGGATATAAGCGGGCTTCCAGTCAGGCCCGTAGCAAAACTCCTGCAGCACCCTTCTCTGCGCCGGGTCCAGCTGCGGCGCAAACATGTCCTTGGCCGTCTTGCCCGAAACCACGCCCGGCTCGGCCTGCAGCAAGGCGCGCAGCATCCGGGCGTAGTCGTTTGCCGTCGTGTGGATGCCGGCTCCGGCGCTGTCCATCTCAGGCTCCTTGGGGACGACTTCGAAGAGCGAGAGAGTGCCGTTGTTGCCGTCACGAAGCGTGACTTCCGCCCTCCGGTCCGCTGTATGGGGGAGCTGGTTGACCCGGAATCCCGTATCGTGCATCCCCAGGGGGTCGAGGACGTGTTGCTTCATGTACTCGCCCAGTTGCCGACCTGTTACCGTCTCCAGGGCCACGCCAGCCCAATCCAAGGCAGGGCCATACGCCCAGCCGTCGCCGGGAGGAAATGAGAGCGGCACGTTGTAGCCGTCTTTGCTGAGGCGTAGCGTCCTTCCAACCGGCCGACCTATTGCCTCGGACCACCGTCGCAGATCTAAATCCGCAACGTCATAACGGAGACCAGCTGTGTGAAGCATCAGCTGCCTGTGCCGGAAAAATCAGTATACATGTGCCGTATGTGCATGTGCAGTCATGGCAAGGCACATACTTGAGCGTGATGGGTCTCTCATTGTCCTCGAGTATTGGCCGCCCCTCGGGAGTAAAGCCTCGCAAGATCTGCATCTGTTGCACCTCAGGAACAAGCTTCCGGACATCATAATCCAATGAAAGCTTGCCTTGCTCAACCAGCTGCATGAGACATGTCGCGGAGAGCAGCTTGGTCAGAGAAGCGCCGTAAGTGACGGTATCGGCGTCGAACTTGGGTGAGTTTACATCCATGCCGGTTCGGCCGGCAGAGCCAGAATAGATGACACCTATTTCCATTCATTTTTGCTCAGAGGTGGGTTGACTTGAGTCGGGCAATTTGAAGGACATAATTTGAAGTGCTTTGAAGGCTTCGGTGAAAGAGGCTGCTTACCATTGCGATCCGTCACAACAAACGCAGCTCCAATCAGCTTGTCCTTGGTATCATCACCACTGGCAATATCCCGCCTCAAAAGAGTGTCCAGCTTATCCATTGCCAAATTCAATCCCAAGTCTCAGAGAAAAGACAGCTTGGTGCGTGTTGCCAAATCCTCTAGCTGTGATGGGAAGTATGTTGTCTTATAGTCTGAAAGCCCATCCTTCGGGTGCGTGTTGCCAAATCCTCTAGCTGTGATGGGAAGTATTTTGTCTTATAGTCTTATAGCCCATCCTTCGGGTGTGGCTTCCCCCCATTTGAGCCTGATCGACACGGGCTCGGACCGAATAAGTAATCCAATTGGTGATGTCAAAGGCTTGTTGGTGTAGCGAATGCCAGCCGATCAAATGATCAAACAAGCATTAGCGCTGAACTCCGCATCTCGACGCATGCAAGCTTGTCAAGCTTGTGTCTGGACCTGAAATCAGTCGGCCCAACTGCATGTAGCTACACTTGGGTACCTGTGTCTGCGTAATTGTAATCGATGGAGCGTTAAAGAGAACTCGTCAAGTCCACATTGGACTCAAACCCACTGTGTATTCTAATCATCAAGTGATAATCATGAAATTGGGCATGTTGCCATGCCGTAGCATCTGCAGGATTGACCCAATGATTCCGAAATCGCCCAGTCCATGTCTTTGAGAGCGGGGTCTGTTTTTTTCTCATCACGGCCATTCTGAACCTTCATCTGTCGACTGTCCCTGGACCCGGCATATGCAATCCAGTGCGAGTGGCTACTGTAAAAGTCCGACGCTCCTCAATCCCTGCCATTTCGAATCCCATCCCCATTTCCATTTCCATTCCCGCTCCGTAACTGAGCCGAGCTGGATCCGACATCATGGCCGCGTCCTCCACCACTCGGACCTCTTCCCGGCTGCTGGATCTCATTACCGTTTTTGACAAGTAAGGCGGCCTCATGGCATGTCGATGTCGTCAAAACAAATCCGCTGACTCTGGCTCTCGGCTTCGTCCAGCGTGCCGCTAGACTTTGAGCAAAACTGCCATCCCTACTACCGTTTGATCCTGGCTCCAGATGATCGCGTCCATGGCTATGTTCATCCCAACACTATAGCCCGCATGCCATGGCCCGCAGCTTTCGCCATCGATCATGAGAAGCGCCAGGTAGTCCTCTCTGCTCCGCCGGCCAGCACATCACTGTCAGCACACGCCAATGCGGCATTTCAAGAAGCCGTTGATGCGGCCATTGACGGCAAGATCTTCCCTACCCTCAATGGCATGCACAGCGAGTATTTCCTCGTCCCTGGAGCGAGGGAGTTTGTCCAGATTGAGCGTTTCGCCGCCACCTTGTTCGGTATCGGGACGCGCGGCGCTCACCTGACGGCGTATACGACAACGGCGGAGGGAGAGCTTCGCATCTGGGTCGCACGGCGGAGCAAGACGCTGTACACATATCCAGGCAAGCTGGACAGCACCGTCGCCGGCGGCGTCAAGGCGAGCGACTCCCCACTGGACTGCATCCTCGCAGAGTCGATGGAGGAGGCCTCTCTGCCCGTGTCCCTAGTTGGGCCTCGCGTCCGCACCACCGGCGCCATCACCATGGTGAACCGCAATCCGCGGTCCGAGCTGGTCCACTCCGAGATTCTCTACACATACGACCTGGAGCTGTCCGGCGAAGGCGAGGAGGTGCCACGGCTGGGAGACGACGGCGAGGTCGAGGAGTTTGTGCTGATGAGCTGCGAAGAGGTCAAGCAGCGGATGCTGGCCGGCGAGTTCAAGACGAATGTGTGCGCCGTCATGATTGATTTTTTGATTCGACACGGCAAGATTACGCCCGAGGGGGAGCCGGACTATGTCGACATTTGCACGAGACTGCACAGGAAGCTGCCGGTGCCAACCAGGTCGGATGTATGATGTTGAGGGAGTGATGGGTTAAAGAAGCAGGTGTTTGGGAATAGAATATAGGTAGGTAGTACATAGACTGGGAAAAGAACTACAGCATCTGACATTCATGGTGTTTCGATGTGAATATCAAGCACTCTGCAACCAGCGTCCCTCTTCATATTCTGCTTGGAGCTACTAGGTATTGTTACCAAGGTACCTATTCCATATAGGTATCTTAATCATTTTTCCTCCTCGCCTTAAATTTCAATTTTAAACAACCTATGTATATAAGCTTGTATCTCATCAACCTAAAGACCTGGAGTTGAAATACCTACCCTTCTGCCGCGTCCGCAAAGTAGACACCCCGTACCACCGCGGCACAGCAACGCTCCAGCAGGTACCAACGCAGTACGTACAATTCAAATCCAACCCAACGTAATCCGCCGCAATAAACCCGCAAAGCACAAAAAAAATGGCAGGCGCCCAGCTCTGCCCGCTACCAACCCTTTCTCTCCTCATCCAATACTCAACAGCCCCATTCTTCTCCTCGTCCGTCTTCACTTTCAAAACAATAACCATCATTCTGTTTTGCTGCTCGTCATCACCTCCTGACATATTTTTCCCTTCTTATCCCGCTCTTTTGCACTTCCGCACATAATTTTTTCTCCTCGATCTTTTTTTTTGGTCAGTCATACTAATCAAATAATATCGGTCCTCGCTGCAAAGACGAAGGGGAAAAAATCGCACGACAGCAAAAGACGCCCTTTTCGACGATCCGCAAAGCGCCCAGCAGCCCCCTCGTCCACATCCTCTCCCCTGTCCAACATGGGTTCTGTCCTCGCCATCTCTCCTACCTCTACCACGACGGCCCTACAAATTAAAGTTGCAGCAAGAAAAATGCCTTGATCAACTACCCAGCACATGTCAAGTGCTAAAACCAAAAAGTACATTCGCCATCCCCGGTTTAACTCCTCAGACCCAGATCAGCATCTACCACCATGTGCACAAATCCTTTCAAGCCCTCCATCTTCCTCTTTTACTTCTACCTCCAGCACAACTACCCACCTCTCTCACACTCTTTTCTATCTGGATATCAAGCGACATACCCCAAATCGACGCTCTTAGGGCTTTACACTAGCCGCTCTGCAGCTTGTCGTCATTCCCGCATCGCATCCACTTACAAACTCCGTATCTCACGCTAATCAACCTCACGTCAACAGGTTCAACACCGCAGTCGTCCCCTTTGCGCTCCTACTTCGCCGCGATGCTAGGATACTCTATTACGATGCGCGTCCGCTTCCCGATGCTCCCGTAATGCGCCGTGCTAGGGTCCATTTCACACACACCTACACCGTCCTAGACACAAAGAGCGGCATCAACATCACCAAGTCAGCTGCTACTCGCTTCATATAGCTAACCAAGCCGACTTCACAAAGACTTCACCAAAGCACCGCCATGGAAATCAAACACGGGATATCGTCTCGAGCGTCGTCATGTTATACAATGCATCCTACACTACATACGGTCCGTGGCGGCCCCCAACAGGCCCGCCCTCCTTGTCTCGCATCCTCCTCAAGAAGTATCAAGCATCAAGCAAAAAGCAACAAGAAAAATGCAATGATGCAGCGCAATTCCAGCAAAATAAAAAGCTTCCGCAAACCCTGTCGTTACCGGCCCAAACTCCCCAGCGCCTCTTTTGTCGACCCAATACGTCCATGGCCCTCGGACTATTCATCCGTGCCTCCCCCACCTATCCCGGCCGCTCGCTGCTAAGCAGACAACTCCCAAATATTATTCGGCCAGAAAAGCACACGTCTCCCTCTAGCTTGCTACGCTCGGTGTAGACCTCAGCCGGTACCCAAACGAAATCATTACCGGCGCGCAGCCCTTCTTTTTTACCAGCAGAACCAGTTACGCCAATAGCGACCTCTATAACTTGAGCAAAGGGGTTCCTCTACTCCTCCTCGGAATCCGAGTCATCGCTGGACTCATCATGGCGGTTAGGCGCTGCGGCAAGCGGCGCCTCATCGGCAGGCTCTTGACCAGGCTTGTACAGCTGTTGGATGGCTGTCAGCTGCGCGATGCGAGCCTCTTGCTCTTGGGCGCTCATGGGTTTATTCTTTTTGGGCTTCGAAGCCGATTTAGGAGTCTGTTTTGGCGGCACCGCCCTATTAACTTCGGGCGACTTGGCTGCGGCGGTTGAGTCTTTACCGAATCCCGGGAGCACCTTTTTGCAGAGTTCCCACAGCTTGAGCAGAGCCTCGTTACTGAGCTGGTCAATATCCAGCTCAAGCTCGCCCTCGTTGTTTTCCTAGTCGAAATCATTTGCATTAGCACGTCGACCTAGAGAGATGCAAGAGAGATGAAAGGGGGGGAAGGAGAAAGAAAACAACTCACATTCTGTCCCGTGTCGCGCTTGATAATGTCAATGGCACGATCAAGATGGGGATATTCAAGATCATTAATGGCGCTTGCAATCTGATCTTTATCGGCCGCAGACAGACTCTTCTTGGGAGCAGGCTTCTTCGCACTGCCTGCCTTCTTGGGCGGCGGCGCGTGCGTGGAAGACTTGCGCTGGGGAACGCTGCCAGCCGTCTTACTCTTGCTTGTCTTGCTGGTGGACTTCTTGGACGACTTGTCCTGGTGCTTGGGTTTGGCTTCGTTTTGGCTCTGCGCCACCTTGTACAGGGCCTGCTGCACGGTGTCGACAATGACCTTTTGGCAATCAATCAGCGCCTGAGGAGTGCCCGAGGCAAACATGCGGTTGAGCTTGCTGCTCTCCTCCTCCAGTTTCGCCTTGAGCTCCTGGATTTCCTTGGAGTTGTCTACACTGGGGGCCGCGGCTTCATCCTCTTCGCTGTCGTCCTCGTCATCATCGTCACTGGCGTTGGACGCGGACGCGGCGGGGGCATTGGCCTTGGCATATCTGGCTAACCAAGCATCCTTGCCCTTCATCTGCTGGACGTACAGGTCCTCAAGCTGCTTGGCCACCATGGACACGGGGTTTCCTTGGTCAGGCGGTCCGTTGAACTGGTAGCAGTTTTGGAAGATGAGCCGCACGTTCTTGTCAAACTCCTTTGCGTTAGTGATGTCGCCCGCATTGACCATGCGCGACACCTTGCCCAGGTCCATGGGTTTCTTGATGATGGAGTAGTAGTCGGGGATGTTCAGACCTTCAGCGTCGACGGCGTCGAGGAACCACATGTTGAGCGTCGAGTTCTTGGGGTGGACGAGCTCCGCCAGGACCTCGTCGCAAAATTGCATTTCGGGCTTGAGTTTCTTGCGAGAAGGCTTAGTGGTATAATCGATATCCTTGGGCTTCGGTGCCCTTACCGTCCGTTTTGGTCTATCTCCGTCTGCGGCGGTTGAGCCTCGACGATCAGCGCTAGGCTCTGCGGCCTGCGGCTTCGGTTTCGATTCAGGTACAGGGGGTGGCGGGCTGGATGCTGGCCCTGAGGACTGCCGCCGCACAAGGTTGTCGGGGCCGGGTAAGACGCGAGGCTCACGGGGGGGCTTTGGCTTGGCCACAGACTTGGGTCGCGCGGGCTCCTCTTCGGGGATGGTAATGGCTTCCTGCCACACATTTCGGACTGCGTAGAATGCGGCATCTGTGACTTCATGCTGAGCCCCGTTGAAGGTTAACGTATTCTCAAAGATGAGCCCCAAGTCCTTCTTCATGTCGCCAAACGTAACGTAGACTGTGTTTGGGTCGCGGAGGCCTCGGTCAATCTCAGACAGATCCATGGGCTTGTCAATCCTTGCCAGGTAAGATTCTCCCAGTGCCGGCCACAACTTGGGAACAGAGTCTCGGAAATGGCCACCATGCTTTGTCTTCTTGACCCTGCCGATGATCTTTCGAATCTCGCGGCGCTGGAAAGATGAAATCTTCCTGTCGTGAATCGCCGCATCCTTCCATTTTGAAAGAGAAGCCAGGCGCCCCACGCCACCATCATTAGCGGGTGCAGGAGTACCGGCATTCTCGCCCGAAGGGGTCGCTGTCGCAGCGCCTTCCTCATCCATGGGCTCCGTCTTGGTACGCTTGGGAGCAGGCTCATCATCCATATCCTCGTCTCGTTCCCGAGCATTCTTTAGGGGCGCGTCGCTTGCGGGTGCGTCAATCATGGATACTTCGATTGTTGTGTCGGCGGCAGGTGAGGTGGATTCGATGGCGAGCTGGGAAATGCCCGAGGGTCCAAGGTCGACCTCGGATGAGGGGGGTGCCTCCGATGCCTCCTCAGTCTTGGGCTTCGCAGGCTCTTCGGCTTTCACAGCGGGCTTGTCGTCGGTCATGACAGTGTCGGCCTCGGCATCAGCGTCGGCATCAGCATCAGCATCGACATCGTCGGCAGTGGGATGTTTGGACTCGTCAGAAGCCTTCTTCTCGGCGGATTCTTCAGGCGCAGAATCTTTGGCAACCTTGGTCGCAGCGGCAGGTTCCACATCATTTGCGTTCGTAGCGTCTGTCATCTGCACGTCGGATTTTTCCTGCGCTGTCGACTCAGCCTCTGTTTCCTTCTGTGCTGCTGCTTCATCAGAAGGCTTCTTCTCCTCCTTGTCCTCCTTGGAGCTGTCAACCGGCTTGTCTTGTGCGGTTTCAGCCTTGGCTTCTGTGGGTGTGACATCGCGTGGGGTATCCTTCTGCTCGGGCTTCTCGTCCCCTCCGTTGACAGCGGCCACGCCATTAGGGGTAGCTGCTGCTGCTGGTGACGGCTTGCCATTGACAAGCGCCTCATCAGGCTTGTCCGAGGAAGTCTTGTTTTCAGAATCGGTATCGTTTTGGGCGTTTTTGGCAGAATCTGAGACAGGCGGCGTGTGGCTAGACAGACACAAACAACAGCCATGGTCAGCAATACAAGCGCATTTGACGCAGACGAGAACATGTGCATCCAAGACAGTGTGATGCTCGTAGCTGCACTCACCCGTTGACATCAGCCGCATTGTCCTTATCGGACAGCGCCGGTTTGTCCGTAGTTGGCGACGCCATGGCTGCCATTCGTAGGAGAGGTTGCAAATAGGGTGCGCGCGCAAGAGGTTGGTGAAGATCCGCAGTGGTGAATTCAGCGAAGGAGGCGCGACATCAAACGCAGCAAGGGCGATTGCCCCGCGAAATCAAGCTACTCTGGTGACGTCGAGAGAAGCGCAAAGCTTCACGATTGCGACAGGCGCAGGAGGGATGATATCAGATAATATTAGGAGAGGAGGGGAAGAGAAAAGAGAAAATAAAATAAAATGAGATTAAAGATGATGTGCGCAAAGGACAGCGGACGCGATTTCGAGGTGGAAGCCGAGCTACACACGATGCGCGCACAATGCAGAAGCTTGAGTGCACCACAGACGACCTCTTGTTAAGCGACAATGCCGTGGCAGCGCTGCGACGCGATAATTAATAAAGAGCAGAGGCGCAATTGCTGCAGCTGCGCAACGGCTGGATGCGATCTGATAAGATGCGACGGACTGGATGCAGCGACTTGGAGTTGGAGGCGAAGCGGCTAGTGACGAAATCCGGCGGAAAGGCTTTCGTCACGATGCAAGGAAGAGCTCGCCCAAAAAAAAAGGCGGGCGGAATATTTTTTGGGGAGAGAGAATGCGAAAGAGCAGTGGTTGGTCGGAATAAGCAACAAGTACTAGCTCGTGCTTTGCGACGGGGTAAAGGTCGGCAAAGGCGGCAGCGGGCGACGTGGTTGGCTGGAGGGATTTTTACAGTTGCAAGTTGCTGGTGCTCTTGCTCTACTGTACTAATATAGCAGTTGAGGTAGGTACTGAGGTAGGTACTGTGGCAGTGGCAGTAGCAGTGAGTTAGGCCGGTACCTAATGCCTAAGAAAAAATGTGTGCCGTGCCTGCTTGGCGGTTCGTCGCTAGTGGTGTCGGGCTTGCTTCGGAAGAGGGGGAGGGGAGCCGTTGCGAGGAAAAGCGCGTGCACGTCAGTGAGATTTTGCCGGTCGGAGGCGCGGTGCTATTTATGAGAGACGAAGACGAGGTGCGCGCCGAGCTTGATGTGAGCTTACCGGGGCGGCGGGCGGGTTATTGCTTAGCCGGGGCAGCCGCCTTAAGGGAGCTGTGGCTCGTGGCTGGAGCCGGGCGCGGCGCTGATTGGCCACGCGAGGCTGATGCTTTTGCTAGGGCCACTCTGCGGTGTCACAGGCAGGAGAAAAGGGAAAAGGGAAAAAAATTGCAGGCAGACAAAGACGAGAGAGAGAGCGAGAGAGGCTACCGTTTGTTATGGTGAGCGGGACGAGGCTAGGGGGTGCTGCTGCAGCAGCTCGACTAAAACTGACCGCGTTTTTGCCCATGTCCATCCTTACCTTTTTGTATGGTCAACTGTGCTGTAGATCGTATGTACTCTACATGCAAGAGGTACATACATAGCATTACCAAGGTGGCCAAGGTGGCTGGGCATGGTTGAAAAGACTCGGCCAGTTGGAGGCATGTTGGGTTCCGTGGATGCCTGCATGTTGTTGGGATACAGAAGGGGGGGGGGGATGGAAACGGGGTTAGTCTTGGGCTCAGCTCTGGTGCATCGTATCGTGTATAACTCAGGAATAGGCGACCACGGACGGTTTTTCACAGCATCGGGATCCAGCGGTGGGTTCACAGAGGAAATAGGAGGACGTCTGTCGTGTCAACCGTGTTTTTGACTCGTTGCATCCCAGCCGCCACGGCACATGTTTTTCTCTGGCTGTCTTCTGACAAATGCAGGAGGCAAACCAGCAGGAGACTGGCTGATGACTGATGACATGTCCTCTCACAACAACGAATAACGCGGTCCGTCACCAACAAACAAAACGCACTCGGGCACGACCAGGAGAAAGAAGAAAGAAAAAAGGGCATGTCAGCGGCATCCGGTATGGATGTGTCTGCCAAGTCGATGACATGGTGATCCACGCGTCGCCGATAACAAAGCACCAAGGCGTGCCCAAGACAAGCCTGGAGACGCGCCAGAAAATTCTTTTCACGAGGCACATGCTCCAACGGGGGCGGAGTATGCAATAAGCTCGCACCACAGACTCGTACTCGCAGTCCGCGCTCCGCAGGTGCTTCGGGAGCTGTGGCGCAGGCTGTGGCGCTTCTCGCAAGAAGGAAACGCGCAATTTGGATCGCCTCTTTTAAGGTCGACGCAGCGAGCCAATGGGCAGCCGCGTGCGGGTACATGAAATTTTACGGCAGCAAGGGTCCAGCGACGCTAGCCATCCGACGCTCGAGATGGTGTCGGACTTGGACGGCAGCCTCGCTCCGAGGCACGTGAGCAGAATTGACTCGGAACATCACGTGAGCCGCGATAAGCCTCAAGCAGCTGCTTATGTCATCTCTTATCTACTAGGCACAAGGAGACCAATGCAAGTGTGGGGAAACATCAACTCACGCTAGACTTGGCCAGTCCAAAAAAAAAAAAAAAAAAGTTCGGGCAGTTTGGTCAACCACTGTGAAATTTTCCCATCCGCTTGGTGATAAGAGTGGTGAGGAAAGATCAACGACGCTTGGGCATTTTCTCTTTTGTTTTGTCTCTAGATCTTTGTTCTTCCATAGTCGTTGCCGCACTCCAAAGGGAGAGCGAAAAAGAAACAATCAACTACCGAATATATTCTCCCGACGGAGGCTCGAGGAAGTTGACCTCCCATCTCTCTCATCACATCATTTCACACTCTTCACACCATGTCAACCCCAAAGAGAAGAACCGCCGCCAAGCTGGCTACCCCAGTCGTCAAGCCGGATGCGAGAAGGGCAACCAGAAACACAATTGACGAATCCAGAACGACCGTGGCTGGAACTGATGCCCTGCGGAGCTCCCAGGTCGAGACGATAGAGATCTCGTCCGATGCCGACAGCGACGAAGACCTTTCTGACGTCGACGACGCCAACAACGAGGCTGAGCAGAACCCAGAGTCAAAGCCTTTGGCCAATGGCCAGCAGAAGCCCAAAAAGGACGACGCAGACGACGCAGAATCAGATGCTGAGGGGACATCGCCCTCGTTTGGCGAGCTGCTGCGCGGCAGCGAGGCCATCGACGTTACCGCCATGCTGCAGCAGTCTTCCACAGACACAAACGCCGTTGTCCAGGCGTCGCGGAATGCCATCGCCCCTCCTACCCACCAGTCCCTCACAACCGTCCTCACCCAAGCCCTGAAAACCGACGACACAGACCTTCTCGAGTCCTGCCTGCACACGACCGACATCCCCACCATCCGAAACACAATCGAGCGCATCGACAGCTCCCTGGCCGGCATCCTGCTCAACAAGCTGGCCGCCCGGCTACACAGACGGCCTGGCCGTGCCGGCACCCTCATGACGTGGGTGCAGTGGACGCTGGTCGCTCACGGCGGTGCCCTGGCGGCGCAGCCCAAGCTCCTGCACGACCTCAACAGCCTGCAAAAGGTGCTGGCCGAGCGAGCAAAGGGCCTCAACAGCCTGCTCGCCCTCAAGGGCAAGCTGGACATTCTCGAGGGTCAGATGGAGCTGCGGAGGAAGATGCAGCGGAGCGCCGGCCTTCTCGGCGAGGGCGACGAAGACGCTGACGAAGAGGACGTCATCTACGTCGAGGGCGAGGAGCGCGACGCCGAGCAGAAGGATGCCGCCAACGGAGTGCGCTCCCGCAGAAGAGGCAAGGGCGGCGCCGACGCGGACGAGGACGACGATGACGAGGACCGCGTTCTGAATGGCTTCATTGGTGACTCGGAGGACGAGGAGGAGGGCTCTGAGCAGGGCGAGGACGAGAGCGACGACGGCGAGGAGCCCCTGGATGAGGACGAGGTCAACTATGACGACGTAGACGAGTCCATGGGCGAGGACGACGAGAGCGACGTCGAGGTTGCGCCGCCGACAAAGGTGCAGAAGGTGTCAAAGGGGTTTGGGAAGAAGAAATGAGAGAGAGCAAGAGAGCACGGGGGGCCTAAAGTGTAACAAAGAAAAAATGAGAGCTGTGTGTGAAAAGAAAAAAGCAAAGCTGGGTGCAAGAGGCATAGCATTCTGAGGTCCTCATTCTGGGCGTTTGGTAACTACTTAATATGTTTTGTCAAAGAGGTAGATGTGGATATTGTACTTTGATTCTCTTCGTTTTGGTCTTGTTACATTTTTTTGAAACGTTTTCAAGTGAATGCCAAGAAGAATCTCACCAAGACAAATCGACGAGACAGGATAAAATGATATCACAGCACATCATCTTTTCATATAGAGTTTCAAAGCAAGTCATCCCATATCACGATAGCTTCAATTCCTCATCCCACGCTACCAGAATAATAATAAAAAATCTCTACAAAATCCCAAATTCCATAATCAATCTCTCTTGATTACACGTAATTCTTATAACAAAAAACCCCTTCGCCATCATTTTTCATCTCTCCTTTTTCTTTCTGTCGACACAACGGGATAAAAAAAAACACAAAAAAATCCCAAATGACTCTACCTAGTTCCGCTCAACTCATTTCACTCGCTTGCTTGCTCGTTTGCCTGCTTCGCTTTGCTCGCCCATGCATACTATAAAAAAAGAGAAGAAGAAAAAGTAAATAGCAAATGCGAACAGAAAAAAAGAAAAAAAGAAAATCCCGATATTCCTCCTATTTGGGGCAAGTTTTTGACAAACTTTGCCTATTACGCCGGTTGACCCAATCGCCATGCAAGTCGCAAAAAAAGATGAAAATGTTCAAGGAATGGAGACACAGCGAGCCTGAAAAAGCAGAAGAAAGGATAAAAAAAAGAGGTATGTATCTATGGCCATGAAAGATGAAAAGGGGGAAGCCATTAAAATATCGTATATGTGGTCTTAGTAGTGCTGTCGTTGCGTTCAATGTAACAGTAGTAGTAGTAATAGTATATGTCAATGAACAACAGCAACGGTCTTTTTCTTCGCTCGCTCGTCTTTAAAGCAAATGTCATGCCAACCGACGTATATAAACGACGAGGCTGGAAAGATGATGAGGGGGAGGGGGTATGTGTGTGCTAAAAGCAGAATATGAGATCATAACAGCAGCATCATGGAGAAGAAGAAAGGAGAAAGAAGGGAGGGCAAAGGTTAGATGGCCCAACTGCCTCTCCTCTCGCGCACGCCCCAGGCCAATGGGTCGAGGTTGTCGAGATCAGGGTGCTGCCTTGCCCACTCCGTAATGTAGGATCGCAACGCCGCCCACCTTGGGCATCTCTCCTCTTCCGGGCGGGAAACGTCGACCTTCATCTCCACCATGTGGCCCTTGGCCATCTGCTTCGCGTCGTCTCTCCTCAAGTCGTCGACGCCGATGTGGCTGATGCGAGACAGCTCTTCATCGAAGCCACGTGCCATGGCGGGATAGCCCAGCGACAGGTAGTTGTACACCTGAGTGACGAAGTCCTCATCAAACTCTTGCAGGATCTTCTCGTCGCGCTCAGCCTGTGCCTTTTCTCGCAGCAGCCGCTCGTTGAGGCCGTTGACCATGTCAACGTCGCCCTTGTGCTCCTGGTGCTGCTGCTGCTGCTGCTGCTGAGGCTGATGCTGCTGGGAGGAAGAGCCCCAGAGACCGCCATTGCTCGACGCCAGCCCCGACGACGCGGACTCGGACGATGAGAAGATGGAGGCGGGCTCTTCGCTGATGACGCTGGAGTCGACAATATCACAGGAGCGATGCTTTTCGGGAAAGCTTGGGTCAGTGGGCGTCTGGATCAGCTTGGGGTTGTGCAACTCGGGGGGAACAATGCATCCTCCGGTTGATTCCGACCTGCAGCAGTACCCCCTCCACAGCCCGGCCTGGCCCGGCAGATCCCGAGCCTGGTCCTCAATCATGTGTGCTTCGATGGGATCTTCGGGCTCCAGCGTGGTGAACTTGGGAGAAGGGCATCGTCGAAAGACGAGGTCCTTGCCGAGCATGGGAGGAGAGGGACCCTGGCGCAACTTAAGGAGCTTTGGATCATGCTCGGGCACATGTCGGAATCCTCCAAACGGCCGGCCAAAGGGACTAGCCTCCTGGCGGCCGCGGTGGGGCTCAGCCGGCTCGCCTTGAGCGTGGGTTGGGGGAACCGTCTGCGCGGATGAAGCGACAATCTTGGCCTGTGCTTGGGCTGCATGGCGATTGGCCTCTGCCAGCGCTATCTGGAGCTCAGCCACCGAGTCTCGCCGGTCATCGGTAGGCGATAGGGGCTTTGTGGTGGTCCACATGAGATCGGGAGGGGACGGCAGCTCCATCTTGTCCAGATCAGAGTCGGATCGGATAATAGGGCTATCACCAGCAGTAGCACCGGCAGTAATAGTACCAGCGTCAGGAGCAGCAACAACATCATTGTCCTCCATCACCACTGCCTCTTCATTGTCCACATCCATCTCATCACCTTCCTCTCCTCCTCTCTTCTCCTGCTCCAGGCGCGACGCATGCTCCTGCATGTGCTTATGCCACCAGTTCAGCCCCAAGTTGGACGATTTACGCCGGAGCCTGTGCTGACCGGCCTCTTCATCACGAGGGCTAGCTTCGGGCGAGTTCTCGCTGTCAGAGGAGCCCTCCCGAAAGTAGAAATGGGCCACGCCACCTTCGCGGGGGCGGCTGTTGGGGAACGCGGCAAGGGCAGCCTCTTCTATCTGCCGTGCAACTTCTTTAGCCGCCAGCTCCAAGAGGTACTCCTGGACGCCCTCCTCTTCCGTCTCGCGCCTAGTGGGCGGGAACGGGCGTGACGCTTGGCGCTGGGGTTCCTCGTCGCCCGCGGCGACTCCATGCTGCCGGCGATTTGACTTGTGCTTTGCCGAGTATATGTGGTTTGTATAGGGAGTGATGTCTGTCTTGTCCGCAGGCCGAGTGGCCGGCCCGGGGTCGCCAACCCTTCTGGACCGTCTGGAGGTCTCGATGAGCTGGGGAGCAAAGCGCCGCCTCTCTTGGGATGCGTCGTTGCCCAGCGTTTCGAGAGAAAAGTGAGCTAGCGGGGATCGTGGTGACGGCTCCGGAGTCAGCTCGGGATTGGGCCCTATCCTCTGGTGCGACGTATAGTCGTAGACATTCTTGCGGTAGGATTGAAACGTCGTCTCGATTGGGACGGGCACAAAGCGCCGTCGCGGCGGATCGGGATTTGCCATGTCTACTGTACAGCACTTGGACTTGCAGTATGCGGGTGTGGCGATCTGTGCTGGGGGGGGTTCGAGCGAGAATATAGAACCTTGGAGGGAAAACAGAGAGGTGACAGGTGCCTGTCAAGACAGTATCGCAGTGGATTGGGGTTTGATAGCGGGAGCCTTGCTGGAAGGTCCAGGAGGAGAGGGAAGCGCTGTTAAGAGCAGGCAGGACATGCAGCAGCGGCAGCAGCAGCAGCAGGCTTTTGTCGGTCGAGGCGGTATAGACGTGGTGGCACCGGGTCGGGTCGTCTCCGTGCTTCGTATGCGGTCTGCGGTATGCGGTATGTGGTATGTGATATGCGGTATGCGGTATGGGGGATCGTACTTGTCAGGGCAAGGTATCTATCGCCCGGACGTGCGAATCTGTACGAGCAACGCAACAGGTCAAGCTCAAGCCGGGCATGCAGCCGTATCATGTATGGGCGGCGGCGGGGCTCCAGCGGCTCTGGTCTGCCTCTCGTGTGTCGGATTCTAGACGTCTGGATTGGCAGGGGGACGCGGATGCAGATGCAGATGCACCAAGCCGAGCCCCAGGGCTTTTTGCTCTTGGGGGATCCCCGGGAGGAGTTCGTGCCTTGCTCTGGATGCTGGACGGACGGACGAGCGAGCAAGTCACAGCGACGATGCGGGGACGGGCGGATTCGCACCGCAGTCACCGGCCTTCACGATGTGCCAGCGGTTGGAGATGAGTGGTCGGACCCTTGCGTGGCCAAAGTGCCCGCACAGTGCGCAATGGCTCATGCGGCCGGTGCGCACGGTCTCAGGTGACGGCGGAAGCGGGCTAGGGGGGCTCTGTAGGGGAGTGTTTAGGGGGCTAGCATCGGCAGTTTAGGGGGGCCCTGGGGGCTGTCAATCAATTAGGTTGATGATCGTGCTCGGTCACGACAATGAGACTGGACTTGAGAAGAGCAGCTGGGCAATTATCATCGCCATCAATGGCCACGAGGAAGCCGGCAAGCAATTGTTCTGACAAACGGATTCACGGATTCACGGCTCAACTTGGAAAATCCGAATGCACACGTGCCGCGTGCCACTCAGCAGACGCCCCCGTCAGAGCCGGACCAGACGTTATTGCTTGCTATTACTAGTAGCTGTATTGTCCAAGTCATTGAGAACCCACAGTCCGCACGGTGCCTGTACCTGGATGGACCCCCTCCAAGGAGCAAGAAAAAAATCGAGAGCTGCCCCTCTTTGTCGCGCTCACCGGTTCCAAGCCCACGATGCAGGTTGGCAGCCAATCGTCTGCATCGTCGTGGCTGCTGGTCATGAGAATTCAACTCCCCCGCATGGCTACCGGCGGGCCACCACGTTTTCCTGTCTTGTTTCTGCTCTTCTTCCTCTTTGGGATGCATCTTGTTAGGTAATGCCGGGCGTGAGCTGACATGACACTTGGGCACGCCATCGTCAGAATCACTGGGCGAATGCACTCGTATTGCCGTTCAGAGAAGCAAACAGGCAAGCAAGCCGAGGCATGCCGTACGAGTACAATACAGTCAGGATCCGCGATAACAACCGCATTCAGCTTCTTCTTCTTCGACCCCATCCCCTCCCGTCCATACCGCACTGCATTTACACCCTAATGCAAGTACTCAGACTCTCGCCCATCTTTTCCAGAAACGTCGCATCTCTCGCCAACCCCCTGTGCGGGCTAGGTTTTTAGTGCTAGGGCTCGCGGATTCTATCCGGCTTCTCGTGATGTGCCTATTCCGAACTTGTGTGCTCCTTTTGACGATGCAACTTCACCGACACTTTTCTTTTCTTTTTCCCTCTTCCTTGTCCTTTGGAGAGGGGTTGGGGTTTCCTTTGCCGACGGCAATAGTTTCGCTAGGGAAAAGTAAATGGCCCTAATCACGATGCCTCGGGATGTTATTCGTTCTTGAATCGCAAGATGGTTGTTTCTAGCGACGCCACAGTCAACACCGTCACTTATCATTCCGATGGCGGACAAACGGCCTCCAATTAGCTTTCCAGCATCCTCGGTTTGCTCAAACCAGCTGGCCCGTGACCAGTACGCAGGAAAAGCTACTAGAGAAGTTTAGAGAAGTTTAGCACGGCTTCTAACGATTGCCATGTTGCTAAATCCAGGGGGAAAGACGTCAACTGCGCCACGAAGGGGCTGGAGAGAAAGGGCTAAGATTGCCACAATTTCAATTTCACGGAGCCACAAATCCAGCACAGGTATAATATACGGATTACAGATAAGGTACGGAGTAGGCAGCTCTTTTTTTATCTGCGAGCAAAGCAGATCCGAGATTGTCTTGGGCCGGGCATGTACCTTGTCAGTACCAAGGGAGGATGCTGAGGTCAAGGTTTCGCCCAGATGTGCCGAGTCGACTTGGTCGAGATACGGGATGCTACTCCGCGAGATTTCGAGACTAGCGATGGAAACGAAGGCCGTGCGACTCGACTCCACGACGGCGTCTTTAGGCGATGACATGCTGTCGAAGCGAGCGAATCTCTCCTTCTCTGCTCGGTACCGGTTATTTTTCTATTTTTTGTTCCAACTTATTTTACTAAAATTGCACCATCTTGTCGTCTATTGTACGCGTACTATAGTTGCTGCCAGATGCCGCTTTTCCTCTCTAGAGAACCGAATGCGGATATTTGGCCTTCTATTTTAAGCTGGGCAAGAGTTGAGCAAGGCTGGCTTCAAGCGAGAGTGCTGCTTCGTGTATTGATCCGCAATGCATGGGTTTAAAGCAGTTTGCGGAAACACGTGCACACGACAGAGGGATTGACGATTTCAGCTGCAGCTGTTGCTTACGACTCAACTAATTGTATACGAGCAACTTGGAGAGGATGCTGGCCCAGGCGGTATTAATATTCATACCGTATTTGTATGCTTGTACTCGCAATCGTACTGGTAAGATTCGTAACAGCTGGGTTATGCCATTCCATACCATTGATTGCCTGTTGCGAGTATCGCATGCATGTTATAGAGCACGCCGTTGTGTGCACGCTTCTGTATCGCTGGCTCGCAACGCCAAGCACGAAGTTCCACATCCCGCCCGGCACACCGCCATTGAGTCGACAACCACAGGGAAGCATGGCCGTCTCTTGGCACTTGGGGTAATGCAGGCACGACGTGTAAAACCCACCAAGATGCAACAAAGGGGTGGAGATGGCAGGAAATGATTCCAAGTGGACAGATTCTCACGGCGCTGGGTGGGTGTTATAGGGCCTACCCTACACCTGGATGCGATTTGATGTTGAGCACCACACCAGCCATCAATGCTCAGAGCAGAGGTGTATTACGGAGTTGACAGGATAGCTAGATTAGGCAGCTCAGTACTACTAGATTGCGGGTATAAAGACGGATGTAGAGCTTATCATTTTGCCAGAAATATATAGATATGAGGATGTTGAGCCCCTCTCTTATCACCGAATTATACACGAAGCATCCGGACGAGCAGTGCATCAGCAACAAACAACCAAAGCATCGCGAACCAAATCACAACACAGTGAGCGCAAGCAGCCGCATGTAACACACGAGCCGAGACAAATAAAGTTGAAGGGGCCCGTTGCGACGTGCCACAGGAATTCTGGCAGCTGGACTAAGCCAACGGGAATTGCTGCTTCCGGCTGAATGCGCGCAGAGATGATGATGGATGGGTTCGTGGCCATTGCGCCGTGCATGGACTTTGGGTTATTCTACTTGAGTCTTTATCTCTCTCTTTGTTTAAAAATGAGGATGGATTGAGCATCTTTACTGTGTACACCTAGGTATGTAAAACGCACAACGCACTGTAAGAAAAGAGTGAGACAGGATCAGCATACAGCCCGAGTTGCTGCACCAGTAAAATAAAAGGGCTGTGGCCTCGGCTCCATCCGTGCCAATGGGAGAGAATCAACATGGCTGACACCAATACACGTACCTCTCCCTCGCAGCAAGGCACATGAACAATCGAGACCGCTGTTCCCCTTCTTACTTCGGCTGGCTTGCAGGAGGCGCAAATCGATCGGCAGAGATACGCGCGATCGAGGGGAGTGTCTCACAAGAAGACAAGAAGAGAAAGGAAAAGAGAGACAGCGCTACTCCCCTTTTCTTTGTTTATTTTTCTTCTCTTTCTTCATGCATCCTGTCTCACATCATGTAATTACTGTATGCACATTTACCTCTGTTGTTTTCTCATTTCCAATTTGATCCTTTGTTTTCTCGTCTTCAATGCCGTCTGGTGCTTGTTCTGGGCAGCCAATCGGGCTGCTGCCCCTTGCGAGATGCCCCTGGATCCCCTGCCGCGTGCGTCTGGAAAAACTTGGAAAGCGGCCACAGGCTGCAGGGGAGACCCCTGTCGAGCCGCGAGGTACCTGTACTTGGTACCTGTGCCTGTCTGGCCTGTGTCCCGGTCGGGCGGCGCTCGGAATGCTGGTGGACACGCTAAAACAGAGACACGGCGTTGATGCCGAGACTTGCAAGCTGAAGGTACGAGTACTTGTACAAGGATGTATTTGGAGAGAGAAAAAAGAAACGAAACGAAACGAATGAGCTGAACTCGTCGCTCGCCAAAGGGGAAAACAGCTAAAAGAAAGGGAAAACAAAAAGGAAAGAAACACAAGACACGAGTCTCGGCTACTGGGAAATTGGTGCCATGCAGGCCGCTGTCGTACGAGCAAGATGCGTGTCTTGCGAGGTGGCACACGAGAAACCCGGTTCATGCATCCGGTGAAGCTGCGCGTCCAATACACTCAAGAGGCCTCAGTTTGATAGGGCCAAGAGACATCAACACAGGTCCCAGAGGCTTACACGCAGCAGTGGTGGTTTCAGAAGGATCAGCGCTATTCCTGGGCTGCCGTGCGAGCTACACAGCTGATTTGACGACGGGTTGAATTGGTCGTAGCAGCATTTCTGGTGTAAATTGGCTGTGCACCACTGGACGGGTCCTTGCATGGGGCATCCCGAGAAGTGGACGGCGGACGAGGGATCAGCGCTGAGTCGAATCTCGATGCCATCAGTATGACATGGCGCCAAGTGAGAGCTCAGCCAGTAGCGCCGGGGGCATGGAGAAGAGTGAGATTTGATGGATATTTGGGAAATAAAAACCGCGCAAAAAAGGTGACTTGTAAGAAGACGATCGATGACATGTGGCGGAGAAAAAAGAAAGATACCTTGAGTACAGACAGACAGACAGACAGACAGGCCTGGAACAGTACATGTAACGAGGGGCGGCAAACGGCTCTTGGAAAGTTTAAAAAACACACTAACGGGTGCAGATTAAGATGCAGCTGCTTGTCCAACGCAGCTAGCCAGGCCAGGATCAGGATCAAGGAGGAAAACGGCCGGTCGCGGTGCTGTCAGCGGTGCTGTGGTTTGATGTGGTGTGACGGGGGTTCCTTTAATCAGATAGATACAGTAGACTAGCAAACTAGCAAACTACTAAGATGGAGGGAGCAGCAGAGAAAAAGAAAGGCTGAGCGAATGGTTGGAGGGGAACAAGGACTGGGCTGCCTTATCTTGGTCGAGGCCATGGATTTCTTCTTCTGCATACCATACAACGCTACTGTATGTATACACGCAGCCCTCTCTCTATCTCTCCCCCCTCTCTCTTCAGCTTGCTGCTTGCTGCTTGTTATCTGCTTGCTGCTACTGTCAGCTCGTTGTTTGTGTGGCTCGGCTGCGATATCAATTGGCTTTTCTGGCCGCCACACACACTTTTTTTTTCTTTCTGCCGGCGGCTTCTCGCATGCGGTCGTGATAACACACGCAAACACACACCCTCACTGTGAATGGAGATGTACTCGTACTAAGAGGCCGAGAGCGACAGAGCATCATCCACTATTGCTATACTATGGATCTTAGTCAGTAGCAGGCACCGCAATCATCCATCGTCATCTTTATCTTTAGCATCATCAGCATCATCAGCCCTCGTCAGCTCCAAATCCTCCCCGTTAGCGCGCGCTCGTCTTTATCCGCCACTATACTAAAGTACTTATGAGGTACTCCATAACTCCAAAAAAAGAGGCACGAGTCGAGAACTTCCAGACTCGTACAGGTACTTTGCATGCCTTAGCATCAACCTTTGGAACGGGCCACGCCGCTTCGGCCGCTATTGCATCTTGCCGCCGAATCTAAACCACAGGCTTTCCATTTTTTTCTGGATCAGTTTTTCGGTTTTTGTTTTTTTACTTTTTATTTTTTTTTTGTTACTCTTCTTTGTTCAGCCTTTGCTCAAACCAACGCTCTCGCGGGGTTTTGCTGGCCGACGGAAGGCTTCTCTGGTATTTGGCCTTGTTCATTGCTCATCCTCCATCATCATCATCGGCCAATTTTTCTGAATTCCTTATTTTTTTTATTTTTTATTTTTCTGCACCTCGCCTTGGCCTCTCGTCCAAACTGTATCCAACTCGGTCTATTTGCTTTATCAGAGTCTCTTCCGTAAGAGGGAAATAGAAACAAGGAGAAAAGCCATCAATTGGACAGTCCCAGCTATACAAATACGCCGTCACGAGCCTGGATCCAGACCCTTGGCGGGCTTCTCATGTCTCGGCCATCACGCGCGCACCCAATCCAGCGACGAGGCCTTGATACGCTCCAGCTCACCCACCTGACCATCCCGGATAGAGACGCAACGGGGGGGCACATAGTACTGGGAGTAGCGTAGAGGGCATTCTTGGTCGATAATACTAATACGAGGTCGCATTCCCTCGGCTGCTCGCCATGCCAGTCGCTGAAGCAGACGCCGAAGCTGCTGCTGCTGCTGCTGCTGCAACTGCTGCTGTCGCTGTCGCTGCTGCGCCGGTAGAGGCTTCAACACACTCTCCTGGGAATGACGATACCATCAGACTCGCTTCGCCACTCTCGACTCCAACAACGGCCACGAGCCCCGTGTCGCCGACCTTCCTGTCTGTTGCCGGCCGAGTCAGCACGCCCTTGAGCCTGTTTGTCGACTCTGCACCCAGCAGCGGTAAGAAGAAGTCGTCCACGAGCCCCGGGTCTGAGTCTGCTGCGGCAGTGCGCCAGCGCTATCTCGCCATGTCGCCCACGGCCTCTGCCATTGCGCCGGGCGCTGCGAGTGCCGATACAAGAGAGTCGAAGCTCGCAGAGGCGGGCAAAACTGAAGCAGAGGCAGAGGCAGAGGCAGACACAGCAACAGAGAGCATGCGACGGTGGGCGCTGCGAGAACAAGAGCAACAGCAAGAACAAGAGCAGGAGGAACAGGACGAGGCGGGCTGGAGAGAAAAGAACCTGAGCACGAGCGCAGGCTCAGGCTCAGGACCACCGCTGCCATGGTCTCCCAGCAGCACGACCAGCAATTCTAATATCATTGCAGCAGCAGCGCTCTCTCCTACCGCTGGCGACATTAAGCATGACGCCTCCAGAGGCGTCATTTCCGCTCCCTTGCCCCTGGGCCCCAACCGACACGAGCGCCCCTCGATTACTGCCCGGGATTCGGACATCGCGACCATTACGGGTGCTAATAGTAGCAGCACTACTGGCATTGCCACCGTTGCCAGCGGCAGTAATCCAGGCTCTCGGACGGCCACCGTTCGTATCCCTGCTGCGCCCGAAGAGGCTCCATTGCACACGGGCAGCGTGCAGCCGGGCACCAAGCTGGCCCATCCAAAGCCCATCCTGCACATTGCTACCGACATCTCGTCGCCGTCGAAACACAGCCATCACTCCGACCTGCTCACCCGCTCCGCGTCTGCCGTCAGCAACGTCGCCCATCTCGAAGCCACGGCCGAGCGCCTGTCCATGACCAGCAGCATCGACGATGCCATCCGCGAGCTGCACTGCGAACTGAAGCGAAGCGATAGTAGACGATCCTCCATCCTCGCCGCCAGGGCCGCATCCGCCGACGAGCACTCGACGCGCCTCCGCCGATATCCCTCCAACTCCTCCTCCTCCGCCGCCGCCGCCGCTCGACAAAGAGGCTACTCGCCTGCCTACGTAATGTCGCCGACGAATTCCCTCACGGGCCGCATGCGGTCGGGCTCCAACGCCTCGGCCGGCCGCCCGGAGCACGATGCCATCAACTCCATCCTGTCCCGCCACGGCCCGGGCAAGAGCTCCGTCAGGAGCGTGCGGTCGGCCAAGCCCTCGCTGGCTGAGATATCCGAGTCCGAGCCCATCTCCCTGACCCAGCACGTGCTGGACCAAGTCGACGCCGTGCCCCCTTTTGAGCACGCCGCCGCCGCCAGCTCCAGGAGCATCATTGAGCAGGACGCTGTTGGCGTCCCGCAGACCGACGAGTTCCACGACATGCTCGAGGGCGGATTTAGAAGCCACAGGGCCTCCAATCTGGTCCTCGTAAACCCGGACCTGCCCTCTGATTACGAAGAACACGAAGACTACGAGGCCGAGCGGCCCATGACGGCCAACTCCACAAATACCTTCCAGGTGGCCCAGGACGCGTTTGTCGACTTTGACGGCGCCCACTGCGAGACGGACAACGAGGATGATCGTTTCGCTACGGCCGACATGGGGTCGCGCTCGCAGAAGCGAGACAGGCTGTCCGACATGCACCAGCACCAGCAGCCGACCCAGCTGCCTCCTCCTTCCCAGATGATGCCCCAATCTCAGACCCAACCTCCTGTCGACGAGGACGACCTTATGCCCACCCCCCAACAGTCCTCGGCCGAGTTCGTGAGACCGCAGTCTTACTTTGATCATCACACCGGCCAGCACATGCTGTACTACCCGGCTCGTGTTCCCGCCATGCTCAACCTGCCGCCCAAGCTGTCCAACAAGCCTAAGGCTGCTGACCGAAACCAGCGACGCTCGGAGATACTGAGCGCCATGATGCAGCCCAAGGAGAACAAGAGAAAGTCGGTAGTCCCCGACCTGGACAAGTTTGCCTTGCCTGATCCTCTGTCTGGCCACCGCAATTCATTCGCCGCCTTGTCTGTGGCAGACAGGCTGGAGGATATCGACGATGCGACCACGCCCACTCCGTTCCTCGAGGAACCCGCGCCTCAATCCCGGAATGGATCCGCACCCTCCCTCGAGGATCTTCGCCGGCCTCAGCGGCTGTCCAAGATGGACAATGACAATCGCAAGTCGAATATGCCCAACCTAGAGAACATCCCCCCGCACCTCCGTGCCAGCGTCTTCTTCGAGCAGCCGTCTCTTGAGCTTCCTGAAATCGAGGTCAAGGATGGATCAGCCATGGCTACACTGGAGAGCATTCTCGATGCCTCGGCCACCGCCCCTGTCAGTGCCTTTACTGATCACCTGTATGCCGGCAAGCTGGGCTCCGAAGTCTACGGCAAGGAGAAGAAGAAGGCGTCCAAGCACAAGTCGCAACAGCTCTCCACCAACACCCTGGGGGTTGCGCTTGCTGAATCAGCGCCCAAGGAGCAGTCGACAATCAGGCTGCTGACCAAACGAAGCCAGAGCAGCTTGTTTGGAAGGGCTAACAAGGGCCCAGATCCCAACGACGATGCTCATGATGCTGCCAATGAAGATGAAGAAGAAGAGCATGGGCAAGAGGAGGAGGAGCTCGAGGAAGGAGTCCTTGATGGAATGCCCACGACGCTCCTTGGTGAGATCCATCTCCGAAAGCAGCAGCAAAAGCAGCGAGTCCTCAACCAGGGCAACATTGCACCCCAAGGCATGCGTGCCACTCTCCTGGAGATGGACGCCGTCGCCGAGATGCAGCGTAAGCAGCGATTAAAGAACCGCGTCAACCTTGCCTGGGAGGAACAGAACGTCGCCGCCGAGCAAAACATATCTGATGACGAAGACACGCCCCTGGCTGTCATTGCCGCCTTGCACCAGGGTGCCAAGAACATGGCCGATGTCGACCGTCCACTGGGACTCATGGAGGTTCGCCAGCTGGAAGAAAACGAGCCGCTGAGCCAACGTGCCGCTCGCCTGCAGGGACGAGCCTCTGCTGCCTTTACCGCGAAGCGACAGAGCAATCTGAGCCTTCCCGCCACGCGCTTGGCCGAAGTGCAACCCCCAGCCCCTTCGCCGCGCATCGTCGAGCCAGATGCGAGTGTGGATGAGGATGCACGCACCACCATTGCAGCAGAACCCGAACCTGTGGCAGCTGAGATTGAGGAAGAGACGCTTGGCGCCAGGAAGCGCCGTCTGGCAGAGTCACAGCTGCCCAAGGCTCGTCCCGTCAGCGGCACCTTTACCGCAGAGCTGCTGAGCCAGTTTGGCAGCCCCGAAGAGTCCAAGACCAAGGGAGGCAAGTCGTCGCCTAATTTGGGTGTAGAGGACGAAACCTTGGGCCAGCGCCGTCGCCGTCTGCAGGCTGAGCGGGAGGCTCGCGAAAGAGAGATGAGCTACGGCAATCTGACTGGCGAAAGAATGAATGGCGACCGACCGGTCAGCTACGGCAACCCAACGGTTGAACCGCTCAAGAAGGGCGTGACTCGCCGGGTGAGCATGGCCGACATGCTCTCGGTGCACCAAGTCGCCCAAGACCCTCGCATTGCGGAACAAAGACGCCAACAGGAGGAGCAGATGAGGATCGCCGAGCAGAACGCCAGGATGGCGGCCATGAGAGCCCAAATGCCTACCGCCATCGTGCAGCCGGGTAACCCTCGCACCGGAGGCTTCAAGGGAGGCCTATACAATGACGGAACGGGCGGACTCGGTGTGGAGGCGGCCAGGTCGAGCACCGCTCTCAACGCATTCCAGAGCCGCAGCTTCACCAACACCGGCCCCAGGAATCGAGCCACCATGATGGCGCCGCCCAATGGGTACGGCATGGCGCAGGGGGGCTTGCAGCCGTCGTACAGCACGCTCACGGGCTTCAACCCGGCCGCCATGAACGGCATGAACCCCATGGGAGGCATGAATGGAATGCACAAGTCAATGACCATGTATGGCGGCGCTGGCAACTACGGCGGCGCTGGCAACTTGTATGGTGCCAATGGCCTCATCCAGCCGACCGTGGGCATCCCCATGTCTAACCCCAACGGCAGCATGGACCGAGTTGAGAGATGGCGACAGGGCGTTTTCCCATAGACGAGCAACGCAGCATCGCATAGATGAAAGAAGACGCACCCACGAAAGACATATACTCACGCGTACACACATATTTTATATATCCCATCACCAAAGACACACGAAAGCATCGTCACCTAGAATCCTCATCACTTCCCTTTGTCATTCCAGACACCATGTCGCTTTAAAATGCGAGAAACATGGGGGGGACTTACACAACCTCCCCCCCACCCTTATTATATCACTGGCCGGCGAAAGAGACTGTCATAAGTCGCATACGAGTTCCCATAGCTTTTGCGGTGTTTTTTTTTAGTCCGATCTCATTCTGATCTTTTTGTGTGTGTTTTTTTTTTGCTTTGTTCATTCTGAGGGAGGGGGAAGGGGAAGGGGGGAAAGGGGGGGGCTTGTATTTGTGTATGGCCTAGCATTGCACGGCGCATTTTGGGAAAATAGGGGATTTTTTTTTTCTTTTTTGGGGGAAGAAGTTTTTTTTTTTTTTTTTTTTGTCTTTTATATATCTGGTCTTAACTTAATTTTCGTTTAATTGAGGAGGGGGAGGGGTTTGAGATAGAGATGTAGCGTGTATGTACGAATGGATTTGAATGTTTTCCCCCATGTGTGTCTTTTGTGTAAGTGATAACATCCCCCTTTTCTCGCCATGTCCAGTTTGCAGATGAAGATATCTCTATTTGAAATAAGCCTATCGCCTACCTTGATTCTGCCAGACATATCCCCCATTCTGAGCTACCGCTGTACGATGAAGAACGAGTGTTTTATACACCTCAACATGATTATCCCGCCAGTCTTCATTCCTGACTTGATATATTTGACTGTCATATATATATATTCATTTTCCACAGACCGGAGCAAGTTATATATTTGTAAAGAACTGCTCAAAACTGTTAAATGAATCTACTGTCAATGCCCAATCCATAAATTGGTCTAGAAATTCCAACCCCTCTGCCGGATATAAATCACTCTTGGGAAGGCTGCCCCAAATCGATGCATCTTTAGTTGCCTCCGCGTATTTCTCTACAGGCAACCCCGTTGCTTCAGTCACTGTGGCATTCTGCAAGCGACTGCTTAGTAGCTCTGCTTTAGCCATCAAGTCCTTAACCACAATCGCTCCGTTCGCCGCCATAGAGTAGCTCTTTCCAAGAGTCTCAAAGATGGTGATTCCCTTTTCTAGAGCCTTGCGCGCAGCCGGCGTCGATGGGTCAATGGGGTTGGAGAATAAGAAGCCAATGGCAGTGATGGTGGCGTTCCACTGCCATTGGAAGCACTCTTGCCAGCCGTTCATGAGGTCCGTCTCCACCACGGCCTGAAGCACCATGTCGGTATGAGCGATAGCGTGGTTGAGCGCTGCTACGGCATGCTGTTTCAGTATTGGCGAGTATACCGCCGGTGCTGACGTGCGTGGGAACGCGATACAGGGCCGATAGAAGCTGATCATCTGGTTGTGATACATGAGTTCCAAAAAGAGGCGCTGGCGCTGGAGCCATAGCGGTGCGCCGACGTCGATGTCGAAGCACGAGCGATCGACGGAAAACGCCTCTCCTTGCCCCCTTCTCTTCATTTTGATTCCTGTGGGTAGTTTTCCCACCCACTCCTGCATCAGAGGAATCTGTTCAGAAACTGCCTTGGCATATGCCTCGAGTGCCTGGGGATCCTGGTACGGCGAGCCCTGGAGCCCTCCTTCGTGGATTATTCTGGCTGCCCTTTCTAGCAGAGTGGTATGAATGTCTTTGACGACGGCCATGAGGCTTTCACTACGGGTGGTAAAACTCATCCATGTAATGTCCGGCGCAAAAGACTCGGCGCTGTTCAAGAGACCTAGATCTGCGTCCTCCGAAGGCGGCTGGGTAGTCGTGTGGAAATCATCGAGCACCGGCGGTCGCCCCAGTTTCAGGGACATTCTTGTCTCCAGAGTATGCAAGCAACACCATACTCGCTTGCGAAGCTCTCTCTCTTTGCAGGGCATATCCTCGGGCGGTTCTTGGTGCAGTCCTAGGATATGCGCCAATATTGACGTTTGGCCAAGTGTCGCGTGAGCCATATTGGTAAAGGAAGCATTGCAAAGGTAGGTAGTGGAGAAGATCTTGCATTGAATCATCAAGAGAGACGGACTCTCGAGATCAACATTTAGTAGAGACTGGCAGCGATGAAAATGCCACCGGCCTGCGCTTGTAGCATCGTTGAAAGGATCGTCGAGGGTATTCGCATTCGATGAGTTGCTTGCAAGGAATGTCCAGCCGTATTGCATGGATAATGCAACGACAATGTCTGTGAGTGGACACGGTTTGCGGTACGTCCCGTTGGCATCCCAAAGAGAGTTGTAATTTTGCATAAAGTCGATGTCGTCAATGATTGGTACGGTACAGTGATACGACTCCCAAAATAGCTGTAGGAAAGACTCTTCCTGCGTCCGGGCCATCATTGGCCGAGGAGCCGTATTAAATGCATGGCTTTTGTTCATGCTCTGCTGTGCAGTGTGCAGAGTCGCGAGGTTTGCCAGTGAGTCGCTAACGCCTTGAGGATAGAGATATCGGTCGGTGACGGACTGATCAAGTGTTTCACTGAGATAGGCACCAATGCGCCCGAGGAAGTAAAACGCAGAGAACGGGCCGTAGTAGGATCTCTGGCCAGACCGCGGACATGTTATATACGTGCCTACCCACCCTCGGCCGGGAGGACGCCGGTGGTGAGTGACGATGTTAGAGGAGGCGTCGGACTGCTCTGACGGCGATGATGATACTGAAACCGTTGTCTTAGCCAGGGGTTTCTTGCATTCCGCCAGTTCTGATTCTAGGTCGCTGATGCGCAACTTCAGCTTTTCAATTTCTCTACACGCCGAGTTAGTCTCGCCATGAGGAGGGTATGACAACGATTTCAAATTCGTACCGCAGTGCCAGGGGAAGTGATTTCAGGTCCCTTTCTCCTCTAGCATTTGTATTTGTGCAGGAGACGCCTCTCTCTCGACACTGGAGACATGGTCGAGTGTTATCGCACTTGACTCTCCGTGTACGACACCGCTCGCAGGCGCGCCATGTCTGCTGCCGGCGTCTCTTGGCCGGCGTTGGCGCTGCGTTGGAGGGCTGATGGCTGACGTCCTCCGCAATATTACCTTGATATTTTCGAGAAGTTAGACGCGGCATTACCGTAAGCTTTGCTCCGGAAGCTTTGCCCCGGAATAAATTGATGAGCAGGAGTGTGTAAAAGAAGGAGTTTCGGACAAGAGACATTGAATATGTAAGTCGTTATGCTTCCTGCACCTGGAGTTTCGGACTGGTCTGCCGGAGTTTCGGACTTTGGTGGGGCTGCACCACGCATCTGTACATACAGTAGTACCAGCATTTATAATATCAGGGTTAAACACGCATTGTACTGGTTGGAATAATCTAATAGTAGAGAGGCAAGTCTGATTATTGTCGGTGAGAAATGAAATTTAATCTCTGTGATATTGGTAATCGTGCGGAGTTTCGGAAGACTACTATACTGCATCGTGTGTGATGCCAGGAGTAAAACAAATATAAATGAAAGCTGCAAGAGCCAAGTCAATGGTCGACTGGACTCATTCTAAAATCAATTCAAAGTTGTTTAAACTTTTAATCTACTTGGACTTTAACATGGTCACCAATGCGGCAGAAGGTGGCGGTTTCGCGGTCCAGCCCCTTAACAAACCGACATACACAGAGCCCAAGAACCTCGAGGACCTTCTCGTCGGCGAGCTCATGCAACCTGGTCACAGCACTCCAAACGACAGTGCAGAAGAATCAGAAGCTAAGCAGTCCATCGAACAGCGATCCATTGCCGGCTTCCGTTGGTTTCTCGTCTGTTTTGCGACCTTTTCGGCCAATCTTCTCTATGGTCTCGACACGACCATTGCGGCAGACATCCAGGGCGCCGTCTCAACGACCATGAACAACGTCACTCAGCTCGGTTGGCTGGGCGTTGGCTTCTCGCTTGGGTCTACAGTCGCTATCCTTCCCATCGGCAAGGCCTACGGCATGTTTGACACTAAGTGGTTGTTTATCGGCAGTCTTGTCAACTTTGCGGCTGGGAGTGCCTTGTGCGGAGCTGCGCCGACCATGGCCGCCCTTATTGTAGGCCGTGTATGGGCCGGAGTCGGTGGTGCAGGCATGTATCTAGGGTAAGAACTACGTGTAGTTACATATATAAACAGACAGTCCATGGATTATATGCGCTAACGTATGGAAGCACCATAAACTTGATGGCAGCTCTGACCACACCTACGGAGAGAGCCCTCCTATTCGCTGCAGAGGCTTTTGTGTATGGTGCTGGATGTATCCTCGGTCCCATTGTGGGAGGTCTGTTGGCTGACAGTGCAGCAACATGGCGATGGGTAAGTCACATTGTTTGTTGCCTGACGAAATGATTTGCCAACGAGTTTACAGGCTTTCTACCTCAACCTCGTCGTCTTTGGCGCCATGGCTCCCGTCTACCTCTTTGTGATACCTGCGGTTCCTCGCCAGGCCGATGTTTCTATCATTGACAAGATTAAGAAATTTGACTGGGTTGGTATCGTTCTTACCGCAGGCATCTACGTCTGCCTTGTCCTGGCGTTCTCCTTTGGCGGTATTATCTGGGCCTGGAGTGATGGTAGATTCATTGCGCTGATAGTCCTGTTTGTCGTGTTTACCGCTTCATTCGCTGTCCAACAGCACTTTGCCTTGCTCACTAACAAGGTCGACCGACTCTTCCCCTGCGAATTCCTTGGTAATCTGGAGATGGTCATCTTTTACATCGGCATGGCCGCCTCTATTGCCCCTTTCTTCGTTGCTACTTACTACATCCCTTTGTATTTTCTCTTTATTCACGGCAACACCGGCACTCAAACAGCCGTGCGCTTGCTACCGCTTGTCTTTGTTTATGTCGCTTCCATCCTCTTCGCCGGCTATGCTTTGCAGCGCGTTGGATACCGCATGATATGGTACTTTGTCAGCGGCCTCTTCATGGTGGCTGGTGGCGCCGGCATGTATACAGTCGGGGCCGACACACCACCAAGCCATACATATGGCTTCTCCATCCTTATAGGCATCGGCCTCACTGTCAGCCAATCTGGCTATAGTCTTATTATTCCCTTGGTTGAGCCACATCGCATTCCCGATGCTATGCAGTTTATGAACACCGCACAGGGATCGGCTGTCTTGCTCGGTCTTGTTATTGCGAACCCCATTTTCCAAAACGAGGCATTCACAGGGCTAAAGAGTTTGTTTGCTGGCCACGGCTTCTCGGATGCAGAGATTCACGCTGCCGTCGCAGGCTCTCGCAGTCAAGTTCTTGAGTCAATTAGTCCGGAGCTTAGGAAAAGAGCTTTGGATGTTATTGTCCGCGCTATCCAGCTTGACTGGGTGCTTGTTATCACTGGTGGAGCTATTATAGCAGTTGCCTCGATATTCCTTCCTAAGAAGAGATTTTAGAAGACTAATTTATGAAAAGGAAGAGTTCCTTAAGGCAAAACAAGTTTTCTATTATAACTTAACATATAGAAGAAAGGGGGATATTGAAAGTCTTGATTATAGTTTCATAACGCAGTTGTATAAACGAACGTGTTACTGTATTGAGATGATGGAGGAGAGCTTTCAACGTTGTTGACTGACGAACCCTGTAAACTAGAGATTGACATTACATGTATCCTCTCGGAGTATTTCAAATTCACTAATCAACCCTAGCGATTTTGGCTATTAAAGAGGCAAAAGTTGTTACTTAATTGTAGTTACTATCACGCGAGTTTGAGGTGCTAACGGCCCGGTTGCCGAATCAGCTGCAAAAGTCCTCTGTAGCGCGAGAAACTATCGGTTTAGGGCCTTGAGAGGGCGCTATGATGCGCTAGAATCAACGCCCTTACTGTACCGTACTTTACAAAATACAGAAGGCAACAGAGTGAGTAGGTGCAATCTCGTTGACGCAATCACTTACATGTAATTACCTACGTATGCTTGAAGCCTGAGGCAATAATTCAACAACATCAACTCCATGCCTTTTATCATGCAACTTCCTCCAGAAGCACATCATTCCATCAAACAGCCTCTTCCTCCCATCTCGTGTTTCGATACCCAAAACAGCCAAAGAAACGCAACTGTGGAGCCCCGCGAGTTACTTGTACGACACAAAATTGGGTGAGCCAGGGTTCCGATTGCGATATCAGTGCTAATCAACACTAAGCCCGTCTGGTGGGCGCTCGGAGGAATAACCTTTGTATATCAATCGGCTCTGGCCGAGGCTGCTCGAGATGAGACACGAGTTTTTGCTCTTCACCTGCTGGAGACGAAAGACGACGTCAAGAGGGGTCAAGTGAGACATCAGGCTGACGGAGAGGAGGCTCGTGTCCGTCTCTTTGCTTTCACCAGAGCATCGACAACTTTGATTTTGCCTTGACAAGGTTCAACAGGCGCAGCGGGAAATCAAGGCGGGAAAAAAATCAAACCAGGCTACGGGAGAGATAAGCACTGGACATTATTCGTCTTGACCTCGAAAAAAAAAAAGGGGCGGTAAACCATCTTAGGGAATGACGAGCGGGAAAAGAGCACCAGCAACCACAATGTCGCCGCTGATTGATCGATCTGGCGGAAATGGAGGAACAGGAGGATACAACACCACAAACACAGGTTACGGCTATGGAAAGGATGATTCAGTTACAAAGGTCACCGCCGAGCTGGACGTCGAGCGAGCGCCCTCGCATCTGATGGGAGAGACTGACCCCATCAAGGACCTTGGCGATCTCGACGGCGATCTCGTCACTGCTACCGAGGAGCGCGACCTCAAGCGCGGGCTCAAGGAGCGGCATCTATCCATGTTGGGAATTGCGGGAGCCATTGGCACGGGATTGTTCTTGGGTCTCGGCAGCGCTGTGCAGACGGGCGGACCTCTGGGAGCGCTCCTAGGATATGGAACGGTTGGCCTCGTCGTCAGTGCGGTGCAGTTTGCGCTGGGAGAAGTGTCGGCCCTACTGCCGGTGACGGGATCCTTTGTGAGGCACGCCGAAGTGCTGGTCGACCCGGCGCTGGGCTTTGCCGTGGGCTGGAACCTGGTGTACGGCAACCTGCTGTCGATTCCGAGCGAGATTACGGCCATCTGCGTCCTGTTTGAGTACTGGCTGCCGGACCTGAACCCCAGCGTATGGATTATTGTCTTTATCATCCTGACGGCGGCCGTGGGCCTTTCGGGCGTGCGGTGGTTCGGTGAGATCGAAGCCTTTTTCGCGACGCTCAAGATCCTCATGGTGGTGTTCCTCATCATCTTTGGCCTTGTCATCGATCTGGGCGGCATTCCGGGCGTCAAGCCGACGTACTTTCGCTTCTGGAAGAATCCGGGACCCTTTGTCGAGTACATTGCCACTGGCAACTGGGGCAAGTTCCTGGGCTACTGGAGCGTCATGACGGGCGCCGTCTTCTCCTTTGCGGGTGTCGAGTCGCTGGCCATGGCGGGTGCGGAGACGGCGAACCCTCGCAAGGCGATTCCCAGGGCCTGCCGCAACGTCTTTATCCGGATCCTGCTCTTCTACATGCTGGCCATTCTCATTGTCGGCATGATTGTCAGCTCTGATGACGAACGACTCAACGACTACTCTGGCACCGCTGCGCAGAGCCCCTTTGTGATTGCCGTGTCGGCCGCCGGATATCCTGCCGTGCCCTCGCTCATCAACGCCATCGTCATCACGTCAGCATGGTCATCCTCGAACCAGGCTCTGCTCTCAGGCACTCGTGTGCTGTACGGTCTGGCACTCAAGAAACAGGCACCCAGAATCTTTTTGCGAACGACATCTTGGGGTGTGCCGTATGTTGCCGTCAGCCTGTATATTCTCTTCTCGTTCCTGGCCTTTATGACACTGAGCAGCGGCGCTCTGACTGCCTTCTTCTGGCTGATGGACCTTGTGGGCGCGGGCGTGCTGGTGAGCTGGATCTGCATCGTGCTCAACCACGTGCGACTGAGGATGGCGCTCAAGGTGCAGGGCATTCCCTACACACGACTGCCGTGGCACAACAGCTGGACCTGTAAGTCTTGACTTGTTTCTTTATATCCATCTTCTTTGTGAATTGCTGCTGACTAGAGTCTATCATGTAGTGTACAGCTCGTCCGCGGCGCTCTTCATGTGCAGCATAATCCTGCTCACCAACGGCTTCGTCGTCTTTACCAAGGGCAACTGGAGCCCCAGCGGCTTTGTTTCTGCATACTTGTGAGCATTCCCCACTTGTAAACACCGTTATTCGATTTGGTGCTAACGTTTTTGCGAAAAGGGATATTCCGCTTGTTCTGGCGGCGTATCTGATATGGAAGTATCTCAAAAAGACAAGGATCGTCGCTCTCAAGGAGATTCCGCTGGAGGAGGCGTTGATGCAGGCCGAGCTGAAGGATCCGATGCACAAGTCGCCATGATAATATTTGCTTGTTTGTTCAAATGCGAAATGATTTTGGAAATTGCGTAGAATAAAGGGGTGGTTCAACACGGTAGCGAGCGTCTCGGTGGTATAATGCTTTCAACGAATAACATTACTATATATATTTATACGTGTTCTATTCATTCCGGGTCGTCATCCAGCCGCATGTCCACACCGTCATGATTCATAACTCGTGCTGTAGTTTAAATCTTTCTTTTTTGTTCTTCTTTGTTGGCATAATTATCCCCTAGACTGGGACTCACTCTTCGTCATCTTGCATCATGTCGTCCTCGCCCATGGCACTCAGCGTATTCTCCAAGACTTGCCGGCACCGCTCCCTGTAATCCAGTGCCAGGCGCTGGTTCGGTGACAACAAATTGGCGTCCTCTCCCACAACCTCCATGTCAGTCTCGTTGAGTCTCTCGAGCTCCTGCAGGATCTTGTGCTGGATGATGGCGACGGTCTGCTCGAGAAAGTCCTGGCACTCATCGTTGACGTGGCCAGAAAAGAAGCGCTCTTGGCGCTGGCGAACGGCTTCCTCCTCGGTGGGAAAGGTGTTGGAGTCCAGTGGGATGAGCTTGATAAGCGGCACAGACGAGTGCTGCAGCAGTGTCAGGAAAATGTCCCAGACCATGTCGTGCTGGACGTGCTTGAAGGCGCCGAGAAGGCCGGGCAGCGGTGGAGGAGGGAAGACGGTGAGAGTCTGCTTGGATGCGGCGAGCAGGGAGGACGGATGCGAGATGGGCTGTAGAGAGATGAGGTATTCCTCGGGTGAGCTGCTGCCGGGCTGGGCGGGCGCGGTGGCGGGGGAAGACGCAGTGCGCTTGCGGACGTGGATGTAGTCGTTGTGCAAAGCGTCGGTGGCGGGCAGCATAAAGCCGTATCCCAGAAGCAGCTCGGCGTTTGTCTTTGGGCTGTAGTTGTTGAAGATTTGCTGCCCGGGCTTGTGCTCCCTGCCGACCTTGAGCTGGACGGCTGCCCCTGAGCCCCTGACTCCAGCTCCAGCTGCGGCTTCGTCTCCAGCTGCGAGATCCCACCTCACGTGGACCGTCATGTCGTGGTTCCCAATGTCAAACAGCGGCAGCAGCACGGAAAAGTCGTTGACGCTGACGCCGTCGGGAAGGGACTGCTGCTGCTCCTCGGACAGCACCAGGGATGGCCTAAAGGAGCGGCTCGAGAAGATGCAGTAGGCCCACTGATACAGCTCGCGGGTGAGATGGTCGCTAAAGTCGTCCTCGGCATCCTTTTGCGAGGCAATCAACAAGTTCCTCGCATCACGAAACTCGCGGCCGAGGTCCTCGCGGATCTTTTCCAGGCCAATCTCGACGTTTGTGCCTTCGAGCAGCTCGGCCTCCTCCTCGGGCCAAAAGGGCGGCAGAGCCCAGTCATCAAAGTCCTCGGGCTGGGGAAGCGCCTGGATATAGGGATACCAGAAGGACTCCTGGCCCCTGAGGAGCTCCTTGATGAGGAACAGGCGGCCGACGACGTGGGGCCGTGTTTTTGAGAGGAAGTCGCTGGGGAAGGCGGGCGTTGGGTGGATGGCGTTGAGGTAGGAGAGGGAGAGGCTGGTGGGGAGGCTGACGATGGGCTCGTAGGGGGGGATTGAGGAGGTTGAGGAGGGGTTGACGCGAAAGGAGAGGCCGGTGTCGGGGTCGTCGTAGACTTGGGCGGATTGGTGGAGGACGGCGTTGTGAGAGGAGGCCCAGTCGAGGAGGAGGGAGATGCGGTCGTCGATGGAGTCCATTGTTGTGAGTGTCGTGGGGGGTGTTGTGAGATGAGATTGAGATGAGATGAAAGAAGGTGAGATGAGATGAAATGAGATGGGATTGAGATGAGATGAGACGAGGTGAGTCACGGTGAGTGAGGTGAGGTGACGCCGAGGCTCTGATATCAAGACGAGGCTATCACGAGAACCACCAGCCAGCCAGACACTCAACCCTTTCAACAACCGCTCTTCCCACACAGCAACAAATCCAAAATAGAACAAAAGAAACAAGCAAGAAACCACAAAACACAGCGTATCGCCAATTGATGGCTGCAACCAAACACACAATAGTTCAAAGTCGGCGATAGTATGATGCAGGCTCTCCAAAAAACGTCGCAACTCAAATTTTCCCCCGCACTAGCCACCACATGGCTTTTCTTCTCTTTTTTTGGTGTGGCGTTGTGGTGGTGTTAGTGCGGTACTTATATTTTGGCGGGGGAATGCATTGTATTTGGTGGACACTGCTTAGCAGGAGCTAATGCCGCAGGTGTTTTGGAGCTTTGAGCTTCACTTCTGTTTCGTAGTAGGACTTTTGTCTGCATTTTCACTTGATAGTAGTATTGTCTCTTCTTTTTGCAAAAACAGCATCATACAAGCCTACCCTGCAATGGCATGTTAACAAACTGCTGCTGCAGATTCAAATTGCTCATACCCTCCTTTGTCCGACCCGAAAAAAAAAATCTCCTCTGCATCTCGTGCCACCGGCAATCTCCAAATCTAGCATCTCTCTCCCAAATCCAGGGGTCCAGTAGGCATATACGAGTCCACAAGATTAACGAGATGAGCCTCACCATCCCAAAACGGCAAATGGTGTCCCGTCACCACCAAAACAGCAAACGGTGTGCCCACCAACACAGCGCAGCCCTCTTTATCATTTTTTTTCTTCTTTTCTATTTCCTTCAAGGTTCCCTTCTGTGCCGTGTAATTCCCTAATTCCCTAATTCCCCCCTTGCTTTTTACTAAGCGCTGAAACATGTATTGTCGGGTTTGCTCCGTCACGCAATTAATCATCAGGGATTTTCAATGACTCTTTATTCCGACAATCGTGGCTAGTAAGCAACCTCCCTGCGCTGGTTATGTATATCCGTGGACACGCGGGTATACGGGAAACCAAGTGACTACTAGCTAGTAGTAAAAGAACACAGAGAGAGAAGAAACCAACAGACAAGAAAAACCACGAAGGATCTCTCTTCTCCACACGGCACTCCCGTTCCCCCCCAGCAAATTATTGTTAATCAACTAGAAGAGAGTAAAAAAAAAGACAAAAAAGACTACCTGCTGGTCCCGCGTCTTCGGCACTCAGAGCCCCAGAAAAAAGACGGACATAGTTGCTTATACTCGTGCGTCAACAAAAAAAGAAAAAGGGTTCGCTAGGCTAATGGAGATAACAGCCGTGTGGGGTGCAAAAGACGTGCTTGACGCCGAAAGCTGAGTGGAGCCGAGCGCCGAAGGAGCTGGTTTTTTCGCTGTTATACTATGGAATGTCCACTGAAGCTGGGCGACCCGCTTGGTTAAAAGCCGAAAGGGCGTATTGGACGTTTACTTATACGAAAGAGGGGGGGAATTGAAGCCGAATAAGAGGAAGAAGAAAGCAGAATGATAAGTCGATGGAAATAAACGAAGAAATTAAAAAAAAAAAAAAAAAAAAAAGAGAATAAAAGACAACTAAACCAGGGGAGTATGTGTAAGCAGTAGTCATCTACAGCAATCCTGTATTCCCAAGCAGAGAGAAACAACAGAAGACACTCGAATCTCGTCTCAGAAGCGAAATCCCAGATCTTCAGCCCTCCGCCGCAAAAAGGTATCCAAACAACACCCAATTTCCTAAGTAGATGTAACCCCCTCTCCCCCCAATATATATAAATCCTCGCAAAAACGAGCTTCCAATCGCCTTCATTCACAAGAAAAACACAAAGTAAGACGCACCACCCGCGGCAACTATTTGCGAATCACCCACCCACTGCCTCTTCAGGTCTAGCGTCTTCTCGCGCCCGTATCGCAAGAAGATGCTGCTCGGCGTTGGGCGTGCGAGCTTCTGATTGGCTGGAGCTGGACGGACTACCTAAAACGGGCCATCCCCTGCTAGCGGGGGGCTCGGTATCGTCGTGCCGGGTTTCTGTTTAAGCATATCTGATCGGTGTTGGTTTGTGAGCTGGGAATAAAAGCAGAAAAAAATCGGATAGGGCATTTTTAATCCTGAAGAGCCGGGATGGAGGAGCTGCAGGGCTTGGCTCGCAGCTTCGTGCCGGGGGCTGACAAATTGGACGCGGCTCTTGGATTCCGAACGCCTTTTTTGGCTTGGATTTCTTGCATTGGGTTGTGTTGTTTATAAGAGAGCCCGCTTCCGTGTGAGTGAGCTTCTTGCTTTGCTTCCGTTCCCTATACCAACTCTTTTCTACGAGGAGCTGGTCAGCTTCGACTTGGATATATAGGTATATATCTTTGTGTATACAGATATATATATTTATTGGAACATCTCTTCCATGCTGACTCGTTCCTTTCAAGTATACTACAACAACAACAGCATCACCAACATCGACATCAACAACATCAACACCAACAATAACTTCTATACAACCTCTTCTATTTAGCCTGCTCTCTCCCAAAACCACAGTCGCCACAATGACGGTCCAAACAGACCTCCCCCCCTCCTCAACCCCCTCCACCCTCGAAAAAGAAACCCTCCCCTTCTCCTCCGACGAAGAAGCCCTCCCCTCGACGCCCAACTCCCCGCCCAACGAGCAAGAGGGCCGCACCGTCCGCGGCTTTCGCTGGATCCTCGTCTGCCTCGCCCTCTACGTCACCACCTTCGTCTACGGCCTCGACACCACAATCGCCGCCGACGTCCAGGGCTCCGTCGTCGAGGCCTTTGGCCACGTCGAGCAGCTCGCCTGGATCGGCGCCGGCTTCCCGCTCGGCTCCGTCTCCGTCATCCTCTTGTACGGCGTCCTCTATGGAAACTTCAACATGAAGTGGGTGTTTGCCGCAGCCGTTGTCCTCTTCGAGGTTGGTTCGGCGGTTTGCGGTGCCGCGCCCACCATGACGGCCCTCATCGTCGGCCGTGTCATTGCCGGCTCCGGAGGCTGCGGCGTCTTCATGGGGGCGCTCAACTACTTCACGGCCCTGACCACCCCGACCGAGCGAGGCATCTACATCACCGGCACTGGCTTCTGCTGGGGCATCGGCGCGGTCCTGGGGCCCGTCATTGGCGGCTCCTTTGTCGAGTCCAGCGCTACCTGGCGATGGGCCTTTTACATCAACCTCATCATTGGCGGTGTCTTTGCCCCGATCTACCTCTTTGGTCTCCCTAGCATCCACCCGGTGGTCGGTGTTCCCGTCATCGAGCGCGTCAAGAAGATTGACTTCGTCGGCGTCGTTCTGGGTGTCGGCACCTGGGTCACCTTCTGCATGGCCTTTACCATGGCCGGCGGCCAGTGGCCTTGGAACGACGGCCGCACCATCGGCATGATTGTCGCCTTTGGCGTCATCATCACCGCCTTCGCCATCCAGCAGACCTTCTCCATCTTCACCACGCCTGAGAACCGATCGTTCCCCATCCACCTGCTGCGATCGCGCTCCCAGGTTCTGCTGTACATTGCCACCGCCTCCAACATCACCGCGCTCTTCGTCATCGTCTACTTCATCCCCATCTACTTCCAGTTCGTCCACGGTGACTCCGCCATCTCTGCCGCCGTCCGCCTGCTGCCCTTTGTCGTCCTGACCGTCAGTTTCAACCTGGCTTCCGGCCACCTCCTATCCAGGGTCCGATACTACATGCCCATCTTCCTCATTGCAGGCTTCTTCATCACCCTCGGCAGCGCCCTGCTCACCGCCTACCTCGACCCTAAGACCCCGACCAGCTACATCTATGGCTTCACCGTCCTCACCGCCGTGGGAACTGGCCTGACTCTCCAGATTGGATATGCCGTCGCCACCCTCAAGGTCGAGCCCAAGGACATGGGCGCTGCCCTCTCTCTGCAGAACGTCTCTCAGATCGGTGGCACCGTCATTTGCCTCGTCATTGCCGGCCAGGTCTTCCAGTCTGCTGCCACCAAGAACCTGACCGAGGCTTTGAGAGACACAAACTTTACCGCTCAGGACATCCAGAACGCCATTGCCGGGGCCCAGAGCAAGATCTTTGAGGAGATTAGCGGAGAGCTCAAGGACAGCGCCATCCTTGCCATCACAAAGGCCATGCAGAAGGCCTTTATCCTGGTCTGTGTCGGCGGTGGTGTCCACATGCTCAGCGCTCTCGGCATGAAACGAGAGAAGCTGTTTGGCGAGGTCGTTATCGGTGCCGCTTAAGAAACTCCAAGGAAACAAAAAACAACAAAATTTTAGGCTGTTATGAGGACTCGTGTGAATGATATCCAGTTTTTTTGTCTCTGACGTTTTCTCTTATTTTCCCTCTCTCCTCTATCCCCCCCTTCATCCTTTTTCTTTTCTTTTTTTTATATATAATTCCCCATTTTGTGATTTGACATAGACTGCACAAGACATCTGATTGTGGACTAGAATTGGAAAAACTGGTTTCTTTTTTCTATAGTTTTGTTGTAATTAGAGTGAAGCATAGCATACCTTATAAAAGCCCCTTAAAAAAAACAACTTGTACACAAACATTTCTCATTTTCGTAATCCAGTTTTTCATGTGAAGCACGGCGGTACTCGGTGCCTGCTGATAATCATGCCGTAGAGAGTAAAAGCATCTATTGACGACTCGCGCAGATCCTGCTGCGTCCAGGCATCGGGTATCATCCTGTTGACCAGCGTCATGGGCCCCAGCGGTCGACGCTCCAGCGACTTCTCCAGCACCTTGAGCATGCGCATTCGATGCTCTTCGGTACGGGCCTCGAGCGCAACGACGAACAGAGGCCAGGGCCGCTCGCAGTACACCAGCTGTTGGAGCAGCTCGTACGCCTGGTCGACCACGTGGGCAACGGCCTTTGAGTTTTCGGGCTCACCCTTGGCCATACGCAAGAGATAGATGATGGCAGCTAGGCGATACAGCTCGGCAACGATGGCCTCCTGCCTCATCTCCGGGCCGTCTAGCGGCGCTACTGTGGACTGCCGCTGCTGCAGGTATTTTAAGCGGATCTCCAGGGACCGGATCAGCTTTAGGTGGGATTCGGATTGGTAATCAGGGTCACCGGGCTCGTAAACGGCATCAATGGCTTGGCAGAGCAGGTCAAGCAGTTCCAGGGAGCAGCCGAGAATCGGAACAATCTGAAAGCACATCAATTAATCTTGGATTCGCTGATTTCACTCTTGTCCTGTTTGATTTGTAGAAGGGTATATAGGGAGGGAGGGAAAGAGAAGGATAAAATAGAAAGAGAAAAGGGGGGGGGGACTTACAGTCTGTCTCTCTGGCGAAAACACCGCCTTGGAGAGAACTTTTCTCTGTGCCGCCAGCTGGATCTGGTCCTTGTTCTTTTCTCTCCAGTGTCGAATACTAAACTTGTACATGACGTCGTGGTAAAAGACCCAGTCAATGATGAGCGCCTCGTCTCCAAAGTACGTGTCGTCGGTTTTTGTGACAAAGTTGGCGATTCGTTTTGTGCCGCAGAAGAAGATGGACCAGCTGAGATCCGATGTGTCAAAGTTGAGTGTCTAATCACCCGTTAGAAATTCAATTCGAAGTAAGTGTATCAAAGAAAATCCCGTCAACAAACCTCGTAGATGTTGAGTAGCATGCTCGCAGCCATCAGCTGCATACACTCTGCAGGAACCGCCGTCTCAATGGCGGCCTGGAGCGCTCGGATCGCTCTCGTCTGATGCATGACGGCCGTTTTGTCCATGGCGAGATGCTGGTACGACAGCGCACTGATGGCATATCTGGATGCCAGCGACGGCAAGCTGTCGTCCTGAAACGACATTCTAACTAGCAATCCGTAGAGTTCGTCGCAGCTTTGACTGGATGATACCAGTCGGGCAACCGGGCTCCAGGCTGAAGTATCTCTCTGGTTAGCACCCCGACTATGGGAGATTCTGGTTGAGCAGCCTTACTGTGTGAAGCAAGGAAGGGGTCCAGCCGTGCCATGTTGAAGTTGGGCTGTCGCGTCATCCAAACCTCGCCAAAGGTACTCTCGTCATAGCGAGGCAGAGCTGGTGATCGAAGCGTCAGTAGAGTAGACAAAACAAAAGTCAATGTTTACAACTCATTCACTTACTGGTGTCCTGAGACGCCCTGACGTCGTCGCTCGTTGCATGGATAAAGATGGTGTCCTTGGACCGGATGGGAATGATGAAGTGCTCCTTGCGCAACGACACTGACCGTCTCTGGTCGCCCTTTCGCGGCCACGACAGCTTCAGTCCGTAGCCCAAACACTGACGACCCTTTTTGATGCAGTTCCGGCAATGCGGCAGCGTCTTGTCGCAGGCAATCTTTTGCTCTGCGGTTGGCAGTTAGCCATCAGTTCAGTTGAGTTCAGTTGAATGTTAAGTAGCACTGGACTGCTTTAGAGCAGAGCAGCGGCGGGTCTCCCTACGGCGACAGTTCCAACAGCGCTTCTGCGTCTGGCTCATGGCGGGCGACAGCGACAGCGACAGCGACAGTAACAGCAACACTTGTTCGAGATGTGGCAATGTGTTCCTGAATATCCGGCTTGATGGGGTTTGTCACAGCACTAAATAGAGCTGAAACTGAACTGAATGAGACTTTGGCTTGGCAGTTGAGAGTTCAGGTCGGGCACTCGAGGTGAGAGCCGAGCGCCGCTTTCTCTTCAGATCCCAGTAACAGATAGGGAGAGGCGAAAACGCCCGACTTACAGTGGACTTACAGCATAGCACAGCGCAGGCGGCGTTATGTCAGCACCAGCACCGTGCTGAGCTTAAATTCTAGGCCTGGCTGGACTTGGGGCTAAAAATTGGCAGCTCCTGGGAATGGGCAGTTGAACAGGCTCTTGGACGCCTATTTGCTGCCTCGTACTTTTCGTATTCGATTTCTACCCTCCTCTTCCTCAGCCCGGCTTTTAGGACCTATTACCCCATTCAATAATGATCGGCTGCTAGGGGATTTATCTCATAGGGCACAGCGTGTATAGTGGAATTCAAGGAAATAAGTCAATAAACGGAATTATCAGAATAAAATGACAAGAGTCAGTAAAAGAGACAGATCTGCCTTGATAACCCAACTTTGTATAGTTACTGTATAATACATACATACACACTCTCGAGAACTCCGTATACGGTCAACGTAGCGCTTATATCACATCAAATTCTCCTCCCTCTCTCTTCTCTCACTCCCTCTCTTCTTTCGTCTTCTCAGTGAAACTCGGCTTCCACCCTCCCGTACCGCACCCCGTCCACCTTGAGCTCAAAGCCCAACCCCGCACTATCCACAATCATCTCCAGCGTAAAGTCGAGGTTGTCGAATTCCACCCCCCTGGTCGTCGTCAACCTGGTAAACAAGCTCCTTGGCACGGCATTCAGATCCGTCGTCAGCGTGCACACGTTGATGAGCTCTCGCGTGTGCGCTGCGGGCGGCTCGTCTGCGTCGCACGCAATCAGGTCGTCCGTCACGATGAGCGACTGGCCCGGCCGGAAGTTGCGCGTGTAGTGGAAGGCAATTGGCGATAGGGGAGAAAGCGCCTCGCCCTGCTGGGCTGTTAGCTGTCAAGACCAAGATAAAGGGGAGACGGACGAGAGAAATCCCACCTTGGCAATGTGCCACTGCATCCGATCAGACACCATCCACCGCTCCCACAGCGGCGACCAGTACCGTTCACTGACCGAGTGCTTCTCCTCATCATAGACCGTCGCAAACGACGTGCCGTAGTGCATTCTCGACTTTCTCGAAATCACCATGTTGCCCTCCAGCCCCCGAAGCACCGCGCCGCGCACCACCGCCGTCCACGCATACACCGGCTGCATCACCTCGATCGATCCGCCGTCCTGTGACGCGCTCGCGCTCGCATGCGTCGGCCTCTCGCTGTATGGAGGCGGCGCCGCACTCGAAAAGTGCGACTTGAGCCGCCGGTATAGATAGTCGCTCTGGCCGAATCCGCCGACCAGCACGATGCCCGAGACGATGCCGCCCTTGGCGCGGAGTCCTTCGACCTGGCCTTGGACTAAATCGCAGACCTCCTTGACGACGGGTTCGAAAATGTCCTTGATCTGCTCCGCACTCATGACCATGAATCCCGAGTCGAGCCCTGCGTCCTCGTCATCTGGTAGTCCGGGGAAACTAAACATACAAGTTAGCAAAAAGGCGATCCCAATCCAGTCGTTGGGTACAGCTAGGCAAGTAACATACGGGACATTAATCTCCTGGTGTTCGTCCTCGTTAAAGTTGCGCTTCACAAACTCTTCAAAGTACCGCAAGCCCATCTGCCATGTCTTGCCCTTTTTCGTCTTCATCTCGTCGAAGCGAGCCTGGCCCAGCCTCGTCCGAACATGCTCCTCGAACCTGTAGTTTAAAAAGGCACTTCCACATAGGCCACCTGTTCCCACGGCAGACTCCTCGACCCTCAAGGGTTTCAGAGATATGATTTTATAGGCGATTAGACTAGATTTCTCCGTCAGCTCTGCTTAATATCAAGTCAAAACGGATTATACTCACTCCACTGTTCCGCCTCCTGCGTCACACACGATAAAGTTGTCCCCAATGTTCAAGTGATTGGGCTGAATGGCCTTGAGCGTGTAGACGGCCGCCGCTTCGGGCTCGCTAATCATCTGAATCTCGGAGCGACTGCCCATGCCCGCCCGCTCCGCCGCCTGCAGCGTCGTATTCTTTGCTGCATCGCTCCAAACTGCCGGACATGTCAAGACGAACTCGACCTTTGTCGAGCCCATGAATGACTCTCCGTAGCGTCGCGTCAGGGTGTCCATGGTGTGCCGGTAAATCTGAGTGAGGTAGTCGCTGACGGCATCGACGACGTTCTTGTTAAACTTCTTAAGTTGTGCCGCCGTGTCGAGGGGACTGACGTAAAAGGGGAGCTTCTGGGAGCGGTCGAGAAACAGCTTGATGCATCGGAGCCTTGACTCGTCCGGCTTGAACTGGAAGCCCCATTTCACCGTGGGCTCAGCGCCGGGCGTGGCGTTGGGAGGGAAGCTGTATGCAATCTCCGTGGGCACCTTGTCCGAGGTGATTCCGTTGCCGCCTGGCCACGTCTTGATGATTTCGACATCGTCGGGCGTTGATGTGTATACTGCGGCGACGCTGAGGCGACGTTAGCACAAGATCGGGGCATCTCATCTCTCATCCCATCTCATCTCATGACATCTCATCTCATGCAGTCCCATCTCATCTCATGGTACGTCCTCTCACTCACCCTGAAAACGTCGTGCCAAAGTCCACTCCCACAATCAGCCGATCACTCATCGGCGGCTGCTCCCTCACCGGCTCCCTCACCGGCCCATTGATAGCCTCCGTGGAGCTCGGTGGCGTGTAGCTCGTAAAGTAACTCCTGCTCTCCTGGTTGCGACGACTGGCGCTCGTGCGCACCGGCAGCGTGAGGTTCTGCATGTCTCCACGAATGCGACTCACAGCGCCCTCAATGCGTGAGATGTCAGGGTCATGCAGTGGTGAGTCGAAGTGGTCTCGCCTGGTGTTCAGCTCTCGGTGAGGTCTCCAGCGCTCATGTCCGAGGGCCCGGCCGCGCTACACCCCTCTTCTCCCGTCCTTCCTCCTTCCGTGGGCAGACTATGAGACGCGATATGGGCGTTGATGATGTTGTTGTTGATGATGATGATGATGCAGTTGGTGGTCGCCGACAACAGTTGAGGCAAATTGCCCCTCTTGTGAAATCGCTGCAGATGCCACGTAGATGCCGGCAAACAACTCGCAGTGCGCCAACAAGCCGATCAGAACATGAAAGCCGCAATCGCCGTCGCAATGCCCTGTCGTCAACTTGATGCCTTTTCCCCGCTGTCCTTGTTGAAGCAATAGAGAGACCCGCACAAGCAAAGCAGCGCTGTTCAGACACGGCACTCGTCACAAGATATAAATACCTATCCCAAATACACACCCCTTGTCCAATGAATATGCCAGTTCCTGATGCAGAAAAAGAAAAAGAAATAAAATAAAGAGGCCAACCTGTTACAAAATCGGGTAAGAATGAAACCAAAAAAAAAAAAAAAAAAGACCCTGTCGTCTAAATTATTCTGTTGCCTGGTGGCTTTGCCGGTTTCCCCTTGTTTTTGGGGGAATCTCGCTTTGCTCTCAAGGCAGCCTCAGCTGGGCCGTGGCTCCGCAGCAGTTTTCCGCAAGTATTAAATCGCCTCGTTCTCTTCCGCCTGGGGTCTAGCGCCGGCACGTGACTGGTTTGCTTACGTAGACGTTGTGACCTTCTTGTGGCTGCGACTTTTCCCCAGAGCCTCATTCTGACAGGTCCCCGGTTTTTTCCCTTGGTTGCAACTCAACTCTGCGATTCATGTATTCATGTATTATCCCTTGTTTGTACCTGTACTTGCAGCAGCCCAGCCTAATAGGTTAGTACCATCATATATCATCGCCAACCCAAAACAAGAAATAAATAAACAAATGATAAATACAAATAATTAAAAAGAGACGACGTGGCACAGCAGGACCCCCCAATAGACAAGACATGGGTTCTCGTAAGGCTGCCAGATTTCGCAGTGGATCCCCCCATCCTTCACTTCTACACACCATCTTATCTGCCTTGCGCCCAAAATCCCATGCACGCTTCGCATTGCTGCTTATACTAGGTATTACAAACCTCGTAAGCCAGGCAACAACAGCCAGATAAACACCCTCCAGGCATCGAATCATCCCGCATACCGCTCCTATCAAGCAGACGGAAAACAAGTCAGACGGACAGAGATCCATCTGCGCTTACTTGGACCCTTGGCTCCATGCAAGACCCCCAAGAACATGCATCACCGCCCCTCCTCGACATGCACAGCGTCCCACTCGCAATCCCTACAGGTGCATACGGCGAACCATTTGATCTGTATGGGTATGGAATCCGAGCACAGCAACAACTGAAGAGCCTTGTACCGTTCAGGCATCAAGATATAGCCACAAAGTAGACTACATATATGTATAATGTAAGCGAGAATGGTTCTTGCATACCTGACAAGTATGGTTCTTTTCTTTATATATATATATGCGGGCAGTATAACAATCTGAGTACAACAATATGAGCATAACCTGAAAACACTATTGCAGCGTAACCATTGCAGCGTAACAATTTGAGATTATGATCTTGGGGTGTAGCAATCTGGGTATAACAATCTGGGTATCATAATCTCGGGGTATAACAATCCGAGCATAACCGCCTCGTGGCATAAACATCCGTAAACAAAACATTGTCAAACGACTGCGTGAGCAAGAAAATCAAATCGGTAACAGCTTCAAGTATCAGTCCGAGAAGAGCATTGCCCCCCAATCCATCTGTCATACGTAGCCTTCCATTAGCCTCACTCGTTAATCCTATCCTCTTGAGGAAGTGGTTTATAAGGAAATTCCAAGTAACGGCCGTGGTAAAGGCTGGCCCAGGATGACAAACGTCGTCGCCGTCGCCTCTCAATCGACTCGTCGTCTGCGACATCCTCAACTGTGGCTTGAAGATTTTGAAAGTCCAGGTACATGTCTTGAGCTTCCTTTATCTGCGCTTCGGTAAGCCTCACAGGTGTATTCTTGACATTGATGACCCCATGTAAAGATGAGAACGCGACCTGTGCTTTGGGTTCCGCCAATCCGACACGGTTGATTGCCCCAAGTCTCGCGCGATTCGCAGCCCAGTCGGTAAGGATGATCAAATTGCAGCCCAAAATCACAAAGTTGACAATGGCGGCAATCACATTCGCTTGCAGGTAGGCCGCAAACGACTCTTTGGAGAGTGCGCTATGCTTACTCGCAATCGCGGCGGCGATGGGAACTGCGGCTGTCACTTCGGCCATGACCATGCAGAAAAACTCCAGCCATGGTTTGCGGTTCGCGAATTTTCGCTCAATCAGTTTTCCTTTGTGGTCCGCCAAGCCTCGCAAATCGTTTGGTAGGTCAATTGCAGCTGAGCCGCGTTCGATGTCGTCCATGTCACAATCCAGAGTGGCAGCAAACTTGTTCATGTATGCTTTGATCCGCCAGTAGGCGATTGCCGTCAAAGTGAGATCGAAAGCAGTCAATATGATGCTACTAATAGCAGCATACATATCCCAGGCGATAATATTTCTAACGATGAAGTTGAGTATGATAGAGGTGATGATTATAATTCGTTCTTTGTCCGAGGCCGCAAAATCCATAGCCACAATCCAAGAGTAGCCGCTGAGCCTCTCTAGAGCGTTATGCTTGAAGAAATCAAGCCATTCTCCGCTCTTGTCGGCCTTGGCGTAATTGAATACAGCTGAGATTATACGGATGAACCGGCGAAGGCCCAGACAGATACCGCCAATCACAGCCAGGGCAACCTCTACGCCAATCTGGTTGGCTTTGCGTAGGGCGAGGGGCGTCGGGGAAACGTGCACCTGGGCAGCCAGTGTTATAAAGAATGAACCACTGGCTTCTATAATCGTCACCACTACCAGTCCTATTCTGACCCAGATGGATAGACTTGGAGCGATCCGAGAAAGGTCAATGCCATTCCCACCGGCAGTGGCAAGCTTTGAGCCAAGAAATGCGTAGGCCATGTATTCGTTTTCCAAGACCTGTATATCTTCTCTTTCCAGGTCATCGAAAGCATCGCCGAGTGGGCCATGATCAGATTCAGGCCTCTGAGCGACAACTACTTGCCATTGATCGTCGACAGGGTTATCCGTACTAGGAGTATTCGGAGTCTGTCTACCAGGGTTCCTAGTGGTGGTTGGGGACAGCATGGAGCCACTGCCGTTGTCACTTGGATTAGCCATCTTATTGACGAGAGTCTGCAGATTTTCACAATAAAATATGAAGAATTGCGGAAGCAGCTTCTCAAAAAAGAAGAGAGGAGAGGAAAGGAGAAGGAAAGAGAAAAGGAAGAGAAAAGAAGAGAAAAGAGAACAAGGGGGGGATAAGGACCTTAAAACGAGCCCTCTGTACTAACCATTGGCTAGATACCCCAATGATTCCACTCAGTCACCAGCAGGCTCTCCAGTGATGTCCGACGGTGTTCATCTAGTTGACACTTCAGATGACAAGCCCTCCGCTCCCCAGTCTAGCTATCCAGTCTAGTTTTCGTAACCACCATGGCGAATAGAACCTCAAGGGCTGTGCTTGGTGGACCATCCGTGCTATCGTGACTCACCGAAGGTAACCGGTTGGATTAGCTTGGGTCCGCGCAATATCAGACCGAAGGTGGTAACGGCTGGACGGCGTGCTCGTTGAGGAGGTCGGCGTCCATATCAGTCCTGAGCCATCCTGTACAGCGAGATGCCCCTGCCGGCTATCGCCTGTATAAAGACGTTGCGTATTCGTGTTTGGTAAATCCAATCTTTACCCAATGGTATGCTAGGACGAGTCAGTTAGTAATTTAGTAGGCGGCATTCAGTAGAAAGGCAGAAAGGCCCAGCTAGACTCACCTCACTATCTCACAGATGCTGCTCCAACTGAGGCCCTGAGTGAGTAGACCAGTGACATCACCGTCCCATTCCCCGCACTCACGTTTCTCCGGTCGACACGCTCACCAAGAACAAACAGAGAGCAAAAGAATCCATTCCAGGATATGTAGGAGTGTGTTCTCTTTGCGGAATATTGAAGACAATGGAAATCTTGATGTTTTAAATGGTGTTTTGTAGTTGTTAAATTTGAGAGTCACTTATAGTCCGCCAAGGCGTTTATATTCATGTATGATTACGAAATGCATGAGGGGCCATTATACTAGAAACGGAGAAGAAAGTCAGCTCATGCGGGGATGTGGGCGACATACAATTGACAGGTTATTCGACCACGCATTCCAGCAACAGCTAAAATACCGAGGTCCATTTAGTAAACTACCTCCTACAGTAAGAGAAATGCAAAATAAATCACCAACTGCGCAAAGTATAGCAATACTGTCTAAATGTGCAGAGACCTCGATTGCTTCTCAGCAAGTAGACCAACTCGGCTATCGAGGAGACAAGATCAACCATTTGGAGGCGAGGGAAACACGCCAAAGAAAGCAGAGTAGAGCCTGTTTCTTCGCACTGAGCACGCTTCCAGCCATTGCAAGTTGTAGCCCAAAGGGTTTAGGTCCTGCTGCTCTACGTGCTGCTATTTTGCGAAACGGGGAGTCCTCTCGCGGCCGCCTCTATCGCCGACCTTGGTCATGTGCAGACTCGACAATTCCACATCGAAGCTCAAACCTTAATCGAGCAAGCCTTGGAGTCAATAGGCTTAGTACATAATCGTATGCAAATGAATGATGGCTAACAAAGCACCGGGAGTTAAGATGGCCACGTAATTCTCGTTCCGAAGAGACGAGCGGAGGTAGCCCATGCTTTATATGAACCATCTGATGTCAATTGGATCTTGGTAGGCCCTCAAGTTTGAACTTGGTAACGACTTCTGACCAGTTACAAGTCCAATGGCAGTTACAAGTTGGTTTCAACTATTTACATTACTTACATGTAATATACAGAACTGTTCTGTTCCTCAAATAATGCACGTCCACTGGTGGAACCGTACTACGCAACACATTCCATGAGTCTTCTTGTGTGAACGGCTGCTTGTCGAGTCTACATCAATATCAAAAAATGGACTACAATAAAGAAGGGTCTCAAACGTAATTCACCATGCACAAAATGAACATATTCAATAAAACAAAAGACGGCGATATATATAAATAAAAAAAAAAGAGAGAGAGAATAAATTATGCTTCATTGCTTTTTACAAATTGTGAGGGGTGTAGTAACGCACGAACCAGGTACATAAAACTCCTGTCTCCATGAAAAATATATGCGCCCTCACAAAAATTCTGAGGCGAACTGTTCTGCAAAACCAAAAAAGGGTAATATAAAAAAGAGAGAAAAAAAACGACCGTAATATCCAACCACAGCAAGAAAAAAAAAACGCCACAGACTCCGTCCCAATATCGGTCTTACTTCTTCTTATTCTTCTGCTTCTTCCTCTTCTTGGTATAGGAAAATAATTGTTATCAACAAAGGAAAAGATGGTGTACTATGTGAGGTATTTTGCTTCAAGCAAGGCGAGAGCCATGCTCGCCCTTCTTTTTCGGTCTATACAGGGTATTTCGGTGCCATGAGTGCTCAAATGTTCAAAAAATTGAAGAAGACGAAGCGAAGCGAATCGAAATCCAAAAAGAAGAGGTATAGTAAAATAAATCAAAGGCTGCCTCGAGCTGCGACCTCGGTAATGTGTCGAAAGGCCCCTCGAGGGTGATGTATGGTACGTGTTGTGTTGTAGTAGTAGTATGTGTGTTGTGTGTCTGTGCCAGCCGAAATACGCAGAATAAACCAAACGAGTTTTTATACCCCAATCGAAAAGAAAAGAAAAAAGTGTCGGAAAAAATAATGATATGATGGTCGACCCGCCGACTCATGATTCAAGGAGCGAGGAAATATGTGCCGCAAACCAACACCAAAACACCATTTATCATGCGAAGAAAAAAAATAGTACACGCCATATTAATAAACAAAAAAACAACTTTTTTGCCTCACCACTCAACAGTGACATGTCCGAGAGAAGGGGGAAAAAGACAAAAGAGACTCCGCCCAGGAAATATTAACGACGTCTCCTCGTCTCTTTCAGATACGGTTTCCGGCAGCCCAGATACTGGCAGAGGCCGAGGCGCTCCATTCACCACCCTCGTATGGTGGGGTGGGCCACTTGTACTGGTTGGCCGTCTTCTTGCTGAGATCCAGAGGCTTGGGCGCCAAAGCTTCAGCACCGTCGGCGTAGAGCAGCTGGTTACTGCCGGCAGACGGTGACGGGCTAGGGTATGGCTGCGAAGTCGACAGGCCCAGGTTGCTTGCCGACTGTCGCAGCGACTTGGCGTTTCCCTCCAGGCGCTTCATGGCCCGCTGAGTTGAGGTAAGAACCTCGTCGAGGAGCTCGTCTTCTTCGGCCGGTGCCTCGTACTGCTGAACACCTTGGGCTGCCTGGGCACGTCGGGTACGGCTCGAGATGGGGCCGCTTCGGGCAGCGCCAATCAAGTTGTCGACAGATCGGGGTTGCTGGTAGGGCAGCGAGTGGTGACGCTTGAGCTTCCCGGCCGCGGCGAGCTGATGTGACTGAGGCACGGGAGCGCGTGGTTCAGAGCCTTGGACATCGCTGAGAGTCTTATCCAGAGACTCGTACACCTCGGCCTTGGGGACGGGGCCTCCTTGCTGGTCGACAACCATGGAGGACCGGTTGCTGTTCCAGGGGCCGCATCCGACTTGTGCCTCCATGTCGTCATAGGCAGGCGAAACGGGGGTCTGGTGGCGGCCGGAGAAGCGCCTGGCCCGCTTCCGAAGGTGAGAGAAGAAGCTCTCCTTGTGGGCACTAGGAGGGGATGCAAGGCCCGTCTGTCCGTTGAGAGCGCGCTCGGCCTGGGCACGGTGCATCTCGGTATAGTTGTTGTTGCTGGAGTTGACGGAGAGCTGTCGGCCCAGCTTCTTGCTCTTGTCCTGGCTCTCGGCGTTGCTGTTGGCACGCGCCGTCACGGCGTCAGACAGGGGCGAAATGGGCTTGATGGAGGGCAGAATCGGCATGGGCGCAACGCCAGAGAGGCCGTTGGCCCATGTGCTGCGCTTGGGCTTGGTCTGCTGCTTCGTAGTAGAAACGTCGACAGTGCTGGAGGTCTGGACAGGCGACGGCTGCGCAGGGGCCACAACAACGGTTTCGGGAATGTCGCTGCGGCCGATGAGAGACTTGCGGAACCACGACGGCTTGGACACGGAGTTTGAGGGGGCCAAGCCCTCCTTGGAGTGTCGGCTCAGGTCGGACTGCTTGCGACCCAAGATCTTGGAAGCAGACGACTTGGGCCTTGACGGGTCCGTAGCGTCTGCGAAGTAT